CAAGACTATGGGTGTTGGATGAAATAAATAGTTGCTTTAAAGGAAATAAAAAAATTATTTGACTCAAGATACCAAATGACTCAAGGTAAATTACTTGACGTGAGAACATGATATTCTTGATTCAATACTTTTTCGAGACTTGGCGCATGTAAAACAGTTCGTTTGAAACAGTAAGATATTTACTTATGTCAAACCCATATTTTCTTATTTCAATAACTTTGATCAATGCTCAAAATTACTTGACACAAGAAAATAAATTTCTTCCAATAAGAAAATATGGGTTTGTTTCAAATAAATCAGGTCAAGAAAATGCATTTACTTGATTCAATGAACTTTTTTTTTCAGTGTAGAAAAAAAAATAATTGTCTTTCATGTGCGTAGGAAGTATTTAAATTTTATGAGTTCTTATTACTCTCTCTCTTTTTTTTTGCAAAAAATATAATTATTCGAAATGCGCTTTTTAATATTCTTCTTTTAATACTTTTTTGTTTTCTTTTTTCAAATTTTGTTTTAGAGAAAGTTTTTTTTCTTGTGCGATAAAAATATTATTATTTTAATTTAAACTCCAATTATTTTATTTGAATTATTTATAATTTCAAAAAAATAATAAATAAATAAATTATTAATTTTGTATACATATTATATTTAGCAATTGATAGAATCCTCTTTATATATTATTATATTAATGAAAATTAAGTTTCGAAAATGTTTGAAAATCTTTTCAAGGATTTAGAAAATTAAAAAAGTAGTAAAGTAAGCAGAAAAAAAATTATATTAAAATCTTTCTTCCCCTGATGGGAAGTTTCAATATGAAATTAAATACATATAGCAAAAGAAAAAAGTTTGTAATCTTTATTCAGTTAAAACTGCTTCTGAAGAGAGGATTAATTTTATTTATCAAGTTTTAGGAAAATGTAGTTCATATAATACACCTAAGAAGTTCATTAAATTCTGGTGATTATGCTTCTTTTATGAGAAGGGTGAAAACTTTGGTTTATCTTAACAATATAATCTTATTTAGTCAAAGAAACTCCTTCCTTTTTTTATATATTATAATTACAAATATTTTGTAACTTTTCTTTAATTAATTATATTAATTATTTTTTACTCTCTAATTAATAAGAATTACTCTTAACTAAGTAGGTATTAAATAATTTAACAAATATATTTAATTTATTAATTATTTGTTGAATTTATTTAATCAATTATACAAAGACTAAAAATAATAAAATTACTTTTAATAATGTGATTAAAAATATTGTTCATAATTAATTAATTAAATTTACTAAATTGACGAAATTCATTTTTGCTCCTGGAAAATTTATTCTGGGGAATTAAAGTTTTGTTAAAAAATTATATACAGTTAAAAATGATTGTAAAAAATTCGATTATTTTCAAGAGTGATAAAATTCTTCGCAGAAATTAAATTATGTTCAAAAAATTAAAAAAAAATTCTCATCAAAATTTCAATTATTTTTGTAAATAATAAAATTCTTCTTCGAAATTCAATAATTGTTAAAAATTTGAATGAAATTCTTTAGGAAAAATTTTAATTATTTTCTAAAATTTTTCTCAATTGAATGATTTTTCAATATTTACTATTTTAGTAAAATTTTCCAAAAGAATTCAATATTACTTAAAAAAATTTTTAATAAAATTCTACTCAAACATTTAATTATTTTCATAAATAAAAAATTTCACAGGAATTCAATTATTTACAATTTTTTTTTTATAAATTTCTTCGTAAATAATTTAATTATTTTTATAATTAATTAAAAATTTAAACAGGAATTTAATTATTTTCATAAATAATTAAAATTTTAAACAGGAATTCAATTATTTTCATAAATAATAAAACTCATGGCAAGATTTCAATTATTTTTAATAAAATTTTAATCGAATTCCTTTAAAAATGTGATTATTCTTAAAAATTTTATTAAAATTCGTCGAAAGAATACAATTATTTAAAAATTTGTTGATAAAATTCTTTATCAGAATTCAATTTTAAGAAACATTCAATTATTCAATGAATTATTATTTTTTGGAATAAAAATTGATTAAATATGAATTTTAGTTACAATTTTAGATAATAATTTAATATTAAAATCATTATAGCATGAATTATTAGAAATAATTGAATTTTGAAAAGGTTTTAAATTAAAATCTTTGAAAATCTGAATTTTTCATACTTTTAACTATAACAATTCTGTAGAATAAATTTTTTTCGAAAAAGTTTAATTGGATTTTTTAAAAATATTATTTTAAAAAAATAAAAAATTATTATTTATTTATAAAAAAAATTTATTTGAAGTTTTTATTTCCTAATTTATATTTAGTTGGAGAATTTTGGAATAATCGAAATGTTCGGTAAAATTGCATTGTAAACAAAGGAATATGAAAATTTTCAAAAATTATTAAAACTAATTGATTTAAAGAAGAATTTTAGTTGAAAATTCTAGAAAATATTAATTGAATTGAAATGATGAAAATAAGTTTTGAGCAGTTAGAGTAACAATATTAATTCTTATAATATAAAATAATGATTTTATCACTCGGTCGTCTTTATAAATTATTATGAAAATTACAGAAAGAAAAAAAATTGTCAAAATCATAATAAGTATTCCCTGTTAGAGAAACTATAATTTACATTAATTTTTACCTGACGTATAGCGAATGTTGCTTGTATACACACAGACACATAATTTTTGCACGTGATCAATACAGTTTGAGTGATTTGTCCTTGGAAATTTTCGCGGGCAGAAAAGCCCCGTGTGCACGGCACGTACACGCATATACACTGCCAATTAATTTGGTTATTCTTGTTCATTGCGCGACAGTCAGTCACACTTTTACCATGCATCATCGGCGCCAATTGACGTCTCTCCGACACATGTCGTCACAGTTTATATGTACATATTATGTAAAAAAAGAAGAAAGAAAGAAAAAATAATTTTTTTCCATGCGTACAATTATCTATTATCAAATTTTCATTTAAACATTTTTTTTTCATTTTATCAATTTTTAGTATAATAGATAAGATATTACGCGGGGAATTTATTTTTACACTATACTATATAACTGGGAAGTTAATTAATTACTCCTTATTATGTTAATATAGTATCTTTTTTTATAAACTCATCTTTCTTTTCTATTTTTTTCGATTAATTATCTACTTTTATATTTTTTTTCAATTTATTTTCTTCTTTTATTTTTTTTTTAATTTATTATCTATACTTCTATATTTTATTTCTTTCTTTAACTAACAATAATATTTCATCTCTGGCAAAATTATTTTATTATTTCCATTATTAGAATTATTTTTAAAAATTCTGCTTCTGAATGAAAATTTCTTTTTTGAATCGAATAAAATCTTTTATTTTATTAACAATTCATTAGTGAATATTTTTTTTCGTCTATATTTTAATTTAAGAATTGAAATTATTTTCAAAAAAAAGAGATGACCTAATTTTTGAAATCACATTTGTATTAAAATTCGAATTAAATGAAATTAAATAAAAATCGAAAATTTTCCAATTGAAGTGAAAAATTCTAAAAATAAAGTTTCCAGAAATAATTCTCTCAAATGTGTAAAATTTAAAATAACATTTTTGTTGCATTATCAGGATTGCGAATAATTTTACATATTTTTAGTCAAACTCAATTTTATAATTAAATTCGTCGAAAAAATAAATTATTTTCATAAATAATAAAAGTCTTCTTAGGAATTCAATTGTAATAAAAATTAATCGAAAGAATTCAATTTTTTTTTAAATTTCAATAAATTCTTCGAAAAAAATTAAATTATTTTCATAAATAATAAAATACTTTAAATGAATTCAATTATTTTGAATATAATTTTAATAAAATACTTGGTATGAATTCAATGATTTTTATAAATAAAAAAAATTCTTAAAGAAAATTTTACAATTGTTTTATAAATTTCTTTATAAGAATTGAATTATTGACAATTGAAAATTGGCAATTATAATTGAATTCCTGGAAAGAATTTAATTATTTTCAAAAATTTCCATATAATTCTTCAAAACAATTCAATTTTTTCAAAAATTTTAATAAAAGTCGTCACAAGAATTAAATATTATTTCAGATTTAAAATTATAAACAAGTTATAAAAATTACTAAAAGTAATATAAAAAATTCAAAACGTTTAAAATTGAAGGATAAAATTTTTATTAACGTTTTTTTGTAAATTAGTTGAGAATTTTTGAATAATTGAAAAATTTTCAAATTGTTTTGAAATTTCATTTTAAATTGAATTGTACCTGAATAAAGTGGATTTCAGAAATATTTTTTATTTTAATAAAAAATTACTACTGTTATTATTATAATACAATTTTAATAATAATAATAATATCTATAATTATAATAATAGTAATAAAAACAATAATAATATTTATAATAGTGGAATTTCCATTCACTCTAATGTCTATTTAATGAACTTTGTGTGAAACAACAAAAATTTTCTATAGAATAATTGTGTGAAGAAATTCTTTTTCTTGTTTTATCTAAAAAAAATTGATTTAATGAATATTCTATTATACTATGTTTAAAAAAATTATTCTGACGATGACTACAAGATTCTGCTATGCAGACATTTTATTAGTAATGCACGAGAGATAAATTCCTTTTTTCCCCTTCTCGAAAATCTGGCTGCGCCATTATTTATTTGCTCAATAGTGATAAACATATATAATACAAAAAGAGATTGAGACAAAAAGAAAAAAAGAAAAAAAATTCAGACACGTTTTTCGTTTGATATATAGAATATGTTAAAGTGACCTCAGAGCTTATAACAGCTTATAAAAATATTGAGAGCACCGTTTGAAAACTAAATTATTATTAATAAATCGATCAGTACAAATTAGTCACTCAGTGAGTTTTGAAGTTTTCGTTTTCATTTTTATTTACTTTTTCACGTATATGAAAAGAAAAAACGTTTGAGAATTTATTTTGTTTTGTGACGGGAAAATAATAAATTAGTATTTTAATTTAATACTTTATTTTTTATTATAAAACAAACACTTGTTATTTTACACTTTTATTTTAAAGCGGAGAGAAAATGCGTCTCACACGTATGCCAGTCAACATCAATCTGCCCTTTTTAGTCCTTTTTGGGAAAAGTCAGGATGGTTGTCTTTTGTATTGCGTAAGGAATGCAGTCTAGTCCGGTTTTCGGGGGAAATGCTTCCTGTCTATTGAAAAGTCGTCTTGTGCGATATCTGTCCTTGTACTTAAAAGAGAAATCGTAGGGCCTCGTCACACCTCCCGTCTTAGATTGAACTTAGTCTCTAAGTTCGCAACCTAACAGACTTTGAGACAATGACTGGATCATTTGTCATTACTTGCTCAGGGGCGGAAGCAACGGAAGCATAATGGACTACTGGCGTGGCATTTACGTTAGCATTTACACAGAACAATTTTATACACAAATTTTTAGGTATCAATTTGCTAAGTAATTCGCAAAATCCTATCTTATACATGGTAAACAAAAATACAATTAACAATGATGTATAACCTAAATAAGTTATAAAATCTGTTCCCTTTTCTATCCACGTTTTATTTCTGCGTCGATTTTTTATTTTTTGTAGTGAATTTTCCATTAAATCTAAGTTTTGTCGTAGAAATTTTAAGTTTTCGTGGTGAAGTGAGTCTTGTACAGTGGGTAATTGTGAAGTTAACAATTCAAAGTCTGACTGATCAATTGTGTACGATATGTTTTTCTTATATATAATATCAGTTCGTCGTTCCATGGATTGATGCATTTTTAATATAGATTTTGGAGTTTGTAGAATACAATCAGTTTTACTATAAACTAAAGAAGGTTCTGTTATTACAATTGTTTGAGATTGTGAATTACATAATGCGCTTAATTCTACTTCTTTTTGTGGAATGATAATGAATTGGTTAGGATCTTTCAATGGTATATATACTACTTCAATAATCTGAAAAGCAGAGAATTGACACATGTGGTCGTTGATAACTTTATTCTGATTTTTAAGAATATTAGTTTCGCAACTTTGTACTTCGCTGATTAAATAAGAAGGTTGAACGCGTTTACAAACTCTCAGATCGTCGGTTTCTTTACATTGTCGTAGCGCAAACATGTCGCTAGGGATGTAGAAGCTTTTTTCAGTGTTTACTAAAATAATTTCATGGGTAGGAATTGGAGCTATGAATCCATTTGCATGTTGGATGGGAATTGGGATTAAGTGAAGTGTTTGCAAATCTTCATATTCTAAGATTGGTATTCGTAACACATATACAAGCCTTTTGTTTGTAATGGCAATTGAGACCTCGGAGATGTCGATGATGTGTTGATAATTTTGCGTAATGAGACGAATGGGATATTTAGTATTGGAAGAATCTTCGAACTGTTTCAGTTCCCGTATGAGAATGGAAGGCGTCAATATTTGGGGGTGGACAATTCCATGTTTACCGTCGTTTATGGCATCGATAATAAGATTGAGTTCTTCACTCAATTCACTTATAGCCATACTGCACAAAGTAATAATATTGGAGATAAGGAGGTTTTGTTGATTAGCATTAGTAGCATTGAGAATATTATTTAATTCGCTGACAGAACTAATGGAGTGATCTTTCATTAGTTGTAAATCATGAGATGTTGAACTTAGCCAAGATTTTATCATCCTTGTTTGATTCCCGAGTGTGTCAGCAAGAATTTTGTTATCAGAATATATGGAATCAAATTCATGGTTTATCAAAGTTAAGTCGGTTTCGTCTAAAGTGCCAAAAAGAGTTTTAGACAGGGTACCAACGATGTTTAAGAATCCTCTCTTTCTACGTCCAACTCCAAGCATTTGGTTCAGAACCGATTTACTCTCTTCTAACCTAACAATCCTATTATTCAATGCTTTCAATGTTAGTTCTTCTGAGCAACGGTTACACATTTTGAGACTCCTTTCGTAGTTTTCTTGAATTTGTTGAAAATGGTCATTGATACCAGAGACGTCTATCCCTAATATAAGTCTCCAAGTCTGGTGATACATTTTTGTGACTCCAAGATTTTCGGCATAGATGGTGGTGCCTTTTAACGACCTGGTTACGACGTTTCCTTGAACCCCTTCAATTATTATAAATATCCAGATGAGAAACATGTTGTACCTGAAATTTAATAGTTGTATGTTTTCAACCTGTCAGCATGAATAGTGAATCGACTATTGTTAAATAATATTTCGTAATTATTTTTGGGGAGAGCTTTTATAACAACAGCAGGACCTTTCCAATCAGGGCTTAATTTATTTTCTTTCGTGTTTTCTAGCATTACGAGATCACCTGTGTCAAATAAACGCTGGGGCAAAACAATTTTAGCGTCTTGAATTCGTTTATATTTTTCTTTTGCCCTCATTATTTGCTCTTGAGCTTTCCTAATATATCTTTCATGTCTTTCTTGCCATAATCGTACTAATTCCGGATATTTTAAACTAGGTGTTGTAGCTAATGCTGACGGAACATTCGCGTCTCTTCCGAATGTGAGCTTAAAAGGACTGAAACCGGTGCCTTCGTGAGTCATAGTATTATAGGCCATGCAGATAAATTTAAGTGTCGAGTCCCATTCAGTATGTAGATCTGCCATCGCTGTTCTTATCAAATCCTTAATGGTACCATGAGATCTTTCTAGAGCACCGTTACTTTGAGGGTGGAACGCAGTTGTTTTGACATGTTGAATTCTGAATAAGTTTTCAAAATTTTGCACCAGTTCTGATACTAGATTCTGCCCTTGATCTGTTAAAATGTGTTTTGGTGATCCGAATATATAAATAAAATGATCAAAAAGTTGCTCAATTATTGTCTCGGATTGGGTATTTTTTAAAGGAATGAGTACAAGGTATTTAGTTAACATGTCCTGAATAGATAATATATATTCGTAGCCTTGAGAAGTGATTGGCAGGGGACCGAATATATCCATTGCGATTTTGTCATTAGGTGTCGTTGGCGTGTCAGGGATAATAGCTTCAGAGCGTCGTTTAATACGGTTTAGCTTGTGGGTTTGGCAGGTGTGGCATTTTTTTATGAAATCTATAATATCGTCTTCCATGTTGGTCCATGTTCCTAATTCTCTGGCCCTCTGAATTGATTTGTTTTCTCCAAAATGTTGAGACATTATTGATCCATGACTTTCATTGATTATTTTTTCTCGTTCTTCTAAGGTAAGCTCTGTGGTAGAATTATAACAACTGAGAATTTTTAATTGTGGGTACTTAAAACTAATGAATGCTATCAACGTCTTAAGTTTTATGCGTTCTATGGAAGTGATAGTTGGATCGTCAAAATGTAAGCGGAGAATACTTAATTTTTTTGATACACACCATTCCGTGATTTCGATTAATTTTTTAAGCCAACTTTTGTCAGAGTATTGGGGTAATGTGATACAATTCAAATCGTTAGTTGGTCTCTTAGTAAATCTTTTCCATAATTTTCCATTGGCATTAGGTTTCTCTACTTCACGTGTGTCTGTCTTGTTTTCAGACCACCTGTAGTATTCTTGTAGTATTTCATTATTGACAGGTGTTGTTGGTGGTAAGTGGACAAGGTTTTCGTCATTGTCACCTGTATTATCTTCAGTAGGCAATTCTAATGGGATTTGCAACAACGCTCCTGGAATTGTTTCGTTATTTTGAGGTGAAGGTACGGGTGTATTTAAATCAGGCTCTTGAGGTGTTTCAATGGTTTCGATATCAGGTAATTCTGATTCCAAATCAAATTCAGCGTTTGTAGTGTCTGCGTCGTCGTTTAACTCGTGGATTGGTTGTACTCTAGATAATGCATCAGCAGCGGTATTCTCCGAACCTTTCTTGTACTCAACTTCATAGTCATATTCTTCCATTTTTAGTCTCCATCTCATTAATCTAGATGAAGGGTCTTTTACGTTAAATAGCCATTTCAGTGCTTGATGATCCGTGAGGATTTTAAATTTCCTGCCTAATAGGTATTGTCTGAGCCTTTTTGTTGCCCATACTATTGCAAGTAACTCTTTTTCAGTCGTGGTGTAATTCAGTTCAGGTGCATTGAGGGTACGAGATATGTAATAACAAGGATGCCCGTCCTGAGACAGGATGGCTCCTAACCCTACATTGGAGGCGTCAGTCGTAAGTACAAATTCCTTTTCGAAGTCGGGATATCTTAACACCGGCGCACTACAGAGAGCATCTTTCAATTTATCAAATGAATCTTGACAATTTTGAGTCCAAATAAATTCCTTAGTATTTTTCGTCAGTTCCGTAAGAGGTTTAGCGATTGTGGAATATCCTTTTATAAATTTGCGATAATACCCCGAAAGTCCCAAAAATGATTTAATGTTGGTAACGCTCTTGGGTTTTGGGAATTCCGTAACAGCCGTAATTTTTTTTGGATTCGGTTTAACGCCTTCAGCCGTAATGACGTGACCTAGATACTCTAATTCTGGTCGAAGATATTCACATTTATCGGGCTGAAGTTTCAGACCAGTTTGGCGTAATCTTTCGAACAGCGTAACTAAGTTTTTGTTATGTTCTTCTATGGTAGATCCAAAAACTACAATGTCATCTAGATATACGACGCAAATTTTGTTGATTAACCCGTTCAAAGCATTGTTAATCATCCTCTGGAAAGTAGCAGGTGCATTTTTTAATCCGAATGGCATGCGTTCGAATTCGAAATGACCTTCTGGAGTAGAGAAAGCTGTAAATTTTTTTGAACTTTCTTCCATGGGAATCTGATGGAATCCAGCACTAAGATCGAAGGCAGAGAAAAACTTTGCTTTACCAAGGGTATCAAGAATATCCTCAATAACCGGCAGTGGATATGAATCCTGATCGGTAATGTCATTAATCTTTCGGAAATCTATGACTACTCGCCATTTCTTTTGTCCTGATGCATCTGCTTTTTTAGGGACTATCCAAACTGGAGAATTATAAGGAGAATCTGAATGTCTTATTATAAATTGCTTTAAGAAATCCTCAACTTGATCTGTAAGTTCCACTTTATGACATTCTGGAGGTTTATATGACCGGTTATTAATAATTTTATCTTCTTTTAGAACTATTTTGTGGCTTGCGAGTCGTGTTCCTGGTAAAGGGTCTCCAGGCAGTCTGAATATATCGTGATAAGTGTGTACAATTTTCTGAATTATGTCTTTAAAATCTGTTTCAATGTGATCTAATCGAGTATTTTCATTTAAAAGATTTAACCGTTTGGATAAGTCGCTGCATGATATAAGATGAATTTCTTCGTCAGGGATGGTTGATTTGATAGGTTGGTATTTAAATTCGTTGGAATTAATGTGTTTAAATTGCGAAGAGTTGTTACAAATGGGAACAGTGATCGTTCGATCTCTTATTGAATAGATAGAATCAGGAATGTGTGGATTATCAAAAATTACAACATCACCTTTTTTTTCAAATACAGGGATGTTGATCAATTTGATTTGATTTGGCGGGATAATATACCCGTCATCGATTAGTGGATGTTTCTGCTGATTTAACTTTAAGTTAACGTTTGATAAACTGTAATTGTAACTTTGCATAAATGGCAATCCCATTATACCATCTTCAGGAAGAGGGAAATCATCATTTACGATGTAAAACGTATGAGCTTCGTTTAGATAATTAATCTCGACTTTAAATTCGGAAAATTGTTTCCAATTCCCCATTTGGAATTCTTTTTTACAGGCTTCTTTTATAATTAATGGAGGAAGTAAAGAATTTTTTATCAAATTTATTGATGAACCGGAGTCCACAAGTAATCGCAAGGGTCGAGCAAATCCTGTTGGTCGTACTGACACTGATTGTAGTCGTCCGGAAATTCGTGTAATTCTATCGATGAATGTTCCGTCGTTTCCTGTGGTGTTTGTGTTTCTTCGATTTGTTCCTCCGCTGAGGATGTTTCGGTCGTGAAATGAACTCGATTTGGTGGTCGTTTTAATTGGGGGTTTGATTGAAAATTCTGTTGATTTCTTTTTTGATAACATTGGCTCTCTAAATGACCACTTTTTTTGCAAAAGTTGCATTGTGCCCCGATAGGCCGATGTGAACTTGATGGATTTCCACTATTAGAGAAAGGCCTTGGGTTTGTAGAATGATTGGATGTAGTAGGGAGTTGTGTCGCACGCGGGACCAGTCTTGGCGCGGCGCCTGATCGTAGTCGAGCTTTTTCACGTAATCGGGTTTCTACTTCTAAAGCTTGTTGTTGAGCTTTACCAATACTATCCGGATTAAGTGTCCACATCAAAAAAGTAATATCATCCCGTAAGTTCATGATATATTTTTTTATGGCAGATGTCTCTTCTAATTGCAAAGCAATTCTACGGGCTGTAGCATTTGCGTGTTCGGCTTGTATTGCATAATTCAATTCATTTAATGCTTGCCGAAATCGCAAATTATATCCTTGGACGGTATCACTACCCTGTCGACAGTTGTCTAATTTCGCGCGACATAATTCTACGGATAATCCGAGATTCATATTTTGTTGTAAGGCAATATATAAATCATCAAAAGAATTGATCGGAACATAGCGAATTGCACGTTTAGCGTCATCGGTAATTTTTTCAGTCAATATAAAATCTAACAACAATTCGGGTTGACTGCATCTTTGTTTTGCTTTTTTAACGCGACGAATGAAATCTTGTACCCCTATATCGTCTTTACCATTGAGGGTTTCAACTGTACGGATAATATCTTTAGCAGGTAGCAAACTAACAGGGACAACGTTCGTTTGAAGTATTGGAGATACCCCGTTGCGATGTCTGTTCGACGAGTCTCTTCTATCGTCCGCGAAACTTTCTCTTTCTTGACTATTTTCCTTATTACTATTTTCATTCTCGGTGTCGTCATCTTCGGTTAGCAATGCGTTGTTTTGTCGTGCTAAAATTTTTATTTCCTCTGTGCGTTTTATATTTTCGTCGTTAAGAATCGCGAGGCTTGAATTTATTCTATGTTGATTTTCCTCGATTACTGTTACTTTAGAAACAATTTCTTTAAGACTATTAGCAATTGTCTCTAAATTAACTGTTGCCATTTTTGTGTTTGAAAGATTAAAGGGATTGGGATTAATTTGGGTTGGTTGTAAACACTGATTATTAGCGGATTCGTAACCGGATAAATGCCTAAGATAAGATTTAAAAGCCAGCGTAAAAAATTGTTTTAAATATAAAATTTCCCTAAATTTTGTTATTATATTTTTATTTTCGCAATATAGACTATTTACGGAGTTAATAGCAACATATACTTATAATGTAAATACTATCTTACTGGTTTGGTGAATTTTCCGTAGAGAGCTCACGTTGAAAAGTTGAACAGCTGGGCTGGAAAAGTGTCCTCGTAAGAATTTTTCTCCCTCGTTGCCAACTTGGTTGGGTGACGTCACACCCTTTCTAGGACTTACACCCACGGAATCACTGTCGAACTTACTTAATTCGGCCCGAGTTCGTGTTTTCCGGTGATTTCCAGTGAAAATTTCACCGTATAATCCGTCACAATTATTTTTTTTTTTCACAAAAAAAAATAATTTTTCACAATAATAATTTCTCACAAAATAATTATATATATATATGTATATATTTTTTCACAAAAATAATTTTCCACTTTCCACAATAATAATTTTTTTCACAAAACTTTCTCTTTTTTTCCACTGGTTCGCACTAAGATAGTCGATTTTGATCGTAATCGTGTCGAACTATCCTGGCAGGATCGCCAATTTTGTGACGGGAAAATAATAAATTAGTATTTTAATTTAATACTTTATTTTTTATTATAAAACAAACACTTGTTATTTTACACTTTTATTTTAAAGCGGAGAGAAAATGCGTCTCACACGTATGCCAGTCAACATCAATCTGCCCTTTTTAGTCCTTTTTGGGAAAAGTCAGGATGGTTGTCTTTTGTATTGCGTAAGGAATGCAGTCTAGTCCGGTTTTCGGGGGAAATGCTTCCTGTCTATTGAAAAGTCGTCTTGTGCGATATCTGTCCTTGTACTTAAAAGAGAAATCGTAGGGCCTCGTCACAGTTTCTTTTTTTTTTTTTTTTGGTTTGTTATTTGAATATATCAGCAAAATATTCAAATGACTTTGAATTTTGAATTTTAACTTGAGTGAGTAATGTTTTATCAAGTGCTTTGGTAATAGTGTTAAAATTTTTCCCTTTATTTCAATTGTTATAATTTTGTTCCATTTGTACGATTTTTGTTATTATTATTAGTTTGCTTTGTTATTTCTTAGAACTATTTTTTTTATTTTTATTTTTTATTATTTTTTCCTTTTTTTATCATTATTTTTGTTATTTTGTTTTGTATTATTTCTTTTTTCATTTTTTCATTATTTTTCTTATCATTTTTTTTTAGTATTTTCCTTATTATAATTTATTGTACTATATGGAATAATTTATTGTATATAAATTATTTTATATACGATAAATTGTATTTAATGAGGAAGTACAGCGATTGTGTGTCAAAAAAAGAGAGCTAAAATACATTTCCTATTTAGTAGTCGGAATAATTTATATGACAATTGAATATTTAATGAATTGAGTGATTTCATTTTTTTTTTTATTGTCCTTGACCTTTTGTCTATACTTTTAACCATTTTGTCTAAATTTATTATCTCCAAACGATTTTTTTTATCTAATTATACTTGATTGAGTTTTAATCTTAATGATTGATCTATTGTTAATTTAATCAATTAATCGGTCTTGATTAATAATAATTTTTTGTAATAAAATTTATTTCGATATTTATTAACTATTACTCATTATAATTAATATTTATTTTTACCTTTTTATCTATATTTTTTTATTAGTAGATATTTTAATTATTAAAAAAAAACACAATTTTTTAATTGTAGTTTTATTAATTTTTCAATTTCTAAGAAAAATTGGAAAAGAAATAGAAATAAACTAAAAATTGAAAGAATTAGAAAAAATCGAAAAAATTATTATTGAATAAATTAAATAAATAATAATTAAATTGAAAATTAAAATAACAAATTAAGAAGTAAAAATTGAACTAAATGGAGAAAGAAAAAATTACTAATAACTTAATTTTTTTGAAAAAGATAACAAATTTGTTTCCTCTGCAAATTTAATAATTAATTTGTTACTAAACTGAAAAAAATCTCCTGCTTCTTGTATTTTGAATTTTTCCAAAAATAATAATTGTTTAATTTTGACAAAAATATTGTAGTATTTGCAATAAAATTATTAATGGGCTGAATTTTAAGAAGAGTTGTAACTGGGCTTAAAATACACGCAAATGAATAAATGGCGGAAGAAAGCTCTTCAATTTTAAACCCGGCACTAAATCAGCTGTTTGCCTTGGCATCGACACAAAAACTTCTCTCTTTCTCTCTCTTGAAAATTATTTACTCTTACTATTCAGGTATAAATGAACTTCCCTTTCCTGAAAATTTTATTTATCTTTTTTTTTTAATAATTATACTATTCGCAAAATATACTCAACTACGTAAATATAAACAAAAAATTATTTCGCCAGCAGTCAAAATACTAATTAAAAAAAGCAAAAATTTGTTTAAATTAAAATTAATTGTTTATTTTATTCAACATACTCAAGTATATAAATATTAACAAAAATTATTTTGTCAGCAATCAAAATACAAATTTAAAAGAAAATTTAAAAAAATTTGTTGAATTAAAATGAATTAACTAATATTAATTAATAACTGTGTTTTTATATAATTAAATAATAATATTTACATATTTTTCTTTTGTTACAAAAATAAAAAAGTAAAATTTATGTAAATTGTGGTTTTTTATTAATTAAATTACCCAATAATAACAATAATTTAATAACCTAATTATTAATAAAAACAATTAACTCTAATAATATTTTTACACTTTGTAAAAAAATGAAATTTTTGAAAAATTTCGTAGTTCAAAAAAGTGCAATTAACTTTACAATTACTATGTATATATCATTATTGTTATTATTATTAATAGTAGTAGTAGTTGTAGTAGTAGTAGTATTTTTATTTTTATTATTTATAGTAAATAATAAATTTATTTATAGTATTTGATTAAATTTTGCAATTAATTAAATATACTGAAAAATGGCAATGGAATGAGAGAAATTTTTTTAATTTGATCTCCGCTTGAGTTTTTTTTTTTTTTTTAATGTACAGAGTATAACGTTTTGAGTGAATGACAAACGCAATTTATCGATGTAACATGTAGAGTTTCTCTCTGTTTGGAAGATGAGTAAATCCCCCCACGAGACATGCCGAAGTAATTCACGCAAGCCTGAAAATTGGCTTTAGATAACTTGGCTTTCATACATCGTTGTCGACAAACAGCGATTGTTTTCCCTTGTAAACACGACCGAAATATCCACTCGTCAGTCTAAAAATAAATCGTTAATTGCGACGTGAAAATTTATTACCCCAGCCTCGACAAAATTCTGGCAAGTTTAAGGGCAGGTGCATTTTTTTTTATTTTGCTTTCGAAAAAAACCCGAAAGCAGATCCTAATTTTTCATATTTTTTCACAAATTTTTGTTGCGGGGAAATTTTTCCTAATTGGAAAATAATTACAATTTTTTAATAAATTGTTGAAGAAAAATTTTTTGTTTAGAAAAAGTGAAAATGAAAATAAAAATAAAATTAGAAGTAAAAATGAAAATAAAAAATACAAATAAAGATATAAATAATAAAATAAAAATAATATAAAAATGAAGATTTGACTAATAATGAATTTTAATTTACAGTTTCCTGATGAGTGCATCCTCACATACATGGAGTTTCAACTGGATAGTGCAGAGTACTGTCAGGCTCAACACAAATAGAGAGAATCGTCCGAGTGTTCCAAAACTACAAAGATACACACTGAAGTAAGCAAAGAAGCGGAAGACCATCTCAAATTAAGAAGGGAAAGGATATTGAAAATATCTGAGAACATCGCCCTGAAAGAGTCAGAAATCATCAGCTAGTCATCATATGCGAAATAGAAGAATTTATTAGATGCAATTGTTAATTTACCCTATCTTATGCAGGCACTGTAGTTACCGAACGCACCTCATCTGGGAGCACCCAGTGCCAAATAGGTGGGAAATTCATTTCCAATTACTTTTTTAATTTATTTCCAAAATTTATTTTAAATTCTGAATTATCAGCTATTATTATACCTTGATTTCACTCAGTGCAAAAAATTGTAATTTTTTGCACTTTTTCACTTCAGTGAGGTTTACAACGTTTAAATAATCACCGATTGAAAGAAAAAATATTTTTTACACTGAAAATAATGTGTTTTGTTTGAGAATTTTTTTTTCTTTATGTTATTGATCAAAAAATGTGCGAAAGTTTTTTTTTAGGCAAAAATTTTTAAACAGAAAACTATTTTTAAGTCGTTGATTAATTAATTTAATTTTGAAAAGAAAAATTAATAAGCCAAAAATTGTTTTCCGATTGAATAATATATTTTTTTTTAATCGTTGATTATAACGGTTGTAAACTTCAGTAAAGTGTAATTTTTTACACTGACAATGAGTGAAGTTCGGGACCTTACTGATCAACTATTGCAAAAAAAAAATATTTTTCAAGCTTAAAATAATATTTTTAGTTTGTGAATATTTTTTTTTTTTTAGTTTTTGATTTCTGTACAAACGTAAAAATATTTTGTAGACAAAATGTTGATCAGAAAAATATTTTTTTCAAGTCGCTAATTAAATAATCTAGTTCAGAAATACTTTTTTCCTTTCAATCGTTCATTAAGAACTTTGCATTGCAAACTTCAATGAAATACAGATTTTTTAACTCAGTGAAGTTCATAATCTTTATAATCAACAATTGAAGGAAAAAATTATTTTTTACTCAAAAAATAATATTTTTCGTTTGCAAATTTTTCAATATTTTCATTTTGACAGAAATTTTCACTCAGTCGATTTTTAATATCAAATTTTTGATTCTGCCGATTTTTTTTTTTTTGTCCGAATTTTTAATTTTTGAACGACTTTTCAAAATACATGGAATTTATTTATTTTAACAATGTCAGAGTTTAATGGGATGGAAAATGGAAAAAAATTGACATTTAAAAAAATTCAACCAACTGTAAATTCTATTAAATGAAAATCCTATTCAATTCAATTTTCACACAATAAAATATCAATTTACTCAAATTATTTCCTATCTGCATTTTTATTTCAAATAATTTCCAACTTAATGGAATTTTTAAATGTCACTTGATTTTTATACAAAATTTTTTTAAGCCATTCATTCATTTAATTTAATTTTTTCGAAAATCCTCCATTTGAAACAGTTTAAAATTAAATTTTTAAATTTAATGTCAGTTTGTTTAGTTTTCAATTTTATATTAAAATTTAAATACCTATCAGTTTATATTTTTACATTCTTTTTGTGTCATTTGTTCGTCTACCTAATTTCATTTGTTTGAAAATCCTTCATGTGAAATTGAAAATTCGTTCAACAAAAATATTCAATGAAATGAAAATTCTGTTTAAAGTAGTTGAAAATAGTTTCAATTAGTCAAAAATAGTTGAAAATAGTTTTAGTTTCAAAATAGTTCAAAATTTAATCAAGTAGAGATAATTCTGTTAAACGAAAGTAGAAACAATTCGTTAAAACTTAAATTCCGTTAAAGACTGGAATTATTATTGATGATTATTAATTAGAAAATTTGATATTAAATATTGTTTTATGAAAATAAATATACCAAAAATTTGTTCAGTAAAAATAATTAATTAGTAAATTAATTTGTTTGTTACAGATAATCTTCCGAGTAGTCTAAAGAAAAAGTTCCCTCTTCCGAGTGGGGAAAAAAGCGCATATCAGCAACGCCTAATGTAACATAGTTTTTTCACCTTTTTCGGCGAGATTCGCACCTTAACCACCCTCCCCAAATTTTACATGTAAACCCATTGTTCTGTCCTCTGTATAAAAATAACGAGTATTTAATTTTTGATTTAAATGAGAAACAACATTTTATAAGACTGAAAGCTATGGACTAAATCCAGAAGAAAAAACAAAAAAAAAATATCCCAACTTCTGTTGCTTGATAAAGAGTGGTTGTTTTGATTTGTAGTTGAGGTTCAAAAAAAGGAGTGTTTTATTCCCTCGAAATAGAGAGAGAAAAAAAAATAAAAAGGAAAGAAATAACAAGAAAAAAAAGAGGAGAGTGAGAGAAGGAGAGAAAAAGAAGAGTTAAGAAAAACTGGTTTTTTTACACTTCCTCTTGTTATCAAGAAGGAAATGAACATGACGTTCAAAGACATCAGACCGGCACCAGCCGAAATTGAATTCAAAAATATGAAGTTCCTCATTACTGATCGGCCCAGCGATCAGAGCATCCATGCTTTTATTCAAGTAAGTCTATATTATTTTATAACCACGCTATTATTTCTTCCCGTTTTTTTACTCTTTTTCTACCCTTTTTTTTACTCTTTTTTTTATGGCGTCGTAAATTGATTCGAAGGGCTCGTTTTATTATACGATCTATTTTTACCTCCTTATTTTTATTCCATTAATTGCTTTATTCGTTTCTTTTTGCACCTGGAATTATTTTTTTTTTCTTGAGATTCGTACTTTTTGTCTTAATTTTGATCTTTTCGTATAAATTTTTCACTTCTTATTAAATACACTAATGATAGTGTTAAATTAGAAACACTAATAATAGTGTTAAATTAAACACCCGAATTACAAAAGAATGAGAAGAATAAATAAAGAAATAGAAAAAAGAATAAAATAATAACTAAAATGTAATTTTAATAATATGAAAATAATTTTGAAAATTAAATTAAAAAACGATTTTATTTTATTTCTTTCGCTTCATATTTTATGTAAATAGATAAGATTGAAAGAAGGAAATAAATAAATTAAATTCTTAAGTAAGTAAATTAAAGCCAACTAATGAAACTGTTAATAAAAATAAAATTTCCTGAAATATTTTTCCTGTACAATTTTCTCTTTTTCTTTCTTAACGATTTTTCTCGTTTTTCTTCACCACTTGGATTATTGGGGATTATTTATTGAAATATTTGGGTAGTAACGAAAATTTTTTATTTTTCTAGGAACTGAAGAGGCACAATGTTAAAGAAGTAGTAAGAGTTTGTGAACCAACGTACAAAGTTGATGAACTCAGACAAGAGGGCATCGACGTCATCGACTTGGTTTTCGACGATGGCACCTTCCCACCAAATGAGGTGAATGAAATGAAAATTCTATATTAGAAAATAAATCCACTGCCAACTAAAGACATTATTATGAAAAGAAAAAAAAATCAATTTCAATTTTAGAAAACGACAAAATATTTTCTGTCCAAACAGGAAAATAAAAATTCTTATAATTTAATAAATTTGGATAAAATATAATTATACATATAAAAATAATTTTATATTAATATTACCAAATATAAGAAGTATTTTCTTCTTCAAATATATTTTAATTAAATTGCTCCTTTTTTCAATTTTGGAAGACTGTCTCCGAAAATCGAAAGGAGTAATTTAATTACCAAAAATACTTTTAGGAAAAAGAAACTAACAGGCCTCGGATAGTTTTGACTTCTTTGACTTTTTTCGTCAAATCTTTTCCTTTAAAAAGTCTCGCTTTTCTTTTTTAAGTCTTTTAAGCGCATAAATTCAGTTATTTTCAAAAGTAATAAAATTCTTGGCAAAAAATTCAATTATGTTCAAAATTTTTTTTAAATTTTCGTCAAAATTTCAATTATCATTAGAAATAATTAAATTCTTCTCCAAAATTCAATTATTTTCAAAAATTTTCCTCAATTCAATGATTTCACAGGTTTACAAATTAAAAACTTTTTTTTGCCAATCGAACAAAACAATTTTTTTTCGAATAGTAGGTGTTTTTTGAGTAAGAAAATCATAGTTTTAATTTTTTTCCCTCGTGCAGTTTTTCTGTAGCTTCAAATTTTGCATTTTCGAGGTGCGACGCCACTTAAACTTACCTGTAGGAAAATTAGCTTGTCAAAATATAATAAATGAGGTATCATTGGAAAGGTTATTAAATTACCTTTCGATCCATAGGTCACAGAATAAAATTCAACAAAAATTGAGAGAGTTACAGTCGATTAAAGATGAAATTTCATGACAATTTTGATGATTTTTAGACATTTGAGTAACTTCTACTATTTTTTTCTACATCAAACAGGAAAGAATGTTTAGGTTTTAATTTTTTTATTGATAGACTATATCATTACACAAATTTTGAGCCCTTGTGGACCTTGATTGGATTAAAAATGACAATTCTACACTAAATTTAGTGAACGAAACTACATTCTTCATTTTTAGTATCCCTTAAACATTTGCAGCAAAAATTGAAGTAATAAAATTTAGTTAAGCTCTAAAGTTACTAAAATCACTAATAAAGGATTTCTGAAATCGTAGATTTCGAATCCAATGTTAGTTTTCTAAATTTCAAAATGGCGGATCCAATATGACGGACAAGTTTTTAAAAATCGATTACATTTGTCTTAAATTCGTTACTCGGGGGTTTTTGGGGTCGCTGATTACGAATCCGATGTCAGATTTTAAAAATTAAAAATGGCGGATCCAATAGGTGCGAATTCGATGGATTTTAAAAAACTCGTTCACCATTATGAATCCATCCTTTTCAATTTTCGAAATCCGACATCAGATTCGTAATCAGCGACCCCGAAAACCCCCGAGTAACGAATTTAAGACGAATTTAATCGATTTTTAAAAACTTGTCCGCCATATTGGATCCGCCATTTTGAAATTTAGAAAACTAACATTGGATTCGAAATCTACGATTTCAGAAATCCTTTATTAGTGATTTTAGTAACTTTAGAGCTTAACTAAATTTTATTACTTCAATTTTTGCTGCAAATGTTTAAGGGATACTAAAAATGAAGAATGTAGTTTCGTTCACTAAATTTAGTGTAGAATTGTCATTTTTAATCCAATCAAGGTCCACAAGGGCTCAAAATTTGTGTAATGATATAGTCTATCAATAAAAAAATTAAAACCTAAACATTCTTTCCTGTTTGATGTAGAAAAAAATAGTAGAAGTTACTCAAATGTCTAAAAATCATCAAAATTGTCATGAAATTTCATCTTTAATCGACTGTAACTCTCTCAATTTTTGTTGAATTTTATTCTGTGACCTATGGATCGAAAGGTAATTTAATAACCTTTCCAATGATACCTCATTTATTATATTTTGACAAGCTAATTTTCCTACAGGTAAGTTTAAGTGGCGTCGCACCTCGAAAATGCAAAATTTGAAGCTACAGAAAAACTGCACGAGGGAAAAAAATTAAAACTATGATTTTCTTACTCAAAAAACACCTACTATTCGAAAAAAAATTGTTTTGTTCGATTGACAATTTCACTGTAAACCAGTGTTTTTAATAGGATTTACTATTCTAATAAAATTTTCAAAAAGAATTCAATTATTTAAAAAAAATTTAATAAAATTCTACACAAACCTTTAATTATTTTCAAAAAATAATAAAAATTTTACAGAAATTTCATTATTTACAATTTTTTTTATAATTCTCTTCGCAATCATTCAATTATTTTCATAAATAATAAAATTTTTACAGGGATTCAATTATTTTGGTAAATAATAAAATTCTTATTAGAAATTCAATTATTTTGATAAATAATACAATTTTAATTAAATTCCTCGAAAAAATGTAATTATTTTTAAAAATTTTATTAAAATTCGTCAAAAGAATTATTTAAAAATGTATTGATACAATTCTTTATGAGAATACAATTTTAAGAAACATGCAATTATGCAATAAATTGTTTTTTTTTGCATTTAAAAAATTGAATTCTCGTAGGATAATTTTCTAATAAAAATTAATTTAAAAATGAATTTTAGTTAAAGTTTGAGATAAAAATTGAATATTAAAAGCATTAGAGCATAAATTTTTAAAAATAATTGAATTTTGAAAAGGTTTCAGATTAAAATCTTTGAAAATTTCAATTTTTCAGGTATTTTTAACTAACAATTCTGTGGAATTAATTTTTTTTTTGAGAAAGTTTAATTGCGGATTTTTTTTATACCTATTATTTGAAGTTTTCATTTTCTAATATATATATTTAATTGAAGAATTTACGAATAATTGAAATTTCGTAAAATTGAATATTGTGAACAAATGGATTTGAAAATTGTCAAAGAACTTTTTCTAAAATTATTAAAAATAATCGATTTTAAGAAGAATTTTAGTTGAATATTCTTGAAAATAATAATTTTATCACTGGGCCATCTTTAATTATTAAATAAAACATGAAGAAATCGATCACTTCGAGTCAAAGACTCGGAGTTATCGATATCTTCATGTTTTATAGTTATGAAAAATTAAATTTATAGTTTTAAGTAAAATGTTCTCTTATTTGACTCTGACTGTTTATATTTTTGTTAGCAATTGGTCCGCAAAGTCCGTATTTTTAAATACTTTCACTGGTTCGAGCGCTGAACAAGGGAAAAATTTAATTTTTTTGGAAATCAGGGAAACGACTTTTTTTATTGCTCCTTAAAGTCGATCCGAGGCCTGACACTTTGAAAATTCGAATTTTTCTAGAGAAGAGATTTTTTTCACTTTTATTATAAAAAAATGTATCATTTGATAAATTTTCTGTTAAAATTGTATGCATGTATTGCGATGTGATCTTTTATCCAAGTTGGTATCCAGGTCTTTGGTACACGATTAAACAGGTTAAACATGTTTCTAGTACTGTTTAAAAACTAGAAATTACTTATGGTCCACAGGTTGTAGACGAGTGGTTCGAATTACTAAAAAATCGATTCCGAGAATCACCTGATGCATGCGTTGCTGTGCACTGCGTAGCAGGACTTGGAAGGGCACCTGTTCTCGTTGTTCTTGCTTTAATCGAGCTCGGCCTCAAGTATGAAGACGCAGTTGCTTTAATCAGAGAGTGAGTTCACATTCTTTTTTCCTCCTTTTTTTTAATTTCCCTTTTTTTCTCTATTTAAAGTTTTTCTAATTACAAGTCAGGAAAATTGTCTTATATAAACATTATTTTTCTAACAGAGAGAATCTAGAAAATTTTTAATAAAAAATTAATCAATTTCTTTTTGCTACATCAGGGTTGCCATAGGTCAAGGAAATGAGGAAAAAATCAGGGAATTTTATCTAAAATACTGGAAAAATATTAAATTTTTAGAATTTATGAGAAAATGCTGGATCTTAGTGTTTAGCAACTTTTGAAAATATCAAAAGTATTAAAACTTTGTAAAAATATTAGATTCTTCTTTTTTTGAATAATTTCGGATTGAAAATTTTTAAAATTCACTTATTAACTAATTAAATAATTTATTATTAGGTATTATTTTCAAAAAATTTAATTAATTTTAATTAATCTTCGCAAAAATTTTATTTTTTTTTAAATATTAATAAAATTCTTCTAAAGAATTAAATTCTTTTAAAAAAATATTAATAAAACTTTTCGCAGTAATTCAATTATTTTTAAGAATGTAAATAAATTTCTTTGAAACAATTCAATTATTTTCGACTATTTGGAAAAAATTCGATTATTTTTAATAAAATTGCAACTAAATTCTTGACAGGATTTAATTATTTCAATTCAATAAAATTTCAATTTTAATAAAATTTTCCGAAAGAATTGAATTAACTAATTTCAAAAATTATTTTCCATTTCTTCTCAGTAATATTTATTATTTTTATACCTAAATAATTAAATTATTTTTAAAAATGTTAAATTTTAATAAATTTCTTTGAAACAATTTAATTATTTTCGAATGTTTTGATAAAATTCTTTATAAAAATTGAATTATTTTCAAAAATTTTATTAAAATTCTTCGATAGAAGTAAATTATTTTCAATATGATTTTAGTAAAAATTTTCTTGAAAGAATTTAATTATTTTAAAAAAATTTAATGAATTTCTTCGAACTAATTCAATTCTTTTCACAAATTTTAATAAAATTCTTCACAAGAATTGAATTATCTATTTTTAAAAATTTGGTTCAAATTCTTCTCAACAATTCCATTATTTTTAAAAATAATAAAATTCTTCTAAAAAATTCAATTACTTTCGAATGTTTTGATAAAATTCTCTATAAGAATTGAATTACTTTTAAAAATTTTGATAAAATTCTTCGATTCAATTTAATTATTTTTAAAAATGTTAACAAATTTTTTCGATGCAATTTAATTAGATTTTCGTATGTTTCGATGACATTATTTAAAAGAATTGAATTATTTTCTATACAATTTCAATTAAATTCCACAAAACAATTAAATTATTTCAGATTAAAAATTAAATTACGAGTTTTAATTGAAAAAAAATTTTGTTGAATTAATTATTGTTATAATTTAATCTTCATCAAAACATTAAATTAGAATTTCATTAAATTTTAATTTTAAAACATTTAAAAAAAAAAATTACCAAAATATTTAAGAAACAAAATAACGAATAAAAATAAATTCAAACTGCGAACAGATTTTCGAAATACAACGATTATTAATATAGAAGAAGATTGAATTTCAAAAAGTTCCAATTTGAAATTTTAGAAAATTTGAATTTTAAATAATTTTTATTAAAAATTCTCAAAAAGTTAGTTTTTGAAAACTTTTTAATTGATTTTTTTATAAATTGGTTGAACTTTTGAATATATTAAAATTGAAAAAGTTTGGAATAATCGAAATTTGGTAAAATTGAATTTTAAATAAGTGGTTTTCAGAATTATTTTTGGTTAACTTTTTTATGTTTCAAAGAACTTCCGCAAAAATAATTAAAAATAATTGATTTAGAAAAGAATTTTTGTTATGAATTTTAGAAAATAGTTCAACTGTAATTAAAAAGAATAATTTTGGAGAAGTTAGAGTAGCAATTCTTTTAAATTATTGAATTTCAATAAATTTGAATTTTTTGAAAATCTAAATTCTTATGAAAAAATGATAATAATTATTAAATAATTATCCAAGAAAAAAGATATTGTTTTTTAGGATAATTTTACAATTTTGAAGACATTTACAAATAAATATTTATTTATAAATAAATATCTATTTATTTATAAGTAAATATCTATAATACTTATAGATATTTAAGATTTATAGATAATATATAGATAGATTTATAGATATATAAATATAATTTAAAATATATAAAATAAATAAATATATTAAAAAATAAATAAATAATAATAATAATAATAATAATAATAATAATAAATATATTAAAATATATTAAAATATATTTATAATTTAAAATATAATTTATAGATTTATAGATTTAATAGATATTTAATATTTACTTATTTATAAGTAAATATTTATTTATAAATAAATATCTATTTATTTATAAGTAAATATCTATTTATTTTTAGAATATTCTACATTGTCAGGGAAAAAGTCAAAATTCTATCTGAAAACCAGGGAAAAGTCATTCAATTTTTGGGCAACTCTGTATAAACAACTATTAGTATAGAAAAAAAAATTAACTTTCCGGAACTGAAAAAAAACAATAAGAAGAGAATAGAGGAAAAAATAATAACAAATGTTTGCTTTTCTTTGGAAAATTTTAGAAAGAGACGAGGTGCTATCAATGCCAAGCAGCTGGCCTATTTGGAAAAGTATCGTCCAAAGTCTCGACTGAAGCTCAAGAACGGACAAAAAAACTCTTGCTGCGTCCAGTAGATAAAATAATTCTTTTTTGAAAGCGACTATAATAATTGATACTAATTGGTACACATTATTGTATAAGTTTATGCGTCAGACGACAAATTTTGTGTCGTGCCATTACTGCTTGAAAATTACCTGTCAATGGAAATGCAACACAAGTCTTTGTAATTCGAGTCATAAAGTGATGAGACTTTATTTTTCGAAATCTCACCGAGAAAAGAAATTCGGTTTTCTCGCTTTTTAGTCGAGCCGGTTTTTTTTTGGCTTTTTTATACTAGAGGCCTCTTTCTTTTTTTTTTTTAATCAATTATTTTAAGCTTTAATCTATTTTTCTTTGATCATCTATTCAACTATTTTAAACTTTTTTTAATTCAAACAATTTTTTAAAAATCGAGTATTTTCGAACTTGTTTTTTACCTGAATTTATTTTTTATGAATTTTTAAATTAAATCTCTTTCTTTCTTTATTTTTTTTCTGCAAAATTAGTGTAGGATTTTTTTCGATAAAGAAAAAAATAATTTTGATCTATTGCTTCGTGCCACATAAATTGTGTTAAGAGATTTGAAAAATTAATTTGCTCTTTTTTTGCGAGTGATTAATTTTTAGTGACAAATTTGCATTATATTTGCAATGTCGAAAAATGAAATTGGAAAAAAATCAAGTGATAAATTGAGAGGGAGGGAAAATAATGAGATTTACTATATTGTGAAATTGTGTAGATCTCTTTAATGTTGGAAAAGTATATTATTTCTATCAGAGAGTGAAATTGATATTGACCTTCCGTCGAAGGGCAAACACGATGAAACATTTATTTAAAGAAAAACTGAATTGCTTTTCCGTGATAATCTTTCGATAAGCGCGTTTCATCGTGCTTGCAAGTATTTGATAAACACTTTTTCTATTAATTTTTTTCTTCTCTTCCTTCTTTTTTCTAAACAAAGCGAGAAGTGACTAGTAAAATTATCTATTTGCGTTCTGTACACACGCAAATAGTAATCTAGGTTAATAAAGAATTGTAAATTATATTTTGTAATGAGACGCATTTTCTTCTCGTTGATGGCGAAATTTTCAAAAAAGAAATCGACTCATGAAAAGCATTTGTAAAAAAAATTTACGAGAAGTTTGTTTTTTTGCGTCTGAAATTTGTACATTTTTTTTTCTTCGATTTAAGGAGCGCGACGAGGAGAAGAAAGATGAGAAATAAAAACGGAAAATTGCTTTTTAAAAAACTTTTCAATTCTTTTTTGAGAAAATACATTTTTCGTGGATCAATTTTTTAATATAATGGATTTTTTTTAAATAAATTGAAATGGTTTCCATATTAATTGTAATTTTCGCTTTGGAGCAATTTGAAATTTTGTAAAAATTGCTTTGTCATCTTTCTCTTTAAATTGTGCAATGACCTTTACCAAACATCACATTAGGATTAAAAAGAAAATTGTTTTTTAATTTTTTTTTTCACCTGGCTTGAGTTTATTCTTTGCAAAAGAAAGTACAATGAAAGTGCTGGAAAAATTTATTTTTTTTGCTTCTTTTCGAAGCTTCGGCTAATTTTAAAATGCTGATCTCCTTAAATTAAGATAATTAAGCCTTAACGAATTTGTAGTGTATTGAAAATGTAAAGAAAAAAAAATCTCTCGTTCAATTATCACGAACAAAGATCGCCAAATGAAGTGACGCTACGTTGCATTTCCAATGGCACACATGGAGCCGGTGAGACACTTAACTCTTTATTGGACTTGAAAATAAGCATTAATTCGAAAGACGAATAGTTGAATTGTGAAAACAAAGGTGAGGTAATTCACTCCAGATTTATATATCACTTGAAACGCAGCTCGCTCATGATTTTATCTAATTTATTTTCTCTCTCTCTCTCTCTAATCTCATTTTTACAAATGTTCTTAATTCAGTACTTAACAGAAAAGAAAAAAAAATACTTGTTCCTTTTCTGAATACAAAAAAAACACTTCTGTTATACGTAATTTTGCTAAAATTATCAGCGAGTCTGCGCACCACACTAAACTGTGTTCAAAAAATAGTCAAATTCACTTCTAAAAAGAATTTTAAGAAAACTGTTTCTTCTGTTTGAAATCGAAAACAACCATTTTAAAAAATCAATTTCCCACTAGAAACAAATTTCCATTTTTTATGAAATTTTTCTTATATTTTTTATATAAAATTTTCTTCTATTTTTTTTTATATAAAATTATATTATGTAATATTAAATGTTATTGAATTGTAAAAAAAATTCTGTCAAATGGAAAACATATTTTTATTTGACGAAAATTATTTTTGTGATTAATTCCAGTGAGCGAGTGATTTTAATTTATCGATAAGAAAAACGGTTGTTTGAGAACAAACAGAGTAAACAGAAAACTGGAACACAATCCAATTTTCTTTATTTTAATTTTTTTTTGTAATATTAAAAAAAGGAAAAAAGCACTGCAATATTTTTTACCAGAGGATGGGACGAGGGTCATTCATAAGATAAAAAAAATCGTGTCGATTCCTAAATCCAATATTGATAATATATACCATTCTTCGACTTACTTTAGTTCAAATATGTTGATAAGAATTACTTAATTAAAAAATATAAATGTATTTTGTAACTATTTCTTTCGCATTCAAGCAAAAACAAGGAAAAAAAGCAAATTAGATGATTTCGATAAAAAAAAAACAAATCAGAGGAAAATTCTCTTTTTCAACCAATCTCATAATGTTCGCAAAATACTTTGACAAATTATATGTTGTGTAAATTTATTAATCCATAATAATTATATTAATATTCACGATAATAAAAAATAATTATTATTTTATAAAATAATAAATTACATAATATATAATTGTCAAAGTTTTAACAATGTTTTAGTATTTTATAAAGTTTAGATATTTTTCAAGAATTTGAGTATATAAAATATTTGTTTTATTTTTTTATACGTATATATAAACGAAACAAAAAATTCAAATGTAAAGTTATTAAAAAAAATATAATAATAATAAAAATAAAAAAAAAATCGAAACTTGTGTCGCATTAGAGAAAAAATGGAATCGAAATGCTACTTATAGTTTTTATCTATATATATTTCAGTGCAGATGATATTTTCTAGTAATCAAAGATATTATCAGAAACTCGGAAAATTTTCATATTTAAAAAAAAAGGGGGGAAAAAAATTAAATATCGAGTCTGAAGATATTTTTTCCAGATTACAAGAAACAAACTCTTTGTGATCTTTACTAAAATAATCTTCGAAAATTGAAAAAAAATCTATTTTTTAATCTTAAAAATTCTTTAAAATAAAATATACACAAAGCTCTCATTCTTTTTTTCGATTAAAAAAAAAGTATTAAATTTTAATGGCATTCAGTTTTTCTGCAATTCCACACAAAAGAAATTACTTTATTTCCCATTAGAATTTAAATGGAAAAAAAATTTGTGTAATTTTTAAATATAGAAAAAAGGAAATTTTTTTTTAATAAAACAAAACTTGACGTCTGTGTATGATGAACTATTAAAAAAATGAACCGTTTTGTTATATTGTAAACAATAACGAAATAAAGCTGTGTGGAAGTCATTTTTGTGAGAAAAAAAAGGTCTTGACTTTGTCTGAGTTTGATAATTTTTTTGAAATTAAAGTATTTTTATTATAATTATATTTTTTCTTAATTCGGAATTTAATTTTTCTTTTCTTTTTTCGACTTCAGTCCATTAAATCGGACAAAAATTTATTTTTCTTAGTAATTGAGACAAAATATTTATTTTAAAAAAAAAGTTGCTTTTATGAATAATAATCGAACAGAAAAATTGGAAATTTTTCAATTATTTTAAGTTAATGAAATTAACTTAAATTCTGAAATTATGGATTTTTTTTTTAATTAAAATTTTTAATTAAAATTTCGTATTTATTAATTAATGGTGTCTTTATATTTTTCATTAATTAATTTGTTAATTCAATTATTGATAAAAATAGTAATTTTTATTTCGTAATCTGTAAAAAAAACTGGTCTACTTTACATGAACATGTCATCGTAGCCGGGAGGAGGAAGATGATCGCTGTCGGGATCTCTTCGCGGTAGTCTTGGACGAAGAATGTCTGGCGGTCCAAATGGATCAAATCTTGCTCCAGGTGGTACGGCTCCGCTGAAAAAAATACGAACATTGTTTATAAGATTCAAAAAATTGAATAAATATTCAATAATTTTTATTGCGGTCCATTTGATTTTTTTTGCAGAATTAATTTTATTTAATTTAATAGAATTTATTCTTTCAATATTTTAATATTAGTTTCCATGATTTAATTAATTGTAAATTTTGTAATTTTTTTTCTATATTAAGATTTAAAATCTCTGCTTCTAAATATTCATCTAGCAAAAAGACCATGAAAGTAATTTTTAGTATTAAATTTATTTAATATAGAAATAATTTATTTAATTTTTAAAAACCTGGAAAAATTCCGTTTTTTAACCTGGAAAAGTCGGAATTTGAAAAGAGCAAAAGCGTGGCAACCCTGATATTAAAATCAGCAAGTTTTCAGTATTGAGAGTTTTAATATTTTCCAAATATTTATCTAGCAAATAATGGACCGTAAAAGTAATTTAATTTCAAATTATTACGGGGGCAATCTTCCAGGAACACCCAAGCCTCCTGGTGCTCTTGGAGGAATAGGTGGACGTGTACGTAAAGGATCGTAAAGCATTCCTCCACCAGTTCCTTGTCCAAGAGGATCTAAATCTCGTGCGCCAATATTTCTCAGACTTCCATCAGGCTCCCTTCAAACATAATTAAAAAGAACTTTAAAAATATTCATTTTTTAAAAGTTTTAATTAAGAAAAATATTTTCTAATGAAAGAATATTTTGATACCTGAAACGATACCGAGTTTGTAAATTTATAAAGAAAAAAATATTTCAATTTATATTAATAACAAAAATAATTAACAAAAGAAAATAATCATAAAGATTGAGAAGTTTTCTGTTTTAAAAAATTACTTTCAATATTTCTTCATAGGGAATTTGAGTCCTAATGAATTTGGGTTTTCATTTTTATTTCTGGAATATTCCAGGTGAAATCCAAAATCAAATTTTGAAGTTAATAATCGTCATGGATGTTGTAATTCATCTACAAACATCGTAATGTATATTAATCTTGGAAAGAAAAAATATTTTCGCATCGATATTACTTTGAGCATTTACAAATCTTCGTGAATCGTTATTTTTTAATTGCTATTGTTACTTAGATTTATTTATATTATTATTTACATTTATCTGAATAATAAAAAATTTTCGAGAAATGAAATGATTTTCTCTTGATAAAAAATTATAAAAAATGGAATTTTTTTTCTTAAATTGGCTCAAGCAAATCGATACGATATTTACCACGATGGTACAGAAGATGGAATCCAAGGTACCGGATTAGGACCAAAAGGGTATCCAATATTCCTTCCCTCTTCGTTTGTCGACTGATGAGAAGTTTGAGTAGAATTTTCACTTCTGTTTCTATAAATCGGAGTGAGAAGATCATTTTCGATAGTATTTAATGCTGTCTGATAAGTTGGCATCAAAATTTCCAAAGAGCCGTGAAGACTATTTACAGTTGTTTCGATTGGGAACTGAATGCTCGACGCTTCATTTCCTTCCACTCTCTGAAATTAAATCAATTTTTAAAGCAAAGCAATAAAAAAATGATAAATAAATGTAAATAAATATAAACAATAAATAATAAATAAAACAACGCGAATAATGGTTGCCACAAAAATTTAATTTTGTTTTCCCCTGATTTTCAGCCAAAATTTTGTCTTTTTCCCTGAACTTAAAGAATATTCTGATTCACTCTAAAAATTATTAGATACTCAAAAAATGACCTATTACATTTATTAATAAAAATTTTTGTAAAATTATTTTTATTCGAAAACATCAATAACTTCTTTTAATCATTATTATTTTTTCATAGAAATTAAGATTTTCAAAAACTTCAAATTCAACAACTTATAATAATTAAAATGATGTCCGAGTGATAAAATCATTATTTAAAAATTCTCAGAAAATTGATACTGTAATTTCATCAAAATTATTTTCCATCATTTCAATTCAATTATTATTTTCTAGAATTTTAAACTAAAATTCTTCTCTAAATCAATTATTTTTAATAATTCTAAAAAAAAGTTCTTTGAGAATTTTCAAATCAATTTTACAATTCAATTTTACAAAATATTAATTTAAAAATGTTTTTTTCAAAATTCAATTATTTTTAAAAATTTAAGCAATAATACTTTTAATATTCAACTAGCAAAAACTGATTGAAAATATCTGTTCGCAGTTTATATTTTTTTTTGTTTAATATTTTAATAATTTTATGTTTTAATATATATATAAATATATTTTTTCTATTAAAATAGCAATTCTTTAAAATGATTATTATTATTTTTAAGGGTATTTTAATTATTATTATGACGTTATAATGTTTTAAATAAATTTAAAAAATGGAAATGCTGGAAAGAATGAAAAATACATTTTTTTTAGAAATATAAAATTATTCAATTAACATCTTCTATCTTTATATCTTCTCTCTATATTAATATCTTCTTCTTCTATCTTCTTTGATTTAGTTGTAATTTACTTTTTTGTTTCCTATCTTCTTTAATAATTTTATGTTTCAATATTTTTAATTTTAGAGGCATTTCACGTCAGAAATATCACGATTTGCAAAGGGTATGCCGATTTTCGCAAAACTTCGTGGGATTATAGTTCTATATAAGAGACTTCTTTCCCCTAAATTTTTTCAAAAAAAATTCAAAATTGTTGAAGATACGCCATTTTGAATTTTAATATTAATTTTATAAAATTTTGAATATCTCGGAATATTGTTTATGGATTTTTATGAAATTTACACATTTTTCAGGTAAAAGTATGTACTTTAAAATGCAAATAAAGTTAATAAAAAAAAATTAATTTTTAAATAAAAAAATTAAAAAAAATTTTTTTAAACAATTTTTTGTTTATTTACTCCTCTCTGAGAAAAATGTTATTAACATATTTGGATTCCTTATGAATTCACCTTTAATTTCATAAAAAAAAATTGATGGAGACTCAACTGGTTCCGGAGATATTGAATTTTTTGTAAAAAAAAGCGTCGCCGCGCCATAGCACCATACTGCACAAGTCGCGTAGTACGTTACCGCAGTCGTGCATTGCTGCTGTAACTATGACTATTTTTTTACAAAAAATTCAATATCTCTGGAACCAGTTGAGTCTCCATCAATTTTTTTTTATGAAATTAAAGGTGAATTCATAAGGAATCCAAATATGTTAATAACATTTTTCTCAGAGAGGAGTAAATAAACAAAAAATTGTTTTAAAAAATTTTTTTTAATTTTTTATTTAAAAATTAATTTTTTTTTTATTAACTTTATTTGCATTTTAAAGTACATACTTTTACCTGAAAAATGTGTAAATTTCATAAAAATCCATAAACAATATTCCGAGATATTCAAAATTTTATAAAATTAATATTAAAATTCAAAATGGCGTATCTTCAACAATTTTGAATTTTTTTTGAAAAAATTTGGGGGAAAGAAGTCTCTTATATAGAACTATAATCCCACAAACTTTTGCGAAAATCGGCATACCCTTTGCAAATCGTGATATTTCTGACGTGAAATGCCTCTTTAATTAAAATTAATATATTGAATTTCATTTAAATTCTTGCAAAAAATTTGAGAATCATTGAATTTCTTCAAAAAATGTCATTATTTATGAAAATAATTCAATTTTCGCTAAAAATCATTAAATCAATTTTGGAAACCCTAATTAAATTTTTCTGAAGAATTATTTTTTATTTTTTGTTTAATAATTGTGTTTCTTTAATAATTTTAATTGGATATTTTTAAAGTAATTTAAATTTATGAACAATTTTTTTCAAGTTTTTAAAACTAATTTTTAAATTTGTAAATTTAGTTGAAACATCTATTGTTTACATTTATCCCTTGTTTACAATTACCCCAAATGGCCCTAATTGTAAATTGATTGTTTTGTTGATTTTTGAATTTTATTTCGGAATAATTCAATTTTTTATTATGTATTTTTCATGATTTGAAGACTTTATATAGTCTTTAAAAGACTTGATAGTATTTAAATAGTTGAAATGAAAGGCGGTGCCTAAAGTATTTTTTTTAAGTTCATTATTTTTTTTTCTTTTTAGAAAATCTATTTTCTATAATATTGTGTTAAAAAAAACGTTAACATTTTATATTTTATTTGAACAGAAGATAACGATAAGTTTAATTCTTGCAAAAGAAAGCACTTATAAGTTAATTCTACACACAAACACACACAGAAATACGTTTATTTTTTACGTAAGTGCCAATAAATTAATTTCAATTTTTTATTTAAAATGAAATAATTTAATTTTGAATTAATTGTATTTTTGATATTTGAATAATTAATTATTATTTTGAACAATTACATTTTTCAATGATTTCAAAATAATTAAATTTTTATTAAAAACAGAATAATTTATTTTTGAATTAATTAAAATTGTTTGATTTATTTTTGAATAATTAATAATTGACTTTTGAATTATTTAAAATTCAAATATTGTAAAAAATTAATAAAATATTTAAAAAAACAATTTATTTTTAACATAATAAAAAAAGTAATTTATTAAAATACTAAATTCAAATAGATTTTGAATTGCAATTATTTTTAAAAATAAATAAATTTTTTGTGTAAAATCATTTTTTTAAAATTAATTAAAATTTGAAACAATTGAATTTTTTTTTTTCATTTTTGAAAAATTAATTATTTCGAACAATTTTTTAAACATAAAAGAACCAGGAGCTATTATCACTCATAATAGCAATCAAAAAAAGCACACACTAAAGGGATCGCTCTTCCCAAAAAATTTAGACTCTAGATCCTGCACTGTATAAGTTAATAATTGAAGATTAATTAAATTTTTGAAAAATTAAATATTAAAAAATTAATTATTTTGAATAATTAATATTATTGAATAGTAATTTACGAAAACGACCAATGTAATAAAATTTAGAACGATATTTTTTATTGATTCAGGAAAATTGAATTTTTTAATTAAAATTAATAATCGTTGAAAATTGAAAATAATACAACTTTTATTGACAATTCGATATTTCAGTTTTTTTAGATTTTAAAAATGCATAAAATTTTCAATAATAATAATAAATCAAAATACAATAAATATTATCAATTATAATTATAAATAAAAAAAATAATAATAATAATAATAAGATATACGAATAAAATTTGTTTTTAAGTTATTTTGAGATTTTTATTTAACAAAATAAAATGAAATAATATAAATGATTTAATTAAGAAGAAAATTTTAATTAATAATTAGAATTTACCAATCTACAGTTTTTTTTCCACTGAAAACGGTAACCTCTCGCCTGATACCAGATATTTTTCCACGATTTTTCAAACACAATAATTCTTGTCACAATTTAACGTTTTTTAAAAACACCCGCACTACCGCATAACATAACATCGGAAATGTCAAAACATCACGAAAAATATAAACAAACAAAAAAATCATGATAATAATTCGCAAATGATAACTAACAACTAACTTCATACTGCGAACGGACAGAATGAAAAACCACAGACTTTAATAAAGTTAATTTTTATCTAAAACTCTAACTAAAATTCATTTTTAAATGAATTTTTATTAGAAAATTCTACGAGAATTCAATTTTTTAAATACAAAAATAAATAATTTATTGAATAATTGAATGTTTTTTAAAATTGAATTCTCATAAAGAATTTTAACAACAAATTTTTAAATAATTGAACTCTTTTGACGAATTTAATAAAATTTTTAAGAATAATTTTATTATTGATATGAGAATAATTAAATTATTGCGAAGAAATTTATAAAAAATTTGTAAAGAATTGAATTCCTGTAAAATTTTTATTATTTATAAAAATAATTAAATGTTTGCGTATAGAATCTTATTAATTTCTTTTTTAAATATTTAAATTATTTTGGAAAATTTTATTAAAACAGTAGATATTAAAAATCATTGAATTCAGGAAAATTTTTAAAAATAATTGAAAATAAATGAATTTTTGAGAAGAATTTTATTATTTATAAAGATAATTGAAATTTTGACGAGAATTTTATTACTTTTGAAAATAATTGAATGATTGCGAAGTAATTTATAAAAAATTTGTAAAGAATTGAATTCCTGTGAAATTTTTATTATTTATAAAAATAATTAAATGTTTGCGTAGAATGCTATTAAATTTTTTTTAAATATTTAAATTCTTTTGGAAAATTTTATCAAAATAGTAAATATTAAAAATCATTGAATTGAGGAAAATAATTGAAATCTTGCTAAGAATATAATTAAAATTTTTTAAAATAAATTAATTTTTCAGAAGAATTTTTTTATTTATAAAGATAATTGAAATTTTGACGAGAATTTTATTGCTTTCGAAAATAATTGAATTTCTATAATCATTTGTAACTTCTCCAAAATTCAATTTTTTTTTATGTTGTTTTAATTAAAATTCTCCTATAAATTCATTATTTTTTATAATTGATTAAATATATATTAAAAAATGTAACTAGTTTTTGAAAATAATTAAAATTTTGCCAAGAATTTTATTAAAATTTTTGAAAATAATTGGATTTTTGCAATTATTTGTAATTGCTTTAAATTCAATTTGTTTTAGTGTTTTTAACTAAAATTCTTCTATAAATCCATTGTTTTTAATAAAACTAGTTGAATATATATTAAAAAATTTAACTAATTTCAGAAGTATTTTAGTTTAAAAAATTTTTTTAATCTAAGTTTTTTTTATATTTTTAATAAAATTCAATTAAAATTTAAATTTTACAAAATTTTAAATCAAAATCTTTTAAAGTTCATCTACTTATGACAATTGTAAACGCAATTCTTTTAAAATTGAATTGATTTTGAAATATTGTGAAATTAATTATTAATTATTATTATTATTAATTATTAAATTAATTATTAAGTAAAATAAGATTTCAAGAATAAACACAATAACTTTAGTAAACAACAATTTTCCAGGATTTCGATAAAAATTACCTGACTTTTCCAGGTTTTTTCAAGGTTTATAAAATTCCCTAACATTTCCAGGTTTTCCAATATTTAAGTGAAACTATTCATTAAATAATTTATAAATAATAATTTTGATAGTTCTTCAAGAGTTAAGTTAAATTTAAAAAGAAATTATTGTCAGAAACAGAAAAAATTGAAGGTTTTGTATTAGAAACAATTCAACTTGTGGCAACCCGAGGAATATTCCTCTTTGTTTTTTAAAATTATTTCTAGTAAAGCGATTACCAATAAATTCAATAAGAAATCTGAGTCGGATTTCGTTCCAAGCAGAATGTAGAGTTTATCTTTGAAGACATATCGAAGTGTGTAATTTGGTTGTTGATTCCAACCTTCTGGCAATAATTCAGAACCTTTTTCTCCAGTCTCACGTGTTTTCTAAAAAATTAAATTAAAATTTACAATTTCGCAAGAATGTCGCCAAAAAAATAATTGCTAAAAAAATTATCAAATAATTTAACCCAGCAATTATTATCACCATTATCGTGCATATCAGTATTTTGTTTACAACAATTGATTAGAAAAAAAATCCCAAACATAAATTTGTCTTTTTGCATAAATATAATAATGCGCAAAAACAGAATACTGACACATTTATAGGTTATGATACTACAGAATTTAAATTTTCCATAAACAAAGTTATAAATTATAATACTTATCAAGTACGAAATTTCAATGATAATTACCGGCAATTAGCCGGTATTGCCTAATTTAAAAGAAGATTAATACTTACTGAGTCACCTAAGCCGATGCATCTGAAGCCATTTTTATTAAAATACCAGTGCACAAATAAAACAAGAACATCTTCTTTCTTTGACACTTGTGTATCGTACAGTTTGTTTAACAATTCGAAACCAAAAGTATTATTTAAATCGTCTGACATTTTCACTGTTTTTTAATTAATCTTTGTAAACTTTTTGACAACTCAAACTTGTGCCATTACCGGATTGTTCGTGTTACTTCGGTTTTTTGTAATCGGGAATGTTCGACTCTAAACTTCCGGTTTTTATTTAAATGTCAGTGTTGTGTTGTACTTTTAAAATTAATTCAATTTATTATTTCGCCGAAATGGAATTTAGAGTGGAAAATTTTGATGATATAATCAAAAATTGTTGGGTTCTTCAAGCCAAAGGTAAATTTTGTACTAAAGTTTAAAAATGAATGCATAAAACACCTGAGAATCGGGAAAAATTTGAAAATCTTAGATTCTAACCTCACTTTTTTCAGTATAAAATTTTTGAAGAAAAAAAACATACTTTTCTTTTTTAATTATTATAATAATAATTAGACTCAATTGATAAAAAACTATTTTGTTATTTTTATTATAAATTAATTACTTCATTCGAACAAAAAAACTACAAAATAATGTACATAATTATCAAAAACAATTCACGTATGTTCTACATCAAAAATAATTTTTAATCATTTGACATTTAATTTTTCATAAATAATTTCTTCTATTATCGCAAATAGAAGAATTGATGAAAAAAAACTACTTTTTATTTTTATTATAAATTAAATTATTTCATTTGAGGAAAAATTACAATCTTATGTACATAATTATCAAAAAATGGTTCGTACGTATAATTATAAAGAAAATAATTTGATAAATTATTTAATTTGTCATAAATTAAATAATTTTTTTTTAAAAATAATTCTTTTCTATTCTTGTAAAATATATTTAATTGTTGTTTCATTGTTTCTTTTAATTGCATTGAAAGAAATTATTGAATTATCAATTTTTTAATAATTCGTATCAGAATCTTCATCATCGGTTTCCTCGTCATAAGGCTTAAAATCATCATCACTGTCAACATCTTCTTCATCTTCAGAGGGAATAAATTTCCCAATGCCGACAATTTCATCCTCACTGTCAGATTTATCCTTTTCACTTTTATCCAGAGCATATCGCCTCCATGGAATTCTAAAAAATAATAAACTCTATTAGTCTTTTCAAAAAGTTTCGAAAGCTCAGTTAATATTCCCAAAAATTACTATTATAAAAAACGGAAAAGGCATATTTTTGAAGTTGTTTGCTTTTTTGTTTCTTAACTGTTTTTTAATAATTTTTATTTTTAAATATTTTCAATTTTAAAATGTGTATTGAAAATCATCGAATTGTTGCGAAGAATTTTATCCAAAAAATTTGATAATAATAGAATTTCTTTATTTTGAAAAGTAATTGAATTCACGGGAAGAATTATGTTAAATTTTTTAAAATTCTAATTAAATGCTTTTTAAAGAATTTATTTGAATTTTTTTTTAAATAATGGAGTTTCATTAATAATTTTAGTTAAAAATTTTGAAAATAATTGATTTTTATAAACGATTTCTTTCAAGTTTTTAAAATAATCGTGTTTGTTCAAAATTGAAATTAAACATTTAATTTTTGAATTTTATTAAAATTTTAGAAAGTAATTGAATTCTTTGAAAAATTTTATAACGAATTAGGAAAAAAATTGAATTTTTTCATGGATTTTTTTTTTTTGAAAATAATTGAATTTTTTTTGAAAAATATTATGTATTAAAAATTAAATTGTTTCATGAAATTTTATTAAAATTGTATTTAAAATAATTTAATTTTTGCAAAGAATTTTACTAATTATAAATATAATTGAATTTTTTGACAAATTTATTAAAATTTTATAAAAAAATGAATTTTTTTGAAAAATATTATTAAAATTTTTTCGTGAAATTGTCTTGAATATGATTGAATTTTTGCAAAGAATTTTACTATTTATAAATAAAAGTGTATTGTTTCGAAAGATTTATAAAAATTATAGAAAATTATTGAATTCTTTTGAAATATTTTATAACGAATTTAGAAAAAAATGTAAATTCTCTCATGAAATTTTATTAAAATTGTATTAAAAATAATTGAATTTTTTCGAAAAATTTATTAAAATTTCATAAAAAAATGGAACTTTTTCGAAAAATATTTAAAATTTTTTAAAAATTGAATTTTTTTGTGAAACTGTTATTTTGAATATATGTTAATTGAATTTTTGATAAGAATTGTACTATTTATAAATAAAATTGAATGGTTTCGAAGGATTTATAAAAATTTTAGAGAATTATTGGGTTCTTTGGAAATATTTTATAACGATTTAAAAAAAAAATTGAATTTTTCCAAAGACTTTATAACGATTTAAGAAAAACAATTGAATTCTTTCGTGAAATTTTCTTAAAATTATTTGAATTTTTCTAAAGATTTTACTATGTATTTAAAAAAATAATTGAATTGTTTCGAAGGATTTATTCAAATTTTAGAAAATAATTGTATATTAGTTCGTGAAATTTTATTAAAAGTTTGTTTAAAAATAATTGATTTTATAAAAAATTTTTACTATATTTACAAAAATAATTGAATTCTTACGAAGAACTTCGATTATGGATGAAAATAATTGAATTCTTGTGAAGAATTTTATTAAAATTTTTGAAATTAATAAACAATAAGAATAATTAATTAGAAAATTAGTTAATAATTAGATTTTTTTAAAGTTTAAATATGAAATTATTAAAAAATTCATATTTGAAAAAAAAAATTTTGTAGATTGCATAATAATAATAAATTGAATGTCACGTTCGTAACATTTACTAGTATTATATATTTTTTCTTTTTATATATAGAAAAAATATTTTGCAATTCATTACCTTTTCTTTTTATCATAGCAATCTTCTATAAATTTGTGTGAAACAATTTTTGCATGACCATTGAATTGCTGGTACTTCGGCGTATTTTTAAAGGCACAAATTAAATGGGTGCATAATTTATCCGTTGTATTTGGATCGACAATGTATTTCGCTCCCATTTTCAAAGCCTTCCTTCGGATTTCGTCTCTTTTTGGATTAACGTAACCACTCAAAGAAAAACTAATTCCTTGGAAAAGTTCTTCAAAATTCTTCTTAGGTCTCGTTGGCTTCACGACGACTTTCTTTGGAGTTGGTTTTCTCGTTTCATTCGAAACCAGATCTGGTGTGGGTAATTTTTTACAAACTTTACACAATTTATCCTTTGATTCTGTCTGACATTTGTTGCATTTCACTTTTTTGTTATTGCTTGACCCTTCATCGTCGGAATCATCAGAACTTAAGGATCGTTTTCTAACGATCTTTGGTTTCTCTTCTTTGGACGTCGACGCTGAAACAACAATATCACCAAAAGGAGTTCTCGCAATGGGTTTCGAATTAAAATCATCTTTCGTTTTTCCATTAATTGAATTCGAAGGCGTTGACGACTCATTCTTTTCCTTTGGCTTTCCAAAGACCTCGTCTGCTTTTCCAGCCTCCAATTTTTCCAATAATGGTTTCATCTTATGCTCACGTTCCGCCTCTTGTCGTTTTTGAAAATCATTCAAACCATTCTCTTTAATTTTATCCTTCAATTCATCCTTGTAGTTTGTCTGTTTATTCGTTCCCATTAATTTGAGATACTTTTCTTTAAATCTATCGACTGTCGTCTCCTTTTCATCGTTCGTGTCCTTCATTTTAAATCGACCAAAAATATCCAGACCCATGTCAACAATAACCTCGGTTCGTAAAATGAAGAATGATAGACCGAAGACTTCTCGTGGATTTGCCGATTGCATGCATGTGATTTTAACACGATCGAATTTTGTTTTTAAATTATCGGGATTGAGTTCTTTTTTGGTGAATATTTGAACTTGGTCCTTGAATTTCCCATTGGCCGCTTCATCGTGCGAGAGGAATTGATGATTTACTATTGGAATCCAATTATCAGGCTCGGCTGATGTTGAGGCATTTAGAACGACAATACACGAACGATAATTTCCAATTTCAACTCCTGTTATGCAGGAGGGCTCGGCAAGTTGAATGATAACTGTCGCCAATGATTCGCCTGGTTTTGCACATCTCCAACTGGAATTTGAACAATACTCCAAAAGATTTGTCGCCGGATATTGTGAATTCTCCGAAGAACAACTTATCACTTTTTCCAATTTGATAATCATTGTTTCTTTACAATTTCATTTGATAATTTAAAAAACTCTTTCTTGAAATGTCACTACGTTGTTTACTTTGTTTATAAACACATTCTTAAATTTGGATCAAATTTTGTTTGTTTCATAAAAAAATAACTAATTTGATAGAATAGATTTTATAAGTCACAATTTTCATCAATAATTATATTACAAATTGCGTTATTATTCGCAATAGAGGCAACAGATTATGGATTAATCGCGTACTAATTTTTTCCGTGACACATTTCTCCGTTTTCTAAGGTTATGTTTCGATGACGTTTTGATACCTATTCCCGCCTTTTTCTATTGCACATTTCATTGTCGATAAAATAGAAAACGTTTTCATAATCATTAGCGCTTATTTTCAAAAAATTGAAATATATGTTGTTTTAAATAAATTTTTATTTTTTCTAACGTTGTTGACAATTGTCTTACCATGATTATGGTTAACTTTTATCAATAAAAAATGTAAAAAGCAGGTATTTTACAATTTGTGGTACTTAAAAAATATTCTATTGTTTAATTTCTTTACGAACGACAAATTTTGTTGGATCATATTTATAGGTTTTAATTAGAGGTCCCCTGCCGGCATTTTGAAATTGCCTGATATCTGAACCAGCAGCAGATCGTTTTTGCCTGTTTCTCATCATACCCTGCCAAGCTGTAAAAATATTTATTTGTTATTCGATTTTCAATAAAATTAGAATTTTAATATTCTCTTAGCGATTTCTATTTTTAATGTGACAAAACTTTATTACAGGTTTGAAAAATAATTGAATTCCATCAAGAATTTTTATTGAAATTGTATTGAAAAAAATTAAATTCCTACAAAAAATTTTATTAATTGCAAAAAAAAAAATTAAATTCTTCCGAAGAATTTTATTCAAATTTTTGAGACCAATTCGTTTGTTGTAAAGAATTTCCTTGAATTTTTTTAAAATAATGGAGTTTTTAAAAATAATTTTAATTGAAAATTTTAAAAATAATTGAATTCTTTCAAAGAATTTTTATTGAAATTGTATTGAAAATAATTGAATTCCTCCGAAAAATTTTATTATTTGCAAAAATAATTAAATTCTTGCAAGGAATTTTATTCAAATTTTTGAGACCAATTCTTTTGTAATAAAGAATTTCTTTAACTTCTTTTTTAAATAATGCAGTTTATTAAAATTGAAAATTCCGAATGTAATTGAATTTTATTAAGAATTTCTGTCAAGTTCTTAAAATAGTTTCTTCGAGGAAATTTATTAAAATTGCACTTAAAATAATTAAATGAATTCGTTTCTAAAGAATTATATAAAATTTTTTTTAAATAATTAAATTATTAAAATTTTTAAAATCATTGAATTGACTTACCTTCCTTTATAGGAGTGAAAAGTGACGACCAACTCATATCGTCCATTGAAGTTTTAGCGTCTTGATGTTTTACAATAGGTGGAATATTACACAAAGCTCGTATTTTTGGAACTCTGACTAAAGCTTGAAAAAGAAATGTTATCCACGTTGTAGTTATGACATAAAATAATGAACCCTGTAAATAAAATTGAAATATATTGTTACTAATTACCTTTAAGAAACCATTTCTTACTAAATATAAAATAAATATAAATGTATAAAATAAAATTCTAAGTAAAATAAGAAATTGTAAATTATAAAAATTAGAAAGAATAACATTAGATTTTAATGTAAATTTAAAAAGTTTTGAAATTACTTTTTGTAAATGAAGAAGAGGAAAAAGTACACTTACTGCCTTAAGATAGAGCATGATAACAAGACCAATAACAGGAAAGATATATTTGATGTTCTGTACTTTTTGCATTTGTACACTGTTTGCTAGTGTTGGAGTTGGAGTCAAGTATAAATATAAACCAGTAGATAAACTAGTAATAATTGGCAATACGTAATAGGGATCGGTCACAGATAAATCGGTGAACCATGCGAAACCACCTTCTTTAAAACTTGGTAACGGAGCCGCTGCCATTTTGTTAATTGCCAAGAAAAACGAGGCAAAACAAACACCCTGTTAACAAAATATAATTACAAAATATAATCTATATTAATAATCGTTGTATTCCGGTAATCTGTTCGCAGTTTGAAGTTACTTGCTGTTTGCTTTTTTGTTTCCTCACTTGTTAAATAATTTTTCTTTTTTAATTTTTTCAATTTTAAAATTAATGTACTCAAAATCATTGAATTCTTGCAATGTATTTATAAAAAAAAATTTGAATATAATTGAATTCATGTCAAGAATTTTATCAATATTTTTTTCAACAATTAAATTCTTTTGAGAAAATGTAATTAAAATTGCATTGAAAATAATTTAACCCTTGGCAAGCTTTTATTAAAATTCTTTAAAATAATTAAATTGTTTTGAAGAATTTATTTCAATATTCTTGAAAACTATGAATTTTTTAAAAATAATTTTTACTGAAAATTTTAAAAATATTTGAATTTTATGAAGAATTAAATTATTTTCAATAATTGTAACAAAATTCTTTGCAAAAAGTCAATTTCTAAATAACAAAAATCTTCGTAAAAAAATTCAATTCTTTTTATATAAATAATAAAATTTTTATCAGGATATCAATTATTTTTAATACAATTTTAATTGATTTCTTGGAAAATTTCAATTATTTTTAAAAATCATGTAAAAATTCTCTAAGAAAATTCAATTATTTAAAAAAATAATTGAATTTTTCACAAGAATTCAATTATTTATAAAACTTTTAATAAAATTCAATTCAAAAATTTAATTATTTTCATAAATAATAAAATTCAATTCAAAAATTTAACTATTTTCATAAATAATAACATTTTTGCTAAAATTCAATTACTTTAAATACAATTTTCATAAAATTATTCTCAAAAATTTACTTATTTTTTTAAATTTTGCAAAAATTCAATTATTGGCAGAAATAATAAATTTTTTCGCAGGGATTCAATTATTTAAAAAAGTTTTAATAAAATTCTATGCAAGAATTCAACTATTTTCAGAAATAATTAAATTTTCGATGTACTGAAAATCATTGAATTCTTGTAAAGTATTTATAAAAAAATTTGAATATAACTAAACTCATTTCAAGAATTTTATCAACATTTTTTCAAATAATTGAATTCTTTCGAGATAATGTAATTAAAATTGTATTGAAAATAATTTAATTTTTGGAATAAGATTTTTATTAAAATTCTTTAAATTAATTAATTCAATTGTTTTGAAGAATTTATTTCAATATTCTTGAAAACTATGGATTTTTTAAAAATAATGTTTCCTGAAAATTTTGAAAATAATTGAATTTTATGAAGAATTTCTTTGAAAATTGAAATTTTAAAAATAATCGTGTTTATTATTAATTGTAATTAACAATTTTCATATTAAATTATATTAAAATTATTCATAGAAAATTAAATTCTTTTAAACAATTTTATTAGAGTTTTTGTAAATGGTAATTACATTTTTTTAAGAATTTCATTAAATTTTGTGAAAATAATGTAATTTTTAAAAATAATTATTTTAATTAAAAATCTTAAAAATAATTGAATTTTTATTAAACCTCTTGAAAATAATTGAATGTAAATAATATTTTTAAAAATAATTGTATTCTTTCGAGAAATTTTATTACAATTTTATTGGGAAATTATTGAATTCTTCCGAAACATTTTATTATTTATGATAATAATTGAATTCCTTTAAAGAATTTTATTATTCATGGAAATATTTTAATTCTTACAAAGAATTTTGAAAATTATTGAAAATATATGAAAATAATTGAATACCGCGTTTGACTCATACCTGTATAGCACTGTTTCTTCCCATTTTCACCGTCGTCAACATATTGTTTTTGGCGTAAAAATGCTCTTGTTTTTGCACATACATATTGGCTTTGAAATGAAAACAGTGATATTAATTTCACAATATGTAATTAAAATTCAAATAAAATTTGTTTCTATCTAAATTATATTTTACCTCTAAATTGATCATTTTCATCTGATGCCTCCTTCCTTTTTCTATCAAAATATGATAAATCTTTTTTATGCACCTCACGAAGTGCATGATGCCTTTGCATTGCCAAAAACACTGGTACTGTTATGCATCTTATAAAGACAGTTCCTAAAATAATTGTTAAAAAAAATTGATTAAATTAAATATTAATAAAGCAAAAATAGATGAATTATTTTCACATGAAATTTTGTAATAATAATTACCAATAATAATTGTTGTCCACCAAGGTAGACCGCATGACGTATGCATGAAGTTCACAGCATGTTGTATCCATCCAACTGGAGTATAATATGATCCTAATCCAAAACTTTCAAGAGGAGCTTCTCCAATTACTTCCGTTATTTCCAGTGGTATTGGGGCATCTGATTATAAAATTATAATTAAGCAAAATAAAATATCAGGGTTGCCACAAAAATTTAATTTTGTTTTTCCCTGATTTACAGACCAAATTTTAACTTTTTCCCTTATTCTAAAGAATATTCTAATTCACTTTAAAAATTATTCAAAAACATCAATAAATTCTTTTAATTATTATTTTTCCATAAGAATTAAGATTTTCAAAAATTTTAAATTCAACAACTTATAAGAATATTTATAATAAAACATAAAGACATCGATCACTCCAAATCTTCGACTCGGAGTGATCAATATCTCCGTGTTTTCATTATTTCAATTCAATTATTATTTTCTAGAATTTTTAACTAAAATTCTTCTTTAAATCAATTTTTATTAGAAAATTCTACAAGAATTCAATTATTTAAATACAATAATAAATAATTTTTTGAATAATTGAATGTTTCTTAAAATTTAATTCTCATTATTTTCAAAAATTTTAACATAATAAAATTCTTTGTAGAAATTAAATTATTTTTATAAATAATAAAAATCTTCTGAAGAATTAAATTATTTTCATTACAATTTCAATAAAATTTTACGAGAGAATTAAATTATTTATAAAAATTATTAAAATAACGAAAGAATTCAATTAATTTTTAAAACTTTAATAAATTTCATAGAAACGGTTCAATTAAGCTAAAAAATGTAAGAAATTTTTCGCAAAGATTCAATTATTTTTAAAAATAATAAAACTTTTATCAAGAATTCAATTAATTTTTAAAGATCTAATAAAATTCTTAGGAACAATTCAATTATTTTCAAAATTTGTAATAAAATTCGTCGCAATAATTTAATTATTTTAATAAATAAGGAATTTCTTACTAAGAATTCATTTATTTTCAATAAATTTTTAATAATATTTGACGAAATGATTCAATTATTTATAAAAATTATTACAATAATGAAAGAATTCAATTATTTTCAAAAATTTAAATAAAATTCTTCACAAAATTTCAATTGTTTTTAATTATTAATAAAATTTTCCAAAAGAATTCAATTATATACAAATTTTTTTTAATTTCTTAGTAATAATTCAATTATTTTCATAAATAATAAAAAAACATTGCAGAATTTTAATTTTTTTTTAATTCAAGTTTAATCGAATTCCTTAAAAAATGCAATTATTCTTGAAAATTGTATTAAAATGCGTCAAAAGAATTCAACTATTTAAAAATTTGTTGATAAAATTCTTTATGAGAAATCTATTTTAAGAAACTATTCAATTATTATTTAATTAATTGAATTCTCTTGACTAATTTTAATACAATTTTTAAGAATAATTCAATTTATCGAAAAATTCGATTAAAATTGTATTAAAAATAATTGAAATTCTGCGATGAGTTTTAGTATTTATGAAAATACAGTCAACTCTCGATAAGACAAACTCGAAGGGAGACCGAAAAAACTTTGAGTTATCGAAAAGTTTGAGTTATCAAATGTTAATAATGCTTATAAGGAATGAACGGGACCCAAGAATTACTTTGACTTACCGAAAAATGTGAGTTATCTCGCTTTGTCTTATCGAGAGTTGACTGTAATTGAATTCCTGTGAATTGTCTAAAATTTTAACTGAAATTAATTTTTAAATCAATTTTTATTAGAAAATCCTACGAGAATTCAATTATTTAAATACATAAATAAATAATTTATTGAATAATTGAATGTTTCTCCAAATTGAATTCTGATAAAGAATTTTATCAACAAATATTTTTAAATAATTGAATTCTCTTGTCGAATTTTAATAAATTTTTAAGAATATTTACATTGTAGATTAAGAGTATTTACATTATAAAAAATTTGTGAATAATTGAATTCCTGTGGCATTTTTATTATTTATAAAGATAATTGAAATATTTACGAGAAATTTTTAAAATTTTTTAACGTAATTGAATTTTTGCAAGGAATTTTGTTAAATTAAATTAAAAATTATGAAATTGAATTTTTATACAGAATTTTCATCAACAAATTCTTAAATAATTGAATTGTTGCGAAGAATTTTATTACTTTTGAATATAATTGAATTTCTGCGAGAAAAATTTTATTATTTATAAAGATAATTGAAGTTTTGACGAGAATTTAAAAAATTTTTTGAAAATAATTGAATTTCTGCGAATAATTTTATTACTTTTGTAAATAATTGAATTTCTTCAAAATTAAAAATTTTTTTTGTGCTTTTAACTAAAATTCTTTTATAAATACTTTATTTTTAGTAATTAATTATATATATATATATTAAAAAATGTAGTGATGTTTTTTTAATTTACCTGGAATTAGAGGTAATTCTGCTTGGACAGGTAATTCCGCAATAGGCGTTTGATTCGTACTTGCAAATCTTACAGAACTTGTATTATTAATTAAAGAGGACGAGAAACATCCTAAATAATTTGTTTTACTAGCAAGATTTTTTGTTCTTAGAAAAACATGCAGAGCCCTATTTTGTGAATATGTCTGAAAAATAAAATCATATTACTTGATGATGAAGTAAATATTACTTGATTTAAGAATTGATTAATACTTAATTAAAGTAACAAAAATACTTAGGTATTTAGTAACATTATTTAATAAAATACTTTAGTAGGTATCATAATGACATAATCTCATATTTAAATAAAAATAAATAACTTGATAAATATTAAACAATTAAATTAATTAAACAATAACTAAACAATAATAAAGTGACAATATAACCTCAAAAGTTAATATTCACCTGTGTTATTAGTCCCGATTTTGAAATTAGCCGAGAATACGTGCTTGGCTTAAGACGTGAAAACATTTTCACTATATACAAAATAATAACAACTTTATTAAAAACAATAAATAATTATTGAAAAACACTCATAATAAACTTCTGCCTCTTTTGCCGGATTGCGTGATGACTAACATAACCTAACCTTTTTCTTACATATGTTATAAGAGTATTTATAATTAAACGAATTAAATTAATAGTAGACTAAAAATTAACGCACTGTTAATTAATAAATAAATTCAAAATTAATATAAATAAGAAAAATATTTATATATAGAAATTCTAATTTTAGGAATTTAATTAGACTTTAGAATACAGTGCCATCTGGTAGAGAATTTTCCCTGAACTGATATACACTGTCGGTAAAAAAAATTCAATTCCTAAACCGTTTGTATTTGTAATTTGTATATCATGGTTTATAAACAATCGGGTAAAAATTGAACTTTTCTATTAAAAAGCCACATTTTCTGGTGTATCTAATTTTACGATTTCGTCGAAAATTGTTAAATTGATTAGAATCAATTTAATTTTAATTGAATATAAGTGATTAGTCAGGAAGAAGGTAATTTTTCGAAAAATTTTGAGGTTAAGTACAAACAAGAATATTTATAATAAATTTTTAAAAACACCATAATTTTATCAATTTATATAGATTTCTACCAGCATGGAGTCACGTACAGAATTCAAATTAAAAAATGCTCCAAACGATGCAATTTCAGCTGTAGAATTTGGTCCAAATTCTACACAATTTCTTCTTGTTTCCTCATGGGACAGTACTGTTCGATTGTATGATATTCATGCAAATTCCCTGAGAGTTAAATATAATCACGATTTACCGGTTCTGGATGTTGCATTTCAGGTAATTTTTATTTTTTCTCATTTTATTTATAGCTTTTCTTGTTTTATTTATATTTTTTCTTATTTTATCTTTTTAATAACATTTTGCCGATTGTAAACTTATTTTGTTTATTACTTTATATTCTTAGGATGCGGTACATGCTTATAGTGGCGGATTGGGAAACACTTTAAAAATGTACGATATAAATACAAATACAGGTAATTTCGTGTTTTTTTTAATACATTATTAATTCAGGGTGGCCACAAGTTTCAGTTTATCAATTTCCCTGACAATTTAAAAAAATGAAAGTTTACGGAAAATGAGTAAAATTTAAATTTTAATAATTTCTAAAAATTACAATTATAACACTTTTTGAATTCAATTATTTTCTATAATATTTATCTAACCAAAGACTCAATTTTTTATAATAATTGTAACTGTCCATGTTTTTTTCTTAAGTTATTAGGGTATAATATTTTCAAAAAATTATAATAAAGAAATTTTTACAATTAATTTTTTAAAAATATTTTAAAATAATTTTTGAAAAATAAATTTATAAAAATTAATTAATTATATACAATTAAAAAATTTCCAAACAATTGAAATTTGGTAATATCTTTTAAAAATAATTGAATTTTTAAAAAATATAAATAAAAATAAACAAATTTTTGACGAATTTGCTTGAAGTCCGTAAAAGTCAGTTTTTTTTAAAAAAGGTCCGTAAACTACGTAATTGGTTTGAGAAAAGACGAAAAGTTTGTAAATTGTAATATATAATATGGAGAATTTTAGAAAAATTATAAATGATTGCAGAAATTCAATTATTTTCAAAAGTAATAAAATTCTTTGTAGAAATTCAATTATTTTTAAGAATTTAAAAAAAGTCTCGTCAAAATTTCAATTATCTTTAGAAATAATTAAATTCTCCTCCAAAATTCAATTGTTTACAAATTTTATATAAATTTCTTCGCAAATCATTAAATTATTTTCATACATAATAAAATTTTTACAGGGATTCAATTATTTTCCTAAATAATAAAAATCATTGCATGATTTCAATTATTTTTAATACAATTTTAATTGAATTCCTCGGAAAAATGTAATTACTCTTACAAATTTTATTGAAATTCGTCAAAAGAATTCAATTATTAAAAAATTTGTTGATAGAATTCTTTATGAAAATTCAATTTTAAGAAACATGCAGTTATTCAATAAAATATTTTTTTTTGTAAATAAGAAATTGAATTCTAGTAGACTTTTCTAATAAAAATTAATTTTAAAATGGATTTCAGTTAAAATATTAGATTATAATTGAATATTAAAAGCTTTAGAGCTTGAATTTTTAGATATAATTAAATTTTGAAAACATTTCAAATTAAAATCTTTGAAAATCTGAATTTTTCATATTTTGAACCTGACTTTACTGACATGTGGCCACCCTGTAATTATTCTTTTCGTTAGAAATGATCTTTAATGTAATGAAATTTCACAGAATCCGTAATGGGAGCACACGAGAAACCAATTAGAAAAGTGGAGTACTGTGCAGCGGTGAACGCAATATTAACCGGTGGTTGGGATGCTGCGGTGAAACTTTGGGATCCAAGAAGTCCCACATGTGTGGGAAGTTATCTTCAACCTGATGTAGTTCTTGCTTTATCGGTTTGCGGTGATAAATTTGTTGTCGGCACAGCTAAACGAAAAGTTTGCATTTGGGATTTGAGGAATATGGCCGGTATGTTTCAACGTCGCGAAAGCAGTTTGAAATATCAAACGAGGTGCATCAAGGGATTCCCCAATGAACAGGTAAAGAAAATAAAACATTAATATATAAATAATCAATGTTCCGCGTGAAACAAGGTATTTAATTTTTATTATTATTATTACCTATGCAAATTACAAAATGTTTTATTTTCAAATATTAACTTTAATTTTTGAATAATTTCAGATTTACAATTTAAAAAATTCACTTACATAATTAATTATTATTTATTATTTTCAAAAATTTCAATAAAATTCTTAGCAAGAATTCAATTACATATTTTCATAAATATAATATAATTCTTCGTAAGAATTCAATTATTTTTATAAATTTAGTAAAATTCTTCACATAAATTTAATTATTTTCAATACAATTTTAATAGAAACTCCCGAAAGGATTCAATTATTTCTAAAATTTTTTCGAAAGAATTCAATTATTTTCTGAAATTTTAATAAAATTCTTCGAAACAATTCAATTTTTTTTGTAAAAAGTAAAATTCTTCTCAGGATTGAACTATTTTTAATTTTAATCCTAAAATTTTTCGAAAGGAAACAAAAAAACAAGTAACAACTAACTCCAAACTGCGAACATATTACCGGAATACAGCGATTATTAATATAGAAAATTGAAGATTAAATCAATCAAAATTGAATTTTAAATTAAATTATAAACAAAAATTTGAAATAAAATTCAAATTAATTTTCTGGGATTTAATTTGTCAAAAAATTGTTTTTTTTACCTTAAATTAATTTTATGTTTTACTAAAAGTAAAAATAGTTATTCTTACCCTAAACTTTATTTTTTTTCAGGGCTACGTTCTGAGTAGCATAGAAGGCCGAGTTGCAGTCGAATATTTAGATACAACACCAGAGGCACAAAAGAAGAAATACGCCTTTAAATGCCACAGGATAAAGGAGAATAACGTTGAAAATATTTATCCGGTCAACGCAATTAGTTTTCATTCCGTTTATAATACATTTGCAACTGGTGGTTCCGATGGATACGTGAATATTTGGGACGGTTTTAACAAAAAACGTTTATGTCAATTCCATAGATATAACGCAGGTGTAGCTGCTCTTAGTTTCAGTCAAGACGGAACAGTTCTTGCAATTGGCGTCTCGTATTTAAATGAATCAGAAATTCCACCGGGCGGTTTGGATGAACAAGAAATTTATATAAGATACGTCAACGATCAGGAAACAAAGCCTAAGTAAGAATGGCTACCCACAAATTTAATACACAAAATAGCATTCATTTTTTTCCCTACAAATCAAAAGAAAAATTGTGCGAAAATTCGAATCCAATTTATTTATTCATTTTTTTTCTCGGAGAAATTTTACTTTTTCTACAAATTTATAATTTTTCTTTTGTAAATTTAATTGAATCTGCGTTATAGATCGCCTGGAATGTAAAAAAAGGTTCTTTTTCGACCTTTTTTGGACCATCAGAGTTTATTCGTATCTCAGAACGACAATGGTATAAACATACCAATATTTTTCTGTATTTTGTGGAATCGTCCATTACTTTTTCCTCTCACTTTCAGTGAAACATTTTTTTTTTTAATTAAAAATGAATTTTTTATACAAAAGAAAATAAAACTCTTTCACTCTTAAGCGAATCAAATGAAAAATAAAGTTTATTTATTAAAAAGCAATTTATTTTTAAATTTAATAAACTTTCATATATAATTTGTATTTTAAATTTCTAATAAATTTATTTAAGTCTTCAATTCACTTCTTTCCAATTCTCACTAAATTTATCTAAAAAAAAACAAAAGAAATTAACTTTTATAAAACGCAGTACATTTTTTAAAAACCCATTTTCAAATTGTAAACATAAAGTGATTTGTATAATTGTCTATTAAAATTAATTTGTACAAAGGGATAAGCTAACGATATAAAAATATTGCAACATTCGATGGAGAAAGATAACAAACATATTTCATTTATAGAAAAATTATATCCATTCACCAACATTAGTCATAATGAAATTGTGCAATAGCAACATATTGTCAGTTAAAAGTCTCAATTTAAGTAGTAATTGATTGAAAATGCCCACCGTAAGAAATTAATCACCCAAATTTTTAAATTCTATTACAGGCATTAAAAACGAAATCCAATAAAAATTATTTTTCTTACAATATTTTCTTAATAACTAGGTATTTTACCCTTAACATTACAAAAAACATGAATTTAGTTAAATCATTAAATTATTTGATATCTGAAAAATTATTTTCAATTTTTCAAAATTATATTTTAAAAATTAGTTCTTCCCCCACAAAAATTATTTGAATTTGAATAATATTTATTAATTTCTTTCAGTGTACCGCGGAAAAGATTATATTCTCAATAAAAATTGTTGATAATAATATTAATAATGACAATAAAATCTAACACATAATAGGACAGACATTTCTAAAGAAAATAACATATAAAAATAATCGTTGACTTTACGAATAATTAGTTTGATAATAAATATACTAAGTTATTTTTTACTTAGTGCTTATTTTTTTTTATAGTGTATGTACAAAATTTTTAACACTCTCGAATGTTGTATAGATGTTCTTCAAAAAACAAAGAACTAACACATTCATATTTAAATTGAATATATCATTTTTCATTTTTAGAAAAATTTTTTTTTATCACTTCAGACATTAAAATTTAAACAAACAATTTTTTTTTCTCTTTTTTTTCCATAGACATTTTTCAAAAATATGTACAATTAAACTAAAATATTTCTTTTTCAATTATTTTTTTATAAAAATTTATATAGCTAAAAATTAATTCATAGAATTTATATGAATATTTGAATGCCAATTATTATTTTTCAAACATGAATTTTGATTTTCTCATTTTTCCCCTTCGCAATTAAAAAAAAAATATCTTGAGAGAATTGAAATCAACATATAATTTTTCTAAGCGTATCACGGATCACATCGTAGGTCGTAAAACTAATTCCGACAGCCACAGGACCTTTTACCCAGTTCATGCTTAAACCTTTAAAGAAAGCCATTATACCCTCCTCTCTAAAAGCAGACAATAAATAATTATTTATAATTAATTTCTAGTTTTTTTACTTAATTATAATTTCTAATTCAGGGTTGCCACAGGTCAGGAAAATCAGGGAATTCAGGGAAAAGTTAGGAAAAGTAGAATTGGTCAGGCAAATCAGGGAAAAGTCAGAAAATTTTATTAAAAGTACTGGAAAAAATTAAATTTTTAAAATTCATAAGAAAATTCTGAATTTTTGTTGTCTGTTTTGTTTGCCTCATAAACTATGAAACTATCACGAATTCTAATACAAAACCTTTAGAATTTTTTTCTATTTCTGATAAGAATAAATTTTTTAATATTATTTAATTACAGTCGAACCTGGATAAGTGGAACCTGAAGGGACCGAAATTTTCGTTCCACTTACAGAGGTATTCCATTTATCCAGTTTCCCACTTATCCAGGTCGTTGTAGGCCAAGTTCCATTTAAAGAGGTATATTTGTCTTGCACTTTATATATATATATATGTATTTTTACATTAATATTTTACAATAATAAAATTCGTTGAAATAATTCAATTATTTTCATAAATAACTTTTAATTCGTCGCAAAAAATAAAATATTTTCAAAAATTTTTAAGTAGCAAAAAAATCCAATTATCTTGATACACAACAAAATTCTTCCTATAAAATCAATTATTTTAAGGAATTTTAACAAAATTCTTTCCAAAATTCAATTATTTTGATAAATATCAAAATTCAACACAAGAATTCAATATTCTTTTGAAAAGTAATAAAATACTTTGCATAAATTAAATTATTTTCAAAATTTTTTTTTAATTCTTGCCAAGAATTAAATTATCTTTATAAATAGATAGCGAAATTCTTGTCAAAAATTTTAATAAAATTCTTGCCAAAATTTAAATTATTTCAACGAAATTTAATAAAATTCTTCGCATGAATTCAATTATTTTCATAAATTATTATTTAAATTCTTCTCAGGAATTAAATTATTTTTAAAAATTTTAATAATATTCTTTAAATAGTTTTCAATTATTTTCAAAAATTGTTATAAAATTCTTTAATATAAAAAATTCCAGTAAAATTTTAATTAAATTCATTAAAAGAAATTGCTTATTTTCAAAAGTTGTTAATAAAATTCTTGGTAAAAATTAAATTTTAAGAAACATTCAATTATTGAATAAATTATTTATTTTTGTATTTAAATAATTGAATTCTCGTGGAATTATTTAATGAAAATTGATTTAATAATGAATTTCGGTTAAAATTTTAGTTAATAATTGAGGCCTTGGATCCAATAACTCGCCCGACGCTCGAAGGCACGCGCTAATACCAGTCGGGTAGCAGTGAGTGGCCCAGAGGCGCTCAATGCTCACTGACTGGCAGTTGCGCGTTCCTCCGAGCGTCGGGCGAGTTATTGGATCCAAGGCCTCAATTGAATATTACAAGCATTATAGGCATGGATTTTTAGAAATAATTGAATTTTGAAAAGGTTTCAAATTGAAATCTTTAAAAATCTGAATTCTTTATATTTTTCACTAAAAATTCTGTAGAATTAAGTTTTATTGGACAAGTTTAATTGAATTTTTCAAAATTTGAAAATTCTCAAAGAACTTTTTAAAAAATTATTAAAGAATTTTCGTTGAAAATTCTAGAAAATAATAATTGAATTTAAATGATGAAAATAATTTCGAAGAAGTTGAAGTAACAATATTCTTATATAAAATAATAATTTTATCACTGAGTTATCTTTAATTATTATAAATTATTGAATTTCAAAAGATTTGAATTCGAAATTTTTGAAAATCGTAACTTTACTTAGTATTTATTTAAAAAAGAAGTTATTGATGTTTTTGAATATTTTTACAATTAAAGAAATTGTTAAATAAATGTATTACATTTTTTTCAGTATCTAATAATTTTTAGAGTGAATCAGAATATTCTTTAGGGTCAGGGAAAAAGTCAAAATTCTATATGAAAATCAGGGAAAATCAAAGTTAAATTTTTGTGGCAACCCTGTAATTGTAAAAATAAAATAATGGACATTTTTCTCTAATTATTTTAATTTTGAACTGAATGTCGAACAAAAGTTACTCTCATTTTTAAAGTTTCGATAAAATTTTGAAAATTGATTAATTAGATTCTCGGAAATTTTTGCTGATAAATTTAATCGTAGTAAATTAATGACAATTATTAAATTATTAATTTATCTAAATTATTACTTTTTTAACGAATTTTTTTTATGATTTTGAAAATTAATTTTTTTTCTTTAACGGAAAATTTATTTAAAAGCGTTTGTACAAAAAATTATTATGGAAAAAAGAAAATAAAAATATTTAATAGATAATAATTTAATTTAATTAAAATTAATTCAGGGTTGCGACGAAAATATTTTTTTTTTGATTTTATTTGTGACTGATTTGCAGAAAGAATTTTTAAGAAACAGAATATGTACAAAAATTTGAATAAACTCACGTGTAAATCTTGGTTGCGGTTTTAATGACAGTCCGGTAGTGTTGACCCTTGACAGCTGACGTTTGTATCCTCCTGCGAATGATGTCCAGAGGATAGCTGCTCGTCTGTCCAACCACTCCGGCAACAGCCCCGCACGCCAGACCGGAAAGCGCCGTCAGTCCAGGACTATTTGTTGTGTACACTGTTTACCGACACGTCATCATCCAATATGAAGTATACACTTAAAAGTTGTCATGGACTGTGCACAAGCGTCTCTATCAAAGTAGTAAGTAAGGCCTTGACCGTGAAACGGTACTTGTCACAGCATTTTGCTTTGCGGTATACAAAAAAAGGAAAAAAAATTGCACGACAATTTTTTTTCTCTTGTGAATTTAAAAGTTATTTTCTCTCGTATATTTTTTTCTTTCTATTTTTTCTTTTCTTTTTAAAAAAAGTCATTTTTTTCCTACTTTTAATATTTACTGTTTTTAAAAAGGGTTGTTTTTTTTTAATCTAAGTTATTCAATTTCAAGCAATGCTTGGCCTGAAGCGGAAAAAAAGGAATTCTTGAAATAAACTCACCAGCCAGTAAATTCTTCAGAGTGTCATATGTGAAGAAACTGCAACCGGCGTATGGAATGACTCCCAAGAGAGTTGCAGTGAAACCTCGATAATAAGCTAAAACACCTTCTCGCCTGTAGATTTGCACGAAGACCTGTCGCAAGGTTTTGAATTCTTCCTTATCGGTCACTGCCATTCTCGCTCGCGCCAAATCCAGTGGATACGTCATCCCCTGGGACGTGACGCCTGCCAACGAACCCGCCAGAAATCTCTTTCCCGACGGTCTGCGGTGGAAAATATTTCCAATAAAATTAGTTGTGAAATTAACAATTAAATTAAATTACAATTAATTTTTAAATTAACATGGTTGCCACAAAAATTTTATTTTCTCTTCCCTTGAATTTTTGTAAAAAAAAAATTATTCGAAAACATCAATAAAACTTCGTTTTTAAATAAATATTTAGTCATTATTATTTATCAAAAAAAAATTAAGATTTTCAAAAATTTCAAATTCAACAAATTATAAAAATATTATTACAAAACATGAAGAAATCGACCACTCCGAGTCTTTGACTCGAAGTGGTCGCTTTCTTCATGTTTTATAATAATTAAAGATTACCGAGTAATAAAATAAATATTTTATATTACAAGAATATTGTTACTTCTTCAAAATTATTTTCATCATTTCGATTTAATTATTATTTTCTAGAATTTTAGTTGAAAATTCTTCATTCAATCAATTATTTTTAATAATTTTTGAAAAAGTTCTTTAAGAACCTTCAAATTACAGTCAACTCTCGATAAGACAAAGCGCGATAACTCAAATTTTTCGATAAGTCAAAGTAATTCTTGGGTCCCGTTCATTCCTTATAAGCATTATAAGGAATAATAATAATAATAAATATATAATAATATAATAATAATATAATATATAATATATAATAATATATAATAATAATAATAAATAATTTATAATAAGTTATTTGATAACTCAAACTTTTCGATAACTCAAAGTTTTTTCGGTCTCCTTATAAAATTGTAAATTAAAATCATTTGAAGTTCATCTATTTATGAAAATTGTAAACGGAACTCTTTTAAAATTCATTTAATTTTGAAATAGGTAAGTAATAATTTTATGATAGTAATTGAAGAATTTTATTTACTCATTTATTTAATATCATAATTTATAATAATTATGATTAATAATTATTTAATAATTATCAATATCATTTTTATCTGAAATAATTGAATTCTTTCGACGAATTTTAATAAAATTTTTAAGAATAATTACATTTTTCGAGGAATTCCATTAAAATTGTATTAAAAATAATTGAAATTCTGTCATGAGTTTTATTATTTATGTAAATAATTGAATTTCTAAAAAGAATTTTACTATTTATGAAAATAATTAAATCCCTGGAAAAATTTTATTAGTTTTATTAGAGGGTCAGTCCATTATATTTCACCTGAAACCGTTGCGGCCTATTTTTAAAAAAATCTCATAATTTGTAAAAATGATGTTGAATATCCATAGAATTCATTTTTGAGAATTATTTTATAAAATTTTTTTAATTTAACTTAGAATTTTAATTTTTAAATTGAGTTGGACAGAAAAAAGGTTATATTGACAGTTATGAAAATTTAATAAAAAAGCATGGGAATAATTTAGATAATAGAAATTTCTTGAATGATATTTGTTAAAAATGAGCTAATTTACTTGTATAAATAGATTATTATGTAAACATACTCAAAATAATAGATAAAAATTTATTTTAAAATTTACCTATGAAATGTCAAAAGTCACTACATTTTAATTACATTTTTCTAAAAAGTTTATAAATATTAAAAAATTTATTACTATTTAATGTAAAGTATTTTCAATTTACTTTCATAATATGTGCTAACATTTTAATTTTATAATATAGAAATAGGAAAAATTTTACCTTTAATATTGAGTGTTTCATGATTGTCCGTGATTTTAATTACTTATTTCTTCTCAGGTGCAAGACTAAAAAATCCAATTTTTGTCTTAATATTTAAGTTTGAACTTCTTTTCCATTCTATTAAATTTTTGTGATGGAGAACGAGCTACTTTTCAGTTTAAATTTAGTTGAAAAAATCTACTGAAAAAACGAATTTGTTGGTTAAAATGCAAGTAGATTTTTGCATGACTATTGAGATAGCCAACTTCAGTGTTATATAAAATTACCTGCATTTTAACCAACAAACTCGCTTTTGGAAGCAGATTTTTTAAACATGAATAAAACTACAAAGTAGCTCGTTCTCCATCACCAAAATTAAATAGAATGGAAAAGAAGGTCAAACTTAAATATTAAGACAAAATTTGGATTTTTTAGTCTTGCACCTGAGAAGAAATAAGTGATTAAAATCACTGAAAATCATGAAACACTCAATATTAAAGGTAAAATTTTTCATATTTCTATATTATAACATTAAAAAGTTAGCACATATTATGAAAGTACATTGAAAATACTTTACATTAAATAGAAATAAATTTTTTAATATTTATAAACTTTTTAGAAAAATGTAATTAAAATGTAGTGACTTTTGACATTTCATAGGTAAATTTTAAAATAAATTTTTATCTATTATTTTGAGTATGTTTACATAATAATCTATTTATACAAGTAAATTAGCTCATTTTTAACAAATATCATTCAAGAAATTTCTATTATCTAAATTATTTCCATGCTTTTTTATTAAATTTACATAATTGTCAATCTAACCTTTTTTCAGTCCAACTCAATTTAAAAATTAAAATTCTAAGTTAAATTAAAAAAATTTTATAAAATAATTCTCAAAAATGAATTCTATGGATATTCAACATCATTTTTACAAATTATGAGATTTTTTTAAAAATAGGCCGCAACGGCTTCAGGTGAAATATAATGGACTGACCCTAGATATTTATGAAAATACTTTAATTATTTCGAAGAAATTTATAAAAAAAAAATGATTTTGTATCTTCTTCAAAATTACAATTATAATTTCATTTCAATTATTATTTTCTACAATTTTTAACTAAAATTGTTCTTTAAATCAATTATTTTTAATAATTTTTGAAAAAGTTCTTTGAGAATTTTCAAATTCATTTGTTTAAAATACAATTTTACGAAATTTCGATTATTCGGAAATTTTTTAATTAAATATTATATTAGGAAATAAAAAATTGAAATAATTTCATAAAAATTAAAAATAAACTTTTTCAAAAAAATTATTTCTACAGATTTGTTAATTAAAAGAATAAAAAATTCAGATTCTCAAAGATTTTAATTTGAAACCTTTCCAAAATTCAATTATTTCTAAAAATTCACGCTATAATGCTTTTAATATTCAATTATTATCTAAAATTTAAACTAAAATTAATTTTTAAATCAATTTTTATAAGAAACTTTTACGAGAATTCAATTATTTAGATATAAAAATAAATAATTTACTGAATAATTGAATATTTCTTCAAATTGAATTCTTATAAAGAATTTTATCAATAAATTTTTAAATAATCGAAATTTTTGACGAATTTTAATAAATTTTTTCAAAATAATTACATTTTTCGAGGAATTTGATTAAAATTGTAATAAGAAAAATTAAATTTTGCGATGAGTTTCATTATTTATGAAAATAATTGAATCTCTTCAAAAAATTTTATTATTTATGAAAATAATAGAATTATTGAGAAGAAATTAATAAACAATTTGAAAATAATTGAATTCCTGTGAACTTTTTATTATTTATGCAAACAATTTAATGTTTCCGAACAATTTTATAAAAATTTTCTTTTGAAAAAAATTTATTAAAATATTAAATATATTGAAAATCATTGAATTGAGGAAAATTTTTAAAATTAATTTATATTTTGCCAAGAATATAAATTGCGAATAATTTTATTATTTTTGAAAATAATTGAATATCTGCAACCATTTGTAACTTCTCCAAAATTCAATTTTTTTTTACTGTTTTAAACTAAAATTCTTCTATAAATCCATTATTTGTAAAAATTATTTAAATATATATATATTAAAAAATTTAACTAATTTCAGAAGAATTTGAATTATTAAAATTTTTCAAAAATCTAAGTCCTTAAAAGTTTCGAATTAAATTCGTTCAAAATTGAAATTTCATAAAATTTCAAATTGAAACCTTTTGAAGTTGATCTATTTATGAAAAGCGCAACTCTTTCAAAATTTAATTAATTTGTAAATATTTAAGTAAAATTAATCATTAAATAATTTATAAAGAACTATAATAATTTTATGATAGTTCTTGAAGAATTAAGTTATTTAAAAAGAAATTATTGTCAGAAATAGAAAAATATAAATGTTTTTTTTTATAATTCGTGGTAATTTCGTAGTTTATGAAGCAAACAAAAAAGATCCAATAATTCATCATTTTCTTATGAATTCTAAAAATTTAATTTTTTCCAGTACTTTTAATAAAAATCCCTGAATTCCCTGACCTGTGGCAACCTTGGAAAAACCTCTCGAAAGAAGAAAGCTTTTAGAGAAAATTAACACTCACGAATCATGACCATTAATGTGCAATATCCTTTTCCATTGTTCGTGAGCTGTAAATTGAATGGCAGCATAGGGAATAATTCTGACCATTGTTGCACTATTTCCCCGCCATAAACTAATGAGACCATGATTACGATAGGTATTGACAATAAAATCAATAGCAGCAGTCGCTGAATATGGCTTTTTTGATACTTGAAAATTAATCTTTGTACGATCGAGAGGCGCAATTGTTGTTTTGGCCAAAGCTCCTGCAGCCGCTCCTGCCAGCAGACTTGTCCAGACCCTCTGGGTATTCGATATTGCTCTATTCTTCTCCTAAGAGGACAAACAAATTTTTTTAGATTAATTAAAATGTAATTGTAATTTAATTGTAATTAATTAAAATTATTTAATTATGAAATTAATTAAAATTAACTAAAAGAATTATTTTACTTAAAAATTTCTAAAAATTGTAACATTGCGAATTTTCTCACTACCATGGTGTCGGGTTTTGTTTCTGGGACGGACGAAGCGGTGGGAGTTACTGGTGCTGTTTTTGTCATATTTGATAAGACAGTAACTTGAATTCTTTCGAGAACCGCTTGGCTGCTTTCGACAGGACCGGCTGCGGCATGACCGCTCATCTCCTTCGGAAATCCAACAGTTTTAATAATTTTTCAGCTTTGCGGATCAAAATTTTCTCTTCCCTTCCAATCATGCACGGCCCTTTTAAATAAGGGTCGGCTGTCGCCGCACTTCCTAAAAAAACATGTAACAGTTAATAACAAATCTAGAAATAATATTTAATTATTTAAATCACACAGATAATTAACGCCGAATTATTTTTATTCTTTTGTACGAAAGGGCAAGTCCCGTAAATTTTAAATAAATAATTATTATTATTATTACTACGATTATTATGCAATTTTAATTACATGCATAGAGTCAGAAATTACCTAATACAATCAGTCTAAATTCTAAATTAATAAATCCTTGAAATGCAACAATATTCAAAGACCAATAATCATCAACTTAACTAATTTAACGTAAATGCTGCAAAGATTTGAACGATTGGCCAAGTGCCAGTGCCAACAATTCGAAATAAAGTGGTCGTTATTTAAAGTTATCAAATTCAAGTAAGATAATTTCACTGTTTGCTAAAATTCTTCAAAAATAATCACAATTATAAAAAAAAGAAAATAGTAAATTATTTATCGAAAAACAAACGAAATAAGGTAATAATTTTGCAAGGAATTTGAATAAAAAAAAAAAATGAAGATAAAAATTAATTTTCCTTACGCGCAAACATGTCAACTTTGTTGTAAACAGAAACAATAACTGCGATAAAATTTGTAAAAATACTTCCACATACTAATTGACAAGAGTATAAAAATATTGAAAAAAATAGAAAATAGATAAGAATAATGATGAATTTATTATTTCGCTACTTCGTGAATGTTGAAGGTCATCATCACGCGTGATAAATCAAAAAAAGATGCTAATTTCATCTTTGAAAAATCAGAAAATATTGAATAATATAAAACAATAAATATATTATAGACAGAAAAATTAATAATTTTCTATTTATTTGAAAAAAAAAACGTTCTTTAATAGACGGAATAAATAAATTTTCTCTGCGTAAAATCTAATTTTAATTGATAAAAATATTCTTGTGAAATTATCATCAAAATATGTGAATTTATCATAAAAATTTAATATTCAACATTTATCGTTCAATTTTATTAACACGCATCTACTTTATATGCACTTTTTCATTGTTTACATGTTTTCTTCTGTTCATTTATCTTTATATCTTGAATAAACAAATAAGTCGAGCTCGTAAAGCGATTTAAAGTTGACGTCATAACATTTAAGTGATGTCAAAACTTTTGTATACGACAAAGAACTTTTATATAAAAATAGACTTTGATCTTTTTTCAGATAAGGAAAAGTTTTCACAATTTTAATAAATTCTTCTCTATATACCTAAATTTATAGAAATAAAAAAAATAGACAAAAATTTGATTCTGTATTTTTCTGATTTCCGTAAAAAATATTCACTGTTTTTCTTATCCTGGTCATAACAATAATTCTAAATTTTTATCAAATTCAATTATTTTTCAAATTTTTATTTAGACTTTTTCCAAAATTCGATTATATTTAAAAATAATTCTTAATAAAAGTAAAAAAATAATTTTTTTTTTATAAAATTTATTTCAATTAAATTTGAGAAACTTTTCAATTGAATCGAAATTTTAATAAACATTTTTAATTTTTAAGAGAATTTTTCCTATATTCGAAAAAATGTAATTAACAGTTTTCAAAAAAATTAATTTTTTTCTAATCTTTAAATTAATTATTTTACTAGAATAATTTTTTTGACTAAATTCTTTAAATTTATTAAAAAGAAACTAATTTTTTAAAAATTTTAATTGAAAATTTAGTTTTTATTTAAAATTTGAAATTGATTACATTTTTCCAAAAAGTTCTCAGTACTTTTTTAAAATAATCGTTTTTGTAATAATTATAATTAAAAAAAATTGAATTTCTGATAAGAATTTTTTTTTATTAATAAAAATATTAAAATTCTTGTGAAGAATTTTATTAAAATTTTTGAAAATAATTACATTTTTTATTTTTTTCACTAATTTATTTAAATCTTTTGAAAATAATGTAGTTTTCTCTAATAATTTTAAACGTATTTATATTTCACGAAGAATTCTTCTCAATTTCTTAAAATAATACCTAGTGTTTGTTAATTATTGTAACTAAAAATTGTATTAAAATTTTTTTGTAAATATAGTTAAGTTCTTTTAAAGAATTTTACTAAAAAAATTAAAATTTGATTTTTTTCGAGAATGTTATTAAAGATATTTAAATTAGATTGAAAATAATTGAATTCTTGAGAAGAAATTTATTATTTATGAAAATAATTGAATTGTTGCAACGAATTTTATTAAATTTTTTTATATATGTAATTGAATTCCTGTGAAAAATTTTATTTAGTTTCAAAAAAATTTTGAAAGTTTGAATTGTTTCAAAGAATTTTATTAGAATTTTTGAAAATAATTTTTTTATTTCAACTATTACCAGATTTAAATTATTTTAGCAAAAAAATTCTTCTTTAGAAAAAAAATTCTTTTGTTTGTTTACTCAACTATTTTTGTTTCACAGTTACGTGACAAATCAACAGGTGTAAGATCCAAGGGATCCAAGTCAATATAAATAATTTCTTGCATATATTTAATTGGCGATAATGATTCTTCAATTGTAATCGAACATCTATTAATAAGTAGTTGAAAAAAACGTCTGCCTAAAATTAGCCCATTTTTCTGTCGAGTTTCCAAAAAAAAAGTCTTCAAACTTTTATTTATAATGATCAGAAATTTCAATTTTTTCAATAATCAAGAATTCCGAATCCTTTTTAAACATCAAGATTGACATTTAAATTCACATGGTCTTAAAAAGAAAACATAAAAATCATCGTCAGCCTTGACAATTGAAAAACATCTAGGACTTGTTATTTGCATTTCCACTACGTCAGAACTTGTCTTTTTCTAAATGTACACATGTTTATTATTTTTTTTTTACTAACAAACAATAAAAGTGCACTTTTGCGCAGAATATGGTCAAGAAAATCATAAAAATTATTGTTTTCTCTTTCAACAATATTACAAATACTCTTTTTTAATTGGAGTCAATGCTGAAAATAAAAGCACAGAATAATTTTCAACTGCGTAGTTAGGGTCATAAATGCATCGTTTTTCTTATATAATCTATAATTAGTTCAATTGGATTTTCATTATTCATTTATCAATAATTTTTCGAATGATAACGCTTATTACATAATAAGTTAACAATTTATAGTAAATATGTATCGATAAGAATTTTTTTTTGCCACAGTTACGATATGAAACTTTTATTATTAATGGAGTTCAAATTGAACTTTGAACACAAGGGCGTCCCTACTCTGCTTCAAAATAATAAATGAAACGTCATGTTTGACACATACAAATTTTTTTTTTCACACATCTTGGCATCGAAATCTCGCGCACAAGACAATTGAAAATGCAAATTTTTCCTTAATTTTAAACTTATTTTTATAAATTTACCATTTCGGTGAAATATTACCCAAAAAAAGGGGAAAAATATAAAAAATTACAACCTATTATTAAATGAAAATTTGCCAAGAAGAGTGAATAAAAAATTCTTTTCACTGCTGAAAAAATAAATTTCTAAGTTACGAACAAAGGTGAATCATGACAATAAAAAGTAAAATGTAAATATTGTTTCTACCTCGTAAAAATTGTGCTTGAGGATAATTGTGATCCAGGGAAGATTGTCTCTTTCAAATTGATTTAATATTATTCTTTTAATTAAAAAAAATAGAAGCCTAAGCTTCTAATGAGCCCATAATTTTTAACACTATATACTATAAAATTTGTTAACACCCACACTTTTAGAAACGAAGCAAATGAATGCTCATACTGAACTGGGACCTGACAATGTTGACAGTATTGACATCAGAGAATATTTTTAGGTTATGTGCGTACTACAGGTGTCACTTCAAACGTCCAAAAGATGGCGCTATTTTGATTATGAACCAATTAGATTTCGTATCTATTCTTGGACAAAAAAATCAGCCAATGACGTTTCAAGAAACATCGCGTTGCTATGGAAACAGATCTGATAAAGACAATTACAATTTATTTCTGGCAAATGTCACTTTTATTAATAATTTCAACAAGTTTTGCGAGTATTAATTAAAAATAGAGGCGAAGTTTTTTTTAATTAAATCACTTGAATAATTTAGATATGCTTGAACTTGGTGGGGAAAAGTAATAAAAGTATATACAAAACTATACAAAGAAAAAAATGGCACAGAATCTAGGTTTGTTGTTTTTATTCAAAAACTTTTGTTTTTATAATATTGTGCAATTTTCTATTTATTATAAATTTATAAATTCATTTTTTATGTGGCTAAATAATAATAACAATTTTTCTTAGATTGTGCAACGAACTCTATTGATTCCGAACTTTTGGATTGCCTTCGAAGAAATAAAATAACAGTTGATGATTTCTCATTTGATGAGGTCATTGGCCTCATTGAGGATATTTTAATGGGTATACAGTTTATTTAAATTATTTTTAATTAATAACTTTTTGTAATATTTAGCTTAATGATACAATAAAACCGAACCCCAATTTATAATTTTATTTTTACAGAGGACGATTTTCAAGAAATGCAACAGCGTTATTTGGAAAAATATTGGCAAATTTTTGAGCCAGTTGAAGAAAATAAATTGGTTTACATGGATATTTTTAATGATTACGTAAGTAAAGCTTACTTTTAAATTTAATGTCGATACATAAATTAAATTACAGGGTTGCCACAAAAATTGTATATTATTCTTCCCTGATCTTTTTCTGATTTCCAGACAAAATTTTCATTTTTTCCCTGACCATAAAAGAATATTCTGATTTACTCTAAAAATGATTAGATACTCAAAAAAACAGTCTATTACATTTACTTACGAATTTATTAAATCGTAAAATTATTCGCAAACATCAATAACTATTTAAATAAGTATTTAATTATTATTTTTCCATAGGAATTAAAATTCTTCAAAACATTCAAATTCAAACATTTTTAAAATTCAACAAATAAGAATATCATCATAAAACATAAAGATATCAATTACTCCGAGTCTTCGACTCGGAGTGATTGATATCTTCATGTTTTATAAAAATTTTAATTTCCATAAAATTTTTCAAAAAAAAATTAAATTATTTACAAAAATTATAATAAAATTCGTTGCAAGAATTCAATTATTTTCATAAATAATAAAATTCTTCACATGGTTTCAATTATTTTTAATACAATTTTAGATAAATTTACCTTCAAAAATTTTTTCCAAGAATTAAATTAGGTACATTTTACAAATAATTAAATTCTTTGCTGAAATTCAAAAATTTTCAAAATTTACATTTTTAATACAAGTTTTCAAAAGAATATAACTATTTAAATAAAATGTAAGAAAATTCGTTGCATAAATTCAATTATTTTTACAAGTAATAAAATTTTTCACATGAATTCAATTATTTAAAAAAAATTGATAAAATTCGTTGTAAGAATTCCATTATTTTCATAAATTATAAAATTTTTCTGAGGATTTCAATTATTTATAATACAATTTAAAGTAAATTCCTAGAAAAATGGAATTATTCTCTTAAATTTTTTGTAAGAATTTAATTACATTTCACGAATGTAATGAAATTCTTCGTTGAAATTCAAATATTTTCACAATATACTTTTTTAATAAAAGTTCTTAAAAGAATTTAATTATTTAAAAAAAATGTAATAAAATTCGATGCAGGAATTCAATTATTTTCATAAATAATAAGATTCTTTACATTATTTCAATTATTTAAAAAAAAATTTGAAAAAATTCATTGCAAGAATTCAATTACTTTCATAAATTAATATAATTCTTCACAGGATTTCAATTATTTTTTTTTTTAGTAAATTCTTCGAAAAATGTAACTATTTTCAAAAATTTTGTTAAAATTCTTCGAAAGAATTCAATTATGTATTTTATCAATTATGTATTTTTAAAAATTCATGCTACATAATGCTTTTAATATTCAATTAACATCTAAAATTTTAACTAATATTCATTTTTAAATCAATTTTTATTGCAAAATTGTACAAGAATTCAATTATTTAAATACAAAAATAAATAATTTATTGAATAAATGAATGTTTTTCGAAACTAAATTATCATAAAGAATTTTATCAACAAACTTGAATTTTTTCGAGAAATTTTAATAAAATTTTCAAGAATAATTACATTTTTCGAGGAATTCAATTAAAATTGTATTAAAAATAATTGAAATTCTAGGATGAATTTTATTATTCATAAAAATAATTGAATTTTTGTTAGAAATGTTATTATTTATGAAAATAATTGAATTATTGCAAAGTTTGCTTAGAATTTTATCAAAAAAATTTTTTTTTTTAAATAATTGAATTCTTTTGAAAAATTTTATTAAAACTGTAGATATTGAAAATCATTGAATTGAGAAAAATTTTTTGAAAATAATTGAAATTTTGCAAAGAATTTTATTAAAATTTTTGAAAATAATTGAAATTTGGAGAAGAATTTTATTATTTTTGAAGATAATTGAATTTTAACGAGAATTTTTTTTAATTTTTGAACATAATTGAATTTTTGCGAAGAATTTTATTACTTTTGAAAATAATTGAATTTCTGCAATCATTTGTAACTTCTCCAAAATTCAATTTTTTCCAGTTACTTAAATAAAAATCCCTGACTTTTCCCTGACTAATTTTACTTTCCTTGACTTTTCCCTGAATTCCCTGATTTCCCTGACCTGTGGCAACCCTGAATTAACAGGGTAGTCACAAGTTTCAGTTTATCAATTTCATAAATTGATCTGACAATTTACTGACATTAAATTTATTTTCCCTGACAAAATTTTTTTTACAGGAAAATATGAAAGTTTACGGAAAATGAGTAAAATTTATGAATTTTAATAATTTCTAAAAATTACAATTATAAGTTATAACCCTTCTTGAATTCAATTATTTTCTACAATTTTCAACTAAACTTCATCTTTAAATCAATTATTTTAAAAAACTTTCCGAAAGATCTTCTAAAATTCAATTATTTAAATACAGAATCTTAATTTTTATAATAATTGTAACTATACATGTTTTTTTCTTAAGTTATTAAGGTTATTTTCAAAAAAAATTATAATAAAGAAATTCTTACCATTAATTTTTTTTTAAATATTTAAAAATATTTTTTGAAAGATAATAATCTCAATTTTCCTAATTACCCTGAAAAACAATTTTTTTCCCTGTCATTTCCCCGACTTTACTGCCATAAATATTCTTTTCCTGACATTTCCCTGACTTTACTGACATGTGACCACCTTGATTAAATATTAATACATAAATCAATTCAAAAATCAATTTGAAAAATTTTCCAATTAAAACTTTTCTTTTAGAATAGAGACATAGAAGCATTTTTGGAAAACAGTCTCAAAAAAGTTATACCCAACTTTTCAATGACTACATTTTTAAGTCAGTTGAGGTAAGAGTTTAAAACTCAAATATATCTTAAATAATTAAAAGAAAATTAATAATTGAAATTTTCTTGTAACAGTATGAAGAAATCCGAGTTAGAAGGTGAAATTTTCGAAATACTCTTATCATTCACGGACTTTCTTGCTTTCAAGGAAATGATCCTCGACTATCGAGCTGTGAGTTATTTTTTAAACAAAGTCAAATTTTCTTAATGAAATTGTATTTTTATTAATTATTAACAGATTTGATTATATTGATCTTTGATTATAGCCAATTATACAAGATAAATTCAAAATATTGACTAATGAAGTGAATATTTACATTTAAAAACAAACAATAGTATAATTATTATTTTTTGCAAATTGGAAATAATTTATAAATTATTTCAGATGAAAGAAGGAAAAGTTCAAGACCTCAGTGGAAGTTTGTTTGTAACATCTTTGAAATCGGGAAATAATTAAGAATCATTGAAAAAAACCAATGCACCTAGCAAACCGTTCTTTAATCTTAAGTATACGTTGAAATAATTTTGCGTTAATTTTTTTTACACAAGAAGAAATTTCGACTTTTGTAAATAACAAAGAACTGCAATAAGGCTGTTAATTTTATAAAATAAATATATCATTTGACAAATTAATTTCAGTAGTTTAATCATTATTAGATTTTATTTTATTTTAAATAAGTTTGAATTAATTATTTAGAATTACTTAGATTTTAACAATAATTTTACATAACAATATTGTTCATTAAATTAAAATTTCAATCAAGATGAAAATCTAATAATATTTATTGTTGTTTATAATTATTGTTACGAATAAGAGAAACACACACTTTTTCACTTACCTCACTTTTTATTACGAAAGTTGATTTAATATAAATTTATATAAAAAATATTAATATCTAATTACACTAGAGTTCATTTACAGTAACGTCTTCATTTTCTCCACAAATTATTTATATGCTCAATGCATGAGAATTTCCATTTGAACAAGTTTACTGTTAGTTTCATTTGGCATTCGATAGGGTAAAGTTCCGGCGAAACTTGTCAAAGCACGAGCTTGCTCTCTTAAGTCACGCAACTGTTGTTCCCTTGCAATTTCATCGCCAGGCTCAGAGGAACGTAATTTTTGATATTGTTTATAGAGAATTGTCATTGTCGCTAAAAGAACATCGGCCAAGGTGCCTGACACTTCTGGCGCCACTCGACGTAATGCCGTAACTCTCTCATCCACTTCTTTCATATTTAATGGCAATAATTTCGAATCTGCTATCGTCTGCAAAATTAATTCGAGTCAAATTAAAATTATGTACTAATATTCCAGATATTCTGTCATCACGTGAAGTTACGGCTTTTTGATTCAAAATTGTTTTACAGCTCAAATTGTCATGTCAAAAGTTTGAAAATTAATTTGTAAATAGAGTGATTAGTGTTTTTGTTAAATTGATTCCCCTAGAATTTTTACAATGACAGGTATTCCACAGGATAATAAAGAGAGAAAAATTATCCAAAGTATTACAAAAATATCATATTATTGAAAATCTTAAATATTCTATGAATTTTCATTCTTTAAAAAAAATCATTAAGTTGAGTTTCAGTTGCATTTATTAGAAATAATCAATTATTTTTGTATTTAAATAATTAAATTCTAGTACAACTTTTTGATAAGAATTGATTTAAAAAAGAGTTTCAGTTCAAATTTTAGAAAATATTTCAAGAATTGGAAGAATTGCAGTTCTAACTTTAATTAAATTTCAAAAGATTTACATTGAAAGTACTTTGAAATTTTTTGTGGACAAATAAATGACAATACAAATATTCAAATATAAATTAAACAAAAATTCATGAAATTTGAAAAAATTAATTTAGAAATTCTGAAAAATGAGATTTTTAAAAAATCGTAAGTACAATTTTTTGAAATAGGTGAATTCTAGAAAATAATTTTAAAAAACGAAAAAATTTTCTCAAATTTCATTAAAATAAATTTTATATGTTAAAGAATTATATTTTCTCTCTTTAAAAAATTATTTCTAAAAATATTATTGTATTTTTTAAAGAATTGTAACTTAAAAATTTAGAAAATAAATAAATTTTACAGAAATTTTTGTACTTAAATATTTGAATTCTCGTACAACATTTTGATAAGAATTGATTTGAGAAAGAATTTCAGTTAAAATTTTAGAAAATACCTATTTGAAGAATTGGAAGAACTTCAGTTATAATTTTTAAAAATAATTAAAATTCAAAAGGTTTCACATTGAAAGTATTTTCAAATTTTAATTCCTGATGGACAAATAAATAACAATATAAAAATATTCGAATATAAATTAAACAAAAATTAAAGAGATTTAAAAAAATTAATTTAGAAATTCTGAAAAAATTAGACTTTAAAAAATTTTTTAAAATACAGAATTTTAGTTTCTCACTTTAAAAAATTATTTTTAAAAATATTGAGTTTTTTGAAAAATTTGTAACTAAAAATTTCGAAAATAATTAATTTCTACAAAAAGTTTTCTATTTAAATAATTCAATTGTCGTAGTTGAATTCTAATAAAAATAGATTTAAAAAAGAATTTCAATTCAAATTTTGAAAGCGTTATAACAGAAATTTAAAGAAATAATTAAATTTTAAAAGTTTTTTAAATTGAAATCAATTCAACATTTTAATCGCTGTAAAAATAAAAAATATTTAAACGTTTGTTAAAAAAAAATATTAATATATTATTTTCCTTTTAAAATTTTTAAAATTTTTCAATAATATTGTATTCAAAAATTCTAAAAAATAATTAACTTTTGTAAGAATTGCAGTTGTAATATTTAAAAATAATTAAACAAAAGGTTTCGGGTTTTGCATTGAAATTATTTTACATTTCAATGAAAATAAATAACAATAAGTTTTTTAATTTTTTTATTTGAAAGAATTTAATTTTACTACTTCTAAAAATTATTTTGAAATGTAGTCGTATTTTTTAGGAATTATATTTCGAAAAATAGTAATTTTTAAAAAATAGTCAATTTTTATTAAATTTCAAGAAGAAAGTATCTATTTAGAAAATTTTTAATTATTTGCAGTCAACTCTCGATATTTAAACTTTCGATAAATTAAATTTGTTTTCTGTTGAAGAATTTTTCATACTTAAAATATTTAATAAATAAAACCCTCGATAATTTGAATTTTTTCTAGGTCCTTTAAGATTCAATTTATCGAGAGTCGACTGTAATATAAAAATAATGAAAAGTTAATAAATAAAATCGTAAATATAAATAATGAATTAAATTATATTTACCATCAATGCACTTTGATACTGTTCGTTGTGAAATTGATCGAAGAATACCATCAGATCTCTTAGGGTATAGAAAGCTGCTACCAATTCCGATGGGGCTTGAATTGGCATTCCTTGGTACCTAAATATTTGTAATTATTAATAAAAGTTTTTCGCTTTGTTTTTTTTCTGAAAGTAAAATTTAAATAAAATGGAGTTTCCACCATACCTAATACTCATGTCGGTTGCATTCTCGTGTAATCGCGACCTCAATGAATTAGCTTCACCTTTCTGACTAACAACTTGCGCCAATAGCATGCACATTATGCTTAAAACTTTCTCATGATTTCCGGCGAGATCATACATTGTGACCGCATCTTCTAAAACTCCTTTCTTGTACATTGTATCGGCGGCAATATTTATCACATCGTCTGTATTAATATGCAACTGATCCAACATTCCCGGTAAACGTCGATCTTTATCAATTTTTCCAATTAACAAAACACGATTCGCTGGCGTTGCACTAACAACCATTTCTGCTGTTGATGCTGCAAACATATTTCTCTCGTACGGGTCCTTCATGCACCTAAAATTGATTATTTCGTAGCAGTTTTATTACAAAAATTTATAAAACTATTTATTGTAATTTTATTTTTGTACTACAAAAATAGAAATACAAATTACATAATAAAATTTAATTAAATGAAATTCAATTCAAAGAAATAAGAAAATTCATCAAGTTGAATAAAAAAATATTAAACAATAAACAAATTAGTGAAATAGAATTTAATTGAATTTCATTTAATGGAATAAAGTTTAATTTAATGAAATAATTTAACAAATAGTTAAAATTAAATGAAATAATTTAATAAATAAAAACCTCAGTAGGAAGAGATAGTGAAGACTTTCTTTCGGATCAGACGCCTCGAATCTCATCACGTAGAGTAAAATTAATCTTGCAAAATTCAGTCTTCTCGCGGGGGGTTTGTCAGCAACATCGGTGCTTATTAACGGAGCTAAAACACTTTGACTAACGGCCAATAAATTATGCTCGTGCATTGCCGCCGCTAAATGAACAGCGTGAACTAAATGTCGAGCACTTGCTCCTCGAGCTAGAAATTCAATCGCCGATTCGAATTGTCCAGTTAGGAAGAGCATAGAAAAGTACAAGAATGGTTGCTCATGTGCGTGATAATAAGATTCACCTAAAAAAGAAAATTAAATTCAAATTGAAAATGTAAGTACATAAATAAAAAGAAATTCCAGGTTTTGCACTCATTAATTAATTTTACAGGGTTGCCACAAAAATTTAATTTTCTTTTTCCCTGATTTCCTGACAAAATTTTCACTTTTTCCCTGGCCCAAAAGATTCACTCTAAAAATTATTAGATATTAAAAAAAAATGTTCTATTACATTTATTTACGAATTTCCTTAATTGTAAAATTATTCAAAAACACCAATAACTACATTTTTAAATAAATATTTATTCATTATTATTTTTCCATAGGAATTAAGATTTTCAAAAATTTCAAATTCAAACCTTTTTGAAATTCAATAACTTAGAAGAATATTATTATAAAACATAAAGATATCGCTTTCTTCATGTTTTATAATAATTAAGAATGACCGAGTGAAAAAATAATTATTTTATATTACAAGAATATTGTTAACTATAACTTTTTCAACATTGTTTTCATTATTTCTATTCAATTATTCTTCCAGAATTTTTAACTAAAATTCTTCTTTAAATCAATTATTTTTAATAATTTTTGATAAAGTTCTTTTGAGAATTTTTAAATTCATTTGTTTACAAATCAATTTTAAGAAATTTCGATTATTCGGAAATTCTTCAATTAAATATACATTAGAAAATAAAAACTTGAAATAATTTTAAAAAATTTCGATTAATCTTTTTTGAAAAAAAATTAATTGCATAGAATTTTCAATTAAAAGTATGAAAAATTCAAATTTTCAAAGATTTTAATTTGAAACTTTTACAAAATTCAATTATTTCTAAAAATTACAATTATTAGATAATTTATTGAATAATTTAATGTTTCTTAAAATTGAATTCTTATACAATATAATTTTATCAACAAATTTTTAAATAATTCAGTTCTTTCGACGAATTTTAATAACATTTCTAAGAATATTTTTTTGAGGAATTCGATTAAAATTGTATTAAAAATAATTAAAATTCTGCAATGAGTTTTATTATTTATGAAAATAATTAAACTATTGCGAAGAATTTTATAAAAAAGTTTTAAACAATTGATTTTTTTCGAAAAAATTCATGCAAATTTTATTTAATGATCTAATGATTGAATTCCTGCAAAATTTTCATTATTTTAAAAAATAATTGAATATTCTTATAGAACTTTGTCAAAGTTGTTTTTAAATAATTTAATTCTTTTGGGAAATTTTATTTTATTACAAATTATTGAATTAAGAAAAATATTTGAAAATAATTGAAATTTTGCCATGAATTTTATTAAAATTTTTGAAAGTAATTAAATTTTATTACTTTTGAAAATAATTGAATTCTTGTGATGAATATTGAAAGTTATGAAAATAATTGACATCCTCACAATGATTTTATTATTTATAAAAATAATTAAATCCCTGAAAAGAATTAAAAAATTTATGAAAATAATTGAATTACTGCTATGAATTTAATGCCAAATTTTAAAACATTTGATTTTTTCAAAAAAAATTTACGTAAATTCTATTTCTAATAATTGAATTCCAGTGAAATTTTGATTTTTTTGGAAAATAATTGAATGTTCGTGTAGAATATTATCAAAATTCCTATAAATAATTGAACTATGTCGAAGAATTTTATTAATTTTGAAAATAATTGAATTCTTGTGATGAATATTGTTATTTATGAAAATAATTGAATTTTACAATGAATTTTATAAAAATTCCTAAGTATAATTGAATTTCTGACAAGAATTTTGCTATTTATAAAGATAATTAAAATGTTGATCAGAATTTAAAAAAAAATTTTAAATAATTGAATTTCTTCAAAGAATTAAAATTGAAACTAATTTCAACAGAATTGAAATTAAAATTTTTCAAAAAAATACTTCATTAAATGATTTATAAGTAACAACTTTATGGCAATTCTTCAATCGAATTAAGTTATTTAAAATAAATTATTGTCAGAAGTAGAAAAAATAGAAGGTTTTTTTAGAATTCGTGGTAATTTCATAGCTTATGAGGCAAACAAAAAGACACAAAAATTCAGAATTTTCTTATAAATTCTAAACATTTAATTTTTTTCCCCTGATTTCCCTGACCTGTGGCAACCCTGTTTTAATAAAAGTATCAATAAAACTGAAAAGAAGCAGTAAAAAAGTAGATTAGATTAGATTTGGAAAATTTTCAAATTACCATATACTTCTAGAATCGTCGTTTGTAGACTATCCAACGTCAATTTATGTTCAGGATCAGGTTGCTCTCTAATTTGGCACAATTTCAACCAAAGATAATCGTCAGCCGTCGACATGACTTCAGAATGAAGATCGTCAGGTTCACAAGGAACGAGAGCGCAATAGGCAGCTCTTTTATACGGATCAGTAGCAGAGCGAACATGCTTTCGATAATGTAGTTTAAGAATCGATTCGGTACGACTTCCAGGATGGAATTGCGCATCTTTCGAAGCCTCCTCTAGAGCTTGACGAAATTCCTGAAATGCCGAACCACACTGAGTCAAACATTGAAGCGCTGCCTTATAATCACCAGCTCTCATACAATAATAAATAAGCGGCCACAATGGTTTGTCATCCAGAAAAACATCCTCCAAATCCCTATAATTGTGCACCTTAATACCAACAAAACTCTTCACCAATGGCAATGTTCCCGGTATTCCACCGCGTTTAGCCTGAACCAAATTCTCATTCACCACTGAATTCATAAATTCCTTGTAGCGATTCTCCAAATATGAGCGGGCTTGAAAGATTATTTTCTGCTCAACTGTGGGACTACTTCGTGATTTAATTTGATCACCACGTGGCGTGGGTGGAATTTCAATCATACACTTGACCATTTGCCACATGTCGAGGACCTTCTTGTCGTTAAAGACCTCGGCTGCCTTTGTGAAGAGGGTAAATAAACTTGGTCGTGTAACACCACGAAGCACGTGGTCGTTGTAATTTTGCAATTCTTTCGCGTAAGCGACTTCCATACTTGACAAACCACTGATCATTGAGCCTGCTAATTTTGTACGCTGCGGTGTTCCTCTGAGATCCACCAAATCTCCCGATGGTGCAGTCATTGCGTTCATAATTTCGTATCGCATTTGTTTCCATTCGCCTAAAATGTGCTCCAATTGTTGTACACGATTTGATTGAAATGTCTGTAAAAATGCAACAAAAAATATGAAATACAGGTTTGACACAAAAATTTTATTTTGTTTTTCCCTGATATTCCCTGATTTACAGATAACATTTTGACTTTTTCCCTAATTCTAAAGAATATTATGATTCACTCTGAAAATAATTAGATACTCAAAAAATATTCTTTTACATTTATTTACGAATTTCCTTAATTGTAAAATTATTCAAAAACATCAGTAGTTGTTTTATATTAGAAAATAAAAACTTCAAATATTTTCAACAAAAATACAAATTTTAATAAAATTTTTCAATACAACTTAATTCTATAGAATTTTTAGTTTAAAATTTAAAAAATTCAGATTTTCAAAGATTTTAATTTAAAATTTTTACAAAATTTAATTATTCTAAAAAAAATTCTTATTTTTATTCTTATTAATTCTTATTCTTAAATATTTTTAATTTAATATTTTATTATTATTATTATTATTCATTTAATATTCTATATTTTAATGTTTAAAATTTAATATTACCTAATATTATCTAAAAATTTTATTGAAATTCATTTTTAAATCAATTTTATTAGAAAATTCTGGGATGAGTTTTATTATTCATGAAAATAATTGAATTGTTCTGAAAAAATTGATAAAAATTTTGTAAATAATGTTTGAAAATAATTCACATTGTGACAAGAATTTTATTAAATTTTTGAAAATAATTGTCTGAATTTTGGTAATCATTTGTTACTTCTCCAAAAAGTCATTTTTTTAGTGTTTTTAACTAAAATTCTTCTGTAAATCCATTATTGTTAATAATTAATTAAATATATAAATTAAAAAATTGAACTAATTTCAGAGGAGTTTGAATTATTAAAATTTTTCAAAAATCCAAGTTCTTTAATGTGTCTAATTAAATTAATTAAAAATTGAAATTTTCTAAAATTCGAAATTGAAACCTTTTGAAGTTCATCTGTTTATGAAAATTGTAAACGCAACTCTTTGAAAATTCAATTAGTTTTGAAATATTTAAGTAAAATTATTCAGTAAATAATTTATAAGTAATAATTTTATTATAGTTCTTCAAGAATTAAGTTATTTAAAAAGAATTTATTTGAATTCATTGTTAGACTAAAATTCATTGTACTAAAATTCGTGGTAATTTCACAGTTTATGAGGCAAACAAAAAAGACACCAAAATTCAGAATTTTCTTATGAATTCAAAGAATTAAATTTTTACATTGCTTTCAATAAAAATTCCTGACTTTTCTTATGAATTCAAATAATTAAATTTATTACAGTACTTTCAATAAAAATTCCTGACTTTTCCTTGATTTCTCTGACCAATTCTACTTTCCCTGACTTTTTCCTGACCTGTGTCAACCTTGTAATATCTGTAAATGATTTGCTTTTTAAATATATAAATTTTTACATACGTCTTTGTGGACTTGATCAATAATTGAGAGAATTGCATTTTCTTTTTCGTTTCGAAGATAACTGACAATGTCTGTATCTGCAATAGGATCCAACGGTTCGAAAGTACGACGAGTACTTAGAGAATTTAATTTCTGTGAGATTTGTGGCAAATCGATTCCTCGCGAGCCCAAAAGCAAGTGACTGAAATAAAATAAATAAATATGTAAATAGAGCAAAAGTAAAGTTAGTAAAGTAAAAGTAAAATAAAAGTAAAGAGACTAAATAAATTATAACTAAAGTAAGTATAAAGTAAAAGCAAAGTAATATTGTGAATTGTTGATACTTGAATAATAAAAAAGTTAGGTTATGAAAGGTAAATTTCAACAAGTATTAAAAATAAACTCACGCCTGGATCTGATTATCCTGTGCGCCGGTTTGAATAACACGAGACAATAATTCATTTGAATCTTGTAAAATTTGTCGTAGATTTCTCTCGACCTGGGGAAGTTCTCCATTGCCTTCGACAGCTGCAGAAAGTTGTTCAGCTTCACGCAAAAGCTCATTAAAATCAGTATCACCCATAGTTCTTGATCTCTTAACACTGTATTATAAAAAACTAAATTTCCTCTTTCCTATCACAGTTGATTAACTTTATTATTTAGAAATTGTTTATTTGAAAATCTCGAAAAATAACCGGTGAGTCCGAAAATTTTAATGCAACTGACATAACCTCAATTTGACAAGAAAACGCGCGCTATTTGCATTCGCGGCCATATTTGTTTCGAAGTCACGTGACATTCAGCGCAAGTTTTCAAATTAAAAAAAAATTAATTCGGTATTCGAAAGAAAGTAAAATTTTAATTTTTAATTGAAAATACTAATTAGGAATTATTTTGAAATTGTTTTCAAGAATTGAATTAGGAAAAGAAGAAAAGGATTAATATAAAATTTTCTAAAAATGTACATCTTTTTATCTCACAGTTTATTGTAATTGCTTTTGATTACAATTTACATAAAAAAGATGTTCACAATCGTCTTGGAAAAAAAATTAAATTATTACAATAAATAATCATATTTGGGTGTTTTTTTAAATATAGTCTTTGATACGCAACTGCTAGTATAACTAACAATGAGACATTTTTATAATCATTTAACATTTTAATATAATTCATCAATTAATTTGATATTTCTATTCATGAATAAACAGCAAACATTTTTAATACTTCTTAAAAACTAAAATTACATTTAGAATTCTTTCGAAAATGAAGAAAAATTAATTTTCTTTCAATTTTCACTGTAACAAAAAACTGGTATTTTTTTCTACATAATTATAATACTCGTTTTGGTAAATTCAATAAACTATTGACATTAAAGAATTAAATGGTAAATTAAAACATTGATCTTAAAAAAAAAACATATAAATCATGACTTAATTTTATCAAAACGGTAAAAGAATGATTTTATTCCTAAACTAACGCTATAGAGAGAAATATTTTCATAATTAAAAAATTTAAAAAAAAAATAATATAATATCACAGGAAGAAAAATTAATTCTTCTTTTTATCATCGTTTTTATTTTTAAAAACTTAGAATTCAATATCACTTTTCATTTTCTTTCAAAAAATATGTTTACTATTGAAGTAAACTAGATTTTTTTTTGATTAAAATGAAAGAAATAAAACTTGACTAAATCATTTTCAATGCCTTATCTATTTTTATAAAAAAAATTGTTTACCTCTTTTTTTCATTTTTTCTCGTTTGTTAAAAATTGTAAAGTTTTTTCTATATGCCAATTTTTCGTTATTTATCAGTTTTTAAAATTTAGAAGAATTTCTAAATAAAAAAAAATTTTGAGTGAATAGATTAAATAGAAAATGGAATGTACAAAATATTTTTGCGGAAAGAAAAGAATTTTTTGTTTTCATTTATCTGCTAAACATTTTCTTCTGCATTCTCACCCAATCTTGAATTTTTTGGCTCGTTGGCTTTGTTTGCACTAAAACTTCAGCTGCCTGCTGAAACTTTTCTTCATTTCTTCGAATGTACATGGCGACATCCTGCTCCAATTGTTCGATTTTATTGGGCCGAATTTCAACCATTGTTAACATTTCAGATAAATAGGGATTGAATCTGTAGTAGGCGTGATCTGGCAAGAGGTCGTTCAACATAATGTGCACCGCTGTAAAAAAAGAGAAATTTTTTTATTTTTATAATTTAATGACTGCAGGCTTTGCACTCGATAATTAATTTTTGAAAAAGCAGCAAAAAGTAGCTTTAAGACTGAAAAATAGTAGTAAAAAAGTGACTATCGAAAAATTAAATTTGACGAAGAGAAAAACTAGTTTTAGACGTTTCACAAAAATCAGAAAAATTTGATTTTGTATTTTATTTTCCTGATTTTTTTCTAATTTTCACCATCAAAAATATTTATTTTTTCTTATCCTGTTGACAATTTCAATTCAAAATTTTTTCAAAATTAAATTATTTTCTAAATTTTAATTTAAAATATTAATTATTGAAAATATAAACTTTCTTCAGTAAAATACGATTATATTTAAAAATAATTTTTAAAAGTTAAAAGAAAATAAACTTCTTTAAAATTTAAAATTCATTTCATTTAAATTTTGACAAACTTTTCAAATAATTGGAAATTTAATTTCTTTAATTAAATTACATTCAAAACTTGAATAATTTTTTTCAAATAAATATTTATATACTTCTTTATTTTTCCACAGGAATTAAAATATTTTATATGATTTCAATTTAAAATTTAACTACTTCTAAAAATTACTACTGTAATTAAATTCGATCATTTTTTTGTCAAAATTTTGAAATTATTCGAAACTAACCATTTTTTAAGTAAATAAGAAATTAATAATTTTTGTAATAAAAATTATTAAAATACAAAAAAAATTCTGTTGAATAATTGGATATTTCTTAATATTGAATTCTTGTAAAGAATTTTATCAACATTTTTTTAAAATTGATTTATTAGGAATTTGAATAAAAATTTTAAGAATTGCATTTTTCGAGGAATTGATTAAAAATTATATTAAAAATAATGTAAAATCTGCAATGACTTTTATTATTTATAAAACAATTGAATTCTTGCGAAGAATTTTATTAAAATTTTTAAAAATATTTGAGTTCCAGAGAAGAATATTTTATTAATTATGAAAATAATTGAATTATTTTAAGACATTTTATTAAAATAGTATTAAAAAGAATTGAAATCCCGTAAATAATTTTAATATTTATGAAAAATAAATGAATTTTTACTAAATTTTTTTTTAAATAATTGATTTCTTTTGGACAAATTTTATTAAAATAGTAGATATTGAAGATAATTGAATTTCGAAAAATTTTTGAAAATAAGTGAATCGTTTCAAAGAATTTTATTATAATTTTTGAGAATAATTTTTTTATTTCAACTATTAGCGAATTTAAAGTAGTGCAAATTCTCAAAACAAAAAAAAATAGAAAGAAAACAGTAGCTTTTAGTGTCACAAATCTAAAAAAAATCTATCCAAATACAATCAAGTCGTAAAAAAGTAGTAAATAATAGGTTTAATTATTGAATATTGGTAATTTTATTTTAATTTATTTTATTTATTTTAATTTTTAAATTTAATTATTAATTTAATTTCATAGAGTTTAAAATTATACCTTCTGTATCTGTTGCACTGTCGAGAATTTTGTAGAACTTCTCCTTCCAACTGGAGGCTGCAATTCCCTTTTCTTGAATTTCATCTTCGTTACAGGGATTGGTAAAGCAAGGAGTTCGCCCAGTACCAAAAGAAACAACGCATTGAATTGGATTATTCGGCCACAATTGTTTTGCCTCGTGAATGGCAACAGCGCATGGATTATTTACCAATATTCCTGTAATTTAGACAATTGAATTTAAGTTATTTAAATTAATTAATTTCCAACGAAAAGAGAAAACTTGAAATTAGAAATTAATTTGAAAATTTAATTAATGTCAAATAAACGTAAATAAAAAATATTAATGAAGTAATAATTAAATTATTAATTAAATAAATAAAAATAAATACAAAATATTATTGTAGAATTAATAATGAATTATGAATTTCAATTTTTTTTTGAGGAATTAACGTAAATTAATATTAATAAGTACCTCCATCTTGATGAAGGTAATCTCCTTTTCTAAATTCTTCAAAATAACTTGGAGCAGCAGCTGAAGCTCTCACAGCTTCCCACAATTTATGTTTGTAAGATCCCATATACTGACTTTCCACTCCATGAGGTAGTGTATAATTTCTGAAGACGAATGCCGAAACTCGCTCAAGATTAACAACGGCAGATACCGTTGAAAACTGTAAATTAAAGTTAAGTAATTACTATATTTGCAATCTTTCTTTTTAATTCTATTTTATTTTTTAATTTCATTTTTCTTTCATCTTCACTGCTATTTTTTTCTTTTCTCTTCAGAGCTTTCTTTGAAGGAATATTAATCTTTCTTTGAAGAAATGTTAAGCTTTCTTTGTATATAAAAAGTAATTACTGTCTTCAAGAAAGTAAAATCCTTTTCTAAAATAATGAAAAAATTACCTTTGGTGTCATCGGCTCACGCGATGTTTTGATAAGTTCCTTGTCGCCTAATTGATCCTGCAGCATTTCTTCCCAAAGAGTTGTATCATAGTAGGCATGACTCCACACAAGACCACTTGTTCCTTTCAATGGACTTTGAGTGAAAATTTGTGTACTCAAATCTTTATAAAGTACCGAAACTTCGTCTAAGGTCTTCATTTTCGCCCCTCCTGGAAATAGGAATAATTTATAAATGTCTAATAATTTTATAACTTGTTAATAAAATTATTTATCTATCTATTTAAAGAAGACATAAAGGAGAAAATTCCAGAAGAAAAATTATTTTTAAAAAATATACGCATACCTTCCCCATTATCTTTTGTAGTCGCTGCATGAAAATGACGACAAAAGAATGTTTTCAATTTTTTTTCATGATTATTTATTTCCAAATTATTTCAAGACTATTTTTAAATATTTTAAAAACATAAAAAAATATAAAAAGTTTTATAAAAAAATATAACTAAAGTTTTATAAAAAAAATATAAAGTTTTATAAAAAAAATATTATAAAGTTTTACAAAAATAATAGGTATAAAATTTTATAAAAAAAATAAAAAGTTTTACAGAAAAAATATAAAGGTCAAAAATATTTACCAATTACTGATGAGAGAATTGCTCCAGTACTGACACCACAAATATAATCGAATAATTCGTAAATTCTCTTTCCCGTTAATTGTTCGAGTTTCTTCAACATTTCAACGACCATAACTCCTCGAATTCCACCGCCATCAATTGAGAGAATTCTGATTCCTCGATTAGGGAGTGGATCAACGTGGCCCAAAACGGTTAAAGCTTCTCGAACCGAATCTTCAAAGAAAATTTTTAATTAATAATAATAAAATTAACATTTTTTAGAATCATTTTTAACATTTTGGAGAAAACATTAGTGTTCAAAATTTTTAATTAAAATTCTTCAAAAAATTAATTATAGTTCTTTTTAATTAAACAATTTTTTTAAAGAAATTCAATTATTGTCAAAAAATTACATCACAATATTTTAAAAAAACTAATTCTCAGAATTGTTTTATCATATTTTTTTTATATTTTTCAAAAATTCAATTATTTTTCAAAGATTTTACCCAATTTCAATTGCTGTGAATTTTTTCAATTGTATAATATAATTAAAAAATTATAATCTTTCAAAAATTATTTTAAAATATTCTTAAAAAATTAATTTTAAGAATTTATTTATCATAATTTTTTGAAAATTTTATGCCTTAATAACTTTTTACAAAAAATATGGACAGTTACAGTTACAATTATTATAAAAAATTAAATTCTTTTATTTAAATAATTTAATTCCCGAAGAACTTCTAGAAAATCATTAAAAATAATTGCTTTAGAGATGAAGTTTTGTTAAAAATTGTTGAATGTAATAATTGAATTTTGGAAGAGTTGTAATTTTATTAGAAATTATTAAATTTCATAAGGTTTTAAATTTAAAGTTTTTTTCTCGTGTAAGTACAATATAAGAAGTATTTAAATATTTATTTAATAAAATTATTCAAGTTTTTGAATAATTGATTTAGAAATCAGTGAAAGGTCTACGAAATTCAAAATAAAATGTTTGTGACAACTCTGAATTAAATAAACGACTTTTTTTGTATTTTTAATCGAATAGTATTAACTATACTTTTAATAATAGTAATAAAAATAAACTCTAATGCTTTGAAAATAAATGAAAATTTTCTGTAAAAGTTTCTTCTCACCATTAACTTGTTTGTCATTGGTATTTTGCCGCATTCTTAATAAAATTCCAATACCACCTTCTTTAATGGCATGATAACGAGCTTCGGGATACTGATCGATATGTACTAATAAATCCTCAACTCTCCTCCATTTTGACGGATACGATTCAGCAGTTGCAATACTATTTAAAACGTGTTTTGTTCTCGAAAGAATACTGTGCTTGGATACATTTTTATACATATTTGTCTTCCATTTTGGAATCGAGAAAGTTTTCACTTTATTTTGACTACTTAATTTTGGCATGAGAGCCAATAAAATTTGTGGGATGGAAAGAATATGATCTTTAAAGTCTTTTTCAACTGGAATCGATTGCAATATTTCTGACATCTGAAACAGTAAATTTATTATTATTACTATTAATTATTTTTGTTAATAATAATTTTATTTGTATACTTATTATTCTTGTTAATAATAATAAAGTTATTATATTATTAATTAATAATAATAATAAAGTTATTATTAATAATAATAATAAAGTTATTAATTATAAAAATAATAAAGTTATTATTAATAAAAATAATAAGTAAAAAAATTAGTAAAAAAATAGAGTCATTCCATTATATTTCGACTAAAGTCGTTGCCGACTAATTTTAAAAAATTGTAATATTTTGCAGGAATGATTTTTAAGATATAAGGATCACCGAACAAAACGAATTTTTAAAATATTTTTTATATTTATTGTAAAATAAGCATCTAAAGTATATGAAGTCGTAAAAACTGTCACATTTTCATATATCAGAAAATATTACAGAAAACACATAATTTACTATAAAAACGTAAAAAAATTATCAGAATTTATTAAGAATGAATTATTTTATTATTATAAATTGGTAGAAACAATTATTAATGAGAAATATTAAATAAAAAATGATTTTAAAGTTCACCTGGCAAATAACCTATTTTTGCAAATTTCATTCACTAAATGTGAGAAAGAGAAATTATTAAATTGAGGCCTTGGATCCAATAACTCGCCCGACGCTCGGAAGAACGCGCAACTGCCAGTCAGTGAGCAGTGAGCGCCTCTGGGCCACTCACTGCTACCCGACTGGTATTAGCGCGTACCTTCGAGCGTCGGGTCGGGCGAGTTATTGGATCCAAGGCCTCAATTGAGTAAAACCTTATGAAATATAAAGTACCTGTGATTAACTTTTAGTTTTTCTTATCACTTTCTTCCTTTTTTCTTCATAAATGTTAAAAAATAAGCAATTAAAACTGGCACTTTGCTTATTTTCACGATTTTAAAATGCAAATAACTTCTGCCCAGAAAAATGAAAAATTACAAAAATTGGGCAATAATTAATTGATCAGTAGATACACTCACTGGAAAAAGATTTTCTTTGGTCTTCTTTTTTAATCGTTTTGAACCTACTTCAGTTTTAAAAAAATCACATGTATTAACCTGATAGAAATAGTGAAAAGTTTAAAATTAATTATTTCGAAAAATTGCTTCGGGACCAAAGAAAATCTTTTTCCAGTGAGTGTATCTACTGATCAATTATTTATTGCCCAATTTTCGTAATTTTTCATTTTTCTGGGCAGAAGTTATTTGCATTTTAAAATCGTGAAAATAAGCAAAGTGCCAGTTTTAATTACTTATTTTTTAACATTTATGAAGAAAAAAGGAAGAAAGTGATAAGAAAAACTAAAAGTTAATCACAGGTACTTTATATTTCATAAGGTTTTACTCAATTGAGGCCTTGGATCCAATAACTCGCCCGACGCTCGGAGGAACGCGCAACTGCCAGTCAGTGAGCAGTGAGCGCCTCTGGGCCACTCACTGCTACCCGACTGGCATTAACGCGAGTCTCCGAGCGTCGGGCGAGTTATTGGATCCAAGGCCTCAATTTAATAATTTCTCTTTCTCACATTTAGTGAATGAAATTTGCAAAAATAGGTTATTTGCCAGGTGAACTTTAAAATCATTTTTTATTTAATATTTCTCATTAATAATTGTTTCTACTAATTTATAATAATAAAATAATTCATTCTTAATAAATTCTGATAATTTTTTTACGTTTTTATAGTAAATTATGTGTTTTCTGTAATATTTTCTGATATATGAAAATGTGACAGTTTTTACGACTTCATATACTTTAGATGCTTATTTTACAATAAATATAAAAATTATTTTAAAAATTCGTTTTGTTCGGTGATCCTAATATCTTAAAAATCATTCCTGCAAAATATTACAATTTTTTAAAATTAGTCGGCAACGACTTTAGTCGAAATATAATGGAATGACTCAATATTTTAAAAATAAATGAATGTTTACCTTCAGTTCATGTTTTGGTGTTTTTAATTCTTGACTAATTTGTTGTTTCACTTCATGTTTTGGTGTTTTCAATTCGTGACTAATTGGTTGTTTCACAACTGGTTTTTCTTCTTGAATAACACTTTTCTCATCATCAAGGGAAACAACAACGACCTTCCGTGTACTGTCATTACTTTTATTATTATCATCATTATTAGTTGAAAAGGATTTCAATTGTTCAATTGATGAAAATCTTCTTATACTCTCAATTTGTGAATAAGTTAATTTATGAAAGAAATCAATCCAATCCTTATTTATAATTAGTTGTAAATTCTTCTCGTACGCGGATTTATTTAAAAAATCTTTAATTACAGCTAAAAATTTCCACTGATTTGGCATAGACATTTTTGATTTTTGTATTAAATTTCCCATTAGAGTTGAGCCATTTCCACTGACATCTCGACTTGCATTCTCTGCTAAGTGCCTGCAATTATAATTTAATTAAAATCAAAATAAGATAATCCAATTTTTAAAATAAATTTATTATTATTTTTATTTTTAAGATAAAACTTTGGCCGTTTATAAAATATAAATAAATAAATAAGACAGTACCTAATTATCAATTAAATAAAAATAAAATAAATAACGTAAAAATCAAATAAATATATAATTAAAAGAATTGTAAAATCTACCAAAATTAATTAAATTAGTTTAGAAAAAAACTTGCAAACAAAAGGGAATAAAATTATAATAATGTTTACGACATTGTAAACAGAATTATAAACAAAAAATATATTGTTGACTAATTTCAGGTAAATTGTAATATAAAATCAGAAAGAGATTCATTATTAAAATTTTATGAAGGAAACAATTTTTAATTGATTGAGGAAAACATTTCTTTGTTTTTCGGTAAACTAATTACATTTTCTTTGCCTATAAAAGAAATTCTAAACGTATTAGTAAGAATAGGAGAATTCTTTTCCTAATTAGGCATTTCAATCGCAGTTGAAATGCATTTTAATTAGTAAACATATTAATGAACTGCGTATTTGTAAACAAAGTACTAGAAAAAAATGTATATAAATACAAGGTGTAATAATATCAATGCCAAATATCACGACACTTGTTTTTTGTCACTCCTCGACTTAATTATTTTTATATGCTTAGAAAGTAGGGCTTCTAATTTAGAATTCAAACAAATTGAAATAATTCGAAAATCAGACATATTGTACGTGTTTTATTTAATGCACATAAACTGTGTCATTGTGTCACTGCTAGGAAGTTACGTATCAGCTGTGTTAATAATACTCGAAAAAAATACTCTCTTTCACTTACACTTTCTGTATTTTCTTTCTTTCTCACTCATATTAACTCTTTTTGTTCCCTCCTTTTGTTTATGTATTATTTCTCGTTATTTATTTTATTTATCAAAACGTTTTTTTATATTTAATAAAAATGTATCAAAGAGATAATGTTGTTGTTATGAAGGAGTAAACAATACTATTTCGATTTTACGATAATTGAAACTTTCGATATCTCGAATTTCGAATTGGCGCGAAATATTTAAAATACAAATCAAACTTATTTATCTCCCTAACTGTTTATTAATTAATTATAATTAAATAATAAACAATTGGGGAGAGAATTTTTATTATTAATTATAAACTATTAATTTATTTTGAATTAATAATTCATTTAATAACAGAAAAGAATGTTACTAATAATTATAAATAAATAAACAAAAAAATATTGAAAAATATACAAGAAAATTATTTTGTTTTTGAATTCTGTCTATATTATTTATAATATTAAATTAACAAATTTTAATTATTTTTGATTTATTTCAAAATTGCACTCAGGTGATAATATTTAGTTAAAAAATAAATGAGAAATAATTGTGAGATTAATTATTGAATTAAAATTAAATTTTTTAATTTTATTTTTAACTTTTATTTTATTTTATGTTTTTCAAAATTAAATTTAAGCATAAAAAGCTCGTGTATTTTGGATAAATAAATAAAAAGTTAAATTGAAATTAAATTAAATTCAAATTCAATTTATAAATTCAAATTTAAATTTATAAATTCAATTTCAAATTTAAATTTATGAATTCAAATTCAAATTCAAATTAAATTTAAATTTATAAATTCAAATTCAAATTCAAATTCAAATTCAAATCTATGAATTCAAATTAAATTCAAATTTATAAATTTAAATTTAAATTTATAAATTCAATTTCAAATTTAAATTTATAAATTCAAATTCAAATTTAAATTCAAATTCAATTTAAATTTATAAATTCAAATTCAAATTCAAATTCAAATTCAAATTCAAATTCAAATTCAAATTCAAATCTTTGAATTCAAATTAAATTCAAATTCAAATTTTTGAACTACTTTTCACCCATTTATTTTACCAAATAAAAAAAATAAAAACAAACAAATTCAAATTCAAATTCGAATTGAAATTAATAAATTCAAATTCCAATTTATATTCAAATTTAAATTTATAAATTTAAATTCCAATTCAAATTCAAATTTATATTCAAATTTAAATTAAAAGTACAAATAATTAAAAAAAAATTATAAAAAGAGTGAATATTTAAATAACTTGCAATTGTCTGCAAGTTTTATTAGAGTATTATTGAAGCTAAATTAAATTATTAATATTAAAATTTATTGTAAGTTTTCACTGACCTCGATAGTGAAATACATCTTCTACAATGTCGCACATTTTTGCTCAAAGACATATCGAATGTTTATTTAACTCGTAAGACTTTTTTTATCACTTTTTTTATTCTTGTCACTGAAAAAAAAATATTTTTCAAAAATTATTATCTCTGAGAAAAATTATTCCTAAAAAATAGAATTTATGTTTTCATTTATTTATTTCTAGCAATATTTACATTGTATGCGTAAAAATATTTGTTTAAAATAAATTTTATTCTATTTTTATGTTTTATAAAGTCATATTACATTAAATAAAAAATTTAATTTAGTAATTAATAATTATTGGTGGCAATTAATTTATTAAAATATATTAATAGTTTATAATTATAAATTATAATAATTAGTACTCTATATAAATTTGAATTAGTATAAAAATGTTTATTCAATTTGAATTATACTGACTGACTTTTTGCTTATATTTTGAATTAGTAAATTTTACTAATAAATAACAATTTCTACTAATTTATTAGTAACATTTACTAAATTACTCATTTGAATTATTAAATTTTACTAATAAATAGCAATTTCTCTAATTTTTTAGTAAAATTTACTAATTTACTAATTACTAATTTGAATTAGTGACTGAATTTTTGCTTTTAGATTTGTGAAGTTTATTAATAAATTAGTAGAAATTACTATTTATTGGTAAAATTTACTAATTCGAAAGCAAAATGTCAGTCACTAATTTAGTCATATTTTTATTACTAATTTTCAAATTTAGAAGAGTGGAAAAATAAAATAATGATTGAAACAATATAAATAAAATAAGTATATAAAGAAAAATTTTAGTTCACTGCTAAAAAAAGAGAAGAAAATTTTTCAATTGCATCATCTTTATAAATTCGAGAAAGTTCCGTTTTATATACTTTTATAATCTAAAAAAAAAGAAAATGATCATGAACTTTTTAATTGCACAACATAAATAATTCACCTTATTATTAATTGTATAGATATCACAGCACTTATTTAATTAAATTGCGACTAGATTCGAAAAAAAATTCTTCTTATAACAATCACTTCACTTTATTTCATTTAAAATTGTTCTAATTTTTTTAAAAATTTACTTATTTGTATAATTTATTTTATTAAACACAATAATTTAAATTTGTTTATAAATTTATTTACTAAATGAAACGAAATGTTTTTGTTTTTTTTGTCAATATATGAGATATCGTTTATAATCTCGGTTGAATGTTCTTTGGTTTACTGAGGAGGCAATGAGAGTTGGTGGCTTTTTATAAACTACAAAAACACGTTGACTATATACGTATAAAATCAGGGATCATACGATTACGTCTGCGTCGTAAAACAGTGCTTTTATTTGGCACACGTGGTTTGTCTCTCTCGCTACTTGAATAATTTACTTCTAGGAACTTCAACTATGATAAATATTTTTGTCAATTTTTGTCATGTCGTGTGGGAGAAAGTGCGTGAAAAACAATGTATTTTGTTTTTATTCAGGTGCATTTTGAGTGCAATCAATAATTATTTCTATTGCAATTTGTCAATATTTAAAAAAAAATGTTTTTTATATTAAATTATTTAATAATTGAATTTAAATAATTTGTTTTCTATTTTTATAATTATATTTTATAATTCAAACAATGTTAATTTATTACAATAAAGTTTTTCCTTGATTCAAGAACTTATAAGAATATTTATTACAAAAAATGAAGAAATTGAAGACTCCGAGTCTTTGACTCGGAGTCATCAATTTCTTCATTTTTTGTAATAATTAAAGATTATTATTGTTATTTATTATTATTTTCTATAAATGTTAACTAAACTTTTTCTAAATCAATTATTTAAAATAATTTTTGACAAAGTCCTTTGAAAATTTTTTAATCAATTCAATTTTACGAAATTTCGATTATTCGGAAATTTTACTAACTTCAAAAGAATTTGAATATTATTAAAATTTTTCAGAAATCTTAGTATTTAAAATTTCTAATTTAAATTAATTCAAAATTGAAATTTTATAAAATTTCAAATTAAAACTTTTTGAAGTTTATCTATTTATGAAAATTGTAAACTCAATTCTTTTAAAATTCAATTAAGTTTGAAATGTTTAAGAAAATTATTCATTAAATATAATTTAGTATTAATTTTATGATATTTCTGAAACAAATTTTTAAATAATTAAATTTTTTCGACCAATTTTTAATACAATTTTTAAGAATAATTGCAGTTTTTGAAGAATTCGATTAAAATTCGACTAAAAATAATTGAAATTCTAAAAAAAATTTGTTATTTATGCTAAAACTTGAATCCCTTTAAAAGATTTTATTATTTATGAAAATAATATTGAATTATTGCGAAGAAATTTATAAAAAACCAAATGATTCTTTAACTTCTTCAAAATTATTTTCATCATTTTAATTCAAATCTTAATTTAATAGGTCACTGAGAATTTTCAATTCCATTTGTTTACAATTCAATATTACGAAATTTCGATTATTCTGAAATTCTTCAATTTATATTAGAGAAAATAAAAACTTCAAATAATTTAAAAAAGAATTCAATTAAACTTTTTCAAAAAAATTAATTTTACAGAATTGTTACCTAGTTAGAAGTATGAAAAATTCAGAGGTCCAAAGATTTTAATTTGAAACCTTTTCAAAATTCAATTATTTCTAAAAATTCTCACTATAATGCTTTTAGTATTCAATTACTATCTAAAATTTTAACTGAATTTATTTTTAAATCAATTTTTATTAGAAAATTCTACGAGAATTCAATTATTTAAATGAGAAAATAAATAATTCATTAAATAATTGAATGTTCTTTAAAATTAAGTTCTCTCAAAAAATTGTATTCAGAAATTTTTAAATAATTGAATTCATCGACGAATTTTAATAAAATTTTTAAGAATAAATTACATTTATCGAGGAATTTGACTTAAAATTTTTATTAAAAATAATTGAAATTCTGCAATGAATTTTAATATTTTTAAAAATAATTGAATTCAATTCAATTATTTTCATAAATGTCAAAACATTCTTGTCCTAATTTCAATTTAAAATTATTTTCAAAAATTTTTTTAATTTCAATTATTTTCAATAGGTATATCTACTATTTTAATAAAATTTCCCAAAAAGAATTCAATTATTTAAGAAAAAAAAATAATAAAATTGTATGCAAAATGCAAACATTTTATTATTTGCATAAATAATAAAAATTTCACAGGAATTCAATTATTTTTATAAAAAAATAAATTTTTTTTAAGGAATTCAATTATTATTTTCATAAAAAATAATTTAAATTTAAATAAATTCAACTAAAAATTTTATTAAAAATAATTGAAATTCTGCAAGGAATTTGAATATTTTTGAAAATAATTGAATTCCGAAAAGGAATTTTATAATTTACAGGAATAATTGAATCTTTGTAGAAAATGCTATTATTTATGAAAATAATTAAATTACTGCGAAGAAATTTATAAAAAATTTGTAAATAATTGAATTTTTAGGAAATTTTTATTATTTATGATAATATTGATATTTTTGCGTAGAATTTTATTAAAATTTTTTTAAATAATTGAATTCTTTTGGGAAATTATATTAAAATAATATAGATATTGAAAATCATTGAATTGAGAAAAATTTTTGAAAATAATTGAAATTTTGTCAAGAATTTCATTAAAATTATTGAAAATAATTGAATTTCGGAGAAAAATTTTATTATTTATAAAGATAATTGACTTTTTGACGAGAATTTAAAAAAATTTTTGAACATAAATAATTAATTCCTGTGAAATTTTTTGTAATTCTTTTGGAAATTTTTATTAAAATAGTAAATATATATTTTACTTAATAAACAAAGTTGATATTAAAAAGTAAATATTTAATTATATCTATGTTTGTAAATTAATTAAAAATGTTATATACGCATAGAGCAGGAAAAAAAATATTGAGTAGATTCTGTTGAAAAACAAAAACACGTGCAAACAAATATGACACGTGGTTTTGTTTTGAAAGTTCCTTAAATGCGTTTTTGGCATTAGTATTGAAAAGAATTTTATTTGCCCTTTTTTCATTTTGTTTTGATCAAATTTGTTATTAACTTTCTTATATTTGATGACAGTCATTTATGTTTGTCATATATCGTTAATTTACTATATTTAACTTTTGTTTTCATTTATTTAAATAATAATTTACTACGATTGATTTATGAAACATAATTAATATTTAGAAATAGGTAATTAAAATTTAAATAAAAATAAAAATTTGAAATTCAATTGATAATTATTAATTTCTAATTAAATTATTTTTTATTATTTCACATTTTTTTAAAGTATCAAATTGATACTAAAGTGGATCAAATTGATGCCAAAAATTTGGATCAATTTTTGATTTGATCCACATTTTTGGTATCAATTTATTGCAATTATGATACTTTTAATTTAACAGTGTCAAATTTAGAGAGATAATAGCAGAAATAATAATTAAAATTAAATTAAAATAATAGGTAAATAATTTAGATTAAAAAAATGTTTTTTAGGTAACTGTTTTGCGTCTTTTAGCTGAAAAAGTGGAGTTTATTGCCTTATTTAATATATAAAGTCGGTTTGTTTACATTCTATAAGTTGTTGTTGAAAATCGCTGACGTAATATTCGTACAACGTTTTTAAAGGGAAATCTACGACTAGATAAAATTCAAGTGTATTTGAAAACTATCTCAAACAATAAACAAGTAATAAACATTTTCACACATCATACAGTTATAAACGGTATATAGTCTTAATCATTCTTTGATTTTCATTATATTAATAAAAAAAAACAAATTCAGTGCTAATTAAATTTGGAAAATAAACAGAATAAATTTGTTGCCATAAATTTTGTAAATAAGGATGCATTTTTATTTCGATTTATTTATTTAAATAAAAAAAATAATTAATTTGTTGTTAAATTTGTTCATCTTTTTTAAAATTCAACAAACAAATATTCTGATTTATTAAAATAAATCAAAACATTTGTTTGGTGAATTTTAAAAAAGACGAACAAATTCTGGGCGCTTATAGTAGAAAAGTACGACAAAAGTCAGACAAAATTTGTTGAGTAGAAAAATACGTCAATAGTCAGACACGACAATTTTAATTTAAAAAATGAGTAAAATAAGAAAAAATTCAGTTAAAATTGAAATTCAGTAGAAAAATGTATTAATAGCCAGACATGGTTTATTTAAAAAAAAAATTTTTTTCAGTAGAAAAATCCGTCAAAAGTCAGAATTAGATTTGAGTAGAAAAGTTCAGAAAAATCAAGTCAGACATTTTTTAGTAGAAACATACGTCAATAGTCAGACACGGTCCATTCACATAAAAAAAAAATTCTTCTTTAAATCCGCGCTCTAAAGCGTGCGGCTAACTTCTTACTGCCTTTTTTTTTAAATAAAATTAGCAATTTTTAAAATAATACTAGAATTTAAAAATTTTCTAATTTAAATTTTTGTTGAAAACACTAAAAAAATTCAATTTTGGAGAAATTACAAATAATTGCAGAAATTCAATTATTTTCAAAAAAAAAAAAAAATAAATAAAATTCAACTATATTCAAAATTTGAAAAAAATTCTCGCAAAAATCCCAATTATCTTTATAAATAACAAACTTCTTCTCCAAAGTTCAATTATTTTCATAAATGTCAAAAAATTCTTGTCCTAATTTCAATTTAAAATTATTTTCAAAAATTTTTTTAATTTCAATTATTTTCAATATATCTACTATTTTAAAAAAATTTCCCAAAAAGAATTCAATTATTTAAAAAAAAATTTAATAAAATTGTATGCAAACATTTAATTATTTTCATAAATAATAAAAATTATATAATATACAAGAATAATTGAATCTTCAAAAAAAATGTTATTATTTATAAAAATAATTGAATTGAAGAAATTTCTAAAAAAATTTGTAAAAAAATTGAATTCCTGTGAAATTTTTATTATTTATGAAAATATTGAAATTTTTGCGTAGAATTTGATTAAAAATTTTTTGAATAATTGAATTCTTTTAAAAATTTTATTAAAATAGTAAATATTGAAAATCATTTAGTTCAGAGAAATTTTTGAAAATAATTGAAATAATATCATAGAAATTCAATTATTTTTATAAATAATAAAATTTGTTTACGGAATTCAATTATTATTTTCATAAAAAATAATTTAAAATTCTAGAAAATAATAATTGAATTAAAATGATGAAAATAATTTTGTTGAAGTTACAGTAACAATATTCTTATAATATAAAATAATGATTTTATTATGTACTTAGTTATCTTTAATTATTATAAAACATGAAAAAGTCTTTTAAAAGTTGTTTAATTTAAAGAAGGTTTGAATTTGAAATTTTTGAATTCTTGTGGAAAATCCTGTTCCAAAAATAAAATTAAAAATAGAAATTGTGCAAATATTTTCCTTCTTTTTCTAAAACAAAATAATAATTTTATTGAAAAAATAATGATTCATAAACAAAAATAATGCAAAATAAATACAATTTTTTCCTTTTTTTTCAAAAGGAACTCGGAATTTTGTTAAAAATTTATAATTATGATAAATCAAATTTATATAAATTATAACAATTTGTTCTTTTATTTTTAAGAAATCTTTTAATTTTGTTTAAAAATATTGAAATTGAGAAATAGAAGTGGTGCAAAAAATAAGATTAAAAATAGGAATTGTGCAAATTTTTTTTTTTCTTTTTCTAATTAACAAAATAATAATTTTGTAAAGAAAATTGTGATTTATAATCAGAAATAATGCAAAATAAGTAAATTTTCTAATTATGTGAAGAAAATTGTTATTCATAAACAGAAATAATGCAAAATAAGTAAATTTTCTAATTTTGTTAAGGGGTCGTCCATATACCACGTGGACACTTTTGGGGGGAGGGGGGGGGGTTGAAAAAAGTTTGAAAATGTCCACGATCCCATGTATTTTTGTGTCCACAAGGGGGGAGGGGGGGTCAAAAATCTTTGAAAAACTGTCCACGTGGTATATGGACGACCCCTAAGAAGTAAAAAAAATCTGCATAATTTCGATTTGACAAAACACATAATATTTCAAACAAATTATAGTGCTTTAACGAAAAGAAATGAAAAAAATTCTGATGATTTCTATTTCTCATTCAACTTTTTAATTATCTAATTATAAAATAAAAATAAGTATAACATAATAATAATAAATAATAATAATAATAATAATAATAATAATAATTCAATTATTTAAATACAATAATAAATAATTTATTGAATAATTGATTGTTTCTCAAAAATGAATTTTCATAAATTTTACCAACAAATTTTTAAATAATTGAATTCTTTTAACGAATTTTTGTCGAATTTTTAAGAATAATTATATTTTTCAAGGAATTCGATTTAAATTATACTAAAAATAATTGAAATTCTGCAATCATTTTGTAACTTCTCCAAATTTCAATTTTTTTTAGTGTTTTTAACAAAAATTATTCTGTAAATCAATTATTTTTAATAATTAATTAAATATCTATAATATTAAAAAATTTAATTAATTTCAGATGAATTTGAATTATTAAAATTTTTCAAAAATCTAAGTTCTTTAAAAATTCTAATTAAATTAAATCAAAATTGAAATTTTATAAAGTTTCAAATTAAAATCATTTGATGTTCATCTATTTATGAAAATTGTAAACACAACTCTTTTAAAATTCAATTAGTTTTGAAATATTCAAGTAAAATTAATCATTAAATAATTTATAAGCAATAATTTTATGATTGAAAAAAAGTGCAAATAATAAATTTTTTTAAAAATTAGGAAATTTTTCTCACTTATCGAAGAAGAAAAAGGATAATTATGAACGGAAAATTTTAGTTCCTTTAAAAAATATAAATTATTAACCAAAACTGAGAATTTTTGTGTGAAATAATAAATTTATTATTGAAATGGATGTGATTACATTATTTAGATTTCTTATCAGTAACATCTAATGCAATAAAGAGAATACTCCTTTTTTTTAGAAAGTAGATACTGTGCGCTCGCAAAATAGTAAACTACTCTTAATTTCGAATATTTACAAGAAGTAACAGATATGTTGTCTTAAAGGAACTCTACTAAATTCTACTTGTACTTTTTTAAGTAAAAAATCAAAAACTCTTTAAATAATAGATTTAAAAAATGAAAACAAAGAAATAAAATATCCTAGCGATCTAGCTAAGATATAATCTTCTATAATTATTATATATTTAAAGTCTATCGAAGTCTATCGAAAAAATTAGTTACAATCTCAAATATATACTAGTAAGTCAAATCTAAAGTCTTTTTTTATAATTTTTTTTTGCAAAAAAAAATTTTGTTTGAATTTTTTAAAGCTTATTACATAATACGGCAGATTTGTTTTCAATACTTCTCATTATTATAACTAATAATTATAATAATATGTATATTAGAATCATTAGTGCCGATTTTTCTACTTGTATAGTTTATCACTAATTTTTTATAAACATCTGCTTAATGTTTTTTTTCAATTACTATAAGATTGTGTTATAAATCTAAAATAATTGGCGAAAAAATTAAGAAAATTTAAAGTTAAGAGAAAAATGTAATCTACAGAGATTCGTTGAAAGTGCTTTAAAGTTTAATTATCTATCAACTATTGTTTTGAAATTGAACGTTTACCCGTTACTTTAAAAGCATTATTGGATTACGTAATATTTTAGAATAACATTAGAAGCAGTTTTATAACTTAAATTGTATTTATAATATATATTCTAGAAATAATGTCTCTCTATTAAAATTAGTCTAATTTTGTGATTTAAAACTTCCAGTAAATCACTCAAGATTTCGAAATATATTGTCGAAAGTTTAATATCACTCGTACAATATATTACTTGGATGCACAAAACAGTATTAATCTGAAAAAGAGAAAAAATTTTGTTAAATGAAAAAAATAAAAATGGCTAAAGTATTTAATTAATTAGTTTGAATAATTACCGGAAACTTATTGTTTTTGCAGCAAGTAGTCTGTTGCATTCGGCGGTATCTGGTAATGGTAGAGGTAAATAAGGACTCTCATTATCAGAATCCGAAAAATCGTGTTTATGAATTCTCGGATTGACTTTCATGTCGCCGAAAGGCCCTTTCAAAATTAAATAGTGAATTGGCATTGGGCAGGTTGTTTTCGATTTTAAGATGAGCTAAAAATTGAATTAATTTGTGGTGAATTATAAATTATGAGATATTATTTAGTCTGTTTAATAGAAAACAGTTTAATTAATTATTATTAAATATTTACTAAACATAAATTAACTCTCAAGGAAAATTTTTATAATAATTAGTAGAAAAATATAAATTTTTAATGATAAACAAATAGTTTCTGCTACATTAAATATTTATCAATAAATCAATTAACTAATTAATTAAAGAAAGTAAATTCAAATAAAAATTTGAAAAGTAAATTCACTTTAATTATTATTTAATTAATTATTTAATTATTAATTATTATTATACAAATTACAAAATTTTTTATTTTCAAATATGAATTTTTGAAAAATTTCAAATTCAAACTTAAAAAAAAATTCAATTATTATTAACTAATTTACTAATTAATTATTCTTGTTTATTAATTTCAAAAATTTAAATAAAATTCCTCGCAAGAATTCAATTATTTTCATAAATAATAACATTCTTCGTAAGAATTAAATTATTTTTATAAATAGTAACATTTTTTGGAAAAACTCAATTATTTTTAAACAAAATTTTAATAAAATTTCACTAAAGAATTCAATTTTTTTCTTAATTCGTTATAAAATCTTTGCAAAAATTCAATTATTTTCAACAAAAAAATTCCAGGAAAGAATTCAATTTTTTTTCGTTATAAATTGTTTCAAAACAATTCAATTATTTTCTAAAATTTTAATAAATTCTTCAAAACACAATTCAATTATATCAATAAATAGTAAAATTCTTTGCAAAATTCATTTATTTTTAATACAATTTTAATAAAATTTCATGAAAGAAACCAAATTTTTTTAATTTTCAATAATATTTTTATGAAAAAATTTAATTATTTTCTAAAATTTTAATAAATCCTTCGAAATAATTCAATTATATTTATAAATATTAAAATTCTTTGCAAAAATGCAATTATTTTCAAAAAAATTTTACGAAAGAATTTAATTTTTTTTCTTAATAATTGTTATAAAATCTTTGCAAAACTTCAATTATTATTTTCTAAAATTTTAATAAAATTCAATAATTAAATGTTTACTTTCAATTATTAACAAACACGATTATTTTACAAACTTGAAAAAAATTGTTCATAAAATTCAATTATTTAAAAAATTTTTAATTAAAATTATTATAAAAACTCCATTATTTAAAAAAAAAATTCTTCAAAAAGATAATTCGCGAGAATTACAGTTTTCAAAAAATTTTAATTTAAAACCTTCTAAAATTTCATTATTTGTGACAATTGTGAACTCAACTCTTTGAAAATTTAACTATTTTTGAGCTTTTAAGTAAAATTATTTGCTAAATAATTTAAAATATCATTGTCATAAAAGTTTTTCAACAATTTAATTATTATTTAAAATAAATTCAATATTTTCTTCAGTAAAATTCAATTATTGGCAAAAATTGAAAAAATTCAAAGTTTTTAATTTATTTTTAAAATATTAAAAAATTATTAAATTTTTAATAATTTAATAAATAATAATTTTTTTTTTTACAAATAAAAAAATCTAGGAAAATTCAACGTTTTTAAGTTTCTAGGCACCAAAGACCAGAATTTTTTTTTAGTAATTATATTTTTCCAATACTTTTGGATAAAATTCCCTGGCATTTCTCTGATTTCCCTAAACAACATCAATTTCCTACTTTTCCCTGTTAAAAAATGTCATTTATGAGTTACCGAACGAACAGTTAAACAAAATATAATTTACATAATTTTTTTTAATTAAAAAAATCTTTACCTGATAAGTCATGTCACGCTCTGAACTTTGAGTTGGATCACGTTGATTATTATTGATTCTCGCCTTTACAACCCATTGATGATTAAAAGCAGTGAATCGTGAAGTCTCGTAGAAAATTTTGTGAACAAACTCATCGGTACGATATGGTTTCATTTGCAAGTCTAGAAAAAATATAGAGAAATCAATTTATTATTATTTAAATAAAATTTTTTTTTATAAATAATTAAATTCTTCTGGGGAATTTAATTATTTTCAATACAATTTTAATCAAATTTCTCGAAAGGATTCAATTATTTTTAGAAACTGTAATAAAATTCTGGAAAAAATTCAATTGTTTTACAAAAAAATTTCATAAAATTCAATAATCAAATTTTTATGTACAATTTCTAATATACATACACGATTATTTTCAAAAGTTGAAAGAAATTCTTTGTAAAATTCAATTATTTTCATTATTTTCAATGAAAATTATTTAAAAAAACTATTATTTTCAAAAAACTTAATGAAATTCTTCAAAAGAATTAAATTATTTACGAAAACTGTAATAAAACGGTTCAAAAGAATTTAATTTTCTATCAATAATTTTAATGAAATTTAATAATAAAATTAATTACAATTGTTTACAAAATCGATTATAGAGAAATTCTTCAAAAGAATTAAATTATTTACGAAAACTGTAATAAATCGGTTCGAAAGAATTTAATTTTATATCAATAATTTTAATAAAATTTAATAATGAAATTAATTACAATTGTTAACAAAATCAATTATATTACAAAAAAGTTAAAGAAATTTTTCAAAAGAATTTAATTAATTTCAATATATGAATAAAATTCCTTGAATTAATTTAATTATTTTAAAAAATTGTAAGTGTTCCTTTTCTAGTTGTTTTTCAAATACATTACCGTTAAATGTAATTTTTTCATAAGACAAAAGTTCAAAGACATTGTCATATAATCGACGAGCTTCCAATGTTTTTGTATCAATGTCAGTTAAAGCTTCCATGACATCGGCGCCAGTACGATGAGGATGTACACAATGTGCTTCGTGTTCTGGTGATTCATGATTAGGCCCTCTCCAGGGACAACCAATCCTGCTGTATTTGCAACTTGTTATTCTGACAATAAAATAAAAGTCATTAATATTTCTGTGCGTCGCTATTACTATAATTAATTAATACTGTAATAAAGGAGGAAAATATTTACACAAAGAAAAATGTAGAGTAATTTTTACTATTTTCGGTTTAAATTTTTTTTTACATTCCAAGTACATTTTACTAAAATTTACTTTCGAAAATAGTAAAAATTGACAAAAATTTGTTCTCTTGTTTAATAGAAATCTTTCGTCTCCACTAATTTTCATTCATGAAAAATAAAATTTCCCTCTTCAAGAAAAAAATGAAAACGTAAAAAAAGGAAATTTTTCAAAAAAAAGTAGAATTTAAAGTTTCTCTAATAAAATTATTCGATTTTTCTATTTTATTTTTTTAGCAAAGACTAAGGAATAAGTGATTTTCCATTTCAGGGAATTTTATTCATTCTTTAATTATTTGGAGTTAAAAAAATATTTGCCTTAAATTCAGAATATTTTCCTTTTTTTTGCATAAAAAATCTGATAATTATTGCAAATAATCTTTTTCTTGGATTCAAAATTTGTATTAATTCTTCTTCTTCAAGTGATTGTTATCAAAAAGTAAATAAATTGTTTCAATAATTTTAAAGTTGTTCTTTCACAATTTTAATTTGTAGGTGTAAATTAATTTTCTAAAGAAAATAAAATTTGAAATTGTTCTTGAATTTAAAAAATTTGGAACAATTCGTTTTGTTAAATTGAGATTGTTCTCCGATTCTTAAATTTGTATAAATTAATTTCCTCAGAAATATAAAATTAAAAAAAATCGTTTCAATAAATTAAGATTGTTCTTCATTTTTTAAATTTTATAAAAGAAAAAAAATTTGAAATAATTTGTTGCAAAAAATTAAAATTCATTTTCATCTTTTAGCAAAGAGTGAAAGCTAAATAATTTTCTAATTCAGTAAATTTATTCATCAAATTAATTTTAAATTAAAAAATTGTCTCTATATCCCCAAAACTAAATTTTTAAATATTCAATTCAGTAAATTGAAATTATTTTTCAATTTTAAAAATTTTTCTCAATTTCCTAAAACTAAATTTGGAAAAATTCGTGTCGTTAAACTGAGACTATTTTTCAATTTTAAATTTGTATGAAACAATTTTCTAGAGAGAATAAAATTTGAAAAAATTCGTTTCAATAAATAGAGATTGTTATTCAATTTTTACAATTAATCTCAATTTCCCAAAACTAAATTTGGAAAAATTCGTTTTAATTAAATTGAGATTGTTCTTCAATTTTGAAATTTGCATGAACTAATTTTGACAGAAATATAACATTAGAAAAAATTCGTTTCAAGAAATGAAGATTGTTCGTCACTTTTAAAATTTGTTTCAATTTCATAAAAAAATTTTTAACAATTTGTTGTAATAAATTGAGAAATATGTTCATCTTTTAGCAAATACTTAAAGCTAAATAATTTTTTTATTCAGTAAATTTATTTACCAAATTAATTTCTAGCTAGATAAAAGTTCAAATTAAATTCAGACATTTTTTTTGAAATTTTTTTTTCAAAATTTCTGACAATTTTTGAAAATAGTCTTGAATTTGAAGCTAAAATTCGGCTACATTTTTTTAGTGATTGTTTCATAAAAATAAAAACGTCATCTCAATAACTTGAGATTTTTTTCGAATTTTAAATTTGTGTGGATTAATTTTCTAAAGAAAATAAAATTTGAAAAAATTCGTTTCAGTAAATAAAGATTGTTTTTCAATTCTTAAAATTTTTCTCAATTTTTCCAAAATAAATTTGGAACAATTCGCTTCGTTAAATTGAGATTGTTCTCCATTTTTTAAATTTGTATTTAAATTAATTTCTTCTGAAATATAAAATTAAAAAAAATCGTTTCGATAAATTAAAATTCTTCTTCACTTTTTAAATTTGTTTCTATTTCATAAAAGAAAAGAATTTGTAACAATTTGTTGCAATAAATTGAGATTATTTTTTTATCTTTTAGCAAATACTTAAAGCTAAATAATTTTCTAATTCAGTAAATTTATTTACTGAATTAATTTCTATCTGAATAAAAGTTCAAATTAAATTCAGACCTTTTTTTTTGTTCAAATTTCTGACAATTTTTAAAAACAATCTTAAATTTGGTGCAAAAATTTGGCTGAATCGTTTTTTAATACCTAGTGAATGTTTCATAAAAACAAAAACTCCGTCTTAATAAATTGAGATTTTAAATTTCATATGTAATTTAAAGATTTTTCTCAATTATTTTCCTCAAAAAAGACAAAAAAATTTGTGTTAAAAATGTGTCTCATTAAATTGATAATAATATTCAACTGAAAATCTATTAAACATTTTCGAATTCGTCTCAAATGAGAATATTCACAGCATTTAGAGAATAATAATCACCATGAGAAATTTTTCTTTTCTTTTATATCTCATTTTAATAAAAAAATATACCTTTCTTCACACAGTGAATCTTCATGTCGTTCCAAAGAATTTCGTGAGAATTCTTTAGCGCAATATTGACATTCAGCAGGCAATTCGGAAACAGCTTTCTCAACCGCTAAATTTCTCGATGCCGATGTCTTGCTGATCTCAATTCGGCAATTTGGACATGTTGCCAATTCGTCACGAAGTCTGGCATCGGCCAGAACATGAGTGAAGCAGCCAGCGCACATCAAGTGGCCATTGGTGCACTGTGAACACCAATTTATTAAATATTTCGTATATCATCCGTAAATTTTGCTCAAGAAAAAAAAATAGCATTGCAAATAGAAAAGAACATCATTTTTATATATTTTTCAAAAATATTTAAATTGAAAACAATACATGCAAACACATTGTTCGCGAGTATTTTTCAATTATTATTCACATTTTGCTTTTTTTTATTTTTTCCTTTAAAAATGTACCCCTTCACAAATATGTATTATTCTACATGAAATATTATAACTAAACTATATTATACTCGTTACCATTAATTTGATGTATTAAAACCTGAAACACAAAATCGTATGGGCGTAATTAATATATTTTGCGAGAAGTAATGCGTCTATCAGATTTAATGACACAAAATTATAATATTTTTTTTCTTTTTTTGAAATACAATTTTAAATATTGAAAATTAAAAAAGAAACTAAAAAAGTGGAAATGGAGAATAAGGAGATAACTACAAACTAAGGATAATATCGGGATATTTATTACTAAGGGTAAATTCAAAAATAACTGACTAATGACCTTTAATTTCGTTTATTATTTTCAAAATACTTCAAGCTGTATACATATAATACAAAAATGGCTTAGAGATTTTTGATTTCTCTCTCACTCTCACTCTCTCGTTGATTAAACATAAATCTTGACATTAATTTTTTTCTCTCTCGTAGATTCTGAACATTCCTCCTAAGAAACTATACATTAGTTTCTTTCTTTCTTGGTTTTCTCGACACGTAAATTCGAGTAATATTATTGCTAATTGATTCGTGTTCTAATAAATAACTAAAAAAAACATTTATTAAAAATTCTCACAATTTTAATTTATATAAATTTAATTCTAAAATTTCGCACTTGATAAGTTCGCAACTAATTTAATTATAAAATATTATAAAAATAAATTTATTTTTTAAATGTATTCATTTTTTCAAAAATTTATATATTCTACAAATATTTTTTTCTTTTTCGATCCACAAAAAATGTACAAATCATAAAAACCTATTCTGACAATAAAAAAAATTTTTTTCTTCTGCTAATTTATTATTTAAAAAAAATTAAATTCTTCAAGAATTATTTCCTCTTTAAAAATAATCATAAAATTGAACGCGTAAAAATATTGCATTAAAAGCGAAAAATTATTTTTCATAAAAAATTGCTTTTAAATTGGAAAAATTTTTTATTTTCAAAAAAAAAAAATTCATGCAGTACCTACCTTTGATACTTAAGTATCATTATTATTTTTTAAAAATTCATGATCTCTTACCTTTTTCATTATAATAAGTTTACTTTATATTTTTATTATCTTCGTAAAATATTATCGCTCATAAAAATCTTGTCACAAGTTTTTACTGATATTTTTTATGCACAAAAACTTTTGAAAATTGAAAATTATAAATCAGAAATTATCTTTAAAAATTATTAAAAGTCATTAAAAATTATTAAAAATCATTAAAAAGTATTAAAAATTATTTTAAAAAAAGAAATTTTAATTATATTGGAAAAAATTAATTAGCCGGTAGATATTCTTTAAATAAATATATTAATTAATTTATACAAATTTTTTTTATTGAATGTAAATTTTGAAATTTACATTTGAGGGGAAACAGCAATGGGAAATAGGAAAAGGGACATTTTTAAAATATAACCGAGTGAGAGAGAAAAAAATGGATTGCCTACTAAAAAGCAGTTTATCTGCGGCAATTGATAAATTTGTAAAATAAAATACTACCAATTATTGTAGTTTTCTTTTAAAAAAAATCATTCTTTTAAAAATATTTTTAAAAATAGATTAAAAAAAAAGATTTTTAAAAAAAATGTTTAAAAAAGATTTATAAATAAATGTTTAAAAAAGTTTTTTGAAAAAGTTTTTTTTTTCAAAAAAAGTTAAACGCAAAAACTTCTCTGAATTGCAAAGATTTGTTCACGAAAATTGAAAATATTGTGTAACAGGTTAAAAATTACACGATTTTTTATTTCTTTGTTATGTATTAAAAATCGTCTTTGCTTTCTAATAAAGTGGTAAAAATTAAAACAAATTTTTTTTGCATAATTTCTAAATAGTTAAATTGAAAAATTATTAAAATTCCATATTATGGATAAAATTTAAATAAATGTTAATATAATTTTAAAATAAATTTTAATAAATAAAATTAAAAATCGTCTTTGCTTTCTAATAAAGTGGTAAAAATTTAAAAAAAAAATTTTTTTCAAAATTTCTAAATAGTTAAATAGAAAATTTATTAAAATTCCATATTATGAACAAAATTTTGTTAAGAAAATTCTAGAAAATAAAAGCTCTGGAAATCATATTACGCAACATGTTTCCCAACAAAGGAACAAAGTAGATTCTCTCTCAGCACGTAACTTCCCATGTCAACAAAGATCAGCTGTTTTTTGATGTTCACCGAGAAACTTGATTTTAAAACCGTAAATATTCGAAAAACGAACTATAAACATGATTTTTTCTTGCAAATGATAATGAAGGAACATTGAAATATTAACGGTGAATGAAAATTATTTCAAATAGAAATAATTATGACATTGAAAAAAGAATGGCGGCGTAAGCATTATTATCGTTTTAGAAACGACAATCAAAATGTTGTTTAATAAAAAAATAAATAAAAATTTACATGAAAAACGAATTGCCTTCTCGATTTTTCTTAATTTAAGAAAATTTGTTTTTTTAATAATTAGTAAATGATATTTAATAGGAAATAGTTTCGCATACCTGATAAACAGCTGCCCTGGGTAAATCGAGGCAGACAGCACAGCACAAGATGCCACCCAATCTATGTTCCAATTTTTGTTCCGTTTTCCCTTCGGCGCGAAGGACTTTACGCCTTTTTGCATCGGGCTCAAGGAAATCCTCGCTTTTTTCAACATCCTCACGAATTTGTGGCGCTGGAACAACTTGCTCTGAAATTCCACTCGACGAAGCAACCTCATTGCTCGGATCTGCCATTTTGAGTGTTTTGATTTTTCCTGGACGAGACGTGCGAGAACTGCGCAGATGTCAAGTACGCAGTTAATAATTTTCTTTTTCCTTTTCTATATAGAGAAACACATTGCACGGTGATAGGGAGAGAGAATGTTTTTATCATTTATTATGTCTTACGATTATTTACGTTTCTGTTTATATTATCATTTTTATACACACGTGTCAAAAAGTGAAAAAAAAATAAAAACAAAAAACAATTGAAAAAAATGATAGTTTTTTTTTATTCTTTACAGAAATGTAAATTTTTTTATTATTATAAATATGTAATAGGGAGTATGTAACGATTAACGGAGTGCATTGCCCAGATGACCTCGCTAGGAATGTCAAATGAGTTACAACAGCGTCCATGAAATAACTCCTTTATAATTATATCACCAAGTGTCAAATTACATAAAAATATTAACAATTCAAGGGAATTATTTTTACTTTAAATTTATTTTAAAAGAAGGCGGAAACAAATTAAGTCACTGAAAGGTTTAGGGACAGTTTATTACAACTGCGTAGGTGGGTACTGCGTCACAAACGTCAAAAAATAATTAGTTAAATAAACTGAAATAATCTTTGAAAAAAAACAACAGAAATATGAAAAATGGTTAAATTTGTTATTATTTACACTCACCTTTAATTTCCCTTCTGTCTGGATGGTTTTATATTAACTTGTTGAGAGCTGGTGATTATGAAATGTCAGGTAGATTTACAGCAACGAGTCAAACAGCTGATGCAAACGATGCACATCCACACACTGAACGAACTCTTCCCTCATTCTTCTTTTTGTTGTAAATGTTATTGCCCTTCGGATAGGAGGGATAGGAGCATACACTATTATGCGGCTATTATTTCCAGTCACGATCGGTATTTTACCGAGAAATTTACCTGATCAGCGCACTGGATTAACAATAGAAAACCTGAACCTGAAAAAATCGATCTACGTCATAATAAAACAGTGATATCTCATTGGTCAAAAATTATTCTTCTCTATGGGGATTTCAAATTTAGCGCGCTTTATTTCAACCAATAAGCGCCGTGCAAATTTCAATATTAAGCGCGCAAATTTGTTTAAATTTTTGAATTTTTTTAATGAAACAAATTTATCACTCCGAGTTGAAGACTCGGAGTGATCCATTTCTTCATGTTTTACAATAATTAAGTTACTGTAACTTCTTCAAAATTATTTCCATCATTTCAACACAATTATTATTTTCTAGAATTTTTAAATTAAATTCTTCTTTAAATCAAATTATTTTTAATAATTTTTTAAAAAGATCACTGAGAATTTTCAATTCCATTTGTTTACAATTCAATTTTACGAAATTTCATCGATTATTTGGAAATTCTTCAATTAAATATATATATTAGAAAATAAAAACTTAAAATAATTTTCAAAAAATTCCATTAATCTTTTTGAGAAAAATTAGTTGCATAGAATTTTTAATTAAAAGTATGAAAAATTTAAATAATCAAAGATTTTAATTTGAAACCTTGATCACAGGACAAGAAGTTCAATCCAAAAAATCCAGACCGAAAATTTCCAAGAAAAAAAGTCCAAAGTACAAAAAATCAAAAATAAAAATGTCCAAAGTCAAAAAATCCAAAATAAATAAAAACGACCAAAACAAATAAAGAAAAAATGTGAAAAAGCCACGTTTTTACTTTTTATGCTATAAAATCGAAATTTGAATGTTAATGTTAAAATCGCAGGATTTTAATTATTTACATAAATAATAAAATTCAATATTATTTTTATAAATAAAAAAATTTTTCACAAAAATTCAATTATTTTTATAAATAAAAAAACTTTCACAAAAATTCAATTATTTCCATAGATAAAAAAATTTCAATTATTCTATAACATTTTTAAAACAATTATTCCAAGAAATAAAATTTGATATTTTCAACAATTTTGATAAAATTCTTTATAACAATTCAATTATTTTTTTTAATTGTAATTATAATTAAATTACTCGATTATTTTAATTATTTTCAGAAATTTAAAATGTTAAGTTTACCAACTTTCGATTCACAATCATCGAAATTAGCAACTCAAAAAAAAAGACAATTTTATTCAAAATTTTATTTTTTATGAAAATAATTAAATGTTTAAAATCCATTTATTTACAATTCAATTTAACGAAATTTCGATTATACGAAAATTCTACAATTAAATATATATTAGAAAATAAAAACTTCAAATAGTTTTAAAAAAAATTCAATTAAACTTTTTCAAAAAAATTAATTCAATAGAATTGTTAGTTAAAAGTATGAAATGTTCAAATTTTCAAAAATTTTAATTTGGAACCTTTTCAAAATTCAATTCTTTATAAAAATTCACGCTATAATGTTTTTAATATTCAATTATTATATAAAATTTTAACTAAAATTCAATTTCAACTCAATTTGATTAGAAAATTCTACTAGAATTCAATTATTTAAATATAAAAATAAATAGTTTATTGAATAATTGAATATTTTATCATCAAATTTTTAAATAATAGAATTCAATTGACGAACTTTTATAAAATTTTTGAGAATTACATTTTTTGAGGAATTCAATTAATTTTGAAATATTTAAGAAAAAATTATTTATTAAATAATTTATAAGTAATAATTTTATGATAGTTCTTCAAGAATTAAGTTATTTAAAAAGAAATTCTTGTCAGAAATATAAAAAATTGAAGGTTTTCTATTAGAATTCGTGGTAATTTCATAGTTTATGAGACAAACAAAAAGGACACCAAAATTTAGAATTTTCGTATGAATTCTAAAAATTAAATTTTTTCCACCACTTTTAAAAAAAATCCCAAACATTTACCTGATTTCCCTGATCAATTCTCCTTTCCCTGTCTTTTCCCTGAATTCCCTGACCTGTGGCAACCCTGAAATTAATAAATAAATTAACAATTATTTTACTTCTAAGTTATAATTAATTTACTAATTTTCTTCCGAAAATTCAAAATAAAAATTGAAGAAAAAAATTCTAACTGTAAAATGAAAATTATCTTTTTAAATGAAAATTAACTAAAAATTTTCTTTACCGATTTTCTAAAAATTGAAAAGCAGTCGATAAGCTTTGTATAAGAATTATTTCTACAAAAATTATTAATTATTTTTATTTTTATAAATATTAAGTATATAAAGCACTTGCACTGTTATTATTAGTATAATGAAACCTAATTTTCTATTTACTTAGCATTGCTCTTAGTACTGACAAAAACGACATATTCATTTTAACAATCTGCGTAAAAAACATAAGGAAATTTAACACTTTTGATAAATAAATAAAAAGCTTATCGATAGTAAAATCTTTCATAAAATAAAATTTTTTGATGAAATATAATAAATTCGAAAAGTGCGTTAATTACCAAAAAAAATTTAATTTAGTATTATTTATGAATTAGTACTCACAGCAGTAAAATTTTGTAATGTCATATCATAAAATCCTCCTGCTGAAATCATTAGAGGATGCTGTGTTCTTAATATTAGAAGAAAAATACTCTTCGACGATTTCACTGGTAAATTAGTTCAAAATGATTGATAGGCGGCCATTCCAACTTCAATCGCCTGTGAATAATAATTCCCTTATCAATTATCAATTTTTCTTTAAGAAAAAGGAAGAAAATTGCAATAAACTCAATTTTAAAAACACACCTGATCCATTAATTCTTGTCCTGATCAACAGAACAAAAGAATTTGAAGAAAATTCGCCACTGTCAAGCCAAAATACTAAAAGCATATAAAACCAATTCACTGGAGTTTCGTTCAAAGTCTGAAACAGCAAAAAATATACAACAAAATTAAATTATTAAACAAATATTTAATTTCTAACTATTGTCAAAATATGTCAACGAAATTGCAAAAAAATGATACAATGATACAAGAAAAAAGAGAGGAGGAAATAATACAACTTTTAAAAAATTAATAATAAATTAATTTTTGAAAAAATAAATTTACTTTTTCTCTATTGTCAAGAATTGTTAATTTTATATTGTTTCGAAAACAATACTCTCATTGAACGAACAGAACTAATAGTAAATAATAAACAAAAATTTTTTTTCTAATATTTTTTAGTTAACTTTTCAGAAAAAAAAAGAATTGTCACTTGTATGGGAAAAAAAGGTTTCAATTATAATTTAATACTTTGTATTGTTAATAATTCAACTTTTGACATATTTGTTGACATTCAGATTGTCATTGCTGACAGAATAATAAATTCTACTTTTGATAATATAATCTTTAACTTGGAATATTTGTACATAATGAAAGAAATTAATTCAAGATAAACTTTGTAATTCTGAATTTGTCTTATTATTATTATGATAAATATAGTAAAAGCAGAAAAGCAATTTAAATTCAGTGTTACTTTGAAGAATGCGAAAGTAACACGAAAAGTGATAATACCAAAATTTTCAAAAATGAATAACAGTGTTAAAACTCCTCTATTATTAAAGTGCGTGAAAACAATTTCTATTTTTATGAATAATAAGGCAATTGGATAAATATTTATAAAAGTGCAATTTTTACTTATTTAGACAATTACAGTGGTTTTTTTTAAAATAGAAAGAATTACTCGTGTTTATTTTTTTTCAAATAAACAGAAAATGAAAATTACAAATATTGATAAAATTTTATATCTTTTTAGATTTTAATTATTTTTTAACAAAATTTAAATTCTTTGCGAATTTTGAGATTTTTTTATGAACTATTTTTTCAATTCTTTTTAAAATTATTAGATAAAGAAAAACATTTTGCAATATAGAAATTTCTTTCTTTTTTCCAGTGACGAAAATCAAATAAATTTGAATTATCGGACTAATTATCCTAATTATCAAATTAAATCGAAAAATTTAAAAAGTTTTAATGAAAATGATAAAAATAACAATAATAATAATGACTATTCCATTATTGTTGGACGGTATTCTTCAAATTCTAAGGGTGTCACGGCACAGGTAAATTAGTGTTTTCGAAAAAAAAGAGAAAAAGAAAATTTAATTAATTCCAATAGGTTTGTAAATAATTTCCATTTTTCAGTGTTTGGTAATAGGGGCAGTATTTATATTAATGGCAGGTTGTGGAATGCCAATCGGGTACAGTGCAATTCTTTTACCCCAATTATTAGAAAATAATGGAACTCTTCATATTGACACTGAAACAGGATCTTGGATAGGTAAGTCATTTGTTTGTTTTGTTTTTCAATTCTTATTGGTTAATAATTTTCATATGTTTTATATTTTATTCTCTTATTTTCTCTATTCTTTTCTATTTTTCTATTGTTCATATTTTCTCATCCTATTTTCTTTGAGGAATTTTTATAATAAACGTTTAAATTATGATCATGAAAGATCATGAATCAAGATGCAGGTTCAAGGTGAGAAAGGAGTATTTTGACCCTTGCGAGATAAAATTATTACGAGAATAGTTTAGAATCGCGTTATAACACTGACCTATATTTGATATCATTGCATAATTTTATCAATCTCAATGTCATACATTATTTAGAAATTATTTTCAATTATTATTGACAAAAATAAAAGTTTATTGGACAATTTTGCTATTAAAACTACTGAAATTCAAATAAATAATACTAATAACTGATAATTATGAAACTTTAATTAATATTTATTAATTGCCTGTTTATTGTGTATATTTGATTTATCTCAAAATATTTCTCTTTTTCATTTTTTTCTTTCCTTTTTCTTTCTTTTTTTCTTTAAACTACTACAATAGAAAATATTGTTTAACGTAACTAAGAAGTAATATTGTCATAATTTTTTAATTTCTTTTGGATAATTTGTGAAAAATTTGATTTTTTTGAACAGAAGAGAATATTTTCTAGGGAAAATCTAGAAAAAAGTTCTAAAAAAATAATAAAACGTTTTGTTTGCTCTTTTGTTCTACTCAGTGAAAATGTTTACCAATTCAAATTTGAAGAACGAATTTTGTGATACTATTTTTGTAAGAAAAATTTATAAATTATTTGATTTTCCGTAATTTTTCGTCAAAAAGTGGATTTATTCTTAATTTTAAATGGTAACATTTTTTATAAAGAAATGTTTAATTTTTAAACATTTTATACTTTTGACTTTAAAATAATTTAATTCTTGCATATAATTTTAATAGAATTTTTGAAAACAATTAAATTATTTCGAAGAATATTATAAAAATTTTTGAAATAATTACATTTTTACGAGGAATTCAATTAAAATTACATATGTATGTAGAAAATAATTTACTTTTTATTAAGAATTTTATCAACGATTATTAAACCAATGAATTCTTATAAAGAATTTTTATATTTTGAAAATAAAACGATTCTTTCGAGAAATTTTATTAAATCTTTTTTGAAAATAATTGAATTCCTTGGAAGAATTTTATTATATTTTCTAAAAATAATTGTATTCTTAGGAAGAATTTTATTAAAGTTATATAATAATTGAATTTCTTCAAAGAATTTGATTATTTATCAAAATAATTGAATTCTTGAAAATTTTTTTTAAATTGCATTAAAAATGATTGAATTCCTGCGAAGTATTTTATTATTTATGAAAATATTTGAATTCTTTTAAAGAATATTGTTGAAATTTATGAAAATAATTAAATTATATTTCTAGAAAAATTATTAAAATTGTATTGAAAATAATAGAATTCTTGTGAAGAACTAAATTTTACAATTTATCAAAATAATTGAATTGTTTCGAAGAATTTTATTAAACTTTTGGAAAATAATTAAATACCTGAGAAGAATTTTATCAAAATTTTTAAAATTAAAACAATTGAATTTTTTTGAAGAATTCCATTTAAATTTAAAAAAAACAAAATTGAATTCTTTTGAAAAATTCTATTAGAACTGTATTAAAAAAATTGATTTCTTACATAGAAATTTATTATTTACGAAAGTAATTGAATTATTACGAAAAATTTTATTAAAATTATTAAAAATAAAAAAATTCTTTCGGAGATTTAATTAAAATTGTATTGAAAATAATAGAATTTCTGAGTAGAAATTTATTATTTATAAAAATATTTGAATTCTTATAAAGAATCTTATTAAAGCTTTTAAAAATAATTGAATACATTCGATAAATTCTATGTAAATCGTATTGGAAATAATTAAACTTCGTCAAAAAATGTTATTCAATTTTTTTAAATAATTGAATTGATTTGATAAATTTCATTAAAATTTTAATGAAAATAATTAAATTCCTGCAAAGTATTTGAATATTTATGAAAATTATTGAATTCTTGAGTATTTTTTTACATGTATTAAAAACAATTGAATTTAGAAGAATTTTATTAAATTCTGTAAAAATAATTGAATTCTTTCCAGAAATTTTATTTAAATCCTTTTGGAAATAATTGAATTTCTGCAAAGATTTTTATTATTTATGAAATCAATTGAATTCTTGAGAAGAATTTAATTTAAATTTTTGAAAATAGTAAATATTAACAATTAATTAGTTCCAAAGTGAATTTTTAAAAATTTCAACTCTAAAATTATTCAAACTTTGAAGTTAATATTTGAAAATAATATTTTGCTAGTTTTTAACATTTTGAAATAAATTCATTTTTTACATAATAATAATTTTCATTCGTAATGACTCACTTAACTAACTTCGACTAATTATTTAATTTAAATTTAAAACTTAACCAACTTTATTATTTTAACCTAACATTAATTTATTTAACTTTAAAAATTTAATACTTTTTCTAATTTCACGTAATCTAAAGAAGGTGATGAATAAACAATTTTTAATTTGTGCCAAGGACTTGTTATGACATCTATTATTCAATTTTTTCCTGTCTTCATTAACAAAATATTAGAAAACATGGCATTTTACAAATGAAAATTATGATTAAATGAATTAAATTCAAATCTAAAAAATTACAATTTTTATAAATCACTTCCCTTGAAAATATTTTCTCTGGTTGAAAAACAAAGCAAATTTTCCAAAAACAATCACAATGATAATATTACTTCTTAAAAATGATCCTTTTCATTGAATACGAAAGTTTTCTTTCGTGAAATTATTCCATTATAAATTGATTCATCGATAAGATGTGGAAAATTTCTGTTCGAGCTTTCTCATTGAGGGAAAGCAATGAACTTATAAAGGAGAAATGATAATATTATTATAATGCATCTCAAGATTTCACAATCACAAAAACATTTTATATAAGAAATGAAATTCATCAAAAATATGGAAATTTACAATATTTTCCTCAAATATGAATGGAATAATGTAAAGAAAGAAAAAGAAAAGAAAAGAAAAAAAAGAGGTGAAGTAAAAATTGTTACCTGCACTAGAAGTGAACTGTAAATTTGAATAAAATTACAGCATCAGTGCACAGTTTGGCAACGCCAATTGGAGCCATAGTTTCTGGACCGATAATGGAATTTATTGGAAGAAGAGGATCACTTCAATTTGCAGCGATTCCTCTTTGTTCTGGCTGGATAACAATGGCTTTCGCTAAATACGTTCATCACATATTCATTGGGAGAATTCTATCTGGATTCGCTGTGGGATTAACTGCAGTTCCGTCTCAGGTATCTGAAAAATTATAATTAATAAGTACCATTCAATATTTTAAAAAAGTATCTAAAAAAATTTTCTCTATTATTTGACAATTTTTTTTTCTTTTTTCTTTAAAAGGTAATTTTATCAGAAATGGCAGATCCAAAACTTCGAGGAATGTTAGTGGGTGGCACAATAGCAGCATATTCAGCGGGAATTCTTTTTATTTATACATTAGGTGCAATTTTAAGATGGGACTTTGTAGCCATTTACGGGACAATTCCATCAATTATAGGATTTTTCACTCTTTGTATGATTCACGAAAGTCCTGCCTGGCTAATTAAACAAAATCGAATGGAAGCTGCCAAGAAGGCACTTCTTTGGCTCAGAGGAGGCGACAAATCTCAGGTAAAGTGAAACAAATATTTTATAATATTTACAAGAAAAACAATATTTTTAATACTTATATCTCCTTTTTTGGATAAATAAAATTGTTGTAAACGAAATATTCAAATCATTGTAAATTATACAATTATTATTATTAATGATAAAGAAAAATTTCTAAAACCATATAATTTAAATAATAAAGATCTTAAACATATTTTTTTGGTCATTAGGCTAAACAAAGAAATTTAAGATCTTTATTATTTATTATTATTATTATTATTATTATTATTATTATTATTATTTAAAAATAATGACTACAATAATAATAATAATAATAATAATAATAATAATAATAATAATAATAATAATAATAATAATAATAATATAATTTTTTAATTTCCTGAATTGAAAATTGTTTATATTTGATAATTGATTTTAATTTTAAAAAAAGTTAGTGGGTAATATCCATAATTTATTGAGAAATGTATTAGAATATAAATATTTTGCAGGTAATAATTGAAGCTTCTATTCTAGAGGCAAGAGCAAATGCTAATTTTGTCGGAAAGTCAATTAATCCTAGTTTGAGAGAAAAAGCTTTATCAGTATTTTCAAGAATGTTCAATCCAGGCGTCATTAAACCAATGATTATAATTAATGTCTTTAATGTTCTCCAACTCCTCAGTGGAACATATGTAATTATCTTTTATGGAGTTGATCTCATGAAACACATAGGTAAGTTTTAAAATTATTTTCATACTTTATTTTTAACTGTAGTAAATGTTATGCGCAAAATGCGGTATTTGATTTAATTATTATTATTATTACTATTTTTATTACTATGGAAATTACGAAATTATTTATTTTTAAATATCAACCTTAATTTCTAAATGATTTCAAACTGAAAATTTTAAAAATTCACTTTTTAACTAATTAACTATTATTATATATTATTTTTATAAAAATTAAAACAAAATTCTTCACAAGGAATAAAGTATTTATACAAATTGAAATAAAAATCATGCCAGGGATTCAATTGTTTTCAGTGCAATTTTAATAAAATTTCTCAGAAGAATTCAATTATTTTTAAAAAATGTAATAAAATTCTTCCAAACAATTGAATTATTTTCAGAATTTTTTATGAAATTCATTACAAGAAGTCAATTATTTAAATATTCGTTTTTAATATTACAAATAATAAAATTTCTGGAAAGAACTTAATTATTATTAAAAATTTTAATCAAATTTTTCACATGTATTCAAACACTTTTATTTCATCGCAAAATTTAATTCAATATAATTTAAAAGAAATTAATTAATTTCAAGAAAATTTTAATAAAATTCTTCGCAAAAATTCAATTACATTTCTAAATTTTGATAGAATTCTTCGAAAGAATTAAATAAATTAAAATAATTTTAATAACATTCTTCAAAAGAATTCAGTTATTTTCAATACAATTTTAATTTTTCTTGAAAAAATTCAATTATTTTTAACAAAATTTTAATTGAATGTTTTGCAAGAATTCAATTATTTTCATAAGTAATAAAATTCTTTGTAGGAATTTAATTACTTCCAATAGGGTAAGTGCGTCAATTGTGGCGGGTGCTCCAATTATGGCGACTTTGTGAAAAATACAATTATTTACTATTTTAGAATAATTTAGTTATTTGAAAATGTTTGAAAAAGTTATTTTCGACCTAATTCGATATAATTGTACGAAAAGAAACACATTTAAACTATTATTAATTTAATTATTTAATAACAAAAATTGTGCCCCGCCATAATTGGCACATTTTTATTGAATGCACGTGCTTCAGTTATGGCGCGCAACACAACCTCTAAATGCACGTTATTTTTCTCGCCGTAATTGGCGCGCCAAAATTGACTCAATCGCGCCATAATTGACGTTTTTGATTTTATTTTTTATTGCTTTAATTTGTTTAAACAATTAATTTTTATAAAGTTTTTATTACCCACACAGCACCAAAACTTTCCTGAAAATTTATTAAAGATTTACTTGCAAACTTCGAAAAATTTACTTGCAAAGTTTAGTGAAAATTGTGTAAAGATTTAAATGTCCCTCTTAAATAAATGTTTATAGTCAAATTTTCCTAAAAATTTAACTTAAAACTTTCCTGAACATTTAAATTAAATTTTCGACTTCTCTCTTATAAGCGAAAATGTAACTTAAAACTTTCCTGAAAATTTAAATTAAATTTTCGCCTATATACAGTAGGCGAAATTTTTTTTTATATTTTCAGGAAAGTTTCACGCTAAACATTTATTGAAGTGGGACATTTAAATCTTTACAAAATTTTCACTAAACTTTTCAAGTAAATACTTCGAAGTTTGCAAGTAAATCTTTAATAAATTTTTAGGAAAGTTTCGGTGCTGTGTGGGTAATGTTTTATTGTCTGAATGACACTAGCTTTTAGTTTAATAAGCCATAGATTTACTTCTTTCATTATAATTTTTGAATTTTCTATTTCAAAGATGGCTAAACCAGAACCGCGCCATAATTGGCACACTTACCCTACGATGTAAATAAAATTTCTAAAAAGAATTCAATTATTTTTAAAGAATTGAATAATATTCTTCCAAATTCAATTATTTTTATTACAATTGAAAAAAATGTTCAAGAATTCAATTATTTTTAGAAAATATAATAAAATTCTTTTAAATTCAATTATTTTTAATACAATTGAAAAAAATGCTCAAGAATTCAATTATTTTTAGAAAATATAATAAAATTCTTCCAAAGAATTCAATTATTTTTAATAAAATTTTTAAAAAATGCTCAGGAATTCAATTAGCTTCATAAGTATTCAAATACTTTGCAAGAATTTAGTTATTTTCAATAGAATTTTAAGAAAATTTATCAAATCTATATAATTATTTTTAAAAATTGAATACAATTCTTTGCTGGAATTCAATTATTTCCAATACGATTTACATAGAATTTATCGAAAGTATTCAATCATTTTTAGAAAATTTAATATTTAATTTTAATAGAATTCTTCGAAAAAAGAATTGAAGCAAGAATTCAATCAATAAAATTCTTCAAAACAATTCAATTATTTGCTTAAATCTTAATAAAATTCTTCACATGAATTCAATTATGTTCATAAATAATAGAATTCTACACGTGAGGGGCTGTCCATAAATTACGTTACACGTTTAGGGGGGAGGGGGGGTTCGAGAAAATGTTATCATATGTTACATGGGAGGGAGGGGGTCAATCATCATTGTTACGTAATATTTATAAGGAACTTAATCTCTTTATAATGGATAAATTTTTGAAAAGCTGTCCCTTGCCGCCACTTCAATATAAGTAAAAATCGAATCATTTCGCGAACCGATTCTTGGGAATAATATACAATTTTTATTGTTAAAAAATCAATGTTATATTTTTGGTTGTTCAGTATGATTAATAAAATTATTCCTCTAAATGTTTTTTATATTTAACTTAATTTTGTATTGCTATTGTACGATATAAATACTAAAAATAACAGTAATAAACAAATTTGTTTCGAAAAACGTTAGTAAAAAAATATTTTTAAAAATTACGTAACATTGATAAGGAGGGGGGGGTGTAAAACGATTTTGTTACAACTTGTTACATAGGGAGAGGGGGGGTTCAAAATTTCACTAAAAACGTGTTACGTAATTTATGGACGGTCCCTGAATTGAATTATTTTCCATCCAATTTTAATTGAATTTCTCAAAAGAATTCAATTCTTTTTTTAATTTTGATAGAATTCTTCTCAGAAATTTAATTATTTTTAGTACAATTTAATTAAATTCCTCGAAAGAATTTAATTATTATCAAAAAATTTAATTAAATTTCTCAAAACAATTCAATTATTAATTATTTTCACAAATTTTAATTTTCTATGCAAGAATTAAATTTACATAATAATTATCAGATAAAATTTACAAAAATCATCACATTTCTTTTTAACAAAAATATTTTTTTGGAAGTAAAAAAAACTTATCTAATTATCGCAATATTACCAAAAAATGTAATTTTTAAATTATTGGTCGGTTAAGTTTAACTTCTAAAGTTAACCTTTTTAAGTAAATAATTTTAAAAATTAATATTTCGAAAATTTGGAATTTAAGATTACAAAATAACTCTCTAAGCGTCGAACTTTTGATTATAATAAAAAATCTAAAAATATTAAATTTACAGATAACCTATAATATTATGGTTAATGGGCTAAAGAAGTTTTTTTTATCTAATTTACATCTTAATTTTTTTTAATAAGACAAAAACTTTCCTCCAATTTCGAAAAAATGTGTAAATAATTAAAAAAAATGTGATAAATTTTTACCAGTAGAATATTAAATTCCAAATATTAATTTTTCCAATATGGCAAAGAATTTTTTTTTTTTGAAAATATTAAAAATTATCCTTTACGGATAAAAATTACCAAACTTTTGAAATGACTGACTAAAGAAGTCCTTGATCGTGCACTTTAAAAATAATTAGTTTATTAAATAATATTTTCAAATTTAGTTAAAATTATTGAATTTAAAAATAAACCTATAATGAATAATTACCTATAATAATTAAATATTCCCACTTGTTTAATTATCATTTTCAGACATTAATCGTTTGCCTCCTCTTTTCTGCTTTCAGGTGTAAATAATTTGAATAATTATTTATGGGCAGCTTTATTGGCCGTTATGAGATTAATGTTTTCTATTGTTGCTTGCTTCCTTTTGTTGAAAGTGAACCGTAGAACTCTCGCACTTCTCTCTGGTATTGTAACAGGATCATCGGCCTTAATTTTAGCGAGTTATTTATTACTTCAAAAAGGAATCTCTCCTTATGATGTAAGAATTCTTTTAAATTCTTTCTAAAGCATCCTTTGGGAAAACTGAAAATTTCAACAATAATATAGTTTTTTTTTACATTAATTAAACTAATGTCGTGAAATTTTTTTTTGTAACAGATTTACGTTCTTGGTTCATGTCTTCTAATCTATGTGGCAGCTAGTACGATTGGTTTTTTAACTTTACCAAGAATTATGGTGGGTGAATTGCTTCCTCATAGAGTCCGTGGTTTAGGTGGTAGCTTCACTTTCTTCTTATTTCACATAACACTTTTTGGAGTTACCAAATATTTTCCACAGGTGAGATTTTTTCTTCTCTGTCAGCTAAAAAATAAAATACTTTTATTGTATTTTTACTAGTATTAAAATACTTTTATTTTTTTATTTCTCTAATTATTATCGTATAATTGGAAAACAATTTTCAGATGTCAGAATCAATTGGCATGCCAGGAATATTTCTACTTTTTGCCAATTTTGCATTTATGACTGTAGCCTTCACTTATTTCTTTTTGCCTGAGACTAAGGATCGCACTCATCAGGAAATTGAAGATTATTTTCAAGTAAATTAAAATACAATAATAAAAATTTTTAATAAAATACTAAAATAATTCAATTATTTTAAACAAGGATTTTAACATAAATTTAATAATTTAATATTTTCATGTACAGAACTAATTAAAATGTATAAAAATTTTATTAATTTAATATTAATATTTATTTTTCACAGAAAGGGAACATTTTCTGGATTTCAAAAAAAGAAGAACGAAAACAAACTATTAATTTAATGACATACAACAATCAATATAAATAAAAAAATTTGTCAACATATCGAAATTGAAGTTTTGTGTTAACGTTTACAATATTTAAATCTAATATCGCAAATCATTTATTTTCAACTTATTTATTTCATCGAAATTGATCATATAGATTGTAAAAAAATATCGCAAAACAGGATTTAACATTATTATTTTCATTAGTTATAAAAATTATTTAAGTGACGAATCTAATTCTATTTGCTCGATTTTCTTCTATGACTGTTTATAATATTTGTTAATATTCATAATTTTGAAAAAATATTATTATAAGAATTATAATAATTGTAAAATAAAATAAGGAATTAATTAGTTAATCAATTACTTCTGCCTGATAACTTCTACTTGAAGTCAAACAATTTTCTAATAAAATATTTTAAATATGAAAATAGTTCTAAAATTATTTTTACCTTAAAGCGTATTCATTTTTACAAAATTTTCTTCTTACGGTTTTAGATTGTTGATCCCTAATTGTATAAATTTTAATTCCAGAATTCTGAACCTGTAAATAAAAAAATTAATAATTACGAAAAAATTTCAAGTTGCAAAATAATTATAATTATGAATGAAAAATGAATTTTAATTATAATTATTTCAATAAAGGATAAAAATTTTCCTTTATAAGATACGAGATATTTACCTTGTATTTGAAATAAAAAATATAAAAAATATGAAGAATATTGTTGACGCAAATTGCAAGGTATAAAGACGATGATTGACATTAAATACAATGACTGCAAGTATGTTTCTAATAAATACATTAAATATTCAAAGGGGAAGAATATTTCTCTGGGGTCGTGAAACATAGGGCTGTAATTGCCAGGAAATGAAAATCAATTATTATCTACTATTTTCAGTTTCATTTTTTTTTCGCATGAAACTATAAATTATAATGAATAAGAAATCGATTTCTTTCAAATATGCAAAACAGTAAATTACTTTCAATTGAAAATTTACAAACGCATCTGCTCATGCGTATAAATATTTTAAAAAGAAGAAAACAAAGTAGAACATTAAATAAATTAAATTACAAAATTCAGGGTTGCCACAAAAATTAAATTTTGTTTTTCCCTGACTTTCCCCTGATTTTCAGAAAAAATTTTGACTCTTCCCCTAACCCTAAAGAATATATTCTGCTTCACTTTAAAAATTATTAGCACGAAATTATTAGATACTCAAAAAATGTTCTTTCACATTTATTTACTAATTCCTTTAATTGTTAAATTATTTGAAAACATCAATAACTTCTTTTTTAAATAAATATTTAATCATTATTATTTTGCAATAAAAATTAAGATTTTCAAAAATTTTAAATTCAAACCTTTTGAAATTCAAGAATTTATAAGAATATTATTAAAAAACATGAAGATATCCGACTCTACGACTCGGAGTGATTAATTTCTGCATGTTTTATAATAGTTAAAGATGAACGAGTGATAGCATCGTTATTTTATATTATAAGAATATTTTTACTGCAACTTTTTTAAAATTATTTTCATCAATTCAATAATTATTTTCTAGAAATTCTTCTTAAAATCAATTATTTTTAATAATTTATGAAAAGTTCTTTGAGAATTTTTAAATCAATTTGTTTACAATATTCAATTTTACGAAATTTCTATTATTCAGAAATTCTTGAATTAGATATGTATTAGGAAATAAAAAACTTCAAATAATTTCAAAAAAATTCAAATAAACTTTTTCAAAAAAATTAATTCTACAGAATTGTTAGTTAAAAGTATAAAAAATTCATATTTTCAAAGATTTTAATTTGAAAATTTTTCAAAATTCAATTATTTCTAAAAATTTACGCTAGGATACTTTTAATATTCAATTACTATCTAAAATTTTAACTCAACTTTATTTTTAAATCAATTTTTATTAGACAATTCTACGAGAATTCAATTATTTAAATACAATACAATAATAAATAATTTTTTGAATAATTTAATGTTTCTTAAAATTGAATTCTCTTAAAGAATTTTACCAACAAATTTTTTAATAATATTGAATTCACTCGACGAAATTGTAATAAAATTTGTAAGAATATTTACATTTTTAGAAGAATTCTATTATAATTGTATTAAAAATAATTGAAATTCTGCAATGAGTTTCATTATTTATGAAAATAATATAATCCCTGTAAAAAAATATCACTAATGAAAATAATTGAATTATTGCGAAGAAGTTTATAAAAATTTCGTAAATAATTAAATTCCTGGTAAATTTTTATTATTTATGAAAAATATTAAATGCTGTAGAAATTTATTACTTTTTTTTTTAAATAATTGAATTCTTGTGGAAAACTTTATTAAAATAGTCGAAATTGAAAATTATTGAATTCAGGAAAATTTTTGTAAATAATTGAAATTTTTCTAAGAATTTTATTAAAATGTTTTAAGGGGGCATATACAGTCATGAGGCCAAAAAAAGACGCTTTTTCTTGATTTTTTTTCTCTTAAATGGTTCAATATTTATTCAAAAAGTTTTGCATATTATTCATAATGTTTTAAACAAGAGACTTTTATTTTTGTATAGCAAAATATTAATAAATTTCTTAGTTATGAACAATTACTTTTTATGAGTTTAAAAAATCGATCTTTAGCGTGGACACGATATATAACAGATGCCAGGATCATCTGAAATCAAAAAGCAAAAAAAATTTTGCTATTAGAGTCCTTTCTCTCGGGGGTGGACGAAGGATTTTCAAAAAAATTGAATTTTTGATTTTTTAAAAAGAGGTTTAAATTTTAACTAGTGATTTTTGTTTAAAAAAATCGACTATTTTTTTTATGTAAAATATGTTCCAATAATTGAAAAAAAATCCTTCGTCCACTCCCGAGAGAAAGTATTCTAATAACAAAATCTTTTTTGTTTTTTGATATCAGATGATCCTGGCTTCTGTAATCGTGTCCACAGAAAAAAAATACAAATTTTTAAAATAATAATTTATAACGAAGAAATTGATTAATATTTTGTAATAAAAAAAAAATTGTTATTTTTAATAACATTACAATCAATATGCAAAATTTTTTGAATAAAAATATTGAACCATTCCAAAGAAATTTTATTATTTATAAAGAAAATTGAAGGTGTTTTGTATTAGAATTCGTGGTAATATCATAGTTTATGAGTCAAACAAAAAGGACACCAAAATTTAGAATTTTCATATGAATTCTAAAAATTTAATTTTTTCCACTACTTTTAATAAAAATTCCAAACATTTCCCTGATTTCCCTGATCAATTCTACTTTCCCTGTCTTTTCCCTGAATTCCCTGACCTGTGGCAACTCTGAAATTAATAAATAAATTAACAATTAATTTACTTCTAAGTAATAATTAATTAACTAATTTTTTTCAGAAAATTCAAAATAAAAATTGAAGAAAAAAATTCATTTTAACTGTAAAATGAAAATTATCTTTTTAAATAAAAATTAACTAAAAATTTTCTTTACCGATTTTCTAAAAATTGAAAAGCAGTCGATAAGATTTTTAAAAAATGATTTCTACAAAAATTATTAATTATTTTTATTTTTATAAATATTAAGTATATAAAGCACTTGCACTATTATTAGTATAATGAAACCTAATTTTCTATTTACTTAGCATAGCTCTTAGTACTGACAAAAACGACATATTCATTTTGACAATCTGTAAAAACCATAAAGAAATTTAACATTTTTGATAAATTAAAAAAAAACTTATCGATAGTAAAATCTTTCATAAAATATATATAATTTTTTGATGAAATATAATACATTCGAAAAGTGCGTTAATTACCAGAAAAAATTTAATTTAGTATTATTTATGAATTAGTACTCACAGCAGTAAAATTTTGTAATGTCATATCATAAAATCCTCCTGCTGAAATCATTAGAGGATGCTGTGTTCTTAATATTAGAAGAAAAATACTCTTCGTCGATTTCACTGGTAAATTAGTCCAAAATGATTGATAGGCGGCCATTCCAACTTCAATCGCCTGTGAATAATTATTTCCTTGTGTCAATTATCAATTTTTCATTAAGAAAAAGGAAGAAAATTGCAATAAACTCAATTTTAAATACACACCTGATCCATTAATTCTTGGCCCGGCCAACAAAACAAAAGAATTTGAAGAAAATTCGCCACTATCAAGCCAAAATACGAAAGCACATAAAACCAATTCACTGGAGTTTCGTTCAAAGTCTGAAACAGCAAAAAATATAGAACAAAATTAAATTATTAAAGAAAGAAGCAAATATTACAACTTTTAAAAAAACTTACAACAATCATTTGAAATCCACTAAGGCAATTAGCAACGAAACTTGTTCCTAATTGATAAAAACAAAGTGTACTGAAGAGTTGATTCAATTTCTGAACATTCCTTTAGAAAAAAAAAGAAATGAAATTTTGAAAATAAATTTTCAAATGAAAAGGCAAAGTTTTGGTAAAAAATATTCCATTGAAACATTTTTGAAGTAAACCTTATTTGATAATTATGATTTTCAACAAGTTCCTTTATTGTTTTTTGTGATTCGCATTTTGTCAAACCTACTTTTTTCAATTGCTCTTGCAATATACCTAATTGAGCACAAGAATGCCAAATTGCAACAAATACAAAAGTATCCATGCCTAAATTATAACTTACACCCAAGCCGAGTCCAGTGATAATCTGTAGATTAAATTTTAAAAAATTGCGTTTATCATTCAATTCATGTTATATTAATTAAATATCAGTTAATTAATCAAAACTGATTTATTTAAATTAATTTTATTAATTTAAGTGGTATTAAAAAATGTATTTATGAAACAATATTAATTCATCATTAATAAATGGATAATTAAGAGAAAATGGTATTTTTATAATTTGTTCTAATTTTTCTAATTCTCCAATAAGTCACCGTAAAAAAATTTCTTCTAAAGTAAATTTTAACCATTGGTGCAATATCTAAAAATCATTTAATTAAAAAAGAGAAAATTGTAAATTATTTTTCAATTTACCTGAACAAGATACGCAATAGCGTAAATAAAATCTGAATTTTGATCCCAATAGAACCAGGCGCAAAATGGATAACGTTTCTTACGTGACGGATCACTGTCATGTCCAAATATTAATGGTACACAAAACATCATAATTTCAAAATAATAAACGCAAACAAGAAAAAATTTTGTCACAAATCTTCCGAAACGTGCATGTTTAAGAATTAATTCCTTCTCTTCATTCGACGCTCTATCACACAAGGAATTGTAGAAATTGTACTTCATTATTTGCAACAATTCCTGTAAATTTAAAAACAAAAAGAATAATTACATAATTATAGGAAGAAAATTAACACAATTTATAAAAATTGAAAATTAATGCATTAAAAACCTTAAAAGCATTCTGATTTGCAGCAACATGAGTGTACTTTAAACACACCGAAAATGCGTGAATTGTCATACACAAATTTTGAAAAAGAGCAAAATTATTACCCCAAACAATATAGATGTCTAGTAACATCGGTACTAAAAGTAAAAACCATAAGAAGACTGTAAACATAAATGAATGGAATTTATGAATGTAAATTTTCCAAATTGCATCATTTTCATGACTGGGCCAGAGGCCAATCAGTCTCAAATAAAGTTTATTAATGTAAATATAGTCATCAAAATTCTCTTTTGTCATATTTAGAATTTATTTTTTAAATTCTTATATTATTTTTTTTTAAATTGTATAAAAATCTTTAAATTTTTAAGGAATTATTTTCAAAACAATTTTTTCAGTTAATAAATATTGTCAATTATTCTTTTATATTCTCTCCGTTAAATAATTTTACAACTAATGGAAAATAGAGCGAAAATTCTCAGTACAAAATAATATAATATTATTCCATGATTGACATTCAATAAGAAGACCATACTTAAGTATCCATAGGATTTTTAAATATTCAGAGATAAATTTACCTTTTTCTATGATGACAAATTTCAAGTTTCTATTTAAACGACAGCATATTATTATATCTACAGTCTTCTCATGTTTTTCTATATACTTTGTAGCATTGCAGTAATTATCTATGGAAATAAAAGTTGATTTCCTGAATTTACGAACATCAAAACAATTTAATCGATACGACTTTTTTAATTATTCATATGAAACATACGTGGTCACATTTCTTTCGACAAAACTAAAGAACAATTGTTTTGAAAATTTTCCTATTCCTGAGAAATATAAGAATATAAGTTAGTTTCTTTGTGAGAAAGTAAGAATGAAACATTTTGACTAGATGAGACATTTTTATTCTTCTGTTAAGCAAATTTTGTCGTCTGTAATATTCATTTAAAAAAAGAAAAATTTTTTAAATTAAATTTAAATTTCAAATTTGACTAATATTGGAAATTGGAGATTCAAAATATTTTAATTTCTATTTTCAGATTGATGTAAAAGAGAAATATATTTTTTATAAGAAACACCTTTGCTGAGAATAATAATTGACGAACCTGATTATTTAATTGTAAATTGAAAAAAACAACCGAGACATGTTTAACATCATTTCTTCAACAGTAAAAATTTTATTCAATATTTGAAATTCTATTAAGCAAAAAAATATCGGTAAGTTCATAAGAATATATTTTCATTTCTTGTTATTTAGGTATAATAATTTTCAGACAGATTTTTTTGCCACGATTTTTCCAATAATTAAATTAAATTTTTTATTTTCTCCGAATTTTTTAACGAAACAATTGTCAATTCATTAAATTAAGTTAATTTAATTTCTATTTGATTAATGCTTTTATTAATTAATAGCAATTAATTAATTACTACTTAATTTTATCAAAATTTTTTGAATACATTTTTTAGAATTAAATAAAAATAAATCAAATAAATTAAAATTGAACTTATTTTAAGAAGTAAAAAAATTGTTCAACAATTTTTACGAGAAATCTCAAACAGAAAATTAAATTATTCTAATTAGTCAAATTAAGCTCTCAACTGAAATATTAAACAACTTTAAAAAATTATTGATCAATTTTTAATAAGCATTTAAAAAATATCATGCGAACTATTATCATCAGAATCGTGTATATAACTCGATTTCTAAAAGTGATTAATTTACGATCGACAATCAATATCGACGTTAGTGTTAAATTTTCTGTTAGTGCTATTATAATTTAAAATTAACAAAAAACAATTTTTTTTAAATTTAATTTTATATTCTTCGACTAATTTATATCAATAGAAAAAGCAAAACAAAGTAAATTCAAATTGCGACAAGACTTGCGGAATAGGATTCTAAATAAGTGTATTATAAGCATTTGAATAAATTGCCCTGTATCATCATAAGAATCATCATATGTGACCTGGTCTATGAAAAGGGACCTTACGTGTCAAAAAATCATTTTTTACTTTTTTGTTGATTCGGATAGGGTTTGAAACGCTCTTTAAGATGGTGAAAACCAAAAAATCATAAGTTGATTGGAAGTTTTAAAAAAAAATTTTTTAAGTTAAAAGAAACAAGAGTAAAAATACGAAAAAACTGATTTTTCGTTATTATACAAATTAAAATAACGAAGACGATAATTTTTTATTATTTAGAAAAGTTGACAGTTTCTTTGACAACTGTCAACAGTTAAAATTCAAATTTGATATCATATTCGTAATCAGCGACCTCAAAAATCTTATTACTGTCTTTTTTACAAAAAACGATCACTTTTTAGAGAAGTTGACAGCTGTCAACTGTCAAATTGTCAATTTAACATCATATTCGTAATCAGCGGCCTCGAAAACCCTTACAAACATGTGTCACTTATTTATACTTATTGTTGCAAGTTAGAAAACTTAGATTATTTTTTCTATGTTTGGGGAGTTTGTTATTAATTTATATAAAAAATTATTTTAAAAAAATTTTTATTACTTCTATGTTATTTATTTAGATACTGTGATTCACGGTGAAGAAAATAAGCCTAAATTGATTAAAAAATATTAATATTTAAAAAAGTTACAAGGGTTTTTCTAAGTTAAACTTTAACTGCTGTTTTCTCGAAAACTTGTTTTCGCACGTAAGGTCCCTTTTCACTGTCCAGGTCACATATAAGAATTTTCTATTTACTGCTCAAAGTTCTTAAAACAGACAAAAACGACATATTTATTTTGACGATCTGAAAGAAAATTGAAGAATTTCAAAATTTATTATGTAACGAAAGGTAGTAAAATCTATGAAAAAAAAATTCAATTTCCTTTTTAATGTAAAATTTAAATTTGATAATTGTGTTAATTGAAAAAATAAAGTAGTATAATTTTTAATGACACACTGGGGTCAGAATGTATAGGTAAATTTGCTGGAAAGTGCACGCTTCATTTCAAATTCAAATATTTCTGTTAAAATTACAGTTAAAACTATTAAATCAATTCATTAATCACTATATTCATATTGACTTCTTTCGAGATAGGGATTTTCTGAACATTGTCCAGTGTAAATATTTTGTATATGACGATTTAGAACTTGTACTTTGAAAGGGCAACGATTAAAGTTAAAAACTGAAATCTATTGTTATCTCATAATATAAAAGCTGCACACTATTCTCTAAAATTCAGATTAGTCCGAGTCGGCAGTCGAGAGTTGACGTTCCAAAATTATTAATAAAAGTATTTAAACAAAGTTATTGTTATAATTTATTGGAATCCAACAACAAGGCCAAAGACCAATTAGTCTTAAATAAAGTTTATTTATGTAAATATAATCTTTAAATTTCTCTTTTGTCATATTTAGTCAGTGAATTGTTATTTATTGAAACAAAATTTGTTATAAATTAATAAATTAAGATATTTCTTTAATTAGCCATTTTAAAAAATTGAAGAAAAATCCATATTCGTCGTAAAACAATATTTTTTATTTTTAATATTATTTAATAAGTGTTTCTTTCTCATTCTCCAGCAAAAAGAGGCAAATGTTTAAGAAATTAAAGCATTTAAGATACTTTATTGTAATAATAAAATATTCTATGTTTGCCATTTGATACGATGACAATGCGCACAAGTTTCCATAGGCTTTTTAAATATTCAATAGTGTAAGTGCATTTTCGATGACAAGAAACGGAAATTTTAACTTTCTATTAAACGACAATTATCTACATTGTCTCTTATGGACTTTCTAGAAATATTTTAAATGCACGGATAGAAATTTTCCTGTATACGAATGTCATAGCAATCGATTTTTCTTTCAATTATTCATAAAATAATATACGTGGTCATATTATATCCATTAAAAATAAGAAATATTCTATGAAAACTTGTGTCTATTTTAGAAATATAACAATAAGTTAATTTCTTTAAGATAAACCAAGTAAAATCGTCAGTTGACTAAACATTTCCACAAAATATATTAAATATTTACTCTGATTATATAATTGTAAAATTTCTAGAAACTTTTGTTACAAATTTTGTCATTTATAAAAGTTATTTGCATGTTTAAACTATATTTCAAAACCCATTTAAAAATAACAAACTTACACTACTGTCCGTGAGTATCAGGACGCCCCTTTTTTCATGAGTGGAAAAATGCTTAAAACATAGAAAATAAGAATGACAAAAATTTTTCGTATTTTTTTCCTGAAAGCTAATGAAATTATGAAAAGACTGACACCTGATCGAAGAATTTTCGTTGACTATTCTGTCAGATACAGAAAAAATACTGGATTTTGCATGCTTTTCGTAATTTTTTAATTTCTCGAAAACTAATTAACTTTTATTAGCGCTCTTGGTCTTGTTTTAATCTATATTTAATGTAGAATCTAAATTATTGACTGGTATTGTGAAATAAATTTTTCCAAAAAAATTTGAAACCGTAAAAGTAGGATTAAAAAAATTCAAAAAATTATCATGGATATTAAAGTGTCAAAAAGGTCAATGTGAAATATGTTCATTTAATAGATATATTAAAATTCAAAAAAGCTTTTTAATTACTTAATTATTTAATTAAAAAAAAAATTTTTTTTGTTGAAAAAGTGTCAATCTGTTTTTCAAAATTTTTTTATCCGAATTTCACAGTTTCAAATTTTTTTGGAAAAATTTATATCACAATACCATTAATTAATTTAGATTCTACATTGAATAGAGATTGAAACAAGACCAAGAACGCTAAAAAAAGTTAATTAGTTTTCGAGAAATTAAAAAATTACGAAAAGCATGCAAAATCCAGTATTTTTTCTGTATCTGACAGAATAGTCAACGAAAATTCTTCGATCGGGTGTCAGTCTTTTCATAATTTCATTAGCTTTCAGGAAAAAAATACGAAAAATTTTTGTCATTCTTATTTTCTACGTTTTAAGCATTTTTCCACTCATGAAAAAAGGGGCGTCCTGATACTCACGGACAGTAGTGTATTTTAAAAAAATTTGACAATTAGAGTGAATAATCATTAAAATGAAATTATTTAGATTTAAATAAAATTTCTGCTCCTGGAATAATTTTGGTCACTTTCAATAGATAGATTTCATAGCAACATCTTTAAAAATATTTAGAGAATGGAATTGAATCTTAGTCAAATTCTAAGTTTCAAAAATTAAATTTTTAGAAATATGTTTCACTTTAAATAAATATGAGAATCTGAAACTTTCTGCAAATTTTTTGTTATATTTTTAATCTAATATTTTGAAATTGTTGTTCATGATTCAAGTTTTCATTTGAATCCAAGAACAGATTTTTTTGACTTTTTAGCACTAATTTTCTCGAAAACTTAACATGACAGATAATTTTTCTTTGCAGATTCTTAATCAGAGTGAGAAACTAATCTTAAAAACTGATAATATACATAAATTTTTCCAGTATAGCGGTAAGTAATTTTTTTAGTGTTCCTCGCATTATTGAAAGATAATATTGTAATAATTGACTTTTCCATGTTAAAGGCCAGGGAAAGCACTAATCAAATTTCTATAAAGATTTTTTTCAATTAATCCTTAATTCAAATAAATTCAATTTTCTCACCTAATTTGAATTTTATGTTTTATAACAAGATCCTCCACTATAGTTTTTGAAAAATTTGCTACAGTGACAATTTTCAATAATTCAGTGCACAATTAATTGTGCACTTGTGTGATAATAAATTCCTGCACAACAAAAACTTTCCATTCCTAAGGGGCAGAAAATATCCAAAATCAGTCCAACATCTACCTGCACACAAAAGAAAAAACATAAAATTATAATAAAGAAAATAAGATTAAAAAATAAATTGTTCTCAATTATTTACCTGGATAAAATAAGCGATAGACTAAATATCTGAATTTCGATTACAATAATCGACGTTAAAAAAAATGTTAATTTTATTCATTATTTGAAATTTTATTCAGCAAAGAATGGCAATAGTGAATTAATAAGAATATTTTTAAATTTCTTGTTATTTACAATAATTTTCAAAAAGATTTTTTTGCTATTAACTTTTTAAAAAATAATTGTTATCAATTTTCATTAATTACTATTAAATTTTATTAATTAATTGCTATTTAATTTCATTGAAATTGAAATTATTTCAAGAAATAAAAAATATTGTTCAAAAATTGTTATTATAAATCATGCACGCAGAAAATTAAATTATAATTAAATAGTTAAATAAACTTCTCTGAAATATAAAACAACTTTAATAAATTATTATTGATGAATTTTTAAAATCATGAAGTATCACCATCACAATCGTGTGAATAACACGATTTCGAAATACTTCCTCCATGAGGAAGCAAAACGTCTAATTTACGATCGATAATCTATAAAAAAAACGTTCACATTAAATTGTATGCTAGTGCTATAATTTAAAATTAACAAAAAACAATTTTTTTAAATAAAATTTTATATTCTTCGACTAATTTATATCAAAATAAAAAGCAAAATTAAGTAATTTAAAAATACGAAAAGACTTGCAGACTAAGATTATAAATAAGTATATAAATAAAGTGTATTATAAACGTTTTATTAAATTCCAATATATTATCATAAGAAGAATAAATATTAATTTTCTATTTACTGATCATAGTTCTCAAGACAGACAAAAACGACATATTTACTTTGACAATCTGAAAAAAAATTAAAGAATTTTATAATTTGTTATTTGATATAAAAGGTAATAAAGGATATCAATTCAAATATTTGTATTAAAACTTTAGTTAAAATTATTAAACCGTGATCACTTGAAAGTTTATTAGATTTAGCATCAAATGGACAAAGATACAACCATTTTAATAACATAAATATAAAAATATATTTCTTTAAACGTAAAGGTTCTTTTGTGAAAATTTCGAAATTTTTATTTCAATCTAATACCAATTGAAGAAAAAATTTATTTCAGATTAGAAACTTTTATAACATAAAGTATAAATCTCAATCTTTAATCAATTAGAATTATTTAAAAATTGTAATATTTTCAAGCAATGGTTTTTATGTTGTCAAAATCACGATATAAAAGGATTTTCTCAAGAAATTGTGATATTAACATAAATTTAAACATTAAGAAATGTTAAAAACTGACAATTTTTCAGCTGGCAGAAAATGATTTAAAATACAGAATTTTTAACAAAATAATAACAAAAATTATTGACAAAAGTTAAGAATGACGATTATGAATGAAAAATCCGTGTTATAAAATTTTTCCTTGCAATTTTATTTTATTTTCTCGTTAAACTAAAAAAATCTAAAAATTAAAATTGACAGTCTACCGATTTTCATGATTTCTAAAAAAATATCTAACTTCTTTGCAGAAAATCAGAAAAATATTGGAACTTTGGGACAAACATGTAACTTGTGATTTATTAGTGAGAATTTAATAACTTTCGAAGTCACATATTTTTTCGATTTTCTACAAAGAAATTTAAACATTTTTAAAAAACGTGAAAATCAGCAAAGTGACAATTTTATTTTTGAAAATTAATTTAACTAGAAAATAAAAGAAAACTGTGAGATCGTCGCAAATACTAATATTCTGTAAATTTTTACTGAATTTTACAACCCCATTTTCCCATTATTTATTAATAATAATAGCAAAAAAAGTTACTTTACTGATGGACTTCAGAATAGTATTTTATTTATTATTCATTCCTTAAAAATATTATAATTTAAAAAAATTTAGAATTGACTAATTGGGATTTATACTTCATGTCATAAAAGTTTCTAATCTCAAATAAATTTCTTCTTCAATTGGTATTAGATTGAAATAAAAATTTCGTAATTTTCACAAAGGGACCTCTACGTTTAAAGAAATATATTTTCTTATTTATGTTATTAAAATGGTTGTATCTTGGTCCATTTGACGATAAATCTAATAAACTTTCAAATGATCACGGTTTGATAGTTTTCACTGCAAACTCTAGTATAAGTAAATTAAATAAAGTAAATTATAGTATATTAACAGCACGTGACTTACAAATTCAATGTCAATTTTTTCGATCATTTTTCTCTTTAAATATTTAATAAATTGAGTTGAAATTTTATAAAATTGTGCAAAAGTTTTGATAATTCAAAAATAAATTATAAAAAACAGTTTGAAATCGGTAAAGACGAGAAATTAATTAGAAGTGACCGTGACAACTGATAATTTTAAAGTAATTTGTAATGATTAATTTTAAAAATATTAAAACTTTTGCACATCACTGCCCTTCTTTATTGTATTTTAGACTTTCGTACAAAATTTCAGCTTAATTTATTAAATATTTAAAGGGAAAAGTGGTCGAAAAAATTACCATTGAGAGCCTAACAATCACATGCTGTTAATGTATAATAATTATAAATTAATACTCACAGAAGTAAAATTTTGTAATATCATATCATAAAATCCTCCTGCGGAAATCATCATCGGACACTGTGTTCTCAATATTAGAAGAAAAAGACTCTTCGTCGATTTTATTGGCAAATTAGTCCAAAACGATTGATAGGCAGCTATTCCAACTTCTGCCCCCTATATACAAATATATTTTCATCAATTTTAATAAAAAAAAGGGAATTTATTTAATAATTTTAAATAATTTTAATTTAATAATTTTACACACCTGATCCATTAATTTTTGGCCCGACCAGCAGAATAAAAGAATTTGAAAAAAATTCCCACAACATAAACCAATGTACGAAAATAAGGAAATGAAATTTACTGGAGTTTCGTTCAAAGTCTGAAAACAAAAAATATACATAATTAGTTTTATTAAGTAAATTAAGAAAATAATTTCGCATATGATTTAATTGGTGGAAACAAATAAACAATATAATAGAAAATATTAAAATAAAATAACGGAAATATCACGAAAAACTAAATAAAGTGATAATAAATGAATAATGTAATAAAGTAAAAGTGTAAAAGTTTCAAAATAGCTTACTACTATTATTTGAAATGCAGTAAGGCAGTTTGCAATAAAACTTATCCCTAATTGGTAGAAACAAAGTGTACTGAAGAGTTTATTCAATGTTTTAACGTTCCTTTAGAAAGTATAAATTAAAATTAATTTTCCAAAGAAAAGACAATTTTTGCTATAAATATTCCATTGAAACATTTTGAAGTAAACCTTATTAGATAATTATGATTTTCAACAAGTTCCTTTATTGTTTCTTCCGATGTATCACTTGTAAAGCCAATCTTTCTTAATTTCTCTTGCAAAATAGCTAATTGAGCGCAAGAATGCCAAATTGCAACAAAAACAAAAGAATCCATGCCTAAATTGTAACTTACAGCAACACCAAGTGCCGAAATTGTCTCCACAGTAAAAAAATACATTTTTCAATTATTCAATCACATGACACATGATTAAGAAGGTAATTTTTCAAAATACAAAGTAATTTTTACTATTCACAAAATAAAATATCTGCAATTTCTAGCGCATTATTTTCACTAATTTTAGAGTAAATTTTATTATTTACTTGAACAAAAAATTACTTTGGAAATATTTAATAAAATTTACTCAGCGAAAATAAAAATTGATTAGTAATGCCGAGAAACTGGAAAAAATTTAAGTTGTACTATCTGTGTAGTAATAATTACTTTATTCACTTCTTTTGAATTAAAACAATTAATAAATAATAGTTTTACAATTATTATCGCTGTATGAATGTGAAAATTTGTAAAAAGCTTGAATTCAATAATTTTACATACATTATTTCATAGTTATGCTAAAAAAAATCTACAGAATATTTCAGAAATCTTCAATTACTACATTTTTGAAAATCCATAAAATATCGAATGTAAAAACTAGAATAAATTGCACAGCAAAGAAAAAAGAAATTTCAACAAGTTACCTGAATAAAATAAGCAATAGCGTAATAAAAATCAGAATTTTGATCCCAATTGAAATACCAAGCGCAAAGTGGATATCGTCTGTCACGAGCTGGATCACTATCTTTACCAAAAATTAATGGTAAACTAAACATGATAAATTCAAAATAATAAACACAAATGACAAAAAATTTTGACACAAGTCTTCCAAAGCGAGCATGTTTTAAAATTAAATTCTTCTCCATGTCTGTTGCTCTATCACACAAGGAATTATCGAAATTGTATTCCATCATTTGCAACAATTCCTGCGAATTTCAACACAAAAAATGTTTCAATATAAAATAATATGAAATTACATATAAAATGAAAATATTATTGACACACTTTATATAAAGTATACTAAAAACCTTAAAAGCAGTCTGATTTGCAGCAACATGAGTGAACTTTAAACACACCGAAACTACATGAGCTGTCATACACAAATTTTGAAAAATAGCAAAATTGTTACCCCAAACAATGTAAATGTCTAGTAACATCGGTACTAAAAGTAACAACCATAAATTTACAAAGATTATAAAGAAATGTAGTTTATAAAAATAAATTTTCCAAATTGCATCATTTTCATAAAAAGGCCAGAGTCCAATTATTCTTAAAAAAAATTTATTCATGTAAATGTAATCATCAAATTTCTCTTTTGTCATATCTAGTTAGTGAATTGTATTTGAATTAAACAAAATTGGCTAGAAAATTAATAAATTAAAACTTTTTTATTTCTTGAATTAGTCATTTAAGAAAATCTCTTTCTCCAGCTCTCTTCCTGAATCAAAAAGAGGCAAATTTTTTGTTAAATTCAACTTAAGATTCTTGTTTCAAATCATAAAATATTCTATGTTTGACATTTGAAACGATGACAATAGACAAAGTTTCCATAGGCTTTTTAAATATTCAATAGTGTAAGTGCATTTTCAATGACAAGAATCGGAAATTTCAACGTTCTATTAAACGACAATTATCTACATTGTCTCTATGGACTTTCTAGAAATATTTTAATTGCACGGACAGAAATTTCCTGTATGCGAATATCATAGCAATCGATTCTTTTTTTTTAATTATTCATAAAATAATATACGTGGTCATATTATATCCATTAAAAATATGAAACATTGTATGACAATTTCTGTCTGTTTTAGAAATAGCAGTAAGTTAGTTTCTGTATGATAAAGCAAGTAAGGCCGTCAGTGGACTGTATATTTCCAGAATATTAAATATTATTTACTCTGATTATATAATTGTAAAATTTCAAAAACCTTTTGTTAGAAATTTTTTCATTTATAAAATTTATTTGCGTATTTAAAGTATATTTCAAAATCGATTTAAAAATAACAAAACAAACTTTTTAAAATGTGACAATTAGAGTTATTTTTATTCGAACATATTTAAGTGTTATTAATCTTCTTGAAAATAATGCGGTTATTTTAGATTATTAATTACAATTTACTTATTTTTTCTAATATATTTCAAGAATTTAGTTTTAATAAAAATATCTCTCGCTTCAGATTGATGTGAAGGATAAAAAATTTATATTTTTATAAGAAATTCCGTTATATTGAGAATAATTATAAAAATGTAAATATTTAGTTTTAAATATCAAAATTAATTCCATTCCTTAAATGTCATGAAATTATTGCAAAGTTTCTAAACATAATTTTTCATTTAAAATCTTTAATCAGTTTTCAAAACCAGTTTATATCTGAAAAAATGTTCTGAATTTTAAATTTTTTCAATTTGACGCAAGCAGAAAATTCTTTTTATCTAATTATAAGAAGAATTTTCTTCTTTCATTTCAGATATGTGCAAAAAAAATTATTACTAATCTTTTTGTAAACACAAATATTAAATTTTTGAATTTTTCTCAATGAAAAACCTATTGAATTAGTCATTAATATTATTAATATTATCTTTATTATTCAATACACGCTCACTAAAAATTGATTAATCTGAAATCGATTGCAAATTAATATCGATATTCATATTTCGTGCAATAGTTTTTCTTATTACAGCAATAGGATTAAAATATTATAATCTCGATAAAAAGTTAATAATATTTATTACTACTTTAAATGATAATAAATTTCATTCCCATAATAGAGGAATGATAGATGATGATATTATCAATATTAAATATTACTGATTTTAATGACTCGACACCATCATAGCTCTCAAAAGAGACAAAAATGACATTGATGCTTTAACAATCTGCAAGGAATGTTAGAATTAAATTATTAATATTATAATTTCAATTAAAATTAAATAATTAAGACTAATAAGTGATTATTCTTAATTAGTTGAATAAATTTTTATTTTAATCAATATTGTCACTCAAGTTAAAATTTTATTTTTGTATGCTCTTTTATTTATTATTTATACTATATTTTTTATTAAATTAATAGATTAGACTCACTTTGGTAAAGTTCTGCAAATTCATGTCGTACATTCCTCCTGCGCTAATTACCAGAGGATTTTGAGCTCTTAATATCATTAAAATAATGGCCTTCGAAGAATGATGATGTAAATTGGTCCACAAAGATTGATAGGCAGCATTTCCAACTCCAAAACTCTGTTTAATAAATCTTTTATATCAATCATCTTCACGGTGGAACTTTTAAAAAATAACTTTATGTAAATTTATTAGAGGTGTGCAAAAAGCTCGAATAGTCGAGCCGCAATTTTTTCGAGCCGATCCGATCCGAGCCCAAGCCGGGCTCCATGTATCGGGTACCCGAAATTTTCGAGTACTCGATTTAATTCGAGCTTTTAAATTAAAAAAAAATTTTTTTTTTTTTAAAAAAAAAATTTAATTAAAAATTAATGTAGAAAATTTTGGATTTTCTCAAGGGCTCGAATCAAATCGAGTACCCGAAAGTTTGGGGTACCCGAAAAATTCGAGTACCCGAAATTATTCGAGTTTTTTATAAAGCTCGGCTCGGCCCGAGCTCAAACTGAATAGACTCGGCTCGGCTCGGCTGGAAAAATGAAAAGCTCAAAAATACCCGCTCGAGCTTCGAGTTTCGAGCTTTTTGCACACCCCTAAAATTTATATTGAGATTAATAATTAATAACTTAAATTTGAATACCTTTTCCATTAATTCATTGCTTGGCCAACAGTACAATAGAATTTGAAATAAATTAACGATCAAATAGCCGAAATATAAAATGGTTCCCCGATAATCTGAGTCTTCGCTGTTTAAAGACTGTAATTGATAGAAAAAATTGTATTATTCATCCATTTTTTGTTAACGCCTTAAAGATATATTTAAAAAATAATACTAAATATTCAACATAAAAAACAGTTATGAATAGTTTATTAAAATTAATAATATTTAATTCAAAATTTGAATAAGAAATTTTTACTGTACAATATAAATAATAGAAGTTTGCAATTAATTACTTATAATAATTGTTGCAATAAATAAATAAAAATAATAAATTACAAACATTTGGAAAAATTGAATTTTATGAAAAATAATTACCACGATTAATTGAAATCCAGAAAAGCATATGACAAAGCCACTTGTCAGAAGTTGATATAGACATAATTTACTAAATAATTTGTTAAATATATGAACGAGTCTTTCAAAACAAATAAATTTCATAATTAATGAAACATTTCAGTAATAATCTCTTTAAATTGCGAAAAATTATTTCCATTCATAAGTTCTGAACGTTCAAATTTAAAAATTAAGAAACAAATTTCTAACCAAATCTTTTCTTGATGTAAATGTTTTCAAAAATTACTGTTTGCACTCAAAATTAAAAAATGTAAATTAAAATAAAAAAATTTATTATTTTTCGATACGCAATGCAATATTTTTTGAATAAAATTCAAAACTAAGTAAGAAATATAAAAAAATAGGAAGAATAGAAAGAAATATCTATATTAGCAATCGTTGTATTCTAGTAATCTGTTCACAGTTTAAAGTTAATTGTTGTTTGCTTTTGTGTTTTCTAACATTTTTTAATAATATTTTTCTTTTCAAATATTTTCAATTTTAAAATTAATGTATTAAAAATCATTGAATTCTTGCAAAGAATCTTAACAACAAATTTGAAGAGAATAATTGAGGCCTTGGATCCAATAACTCGCCCGACGCTCGAAGGCGCACGCGCTAATACCAGTCGGGTAGCAGTGAGTGGCCCAGAGGGTGCTCACTGACTGGCAGTTGCGCGTTCCTCCTATCGTCAGGCGAGTTATTGGATCCAAGGCCTCAATTGAATTCCTTCGAAGAATTTTTTTATTTCTGAAAATATTTCAATTCTCGCGAAGAATTTTATTAAAATTTTTAAAAACCCTAATAAAATAGTTTAGAAGAATTTCTTTGAAATTTTTTAAAATAATGGAGTTTCTTTAATAATTTTAATTGAAAATTTTAAAAAAAATTGAATTTTATCAAAATTGTATTGAAAATAATTAAATTCCTGAGCAGAATTTTATTATTTATACAAATAATTTAATTCTTGCGAAGAATTTTAATATTTATCAAAATAATTGAATTGTTTTGAATAATTTATTAAAATTTTAGGAAATAAATGAATTTTATGTAAATATTTGAAAATAATAATTAAATTCTTTCGAAGAATTCAATTAAAATTTATTGTTTTGAAAATAATTGAATTCCTACAAAAAATTTTACTATTTATAAAAATATTTGAATTCTTGCGAAACGTTTTACTATTTATAAAAATAATTGAATTGTTTCGAAGAATTTATTAAAGATTTTAGAAAATAATTGAATTTATTCGAAATAGGGTAAACGTACCAATTGTCGAGGATAGTTCCTGTTGTCGAGTAAACAAACTTTGAATTTTATTTAAACAGTGTAGCACATTGTAAATGAAAAAAAGTAATAAATATTAATTTTTTTATGCGTTATAAATGTGAAAAAAATATATTAATATTATATAGAAAAACAAATCAGACATTTTAGACAATATTTTTTGGTTATTACCATGGTAAAATCGACAAATTGAACACCCTCGGCAATTGGTACACTTACCCTATGTTAAATTTTTTTTAAAAATTGAATTCTGCGGAATTTAATTAAAATTGTTTTGAAAATAATTGAAATCCTGCAAAGAGTTTTACTATTTATAAAAATAATTGAATTTTTGAGAATGATTTAATAAAATTTCAGAAAATAATTGAATTCTTTTGAAACATTTTATAACAAATTAAGAGAAAAAAGAAATTCTTTCGCGAAATTTTATTGAAAATTATTGAATTGTTTAAAAATTTTAGAAAATATTTAAATTCTTTTGTAAAATTTTATTAAAATTTTGTTCAAAATAATTGAATCTTTGCAAAAAATTTTACTATTTTTAAAAATAATTGAATTCTTCCGAAGAATGTTAATATTTATATAAAAATAATTGAATTCTTACTAAGAATAATATATTAAAATTTTTGAAAATATAAACAATAATAATTAATTTTGTATTTAATAAGTGAACTTTTTAAAATTTTGATTGTGAAATTATTTAAAAATTTATATTTGAAAATAAAAAATGTTGTAATTTGTATAACAATAATAAATTGAATATCACGTTCCGCGCGTAACATTTGCTAGTAAAGAGTATAAAGAAACAAAAAAATAAAAATAAAAATATGAAAGGAAATAAAAAAAAGATTTGAATAACGTTCAGAACTTTAGGATTAAATTATTAGGTATGGGTAGGCAAATAAAATTCACCTGATCTGACTATTATGACTGTAAACAATACTCTCTATTACTTTCGGTGAAACTAAAGAAGCCTCTCCAAGTTTCGAAAGTTTAATCTGAAGAATACTCAATTGAGCGCAAGAATGCCAAATTGCAACGAAAATGAAACTGTCCATTCCAGCTAAAAAACTCACGCCAAGACAAATTCCAATGAATGCCTGTAAATAATTAATTGATAAAATTAAATAAAAATTTAAAAATTAAATAAAAAGCATAAGACCGAAAAAAAACGTACAAACCTGAATTCCATAACAAAATGCGTAAATAACATTTGAATACTGATCATAATAATACCAAGAACAGTACGGATAACGTTTATGACGAACAGGATCAGTGTCTATTCCATAAATAAATGGTACTAAAAACAATAAAGTTTCAAAATAATACACACTGAAAAGGAAATATTTCGTAACTGTACGTGCAAAATTTGCATGATCAAGAAGAATTATTCTCTGCTCCTTCGATGTTGATTTTGATAAGCAACTATCAAAATTAGTCTTCATTGTTCTCAATAATTCCTAAAAAAATAATTTCTGATATTAATAAATAATTCATAATCATTGCTCATACAATTAAATGTTAGATATTCATTAAAAAAAATGAGTAAACAGAGCGAAAGAAGAATATTATTAATAAAACAGACGTAATTTATTCATTAAAAATATAAAATAAAATGTAAAATTAATAAATTAAAATGCAAAAAAAAAGAATCAAACCTTAAAAATATTCCTGTTTGAAATTACATGTATAAATTTTAGTACTATAAAAATCCCATGAACAGTGAGACACAAATTTTGTACAATCGCATTGATGTCTCCCCAAACAAAATATAAATCAAGTATCATAGGCGGTATGAGTAATGTTAGTAATAAAATTATGATAATAATTGCGTGAAATTTGTTGATGCAATTACGCCAAGACGATGCTTTATCACTTAGAGGCCATAATCCAAGAAGAGATAAATAAATCTTATTAATTTGTATATAGTCTTCGAAATTGTCTTCAGCCATTTTTAATCGAAATAAATGCAATATTCATAAAAATTGTTTGTTTTGTATAAAAAATTCTATAAATTCTAATACTTTTACTCGTTTAAGACATATTTCCTTTGTTTACATCTGAATTCTTGCTCATTTTCAAAAAGTTTTATAAAAATTACATAAAAAAACCAAGCTGAATAAAATATTATTGAAAATTTCGATAAAATTCTAAATTAGATCAGAAGATAAAAATTTATTTCTCAACTTTAAGAATAAATACTTTAAAATAATTTTTATTAAAAAATTAATTATTATTTATTTTCTCTAAAAGATTTTTTTGTCTTCAGAAAGGAGCAAATATAGAATATACAAAATATTGTCAACGATAAGTATGAATTATAGAGAAATGCTTGACGATTAAAGACAACGATCATTTCCTAGAAGACACAAGACATATTTCCGCATATTAATAATTAATTAATAAAGCATTTCATTCTTGTTAAGTGAACACAGTTTCGATTCATAGAACGTTAGTAAGAAATAAATTATAAATACCACCATTGTTTAGCGATATTAATTCACTTATAATTACTACTTTGCCATGCCATTCATATTAATGCTACAATTAGAAATTCATTTTCCTACAGTTATAAACCAACTATTAAAATTATAAAAATCATGCAAATATTGAAATGAACTTTTCTGAAAAATCGCTTAATAAAGTAGAATATTCAAAAAATTATTTAGTGTTATTAATATTATTAATTATAATTTTTTAAATAACGATAGTATTGAAATAAAAGTAATTTCAAATATTCCATCAGCATGAATAGAAAATGAAGAAAAAATTTAATAATTTATTACCGCAGTGAAATTATACCTCCGGCAGAAAGTACAAGACGCTTTTGAGATCTCAGTATTAGTAGCGTGAGTAATTTTGAATTAGTTGGTGTTAAATTCGTCCAAAATAATTGATAGTCAAACATTCCGATTTTCGAACTCTGAATTTTTTAATTAATTAATTTATTTTCCAGTTCTAAAAGAAAAAGAATCTGATTACCTGGTCCATTAAATCATCACTAGGCCAACAGTACATGAGAATTTGAAATAAGTTCGAAAGAATAAATCCTGCGCAGAATATGGCTGGTTACAATCTGCGAAAAGAAATTAAAATATTATTCAAAAAAAAAATATAATTATTATTAAATAATAATTTAATAAACTATTTTAATGAAATAAAATAATAAATTTAAATAAAAAACCAAGTAAATGATTTTTCGGTAGGTATAAAAATACTATGAATGAAAAAAACTTACGATTATTAATTGAAAACCAGTGAAGCAGACAGAAGTACAACAAGTAAGTAATTGAATTAAACACGATTCTCTAAAAATAGTATTTAATATCTCAATTGTCCTGTTAAAAGAAAAGAAAATACTTGTTTAATTTTTTTCAAATAGTTTTCAATATTAAATAACCAATTTTCAAAGATTTTAATTTGAAACCTTTTCAAAATTCAATTATTTCTAAAATTTCACACTATAGTGCTTTTAATATTCCATTATTAACTAAAATTTTAACTGAAATTCAATTTAAAATTAATTGTTACTAAAAATTTCAACGCGAATTCAATTATTTAAGTTACAGAAATAAATAATTTATTTAATTCTCATAAAGAATTTAATCAACAAATTTAATTTAATTAAAATTGTTATAAAAACAATTGAAATTCTATAGATGAGTTTTATTATTTATTGTTTTTGTTTGTTTTTTGTTTCCTAAATTTTTTGACAATTTTTCTATTTAATGTTTTGAATTTTAAAATTAATGAAATTCTAATTTAATATTATGAAGATTTAAAATTACATAAACAAAATTATTTGAATAGTGAATTTATGCGAGGAATTTTATTAAAGTTTCTGAAATCAATAAATAATAACAATAAATTTTAATAATTTAATTAATTATTAAATTTTTAAAAATGTTGAGTCTGAATTTATTCCAAAATTGAAACTAATGTTGATAATAAATTTTTTTTAATTTGCATAATAATAATAACATTTGCTATAGTTATCAGTAATAATTGTTGATTTAATCAGGCGCAATATGGATATCGTTTGTCACGAACTGGATCACTATCTTTTCCAAAAATCAATGGTAAACTAAACATAATAATTTCAAAATAATAAACACAAATAACGAAAAATGTTGTCACAAGTCTTCCAAAGCGAGCATGTTTTAAAATTAAATTCTTCGCCATGTCTGTTGCACTATCACACAAGGAATTATTGAAATTATATTCCATCATTTGCAACAATTCCTGTGAATTTGAACAAAAAAAATAGAAGATTCGATATAAAATGAAAATATTATTGACACACTTTATATAAAGTATACTAAAAACCTTGAAATCATTTTGATTTGTATCAACATGGGTGTACTTTAAACATACCGAAACTGCATGAGCAGTCATACACAATTTAGTTTTAATAAAAATATCTCTCGCTTCAGATTGATGTGAAGGATAAAAAATTTATATTTTTATAAGAAATTCCGTTATACTAAGAATAATTATAAAAATTTAATTATTTAGTTTTAAATATCAAAATTAATTCCATTCCTAAAATGTAATTAAATTATTGCAAAGTTTCTAAAAATAATTTTTTCATTTTTAATTAAAATCTTTAATCAGTTTTCAAAACCAGTTTATATCTGAAAAAATGTTCTGAATTTTAAATTTTTTCAATTTGACGCAAGCAGAAAATTCTTTTTATCTAATTATAAGAAGAATTTTCTTCTTTCATTTCAGATATGTGCAAAAAAAATTATTACTAATCTTTTTGTAAACACAAATATTAAATTTTTGAATTTTTCTCAATGAAAAACCTATTGAATTAGTCATTAATATTATTAATATTATCTTTATTATTCAATACACGCTCACTAAAAATTGATTAATCTGAAATCGATTGCAAATTAATATCGATATTCATATTTCGTGCAATAGTTTTTCTTATTACAGCAATAGGATTAAAATATTATAATCTCGATAAAAAGTTAATAATATTTATTACTACTTTAAATGATAATAAATTTCATTCCCATAATAGAGGAATGAAAGATGATATTATCAATATTAAATATTACTGATTTTAATGACTCGACACCATCATAGCTCTCAAAAGAGACAAAAATGACATTGATGTTTTAACAATCTGCAAGGAATGTTAGAATTAAATTATTAATATTATAATTTCAATTAAAATTAAATAATTAAGACTAATAAGTGATTATTCTTAATTAGTTGAATAAATTTTTATTTTAATCAATATTGTCACTCAAGTTAAAATTTTATTTTTGTATGCTCTTTTATTTATTATTTATACTATATTTTTTATTAAATTAATAGATTAGACTCACTTTGGTAAAGTTCTGCAAATTCATGTCGTACATTCCTCCTGCGCTAATTACCAGAGGATTTTGAGCTCTTAATATCATTAAAATAATGGCCTTCGAAGAATGATGATGTAAATTGGTCCACAAAGATTGATAGGCAGCATTTCCAACTCCAAAACTCTGTTTAATAAATCTTTTATATCAATCATCTTCACGGTGGAACTTTTAAAAAATAACTTTATGTAAATTTATATTGAGATTAATAATTAATAACTTAAATTTGAATACCTTTTCCATTAATTCATTGCTTGGCCAACAGTACAATAGAATTTGAAATAAATTAACGATCAAATAGCCGAAATATAAAACGGTTCCCTGATAATCCGAGTCTTCGCTATTTAAAGACTGTAATTGATAGAAAAAATTGTATTATTCACCCATTTTTTGTTCACGCCTTAAAGATATATATATTTAAAAAATAATACTAAATATTCAACATAAAAAACAGTTATGAATAGTTTATTAAAATTAATAATATTTAATTCAAAATTCGAATAAGAAATTTTTACTGTACAATATAAATAATGGAAGTTTACAACTAATTACTTATAATAATTGTTACAATAAATAAATAAAAATAATAAATTACAAACATTTGGAAAAATTGAATTTTATGAAAAATAATTACCATGATAAATTGAAATCCAGAAAAGCATATGACAAAGCCACTTGTCAGAAGTTGATATAGACATAATTTACTAAATAATTTGTTGAATATATGAACGAGTCTTTAAAAACAAATAAATTTCATAATTAATGAAACATTTCAGTAATAATCTCTTTAAATTGCGAAAAATTATTTCCATTCATAAGTTCTGAACGTTCAAATTTAAAAATTAAGAACTAAGTAACTAAGTAAGAAATATAAAAGTAAGAAATATAAAAAAATACGAAGAATAGAAAGAAATATCTTTATTAGGGGAGACTGGGGCGAAAGGTTAAACTGTGGAAACAATTAAAATTTATTATCTTTTGAACGGAAATAGTTAGAGCATTGCAATTTTAATTATAGAAGGGTGTTATCACTCTAAATAAATGTCCAGGGTTATGTGACATTCTGTTCATTTTTGTGGTGTCCATATTTAAATTTTTTTTTCACCCTACTTTTGAAAATTTTTTCGTAAAAGAAAATATCAACTTTTAAGTATATTTTTTGAATTTATTCTCATCGCGATTTTTTTATGTCCTTATTTGGGTTTTGAAAATAATTGAATTCCTGCAAAGAGTTTTACTATTTATAAAAATAATTTAATTTTTGAGAAGGATTTAATAAAATTCTTGAAAATCATAGAATTCTTTTGAAACATTGTATAACGAATTAGGAAAAAAAGTAAATTCTTTCGCGAAAAAATTGAATTCTTCTGAGGAATTCATTTAAAATTTTACAAAATAATTAAATTCTTTTGAAATTAATTGTTTAGAAGGATTTATTAAAATTTTAGAAAATATTTGAATTCTTTTGTGAAATTTTATTTAAATTTTGTTCAAAATAATTGAATCTTTGCAAAAAAATTTACTATTTTTAATTAAAAATAATTGAATTCTTACGAAGAATGTTAATATTTATATAAAAATAATTGAATTCTTACTAAGAATTATACTAAAATTTTTGAAAATATAAACATAATAATTAATTTTGTATTTAATAAGTGAACTTTTTAAATTTTGATTGTGAAATTATTTAAAAATTTATATTTGAAAATAAAAAATTTTGTAATTTATATAACAATAATATATTGAATATCACGTTTCGCGCGTAACATTTGCTAGTAAAGAGTATAAAGAAATAAAAAAAATAAAAATATAAAAGGAAATAAAAAATAGATTTGAATGACGTTCAGAACTTTAAAATTAAATTATTAAGTATACCTAGGTATACAATAAAATAAAATTCACCTGATCTGACTATTATGACTGTAAACAATACTCTCTATTAGTTTCGGTGAAACTAAAGAAGCCTCGCCAAGTTTCAAAATTTTAATCTGAAGAATACTCAATTGAGCGCAAGAATGCCAAATTGCAACGAAAATGAAACTGTCCATTCCAGCTAAAAAACTCAAGCCAAGACACATTCCGAATAATACCTATAAATAATTAAATGATAAAATTACATAAATAAAAATTTAAAAATTAAATAAAAGCATAAGACCGAGAAAAACGTACAAACCTGAATTCCATAACAAAATGCGTAAATAACATTTGAATACTGATCATAATAATACCAAGAACAGTACGGATAACGTTTATGACGAACAGGATCAGTGTCTATTCCATAAATAAATGGTACTAAAAAAAATAAACTTTCAACAAAATACACACTGAAAAGGAAATATTTCGTAACTGTACGTGCAAAATTTGCATGGTCAAGAAGAATTATTCTCTGCTCCTTCGATGTTGATTTTGATAAGCAACTATCAAAATTAGTCTTCATTGTTCTCAATAATTCCTAAAAAAATAATTTCTGATATTAATAAATAATTCATAATCATTGCTCATACAATTAAATGTTAGATATTCATTAAAAAAAAATTAGTAAACAGAGCGAAAGAAGAATATTATTAATAAAACAGACGAAATTTATTCATTAAAAATATAAAATAAAATGTAAAATTAATAAATTAAAATGCAAAAAAAAAGAATCAAACCTTAAAAATATTCCTGTTTGAAATTACATGTATAAATTTTAGTACTATAAAAATCCCATGAACAGTGAGACACAAATTTTGTACAATCGCATTGATGTCTCCCCAAACAAAATATAAATCAAGTAACATAGGCGGTATGACTAATGTTAGTAATAAAATTATGATAATAATTGCGTGAAATTTGTTGATACAATTACGCCAAGACGATGCTTTATCACTTAGAGGCCATAATCCAAGAAGAGATAAATAAATCTTATTAATTTGTATATAGTCTTCGAAATTGTCTTCAGCCATTCTTAATCGAAATAAATGCAATATTCATCAAAATTGTTTGTTTCGTATAAAAAATTCTATAAATTCTAATACTTTTACTCGTTTAAGACATATTTCCTTTGTTAACATTTGAATTCTTGCCCATTTTCAAAAAGTTTTATAAAAATTACATAAAAAAAACCAAGTTTAATAAAATATTATTGAAAATTTTGATAAAATTCTAAATTAGATCAGAAGATAAAAATTTATTCCTCAACTTTAAGAATAAATACTTTAATGTAATTTTTATTAACAAATTATTTCTTATTTATTTTCTCTAAAAAAATTTTTTTTAAGTCTTTAGAAAGGAGCAAATATAGAATATACAAAATATTGTCAACGATAAGTATGAATTATAGAGAAATGATTGACGATTAAAGACAACTATAATTTTCTAGAAGACACAAGACATATTTCCGCATATTAATAATTAATTAATAAAGCATTTCATTCTTGTTAACTGAACACAGTTTCGATTCATAGAACGTCAGTAAGAAATAAATTATAAATACCACCATTGTTAGCGATATTAATTCACTTATAATTACTACTTTGCCATGCCATTCATATTAATGCTACAATTAGAAATTCATTTTCCTACAGTTATAAACCAACTATTAAAACTATAAAAATCATGCAAATATTGAAATGAACTTTTCTGAAAAATCGCTTCTAATTTACTATAAGCAAATTCTGCCTTGAAGTTCTTAAAAGCAATTCGAATTCAATGCTTTTCATTGTTAGTTGAAATATTCTTGAGTGTTGTCTTTAATTTCTTTTTCTGCACTCCATTAAATTCGATTAATTCAAAAATAAAACGAATCGAAAATATTAATTATATAGATTATTGATAAAAAAAATTGTCTAAGTGTTTTTAAAATAAAGTACAGTAATTCCAAGTAAAATTTTTGTTTGTAAAAGTAAAACAAAATTCTAGGTAAATTACACTACAAAAGTATATTTAATTTCTAGCAAATATTTCATTACTTTAATGCAAATAATTTACGACATTAAATTATTATTTTATTGGTTTTCTTTCACTTTCTAACTTTGTTCGCGATTTGCATAAATTACTCTCAAAACTGATAGAAATGATAAAGATGCTTTTACAATCTGCAAGAAAGTTTCAACAGAATTTAAATAAAATACAGCGATATTAATTTATTATTTTATTATTTTACGATTATTAATAGAAAATAATAAAAACTAGTTAGTATTATTAAAATTATTTCCTATTATTAATAAAGTAGAATATTCCAAAAATTATTTAGAATCATTAATTATTAATTAATAATTTAATTTAAATAACGATAGTATTGAAAAAAAAGTTATTTCAAATAAGAATTGAAGAAAAAATTTACTAATTTATTACCGCAGTGAAATTTTGCAAATTCATCTCATATATACCTCCGGCAGAAAGTACAAGACGCTTTTGAGCTCTCAGTATTAGCAGCGTGAGTAATTTTGAATTAGTTGGTGTTAAATTCGTCCAAAATGATTGATAGGCAAACATTCCGATTTTCGAACTCTGAATTTTGTCATTAATTAATTTATTTTCCAGTTCTAAAAGAAAAAGAATCTGATTACCTGGTCCATTAAATCATCACTTGGCCAACAGTACATGAGAATTTGAAATAAGTTCGAAAGAATAAATCCTGCGTAGAATATGGCGCCATTGAAATCTACAGAACTACTGGTTACAATCTGCGAAAAGAAATTATTAAAATATTATTCAAAAAATAATATAATTATTATTAAATACTAATTTAATAAACTATTTTAATGAAATAAAATAATAAATTGAAATAAAAAACCAAGTAAGTGATTTTTCGGTAGGTATAAAAATACTATGAATGAAAAAAAACTTACAATTATTAATTGAAAACCAGTGAAGCAGACAGAAGTACAACTAGTAAGTAATTGAATTAAACACGATTCTCTAAAAATAGTATTTAATATCTGAATTGTCCTGTTAAAAGAAAAGAAATTATTGTTTAATTTTTTTCAAATAGTTTTCAATATTAAATAACCAATTTTCAAAGATTTTAATTTGAAACCTTTTCAAAATTCAATTATTTAAGTTACAGAAATAAATAATTTATTTAATTCTCATAAAGAATTTTATTAACAAATTTTTAAATAATTGAATTCTTTTGAGAATAATTAAAAGAATGTAATTAAGAATAATTACATATTTCGAGAAATTTAATTAAAATTGTTATAAAAGCAATTGAAATTCTATTGATGAGTTTTATTATTTATTGTTTTTGTTTGCTTTTTGTTTCCTAAATTTTTTGATAATTTTTCTTTTTAATGTTTTGAATTTTAAAATTAATGAAATTCTAATTTAATGTTATAAAGATTGAAAACTCCTCAAACAAAATTATTTTCAATTAAAAATATTTCTTTTATTATTCTTATTTATTTCTATTATAATTTTAAATCTGAAATAATTGGATTTTTATAAAGAAATTTATCCAAATTATTCAAAATAATTTAAAATCTTTTAAAATAAGTTAATTCTAACGAGAAATAAATTTAATTAAAATAATATTTAAAATATTTAAATAATTCTTTTGAAGAGTTTTATTAAAATTTTTGAAAATATGTAATTGAATTTATAAGAAGAATGTTATAAGTAACATAAATATAAATTTTATCAAAATTTTTCATTGTAATTGAATTTCTGTGAAGAATTTTATTAAAATTCTTTAAAATAATTAAATTCCTGCGAACATTTTTATTAATTATCAAAATAATTAAAATCTTGCTAAGAATTTTATTAGAATTTTCGAAAAGAATTGAATGTTTTAGAGGAATTTAGGTAATTAAATTTATATTGAAAATATTTCAATTTTCATCAAGAATTTAATCAAAATGTTTTAATATAATTTATATGTTTGCAAAGAATTTTATCAAATTTAAAAAAATAATTGAATTCTTTTGAGAAATTTTATTGAAAAGAATTGAATTCCTGCGAGGAATTTTATTAAAATTTTTGAAATCAATAAATAATAATAATAATTAATTAATAAATTAGTTAATTATTAAATTTTTAAAAATTTTAAGTCTGAATTTATTCAAAAATTGAAACTAATGTTGATAATAATTTTTTTTAATTTGCATAATAATAATAACATTTGCTAGTTATCAGTAATAATTGTTGATTTAAATGTAAATCAACAAATAAAAAAATTTCTAGATACAAATATTTTTTTCCAATTTAACGAAAATTCAAATAAATTGAATTTTCTCACCTAATATGCATTTTATGTTTTACAATAAGATCCCTCACTACTGTTTTTGAATAATTCGCTCCAGTGCCAATTTTCAATAATTCAGTTTGAAGTATACTCAATTGTGCACATGTATGATAAACTGCTGTACAACAGAAACTTTCCATTCCTAAGGAATAGCTAATACCCAAAAACAGTCCAACAACTACCTGCACAGAAAAGAAAAAAAACATAAAATTCTAATAAAGAAAATAAAACTAAAAAATAAATTGTCTTTAATTGTCTACCTGGATAAAATAAGCGATAGCATAAACAACATCTGAATTTTTATCCCAATAATACCAGGAGGAAAATGGATAACGTTTGTTACGAGCTGGATCACTTTCAATTCCATAAATGAAAGGCAGTAAGTACATTACAGAAAGAAAAAAATAAACCGAAACAATAAATCCTTTAGTAATGTACAATGCAAAACGAGCATGACTGTAAAGAATATTTTTTTGCTTTTCCGTCATTTTCGACGATATAGAAGTATCCCAATTGTGTTGCATAATTAACACCATACTCTACAAAATTGGTAAATATTTTATTAGTAAGTATATATTAATAAAATAAATGTGATGTTTTAATTTTTTTAAGACTCAAAGTTCCCCCATCTGAATTAAAAAAAAACTTGGAATTTCAATTTCTTGTAAGCATTTAGTATATTAAAGAATATTTTGATTCAATCTAAAAATGATTATTGAATTTCTCTAATATATTCTATAATGCTTCTAATATTCAAATAGTACCTATATCTAAAATTTTAATTCAAATTAATTTTTAAACAAATTTTTGTTAGAAAACTCTACTAGAATTCAATTATTTGAATAATAATAATAAATAAATAATATTAAAATATTTTTCAATAATTGAATTCTTTCGACGAATTTTAATAAAAAACTTTAAAACTAATTGCATTTTTCGAGGAATTTATTTTAAATTCTATCAACAATCATTCAAATTCTGCAATGAGTTTTATTATTTTTGAAAATAATTGAATCCTTGAGAAGAATTTTATTAAAAAATTTTAAATAATTGAATTCCAGTGACAAATTTTATTATTTCTAAAAATAATTGAATTTTGCAAAAAATATTATTAAATTTCCTGAAAATAATTGAATTTCTGGGGAAAATTTTGATATTTCTCAAGATAATTGAATTTGTTCGAAGAATTGCGTTAAAAATTTTTGAAATAATATTAAATATAATATTTAAAAATTGTACTAATTTCTACGGAATTAAAATTAGAAGTTTATTAACAAAATTAATTCTACAGAATTGTTAATTAAAAGTAGGAAAAATTCAGATTTTCAAAAATTAAAATTTGAGACCTTTTCAAAATTCAATTATAATTAAATATATAATATATTAAAAAATTCAATTAATTTCAAAAGAATTTGAATTCTTAAAATTTTTCAAAAAACTAAGTTCATTAATATTTCTAATTAAATTTATTAAAAATTAAATAAATTTAAGAATTTTTAATTAAATAAGTTAATGAATTGTTTTTTTGTATAGTATGCACTAAAAATTGTTATAAAAAAATTTGAATGTATTAAAAATGTACCTATTGTTTATTTTTATAGTTATAATTTAATGTTTATTTATTATTATTACTTATTATAATTATTTATATTTTATAAATATAAATATGTAATTTTTATTAATTATTATTATTTTTATTGTTTTTATTATTATATTATTCTTAATGTTATCATCATTATTTAACAATATTTTTAATAGTTCCAAATTTTGAAGCAAATAATTTATTTTTTAATTTAAAAAATTAAATTTATTCTCACCTTAATTAATTTCTTCTTTTTGACAGTAAAACTAAATTTAATAATTGTATTAACAGAATGAGCAGTGAGACACAAATTTTGGACGACTGCATTAAAATCGCCCCAAACCATTAATAAATCCAATAACATAGGAATGACTAAAAATATCGTGATAGATATTATAATAATTACAGGATGAAATTTATGAATGATAATTCGAAATTTTGATGCTTTATCATGTAATGGCCATATTCCAATAAGAGTTAAATACATTTTATTAATGTAAATATAATCCTCAAATTTCTTTATCATTTTTATTTCATCAAATTTACTCGTTTCTACTTAATTTTTAATTGTTTTTGACATTTCGCATATTTTCCACTTTTACACTCGTATCGCGATGATTTTTAAAAATTTCTTTCTTCGATAATTAAAATCTGAGTATCATTATGAAGAGATACTTTTTTTGAATTAATTTCAATTATTAAATAATACGATTTCTTTGATAGTGACATTAGAATGCAATTTTCTTTTAACATTCTTATTTGAATGGCAAAAAAAATATACAAATTTACTCAAAGAAGAATATATAGGATATATAAAGTTTTCAACTAATTCTCAAGTTTTTAAATATTCCTACAAAGTAGAGATAAATAGCTGAGGTGATTTTTTTTTCTAGAAAAAAAGGTGAGTATAACAAGAAAGTATATTCCAAGTTGTAAATAATAAATCAAGGAAATAAAAATGATTGGCATTTAAAATAAGGGCAGCAATTACTAATCCATTTAACGTCATTCACTTGGCTAGAAAAATGGAATATTTAGTGAAAAACAATGCTCTAGTGTAAAATGAGAAATTTATTTTCTTTTTCACCTGACAAGTCTCTAAATACGCATTAATTATTAAAGATAGGAAGATATTTTGCACCTGTAAAATATAAACTTTTATCTCACTAAAGTTCATTTAATTTTTATAAGATACACGTATGTTTCTATAGAATAAGAAATAAAGGAAAAATAATTCTTGCTTTTAATTCAAGATACTTTAACAGTTTATGACTGAATTCGACACAAATTTACTTTCAAAATTTAAAATAAGAATTTCCAAAATTTCAAATCAGAAATTAAATGATTTAAATTAACTTTTAGTAAGTACCTTATTTTATTTAGTTGAGTATTTGTTCGTATTATTATATAAATAACTAAAGAATTATTTTAATAAATTTTAACTATTATCCTCGGCAATTTCCACAGTTCCAATAGTTGCATTCAGCAAAACCATTTGGCCTAAACATTATTTTTTCAAAATCAAAATAAATTTATTTAAAATGTTTAAATGTATTTCTTTTTTTTTAATAACTCACCAGTTTTGAATATTAATGTTGCACCTTCTGCACCAACAATACAGGGAATTCCATATTCTCTGGCAACAACGGCGCCATGACTGATTAAACCACCGAGTTCCGTCACAATTCCTCCCAATAATGGAAAATAAGGACTCCATCCAATGTCAGTTGCTCGTGTTATTAAAATATCTCCCGATTTAATTTCATCCGCTTGCGATACGTTTGTTATAACACAAGCTCTCGCATAAACAGTTCCATTATAAACCGACGAACCCATGACTTTTTTTACATTCCGATGTTTAAAATTTATATTTGCCAGCTAAAGAACACAAAAAAAATTTATTTAGAGAAATTAAAAAAATTTTATTTAATTTATTAATTGAACTAAATAAACTAAAATTAACCTCGAGTGGATTAGGAACTCCAACGTTTAATTCTGCAAATTGATCTTTTTCAAGTTTTGAATACAATCGTTGTCTTCTAAAGGCTCTAAAAAAGTAAAATAAAATTATAAAAAATGCTCTAGAAAATTAACAGTGTAAATAAATATTAAATTAATTTTAAATTAATAAATTAATTAATTGTAAAATTAAAACAAATAAATAAATACTAACTTTCGAACAAGAAAATGATCCGCCCTCTTGACCAACAATCCAATTTCGTAATGAGTCAAGAAAAATATCAAATTTTCATCTGGCAATCGATTTTTTTCAATTAATAATTTAGCGAGTTTTCTGTAACTTAATCTAAATTTATGCAGTGCATTTGTCATAATTGACTTTGTCATTTCTCGGCGTGCAACAGCTTTTCTTCCAAACGGAACAATTTTCCCTAAAATCCATCGGGTCGCATTTTTCTTCGGCGTTTTTAATTTAAGAATCGTCTCCTCTGGTGTAAGATCGACAATCTCGGTATTTTCTAACGTAACTTTTACCATTGCCTAAAAGAATAAAATTAAAAACCATATTAAAGAAAATTAAACAAGCCTCGGATCGACTTTAAGGCATAAAAAGTCGTTTTAGTCGATTTAAAGTTTAAAAAAACGATCGGAAAATTTGTTTATTGTATTCGGAGTTGTTAAACAAATTTAATTTTCTATTTTTCTGACTTTTTTTCCTAATTTCCAGACAGGATTTTGAACTTCTTCCCTTATCTCAATAATAACTTTAATTCTAAGTATTTGTAAAATTCAATTATTTTTTAAATAATTTTTTGATATTTTTAAACATTTTTCTAAGAAACGTGATTAAGGGGAGAGTAGTCAAGGTTGGATCACGTTCTGACTGTTTTCTAAAACTTCTCCTGTCTACCGAATTTCACGATTTCCTCTTATATTATTGGAAAGTTCTACTAAAATGCAATGTTTTTGCTGAACATTGTAAAAAAGTTGGTGTCGCTATGTGATAAAACGAAATAAGCGCTAACTTTGACCACCTATCCAACCTTGACCACTCTCCCCTACTTTCAAAAATCTCAATAAAATTTATTTCAAATAAATTTATTTCAACATAAAAATCACCTCTAAAATAAAAATTTTATTATTTCTAAAAATTACAAATGTAATTCTTCTAATATTTATTCAAAGATTTACCAATAATTTTTTTAAATAAGTAGGTATAATTTAAATTCAAAAAATTTTTATTCGAAACTTTCTAAAATTTAATTATTTCTAAAAATTGCTACTATTACTTTTCCAAAATTCAATTATTTTCTAGAATTTTGAACTAAAATTCTTCTCGAAATGAATTATTTTTAATAATTTTGAAAAAGTTGATGGAGAGCTTAATTATTTATTTAAAAAAAGACAGTTCACTTAAAATTCGTCTAAAAATCAATTGTTTTCAATTCAATATTACGATATTTCAATTACTTGAAAATCTTTTAATTAAATAATACCTATGTATTAAAAAATTTTACTTTATTTTTGAAAAATAAAATTTTTTAAAACATTAAGTTCTTTAGAATTTTTAATTAAATATACTCAAAATTTTAATTCTTTTTAATTTTAACTTGAAACCTTTTGAAATTTCATTATTTTTAAAATGTATGCTATAACTCTTCCAATATGTAATTATTTTCTAGAATTCTTAATTAAAATTCACCTTTAAATTAATTTTCAGAAAGTGATTAGAAAATTCAATTATTTAAATCTAAAAATTCAATTATTTGTAATAATTATAGAATTTAAAAATTAATTTTTAGAAATTGCATAATATTACTTTTGCTATAATCAGTTCAATTTTTTACTAATTCAGATTTAAAGAACAAGTTTTATGATGCTATTTTAGTAAGAAAAATTTATAAATTATTTTATTATTTTGTTTTTAATAATTTTGCTAATACCTAATTGAATTCTTTCTAGGAATTTTATTAAAATTTTTGAAAATACATAGTTGAATTTTTCCAATGAATTTTATCAATATTTAAAAAAAAAATTGAATTTTTTCAAAGAATTTTAATAGATTTTTGAAAATAATTAAATTGATTTTGTACGAAAAGTTTTTTAAAAATTTTTTAAAAATAATTGAATTGTTTTCAATGGATTTTATTAAAATTGTATTGAAAATAATTGAATTCTTTAGAGGAATTTTATTAAAATTTTTGAAAATAGTTGAATTTCTCCAATAAATTTTATCAATATTTTTCAAAAAAATTAAATTTTTTCAAAGAATTTTAATAAATTTTTAAAAATAATTGAATTGATTTTGTACGAAGAGTTTTTAAAAAAAATTTTTTAATTAATTGAATTGTTTTTAAAGTATTATATTAACAAATTGAATTATTGTTAAATAATTAAAAAAATATAATTATATTATATTATAATTATATTATAATTATATTAAAATTATAATTATATTAATAAAAAATAAATAAATAAATAATAAATAATTAATAATTAAATAATTAATACTAAATTAAATACTAAATTTTATTAAAACTGTATTGAAAATAATTGAACTTTTTCGAGAAATTGTATTGAAAAGAATTGAATTCGTGTAAAGATTTTCATTCAAATTTTAAAAAATAATAATTAATTAATTAATAAAGTCAATTTTTTTTTTTTTGAATCTGAAATTATTCAAAAATTGAAGTTTATATTTAAAAATAATAATAATAACTGGCGTACGTAACGTTTACTAATTTTTGTAAATTTAATTAATTGAATAATTTCACTTTTTAGCATCAAAGTTTTTTTAGGTATTAAAGTGAAACAAATAACTTACCTGAAGAGCGTTAAATAATTTCTCAGGTTTCATATCCCATGTTTCAGTGATAAAATCCATTTCCTTAATATTTCTATGTCCGTAAGTTTTCAAAAATTCTTGTAATAATTCCAAAGAATGCGGTGAATTCATTTCCAGCCAATTAATAACATCCTTGGTATTAATTTGAGCGAATTCTTCCCATTTACCGGTGTCCCTGATTAAATTTGCTATTCTACGCAGAGCAATTGGAACCTGTGCACTTATTACATTGTTACACGAACTCAGTAGAACAGCAATATCCGAAAAATGATCGACTGTCAAATCATCACTATTCTCCATTAAAATTGACATTAGTAGAATTTCATAGAAAACACTAACTCTTGACGTGAGATTGTGACAGCCTCCAATCTAAAAGAAATATTTCCATACATTTCAGTTTTTTAAAAATTAAATTTTAAAAATTAAAAAAAAATACAAAAGATTATAATTTTGTTTAGATACCAACCAATTGTAAATAAATCAACGACTCGTCGATTGCTCGATAAAGATCTTCAATTTTATCAAAACGATTTGCATCAAGTGTCATAGAAGTGAAAATATTTTCCATTTCCTTTAAAGTTGCCTCTGCTTTCCAAGCGTCCGTAATCATAAATATTGTTTGTATCGTAGTTCCCCATAATGAAACGCCATTCCTCTCCTTCGCTTGATTATAAATTTCTGGCGTTGTTATCACATGACCACAAACAGCAACGTCCGATACTTTAACACTTGGTCTCAATTCCTTTGTAACGCACGCTAACATTGTCTAGAAAAATATTGAAAATTTATTTATTCACTCATTTATTAATTATAAGAATTGGATCATGAATTGCGAAAAGGACTCAACTCTAAAACCCGTAACTCATTTTCACAGCAATTTTTATGTGAAAACAATTACGGTTTTTTTAGCCCTTTTTGAAATTCACGATAAAATTATCTTCTTTCATATTTAAAATTATATATTATAAAGTACAATAATAAATATTATTAGAATTAAAATATTTCAGGAAATCATCACTTACGTTCAAGTAATTAATAGTAATTCTCATGGAAGAAGCGTGTATATGTATATCACAATAAGGAACAATGGATGGCATCTTGAAATTATTATTAAGCGAACAATTGAGCAAATAAATAAATGTGCTGATTGTCAATGGTGATGTGACGCCGGGGAAAACTTCTCCAACATTTGCAAATGTAAGTATATCATTTTCAACAGGTACAATGGAATCTAATTCGTAAGTCAATTCAAAATCGGTCCAATTATCGAGACTTGTGATTGGACGTGATTGAAGTAAAAATATATTATCGCCAATAATTGCCCATTCAATGTCACGTGCATTTTGAAAGAGATTTTCCAAATTGACACCAACTTTGGCTAAATTAAGAGCAATTCTATTTGAAATGGAATTTTTTCTTGTTTCCTCGTCGCTGAGCTCTTTTAAAATTGTTCCCGAATCATTAGTCATTGTTATCTTTTGATATTTCTTTCCAATTTCAATACTTTCGATTGTTAACGCATCGTTCCAGTTTCTTTCAATTATCACTGTGTCTGGTTCGACCATTGCAGAAACTACTGTCTTTTAAATTTTTGAGGGAAAAAAAAGAAGAGTAAATCATTATTTTACAGGTAATAAAATAATTTTAATTATATTAAAATAATAATTTAAACTGCAAATTGGAAGAAAATGTCTTAAATTACCTCGCCAAGTCCGTAATTTGAGGTAATGACAATATTTCTTGGATCGCCAGTCGTTGGATGTCTTGTAAACATAACTCCTGCAATTTCGGCATCGACCATTATTTGAATGCAAACACCCATCGAAGCTTTCACAGGTAAACCTGATCGACGCCTGAAAATAATAAAATTATTTTGTATGATGAAAGAATTTTGAACGAAGAAATAAGTCTCAAAAATGTAAAAAAAACTATTTCATTTTTGCTTAAGGTGCATAATTCTTTTTTAAATATTTTTTATTTTATTTTACTTTATTTTTTTATTTCATTTCATTTATTTTACTTTTCTTATTTTATTTATTTACCAACTAGCATAACTACATGCGTTTCAAAACAATTTTTAAAAGTAATAAAATTAAATTCTTTTAAATATAAAATTTATTTTAATGAAATTTGTCAAAACTTTTAATTGTTTCAATTCTTAAAATTATTTTCGGGAATTCAATTATCTTCAAAAGAAAATGTTAATTAAGTACTGGCTCGAACCAGTGAAAGTATTTAAAAATACGGACTTTACGGACCAAAAATGAAAAATTACGGACCATTTACGAACCAATTTATTGTTGACAAAAATATAACCAGTCCGAGTCAAATAAGAGAACATTTTACTTAAAACTATAAATTAAATTTTTTATAATAATTAAAGATGATCGAGTGATAAAATCATTATCAATTCAATTATTATTCTCAAGAATTTTTAACTAAAATTCTTTTTAAAATCGATTATTTTTAATAAGTTTCGAAAAAGTTCTTTGACAATTTTCAAATCCATTTGTTTACAATATTAAAATTTACGAAATTTCAATTATTCGTAAATTCTTCAATTAAACATATATTAGAAAATAAAAAATTTAAATAATATAAAAAAAATCCGCAATTAAACTTTCTCAAAAAAAATTAATTCCACTGTTAGTTAAAAATATGAAAAATTCAAATTTTCAAAGATTTTAATTTGAAACCTTTACAACATTCAATTATTTCAAAAATTTAAGCTCTAATGCTTTTAATATTCTATAATCTAAAATTTTAACTGAAATCCATTTTTTAAATCAATTTTTTTGAGGAAATACTATATAATTCTTATAAAGAACTGCATCAATAAATTTTTAAATAATTGAATTCTTTTGACGATATTTAATAGAGTTTTTAAGAATATAATTACATTTTCTCGAGGAATTCGATTAAAATTGTATTAAAAATAATTGAAATTCTGCAATGAGCTTTATTATTTATCAAAATAATTGAATTACTAATAAGAATTTTATTATTTACCAAAATAATTAAATCCCTGTAAAAATTTTATTATTTATGAAAATAATTGAATGATTGCGAAGAAATTTATTAAAAAAAATTGTAAATAATAAAATTCCTGTGAAATTTTTATTATTTTTTAGAAAAAAATTAAAGATTTGTGTAGAATTATATTAACTTTTGTTTTAAATAATTGAATTCTTTTGGGAAATTTTATTAAAATAGTAGATATTAAAAATCATTGAATTTTATTAAAATTTTTGAAAATAATTGATATTGCGGAGGAGAATTTAATTATTTCTAAAGATAATTGAAATTTTGACGAGAATTTTAAAAAATTTTTGAACATAATTGAATTTTTGCGAAGAATTTTATTACTTTTGAAAATAATTAAATTTCTACAATCATTTGTAATTTCTCTAAAATTACATTTTTTCAGAATGTCTCCTTAAATTATTCAAAACTTCAATAATTTTTGTGAAACAAATATTTAGAAACTTATTATTTATTTCAATTGAAATTTCAAATCATTTCAATGTAAAACCTTTTAATTATTTCTAAAAACTACAACTGAAATTCTTCCAAAAGTCAATTATTTTTTAGAATCTTTGAATAAAATTATTCAAAATTTTAATAATATTTTTAAAGAAAAATAGTATATTAATAGGTAATTAATTAAAATAACCTTTGACATAACAATTTGAGCAGTAAAACAATTTGGAATCAAAAAGCCCTAACTTTGCGTGAGAATAGAATATCTCCATTATTATTACAATTCTGTTTTTTATGACTTTTTTCGTTAATTATCTGAATCTTTTACCTGTACTCCACACTCTGATGAGAATAAAGACTCGCCCAACATTGGGAAACATATTTTAGAACATTATCTGAATCCTGAATACCAAGAAAAGTTGAATTTTGACCAGCAGCTGATGTATCCTCACTATCTTCTCCAATTGCACTCGATCTCACGGCATATCGTAAATTCATTTGATTATTTTTTTCAGCATTTTCCAAGTCTGACAATGCCTTTAATATTGCTTTTCGTACTGGTTCAACTATAGCTGAAGTCTTCAAGAGCAAAACGACTCTAGAAAGAAGTAAATAAAAATATGTAAAATTTAGTTTCCATTTTTAATTTTTTCAATTTTAAACATTTTTATTTGCTTATTTACTTAATTATGATTTCTTATATACTTTATGAACTCCTTTATATACTTTAAAAATTAAGATTTTTTGTCTATCGTTGACAATCTCAATTTATTCAATTTATAAATTAAAATAGTTCGATACTTACTTCTCGCAGGAATTTTTCAAATCTTCAATTTCATTGATATTTATCCGTTCGATATCATTAATAGCCAATGATAAATTCTTACAAGAATCCAATTGATACTGAAGTGCAGAAGCAAGAATACAAAATCCTTGTGGAACATAAAACTATAGAATAATAAGAAATAAATCAATTTCTCTATAAATAAAATTTAAATTCGTTAATGTTAATTTAACATTAATGTGAAAAATAAAATTACAAAAATTACATACATCGTAAGTTTCAATGGATGATAATAGAGCAAGTGATTTTGCTTTTCCTCCCACGAGTTCTTCATTCTGACAAATCTCGTCTCGAAATGATACAGTGAAAGTTTCTACATCCAAAACTTGAGGAGAATGCAAAGGAAACGAGGTTTCCAAAATATTTGCTGTCGATGAGGCAAAAGCTTTTTCTGGATAACAAAGAAACACTAAACCTGATCCTGTAAAAAAGGAAAATAATTCGAATGTACTTTTCAAATTAGCTGAAAAATTGAAAAAAAAATACTAAAAAAGAAACTAAATTGCACTTTTGCAATTTAGTTTCTTTTTTAGTATTTTTTTTTTTATAAGAGGGAAAATTATTTTTATAAAATATACCAAAAAATTACCTTCTTTATTGTTACGTTCTAATTTAATTTTGTACGTCACATATTTTTCATCAACATTATGTCCATGATGTAAAGAACGTTTCGAATTTTTTTGTAACTTTACAGAAAATTCATAATCGTTACCAGCTGGAAAAATTTAATTTAATTTTAAATTAATCACTTTTAAAAAAATTTACCTAAGAATAAATAAAGCAAATAATCTAAGTTCCTAATTTTGAAATACTTAATTACTAAATTTTAAATGAATAAAAAAATGTAATTAAAATAAAATTAAAGTTTAAAAGTTGACAAACCGTTGAAATGAATATTTTCGAAACCATTTTTCTCCAAATTTACATCACAGTCGATATTTAAATCCATCCAATCTATCTCCAATATTGTATTATTTATCGTTTTTAAATGTCCAAATTTCACTCTACAAAATAAATTCCCTTCATTATTTATCGTAAAAGACAATTTTAATTTATTTTAATTTCCAAGAACTTACATTTCCGAACTGTCTTTCAATTTTCCAATATTCAGATAAAATGTAAGTCCATCGATTGATCCGAAATATGACAATATTTTGTCAAACTTGGAGATTATCAGACGTTCGCATTTTCGTTGGCGGAAACCTCGCAGAAAACATTCTTTCGTACTCGAATCCTCAAAAAGAATTTGTCCAACAAGTGAACCCCATTGATCAAATTTCTCAAGTTCCTCTGAATATTTTTCTACATCATTGTTTGAAAAATCGGATTTTCTTAGAGGCACTGAATTGGCAATAAATCTGCAAAGTGGAAAATAATTTTACAAAAAAGAATAAAGATAATAATAATAATTGAATAAAAATAAAAAGAACGCAGTTAGTTGTAAAACTTACATGAAATTAAAACGAACATGTTCTATTTTGCCCATATCGTCAGCAATATATTTTCTAGTTCCATTCCTTAAGAGTCCGTTAAATGTTATTCGCCAGCGAACAAGAGGTTCACAAACAGAAATCTTTACACCGCCAATGGACCAACTTTGATTAGTAGAATTAAAAGCTATTGTACTTGGATGATCTGGAAAAAGGGAAAATTCCGAAAAAATTAGTAAAAAATAAAATTTATAAATTAAATTTAAATAAAAATTGTAATAAATTATCCTTATTACCTGGAAGTTCGTATACTCGTCCATCAGAAAGATACAAAAACAATATAAGTTCCTTGTCATTTCCTTTATGATTTAATTTCAGGAACAATGAATTTCCTTTTTGATCCGTCCCATAAAATAAAGAACAAACTGAAATCTTAAAATAATTTTTAATTCCCAATAATTTCAATTACAAAATAGATCAATTTTTTTTTTTTTTTTTGATAATGTGAAAATATTACTTACATCTTCCTGAAATTTCTTTTGCAATTCTTCAATTTCCATATTTTCGATAATTTTCAATTTCTCAAATTTCTCTTCACCTAAATAAGTGTAAACACTTTTCTTCTTGTCATTAAAGAAGAAACTTTTGAAACTTGAATAGCACGTATCGAAAACTAAATTTTTGCACAAAAGAAAAGATAATTTTTTAAATACACAAATGAAATGCAAATGAATAAAATTCTAATTATGTACTTTGATATGTAATAAAATCTAAATGCAGAGAAAAATTCCATTCATTATTTACCTGATTTTCTCGAAACACCATTTTTTTTAACTTTTCTAAATAAAAAATAAGTGAAAATTGCACAAACGAAAGGAATTGTGAATAAAGAAGAAATTTTTAATTCCATGTTTCCTTTAATTCGGGAATAGTGGGAAATAATTCCTTTTTTTCGACGTCCTCACTGATCAATGTTCAAAATGCGACTGCTTATCATTTTAACAAACTCTGTATCTTTATCGAAACTTCAATCGTAGATTAAAATTATCTTACAACAGATTTCGATAAGATGAAATTAAAATTATAAAAAATTGTACAATAGTATAATTGTAAAATAACGATAATTTTGCAAAAATAATTTTTTTAAAAAAAGGGATAATGTAATTTTAAAAATAGTCATTAATTTCTCATTCCTTCATCATTAAACTGTTTTTTTCATTTTGAAAAATGTAAACAATTTAAAATATGCACACGAGACTTGCGAAAAATGAATATCATTCTCACATTTTGATATTTACAATTCAACTATCCGAGAGAGAATGAATGATCATGCTATTTGCGTCATTCAATTATGAAAAGGATTCAGTCAGTACCACTATAAATTACGTAACTATAATAACAGGTTAAAAATCAACTTCGAATTTCTAGGTCAAGATCGAGATTAACTAATCTTTCCTACATTTTTTTATATTCAATTTTCCAAATAACCTTTTTAAATTGTATTATTATTTTCAAGACAAGTCTCAAGAAAAAATTTGTGTTTAATAATAATTCTAACTTCCGTCATTCTATTAAAAGAAACAAAAAAAAGTACAAAAAATTCCCTTCTAATGAAAATAGAATTATTTACAAAATTCTCTATTTTTACACTTTTTTTTTTAATGAAACAAATACTGTTAATAAATCCTGTAAATTCTTAATACAAATTCTTCGCACTCAATACCAAAAAAGTAAATATCAATCGTAAAAAAAATTCACAAACTGTAAAATTCTCAATCACAGTCAAATAGTATTTTCTTTGCAAAAAATGCATCAGCAAACATTGAGCAAGAAATGTCATAACACGATCGTTAAAATTTGTACTTTTCTTTTTAAATATTACGTTAATTAAGAAAATTATTGAATTTTCTTCACTGAATCACTAGCAGTAACAGGTTCTTCCTCGATTGTTGCCGAATCAGTGCGTGACTTATCAACAGGATAGAGCCTAAAAGATAAAGAGAGAAAAAAAATAAAGACCATTATAATTGAGAATTAAGTGAGCGACAATAATTTTACATAATGTGAGGAAATAAATTCACCATCGTTGATATAAGTAGACGAGGAAGACGGCGTCATCTCTGAAGCACGCAACTCTGTGTGCCATTGGCATTGTAATGATGAATGCAAAAATATCATCGATAAATGTATTGAACGCTTTATACATAAATGCACGCCAAGGTAAATGAGCGACAGACTTTAGTTTATAATTTAAAAACAGTTGAGGCAACATGAAGAGAAATCCAAAAGCGTAAACTCCATTAACAAGTGAATTTATACACCAGGAATACCAGCTACGATAACAGTATTATTAATAAATATTTTCTTTTTTTATCAAAAAAGAATTAGCTATTTTTTTTAGGGAAATTAAAATTTAATGTTCCTTAAGTTCTGAAAAGGTTTAAATGAACGAAATTTATTTGTTTCTTCTTCAATTTAAAATTGTATTACAATAAATTTAGGTATAAAAAAAATTGTTTTTAAAGTTTCTGAATGTTAAATTTAAGTTTTTCATTTTTATCGTACAATCAGTAGTTTATGGAAATATTTTTTATGTAAGATATTTCGTTTATTTGAACGTTCAGAACTTGTGGATAATTTTTTCTTCTATGAGGATTTAAAATTTTCAACGTTATTGGAAAATTTTATAGTATAATAAGGAGCAAGTTCTTAAAATCTGATAAATCCCTATTTTCTTTAATTTCGAGAACTTGAAACAAATGAAAATTTCTCATAAAACCACTAGAGATAATTTTAAGATAGAAAATTTGTAATAATTTATTTTCATAACAATATTTTTATATCTAATATGTTTTTTTAGTTAAACTTTATCATAATTAAGTGATTTAAAGGTTTTGGTAATTTTTTTTTTAACAAAAAAAGAAAGATTGTTATCTTGGTTATGATGAACAGTTTTTAAATTGAAAATTCCTTGTTAACATAATAAAAAAAATAATATTATTTTTTTCCCTTAAATTGAACGTTTTTTGAGGTACTTTAAATATTAAATTTTAGGTTTATCTAAATTTTTTTGAAAAATAGAATTATCAATTCCTAAAAACTTCCAAATTCTTACAAATTAATAAATAGTAATAAATAAATAATACATAATATAAAATTATTACAGGGTTGCCATAAAAAATTTGATTTTATTTTTCCCTGACTTTTTCCTAATTTCCAGACAGAATTTTGATTTTTTCTCTGATTCCTATAAAAAAAACTGAAAAAAGTTCAATTTTATAAGAAAGATAAATTTTAGAAGCAAAATTTTTATTTGCAGGTCAAAACTTTATTTTTTTTATTTTAAAATAAAAATTTTAATATTATTACAGTTTTACAATAATTAACTTTTTAAAGATTTCAAATTAAAAGTCTTTTGAAATTTCATTATTTCTAAAAGTTTACACTATAACGCTTCTATTATTCAGTTATTATCTAAAATTTTAACTGAAATTCATATTTAAATAAATTTTTATCCGAAAATTCTACGAGAATTCAATTATTTAAATACAAAAATAAATAATTTATTGAACAATTGAATGTTTCTCAAAATTGAATTCTCATAAAGAATTTTAATAAAATTTCCAAAAATAATTGCATTTTTCGAAGAATTTATTTAAAAAGCTATTAAAAATATAATTGAAATTAAAATAAATTAAATAATTGAATTCTTTTGAGAAATTTTATTGAAATAAGATATTGAAAATAATTGAATTTCGAAAAATTTTTGAAATTAATTAAATTTCAACGAAGAATTATATTTAAATTTTTTTGGAAATAATTGAATTGTTACAAAGAATTTTATTAAAATTTTTGAAAATAATTATTTAATTCTAAGAAACAAATTATTTCAAATTTTTTTAAAAATAATTGAATTCTTTCGAAAAATTATTTTTAGAATAATTACATTTTTAAAGGAATTCATTTAAAATTGTATTAAAAATAATTGAAATTCTGTGATGAGTTTTATTACTTATGAAAATAATTGAATTCTTGCAAAGAAATATTTCATAAAATATTTCAAAAATAATTGAATTTATGAGAAGAATTTTATTACTTATAAATAAAAATAATTGAATTCTTGTGAAGAACTTTATTAAATTTTTAAATAATTGAATTCATGCGAAAAATACTTTTTTATTAACAAAAATATGGATATATTTATTTATTTATTTATTTCAAAATTCGAAGAGTCTTCAATTAAGACTCTTTGTAAAATTCAATTATTTACTAATTATTAGTTTTAAATTCTTTGACAATACAAAGATTTTCTTTTAAATCTGTAATGAAATTCTTTAACAAATTTAATTACTTTCAAAAATTTTAGTTTAAAACCTTCTAAATTTCAATTATTTTTGAAAATCGCAACTGATTTTAACAATAATGCTTTCTAAGTTAACTTCAATTATATTAATAAGAAAATTATTTTAGAATGTAATTATTTAAATTAATTTAAATTTAATTATTTACATAAATAAGAAAAATTGCGGTAATGTTTTAAAATTCATTGTGATTCGAAAGTTTTTAAGGTGAAAAAAAATTGAAGAAAAATTCAATATTTATAGTTTTGATGAAATTCCCTCCCTGACATTTTTCTCTCATTCTACTAATTTTATTTTCCCTGACCTGTGGCAACACTGTTTTAGGGAAATTGAAATTTTTCTTTTATGAGGATTGAAATTTTTAACGGAATCGGAAAATTTTGTAGTAAAATAAACTTTTAACGTTATATCCAAGTTCTTATAAATTAATAAATAATAAATAAATAATGAATAATAATTAAATAAGTTTACATTAAAGAAAAATCAAATATAAAATGAAAATTCTTACCTTTTGTGAGCTTGATAAAGAAGAGAATAAATTGCACCAGCGAGAACCAATGGATACAGAAGATAACTCAAATATCGCATACTTTCCGCATCAAATTGTCGAGATTTCGCTTCCAGTGAATCACATTTGCTCCAATTGAATTTTATCTTGGGTATGAAGCCTTCTCTTACAAATTCCGCCCTTAAAACTTTCTTCGACTTCCACAACTGTACAATGAAGGGCAAATAAAATATTTCAGAATTTCTATTGATAAATGTAATTAAAATAGTTTTCGAAAAAAAATAAAGACTTATTTTTATATTTATTTCTAAAATATAAATTCTATTTATTTGTATGTAAATAAATAAATATTTGCATAAAATAAAAATTGAATAAAAAAATTAAAACTCGAAAATTGAATACAAATTGACAGAGAAATTTGACTTAATTTATTCTCCAATTTTGCAACAACATTAAAAAATAATAAATATTTCCTATTAAATCTCACTAGAAATTAATAAAAAAAAACAAATTCCATTTAATTCTCACCTCTATAATGCAACCAATACCCGATGGAATTATAATGAGTAATGAAGAGCCTTCATCGAGAAGATACAAAAATATAACAGTCTGACTAAATGCACGCCATAAAATTGTTTGAATACTGAGACCAGCAAGATTGTTTTTACCCCTCCAGAAATTAACGTCATTCTTGAAAGCGAGGAAATCAAAAAGTAGCTGAAAATAAAGAAATAGATTTTTCAATAAATTTAAAAATTAATTTCAATTTGAAAAATACCTATAAATAGATAATTTGATTTACTTATTTTATTATTTATTGCTTTATTAATTTCATTACTTATTGTATTGCTGCGAATAAATATTCTCCATTTTATTTTTATTTTAATACAAAAAAATTAAAGAATATGGTTTTTATCTATTTAGATTTAAGTATTTTTATTTAATTTTTTATTTCTATTTTTACTTTAATATAAAAAATTGAAGAGTATAGTATTTAGTTAGATTAAAGTATTGAGATATTAAAAAGGAAAATAATTTTGTTAATTAAACTCACATGTATGGAAGCAACGAAGACAGTTCCAGCCAATAAATATAAATTTGTATCCGCTAAGATGCTTTTAACTTCGTCGACATCCTTATCTCCAAAACCAAGTCCTTTTAATCCTTTCATTGCCGCTTCGATATGTAAGATTAGTCTCAATTTTCCAACCGATATTGGCGAATAAGTAATTGTAACATTAGAAGATGTCAATTCTGTCGTGATTGGAATCAAATGACTCAATCGAGTCTCCAAAAAGTTGTAATTTATCATTGGAAGATATTTCCGATTTTGAATTCGTCTGAAATGTTTAAATAGATTAAATTAACATGTTCATAAAATTATAATCACTTTTAGTTTGTAAATTTCTATTTTTTAAATTTACAAGCTAAAAGTGATTATAATTTTAATTTCAATAGTTTTTAATTTTTATCTCTCTAAAGATTCAAAAGCTGAAATGAACAACGATTTTTTTTATCTTTCGTCCACATTCGAATCTTATTAGAAATTCTTTATTAATTTAGAGAATTAATTCCTATCTTGAAATGTTTAATTTACTTTATTTTTTATTTTATTCTAGTAATTTTGGAAAATATCTAAATAGAAAAAAAAATTCGTTTATTTGAAAGTTTGAACTTACAAATGAACGAATGATTTTTTTTAGAAAAATTTAATTTAAATTTAAAAAAATTTTCAAAATCCTAATATTTTAATTTATTATTTAAATTAAATAATTTAATTATCAATTTGCATACTTCATATACGGCATGAATTCCATGGGCATATTATTAGTTGGAAGATCAACAGGATCAGTCATTATCGTGAAAGTAACTTTGCTCTTTAAATGTGAAATTGGTTTTGTCCTCGATTTTTTCCTATGTCCTTCAACCTGCTCGACTCCTAATAAATTAGATCCTTTCAATTCTGGCACTGCAAACTGGGTCATTTTAATTGGAAGAATAACCGCATACTTATTCTGAAAAAGAAATTTATTCCAAATATTCATGAATGCCACTTTTGTTTTTCAAAATTAAAAAAAAAGAAACAGTTACCTTTGATAGATCGTAGAAGGATCTTCCCTGATTTTCAGAAAAAGGAGTTAAAAAAACATGTAAAAATAAAGTTCCATTTCTTCTCGTTCTTTCGGGAATTATTAATGTTACTTGGCTGTAAAATAGAAATTCTAATTAAGTTCAAAATTCGACGAATTCTATAAAAGTACTAAAAATTTCCAATCAGAATTCTCAGTTTTCTCTAAAAATTTATAAAAAATTTTTGCAATTTATAAACAATTTACGAAAAAAAACAAATACAAATAAAATATAAAAAGAAATGTTCAGTTAATAAAATATTCAAGATTTATAAAGAAATACAAAATTTATTAAACATATAAAACGAACGTAAAACAAAGTTATGGCAAATTAGATGAGTCTTTTGTTCAATCTCAATAAACAATATGTTAGAAAATACATTCCAAATGTAATCTAAACATAGAAACATAAAAATTAACTTATTAATAAGGAAACGAAACTTCTTTTTAAGTCATAATATAAAAAAATAAAAATATCTTTCTTTGATAACGTTTCTTAAACTTTTTAAATCGACAGTTATCCAATCAAATGTCGTTGAATCTCGTCTGTCTTCTTTGAGTATTTGGTTTTGTTTCAATCATCTTCTGCCATTTAACGATAATCTATAAAGAATTAATTCAATATTAAATTTCAACAATAAGAAAATAACAACAGAACATTAAAAAAATAAATAAAAAACGATAAAACTTTTTTTAATACCTGAAAAAAATGTTTAAATTTCCGTTTCTTCGATTCCAATCTCCGAATCATCTGAATCCACATCAACGTCCAATGATTTCTCCATTTTTTCCACACGAAAATTATCAGGCCAATATTTCTTTGTTTGACATTCATAGAATTCTTCTGAGCCTTCAACCATTTTCTTTGTCGCAAGATCATAAACAATTCTTTCATCAAGTAATAAATCAAAATCGTAATGTTGCGTAAAATCTTTGCCAATAATTGGCGCATTAATGTCAATAACAAGAAACTTCCACAGGAAATATCTTCCAAGTTCAAAATCAATTATTCTCACAATCCAACCATAAATTGGAATTTCCACATCGCCATTAAATATTTTCACTGAATCATCAAATTTCTCGATTTTTTCATCCTCACCAACATATAATTTCGGATAAACACTAATATCAAATTCAGATATTAAACACGGTAATCCACTATTTTGATCAACAAGAATTAAACGTTTCTCCAGTGAACATTCATCAGGCGTTTTACACAATTCAATAGCAATTTTTTTCTCATTCATCACTGACTCGGGAATTGAATCAATTTTTTGAATATTTGCCAAAAAAGCAAAATTTTTACAGTCACAATCATCAATGAATTGTTCAGTTATTTTCGTTGTCACTGAATCGATAATTCTCGGATATTCTAAAGTGTGATCACACTCGAGTCGAAAATGATTTAAAAAATCATTTGCAATTATTGGTCGGACAAAATCAGTCACGGCAAATGTCCATTCATATTCTCTGTTCAATCCAAAATCTAATTTCAACGTTGTCCAGCCGAGAATGGGAAATATTGATGAATCAGCAACAATGAATTCGCTTTTTTCTGAATCTTTCATTGAATCGCCTTGTATCAATGAAATTGGAAAACTGCTCACTTGAGATTTTTCAGTGATGAAAAATAGAATTTTCGAAGATTTCTCCATTATGTGAAAATGTTTTTTCTCAACTCTTGAGGTTTCGATATCAATGACTAATTTCTGTGAATCAAAATCAGTGGAATCGGATTCAGAATCAGTTTCAGTCGTTGATGAATCGTCCAATTTTTTCGCCTCCTCTTCGATTAATTCCTTGGAGTCATCGGTGATTGATTTTGAATCTATTTTCTCGTTCTCCTCGTCGTCTTCGGAATCTTCGGATGTCTCTCCTTCTAAACTGACCTCGTCTTCGGAAGTGTCATCCGAACTCTCGTCTTCGTCCACTTTGATCGCCGTCTTTGCCTCTGAACTTTCATCATCGGAAGATGATTCTTCATCGTCGGATTCTTCAATTTTTTGTTTTGTTGTTTCCTCCTCGAAGTGTTCGGAGCAATCCTTGAAATCTTCTTCTGATTCGAGTTCTTTGGAGGAGTTATCACATTTTCTCGAATCTTTCTTGGAGTCTTCAGTTTCCTCTTGAGTGGGGGAATTATTTTCAATGTTAATTATCGAAAATCCATTGTCCAAAATTTCTGTAGATTCCTTGAGATTTTCGACTGTGGAATTCTTGTTGACTTCTTTTTCTTCCTGAAGTTCTTGGAGTTCCTGGAGTTCGTTGATTTCTTTCGTGGAATTATTATCGTTTTTAATATCCTCGATCTTTAGTTTACAAAACTTGATTTCTAGTTTCGCTGAATCTTCTTTGGAATCGGAACTGACTTCCATTTCGGTGCTTTTTTCGATTTTTGAATCTTTCGCAGTTTCGAATTTTTCTTGGGAATTTTCATCAATTGCTTCGGGAACTTCGTTGATCACTTCCAAATCTGAATCTGATGACTCGAAAACATCGTCGGCTGTGTCCATTTTTTCGACTGAATTCTCTCCTTTTTTTTCTTCTCTCGACTCTGTTATTTTGACTTCTTCAGCATTCGAAATTTTTGAATCGACGATTTCTTGATTCGGCTCGCGTTCGGTGCTCTCGGTGACTTCGATGGAAATTGCCTCTTCTTCGCAAGGTTTTTGCTCCTTAACGACAATCTGGACATTTTCTTCGATTGAAATTGTATCTTCTTTGGAAGCCGTTTGTACTTTAACGACAATGTTGAAATTTTCTTCGATGGAAATTGCAGAGTCTTCTTCGGAAGTTGTTTCCTTGACGAGAATCTTGATCTTTTCTTCCTTTTTCGGCTCCTCTTTGGATTGATCACTGGGAATAATCACTTGTTTCGTCTTCGGCTCACTAACAATCACAGGACTCTCCTCGGAAATGATTGACTCCAAAATACGCGATTCTTTATTGAAATTCGTCTCCAATTCAGCTTCCGAATCATCGGCCGACTTGTTCATGATTTTAATCGAAATTTCCGATTCATTTTTCAAACTCGACGATTCCAAATTGTCAGAAGAAAAATTGGCTGACAATTGAGGAGTGTTGATTTCGGAAGAGGTGTTTTTTCCCGATTCACCATCAACGGGAGTTGAACTTCTCATTCTTGTTTGAGGAGCAGCAGCACGTGTTTCGGAGTAATTTCTTCGCGGATATTTTCTGAAATTTTGGAATCCTCGTCCTCGCCAGGAGGGAAATCTTGGTCTCGAAACTTGTACATCCGGCCAGCCGTTGACGGATCTTCGACAATCACACGGTTCAGACGGTGGAGCGGTGATCATATTCGTTTGACGATCAATCAAACTATTCGAATTTTGGCAGAAATTGAAGTGTCGTATAAAATCATTGCCGAGAATTGGCTTTTCAATATCAACCACGGCAAATCGGAACGGGTACTCTCTTCCTAAACCCAAGTCCAAAGTTTTAGTGGTCCATCCAAAAACTTTGAGAAATTGTCCATAAGTACCACGAATTTCCGATAAATTTCCAGTGAGATTTAAAGCCCTACTGTCGACGTAATTCTTCGGAAACATACTAATCTGAACATTCGACACTAGACACTGTAATTTCGAATTATAATCAGCGACATGAAAACGATGATTTATCCTCGAATTGGATTCTTCTGGATTCCTTGGCCTGCTGACAGCATTTTCCTCACTGCGGGTTGTTTTAGCGAATTTTTTCTTATCCTTCTTCACTCTCGGACTTTTCGATTCTTTTTTGGGATTTTCGCGAGAAGTACTTGCTTCACTGAATTTTGGACCTTCTTGCGTTTTATAATTAAACTTTTTCTCAACATTTTCGAGAACTTTCAAAGGAACTTCGGCACTTTTTTGCTTATAACTCACAGTGACAGTCGAAGGCCAACCGGTTGCATCAATCGTCGTATCACAAGGAATAGACCATTTTGTTCTCAAATCGGCAAGATAAAAACGACTCCGTTGAAATTTCCTAACAAGACCAAAATGATTCATAAAATCTAATCCAATAATAGGCTTGTAATCGTCGACAACAAAAAATTTCCATACAAATTTTCTATTCGTTCCAAAATCTAGCGTTAAACTCGTAAAACCCAAAACTTTCGACTTCTTATTCAAATCGCCAACAATTTCCAAACTGTCATTAACCGGTTCGAGTTTATTTTCCGCTGACAAACACGAAATGGGAAAAATACACAACTGTGATGTATTACCAACAAGGAATGGTAATTTGGAAAATTTTTCATAAACGAAAAAACGTTGTTTTATCGGTTTCGTGTAAATTCCGGTAATGGACGGCCAACCATCTTCACAATGTTGTCTTTGATGACACTCGCAGGGGATAATTGACATTTTTTTCGTCTCACAATTTGTCACTGGATTAAAGAGAGACATTTTTGTGAAATTTAACTCTAGACCGAAATGCGTAAGAAAATCTCTGCCAAGAATTGGCCTTTCGAAATTTGACAAATTAAATGTCCATGAAAATTCTCTTCCCAAGCCAATGTCGAGTACACAATCAATTTTACCGTAAGTTTGTATAATTGCACCGGAACTATTGAGAAACAATTCACTCGTGCCTAATTCGACATAATCTCTTGATTTTTTTGGTTTTCTTGATTTTGGGAAAAAACTTACGTTTGAATCGGCGGCGACAAGAAAATACATGTTTGTTTTTTTATCGATGACAATGAGTCGATGTGGTTTTGGGCATCCGATACCGACCCTCATTCGTGAATCGCCCATTTTTATTCCTTATTTAATCCTCGATTTATAGATATTTTCAATCCAATTTTATTCTCATCTAATACGGCTTCAAGTAGACGGAGATTTTTCTCAAACTTTAAACTCGAAAATACTTTCAAATACTTGGGATATTTTTCTTTTTCGAAAAATGGCGACAAGCGAGCACATTAAACAACACAATGGCTCGCAAAACTTTTGAAACTGTTTAAACCGGAAAACGAAAGGCAAACGACGCGTCGGATGCGCGCGCGCATGAAACAAAATGTCGCTTGACTTCCGGTTTTTGAATATCGTCTTTTGTTACACGCCCACGATTTAAAAAAAAAGAAAATATTTAATAAATAAAAAAATAGTTGAATATGCAAGAATTATAAAAAATATTATATTAAGTAAATAATTATAAATATCAAACTAAAACACAACGCTTTAATGTACACAAAATTTAGTTAAAAAAAAAATTATTAATAAAAAGTTTATTTATAAAATGTACAATTATTATATCTTTTTGGAAATTTTTAGCAAAATTTTTTTTTTTTTAATTGAAAAAATAATACATACATATCTTGAGTTTCATCGTAGTTGAATTTGGAAGATGAGAAAACATGATCTGTTTCTGCTTGAAGAGGACGACTTTTAGAAGAAGTGAAAAAATCCAACTGCAAATCTGGCTTTGAATTTAAGTAAGAACTTATGCAGAGTTCTCTTTTTTCACAAGCAGGAGGAATAAATATAAGTGATATGGTATAAATTGAATAACAAATGTACGTCAAAAACACTCCCGAAATAATAAGGCTAAACGAAGGCCACCTCATTTTAACAATCAGTTTTTTTTTGCAAAAATTTCTAAATAAAATAAGATAACTTTTTATTTAAACAAAAAAATAAATATCACATTTCTTTTAAACTTTCTAGAGTAAACATAACAATGAACAGTCTTTCATATATGTTTAGATCAGAGAAAATAGTATATTTTATAAGTTAAAATTTCTATTTATTATGCTTTTGATTTTAATTCAGTCTCTTTAGTTAATGTAATATTTCATTAAATATACTTATTTTATTAGCAATACTCTATAAATGCCAGGAATCAATTGCAAATAAACGAATAACAAATTGACACATCATAACACGAGTTCTAACCTCAAAGTACCGTTAGGTCATTAGGTGTCAATATTTTTTCTGCTTCTAGTTATAATAATGAAAAAAAGAAAATTGCTATCAAATAGTTTTTTAATTTAAAAATAGTCAGGGGTTTTTATTTATTAAAAGAAATTTTATTTGAGAAAAGATATTTAATATAAAATGTGTCACTTTATTGATGATATATTATCGATGTATTAAAAGTAAACAGAGCAGACGACACGCTATGCATATGTGAGCATTAGTCAATTATATTGCTAACTAGTTATTTTAAATTAATGCCCAAATTCAGATAATTTATCAAGTATTTTCTTATCGAAGAACAAAAATTTTTTATATAATAATACATGTCTTATTCTATTTGTTATTTCTTAGTTCTTTATAATATAATTATGTATTTTTATTTGAGTCATGTATTTGACTTCGTTTCATTTTGTACAAAAGGCGGGAATTTCAAATTTACTTTTTTCAATCATAATTATTCGTGATACATAAAAATAATAAAATAATTAGTATAGCAATATATACAATTACTAAAATAATTATAAGTCATATATATAAAAGAATTATTAAAATTTTGACTAATTTACAGAAATATTGACTAATAAGAAAAGAAATATAATTTTTGATAAAATTTTCATTTAATTCAATTCAATTCAATTTGAATTTAATTCAATTCAATTTAATATAATTCCATTTTAGTTAAGTTAAATTATTTTGATTCAATTCAATCCAAATAATTTTTTTTAATTCAGTTCAATTTATTTTATTGATTTTTATTTACCTATTAAAAAAATTTATCTTTTTTTTATTTCCATAAAATAAATAAAAAAAAAGTAGTAAAATCAAAAAAAAATAATATTAAAATTTAATTTTCCATGATTTAATTAAATAAAATAAATAAAAAAATTAGTAGAATCGAAATAAATAATATTAAAATTTAATTTTCAATTAAATTCTAGGTATAAAATAAATAAATAATTAGTACCTAAAAATTGGAAAAAATAATATTAATTTTAATTTTAATTTAATTCCATAAAATAAATAAATAATTACTAAAGACGGAAAAAAATTGATATTTAATTTTTGAATTGATATTAAATTTAACTATCAATTCAATTTCAATTAATTAAAATTGAATAGAAAATTAAATTTTAATATTTGAATTGATATTAAATTGAATTGATTTTATAAACTCAACTTAAATTTAATTCAATTCAACTAAATAAATAAAAAATTAATAAAATCGGAAAAAAATAATAATCAGGTTTTAAGAGAAAAAAATAGATAGAATTGAATTTTTTTACAATCATTTATTTTTTATTTTTTTCACAGTGCGACTATCGTTCACAAATCCAAGTCTTTATTTAAAACACGCAAACAACGTTTCTATTTGCAATTTCGTTCAAATTGAACGATACAAAAAAGTGATTAATACAAATGTTTACACAAAAAACATCATTTTTTTTTGGAAACTAATCTAAAAATTTAATCGTTCAATATACAATCTAACTTAAATAATAAGATTAAAACAAAACGTTAAAATTTTTCATGTACAGAACTGGTTGTATCGACATGTGTGATGTGTATGTGAAAACTAATTGGAATGTATGTACAAAGAATTCTATTATTTATAATAATAATAATAATAAATAAAAATTATCTTGAAAAAATTTTTTAAAAAACTTTTCAACTATCTTCATAATTATTTTTAAAATACACTTTCAATTCATCTGTGATGCATATGTATATATTTATCTTAAAAATTCTAAAGAGAAAAATAATTTTTCTCTTTTTTTTTAAAAGCACAAAAGGACATTTTTTTACTTATGAGTATAGCTTTTTTCTAATTTTAAGTAAAAATAAATACACAATTTTTTTTTTTTTATTCTTAAAACTAGATGATTGTATAAAATTAAGACTGAATTGTAATAAAAATTTCTATATATAAACCAGTTTTCTTTCATTTCTTTTTTTCTCAAAAATTCTTTTACAATTAAAATAAATGTATAAAATGTGCAACATATATAATAATATATCAAAGATGAATGGACAATATCACTTCGTAATTAAAATTTAAATAAAATTTTTTAAATTTAAAGAATATTTTTTCTTCAATATAAACAAATTGAATAAAAGATAATAATTTTTCATCTATAGTGATAAATTCTTTTTCTATTTGGTATGATCTACTTATAATCAACAAAAAAACTTAACAACCGGTGATCAATTTTTTTCATCTATACAATTATATATATATATATATATACTATATTTATAAATCTGTGAATTCTATCTCTATACTTAGGATCAAATAAAAATTAACAATACAATTAAAATTATTATAGAAAAAAAAATAAACTTAAAAAACCTTGATGATAATTTTCAACAACAAAAAAAATTATACTGTCACATTTTAAATCATCAAATATTAAAAAAAAATAATTTAGTCACTTGATAAATTGTCTTTTTCATTTACAATAATAATGGATCACAAATGTCGACATTGATTCATAATTAAATGCAATCCATAATTAATATTGCTTGATAGAATTTTACATAATATTTATAATAAAAAAAAAAAAAACGGAAATAATTCTAAGTTTAAAAAAACATAGTCTTCGCAAAAAATTCTGAATCAATTTAACTAACTTAAGTAACAACTGTGAGATTTTGGAAGGCACAAAAGTAAACCTTTGTTTATAATATACAATATAATATAATAAACCAGTCATGGTGCTTGACGTGAAAACTCCAAATTTAAACTTTTATTTGTATATTTACTTTAAAAGCTAAATATAGTGAAATTCTTTCAAGTTTAAATTTCAAACTCATTCACACCAAACACGAATTCTTTTTCATTCATATTTACAATTATGACTAATATTTAAATCCTATAAATATAATATCCTAAAATTGGAAGTCAAGATCAATTTATTACAATATTATTATACGTTTATCCTAGAGTCTGTCAGAACTTATTACAGTGATTTTATCATCAATAATTAGCTCATAGAAATGTAAAATATTGCAATAAAACAATAAATTATATTATCGTCAATATTTTCAGGCTTACTATGTGTGATATAATATATATATTTTTTTTAAATCCATATACGCATTTTTATTTATAAACTTTGAATGATTATATTCTAAGTATTAGGCACATAGAACACACAACGTACTTTATATATATATATAAATTTTTTTTTCCATAATATTATAAATATTTTATATGCGTCAAAATTATGCGAGTAAATCTATAAAACTCTTGCGCAACAATAAATTTTTATATTATTATTCTTCTTTTTAAATATTTTCATTAGAGCACACTCATATATGTGATTCAAAATATATATTTATATATTCGGCTTGTCCGCAAAATGGACCAAATTTTTCAACAAATAGATATTAACATCACAATATTTATGTATAACTTTCGACTTTAGTGATATTCAATTGCAAGCTGTACACATTATATGGTAACGTACACATATTTTAATATATAATATATTATAATATATAATATATAATTTCTATTTTTATATTATATATTATTTCATATATAATATTTCATATAATGCTATTTTATAATGCTCGCAAGCAAGCATTTGACACATGCGTAGACAATTTTTTTCTTTTTATTTTTCTTTACAAATAAATCGTATATTACACGTGTAATATACAGTTAACGACTTGGATTGAGTTTTTTTTTCATCACTTCCTGTATACAATATTTTCTCATGTAATGAGCGGAACTACTTTTATAAAAAGAAAAATATTACACAAATATTAAAATTTCCTTTTTTTAGTTTTTAGAAAAAGCTCTTTATTTCAGAAAAATAAATTCTTAGCTAACATTTCATTCTTTTTTAATGTATTTTATTTTTGAAAATATTATCCTCATTCAAATAATAAGTTCCATTCTAAGCTTTTTAAAATTACAAAAATTGTGATAAAATTTAACAAACCAAAAAATTTAGTTAAATAAAAAAAAGTTTAATTATTTCTAAAAATTACAACTGTAACCCTAACAAAATTTAATTATTTTCTAGAATTTTTAAATAAATTTATTCAAAATTTAATGATTTTTTAAAACAAATACTTGAATGCTGTGATTAAATATTATCAATTCAAATATTAAAAAATTCAATTTCTAACGTTAAATTTAATAATTTAATTATTTCTAAAAAATTACAACAAATTTAATTTAATTATTTTCTAGAATTTTCGTTTGACTGTTGTCTTTCTTTTCTAATATTCTTTTACTAAATAATTATTAATTGTAATAATTTTTAATAATTATTCGATAGTTTTTCCAAAATTAAGTTATTTAAATACAAAAATTCTATTTTTTATAAAAATTTTAATTGTAACTCTTAATAGAATTTTTCAAAATTTCTGAATGTGAATCATTAAAAATATGAAACCAAACAATATTGTAAATAATACTTATAGATTTTTAAAAAATTGTAATACAAAAATTTTAAAAATTAGTAATTAAAAATATTTTTAAACAATTTCTTGAAAGATAATAATAATAATTGAAATTTAGAAAGTAAATTTGAAATTTTTAAAAGAATTTTTAGAAAATATTAAATAAAAGTCAAGTATTTGAAGAATATTGGTTATACCTAAATATATAAATACATGATTTTTTCAAAATTTTAATAATGAGTCTAATAAAAGTAGATTTTTCAAAAATTATTATTTTCTTTTTTTGAAGATAATTGAATTCTAAAAATATATTTAAAAAATTCTAAGAATTAGGGTTTTAAAAATATATTAAAATAAATTCTTAAATATTATAGATATTTCAATTATGTTTAATTGAAAAATTTCCAAATAATTGAAATTTAGTAAAAGACTTTAATAATTGAATTTTTTAAAAGAATTTATTTAAAATATTAAACAAAATAAAGTTCTTGAAGAATATTAATCAAAAATATGAAAATTGATGATTTGTGCAAAATTTTAATGATGAGTCTAAAAAAGATCTTAAAAAACTTTTTTTTTTTGAAGGTAATTGAATTTTAAAAAATTCGGAGAATTGAGTTTTTTTTAAAACAAATGTAATGTAATTTTTTCGAAAATAATTGAATTTCTTAAATGACTTTTTTGACAATTTTAAAAACTAATCAATTTCTTTGAAGAATTTTCATTAAAAATTTAAAAAATGATTGTTTTTTTCAAATTTTAATAATATTTTTAAAAAAATTAGTTTTTTTGAAAAATTTTAATTAAATTATTTTTTGTAGATATTTGAATTTACGGAAATATGTAATTAAAAATTTATTTATTTATTTATTGAAAATAGTTAAAATTTAGAAAATTATAATAAAAAATCCTGATCATTACTTTTTTTAAAAAAATATTTTAATATAATTTTTTGAAGCTAATTTTCATTAATTTTCATTTTCAAATTTTCGTTTGAATTTGAAGGTTTTTCATTGAAAAACATTTTAATTCTATATTTCAAAACTTCAGTTATTTTTCAATAATTATTCGCAATTTTCAAAGATTTCATGATAGTTCTGTTTTATGCCATAAAAATCGAAAAAAATTACATTTAATACCAAAAAGTCGTATTTTTTGTAAATACAGTCAACTCTCGATAACTCAAATTTTTCGGTAAGTCAAAGTAATTCTTGGGTCCCGTTCATTCCTTATAAGCATTATTAACATTTGATGACTCAAAGTTTTTTCGGTCTCCCTTCGAGTTTGCCTTATCGAGAGTTGACTGTAATTCGAAAAAATATTCAGAAAAAAGCCCAAAAGTCATACTATCCGAGGCCTGCGATAATAATTTAAAATTTTAATAATAATAAAACATTGAAGATGAAACGATCACTCAAAGTGTTCGTTTACTTCAATTTTCTATTATTTAAGACGACCGAGTGATAAAATCACAACATACATTCACTAATTCACAAAAAATTAATTTTCAATACAATTTTATAATAAAATATCCTAGTAATTAATAATTTAAAATGAACCATCAAACAGCAGTAAGAAAATAACAAATAAAAATATATTCAACATTTCTTTCATGAAAGATAAATTAATTCCTTACACAAAAATTTAAAAAAAATATATAAAAATAATAACAATTTCTGTTTATATCATAATATTGTGTAATATTTTCCCATAAAGACAAGTGAATTAAAAAAAAAATCAATCCAAATTGCGCCTATTTTGACGAATACTGTTGGGTGTATTTTTAAGGCACTCGTGCGAGTCTATATAGTTATCACCTTGGCCTTCACCTGGTGAACAATTTTTACATACTGACCTATTTTATGCTTTAAAAAAAACAAATAAATAACACAACAATATAATAGCAAACTTTGGAAATAAAACTATCTTGATAATACAATCTATTTATTTCTCGAAATAATTAGATGAGGCGAAAAAAAACGGATCAAATTTCTAACACTGAACATATTTTAATATATTAAAATTTTATTTTAATCTATTAAAATTTCATTCTAAATCTTTTTAAATTTATTAAAATATTATATATGTAATTTTCTATATAAAATTCTTTTTTTAAAATCTTAATTAAAAACACAACAAATTTAAATTTCAGAATAAAACAAACAAATATTTTGCTCAGTGACTTAAATTAATTTCTATATACAACTTTTTTTTCGATTTTTTTTCCTTTTTTTTTTGCCTTAGTGTATATTATGGAACTAGTAGTCGTAAACTGACGAAAACCCTGTATGATTATCATTATTATAAATTTTATAATTATTATTAAACATTATCCATGAAAGATTGTGACTAAAAAGAAGGAACTTAGCACATTATTAAGATTTATTTTCGATCTTAAAATCAGTGTACGGACAGTCGGAAGCAATTATTATTTACGTTCACTTTCATTTGGTCATTTTATATTTTTATATAATATAAATTTTTATATAGTATTTAAAATTTTACGTGAACATAAATTAGAGAAAATGGAAAATTATCATTTTTGCACGCACACGCAAATATCACAAGAATCATAGGAACGATTTTTTTTCATGTTATTTTGTTAGTTATTAACATTAAGAGGTTATATAGATTAGTTTTTTTTTCTTCACAGTTAGCACAAACTGTAATATTTTAATTACAGTTATATATATGTAAATTTATTAGTAACCGACAAGAGTTATTTTTTTAACAGCCAAAAGCATGTACGACATTTTCATCATCAATGCACATCAAATTCGAAAAAAAACTGACACCGAGAAATTTTTTTTTTTTAATTCTAGAAGAAATCACAATTTACATATTATATATATTGTATACATATAAACAAAAAATTAAAATTCTTTGGCAAAATTTCAAAATATGTATAACTATGTATCATAAGAAATGCATTGGTGAATTTTCCATTTTCTCCAAAATAATATAATTTTTTGTCTTTTTAACGCGGAACATAGATATGTTTTGTACATTTCTTTTGTTTTCATCTTTCTTTAGGCTTAAATTTTTTTTTGTTTTCGAGCTTATTAATATTCTTTCGTATACTCATTAGTGAATGGGTCGCTATTCACGTAATATTGCGTGAATTTATCACACCTCGAACATTTGGAATATAAATAAATATATTTATATATCTTATAAATTTATATATATATAATATATTAATATATTTATATGAATATATACTATATACAGAATATTATAAGATTCTTTTGTGATGTGAATAAAGTTTCTTACTGAGGCATTAAAATCACTTTTTTTAACATCATGATTTCTTTTTGTACAAATTCACGAAATTTCTGTATTATTATTATTTTTAATAATAATACAGAATAAACTATCAACTATATGTACCTTCTTTTGATGTCTTTGGCTAAAAATCTAGAGCGTGACTTATAATTAAACGGTAACAATAATCATCTACTTGTCAGTTGCATCCAGTACAATTGATGTGCAAAAATTGTTTTTTTGTTTTTACAATCCTACCTCGTTTGAAGAATCATTTTTTAACGAGACTCCTTCCAAAAATGTTCTCTCTTCATTTTTGTCTCTCCTCATCGTCTTTACTCTCTGACTTGTCGTGAGCATTTCCATAACCTAATGCAACGTTCTGTAAAAATAAAAATACGTATAAATATTTTTGTTGTTTTTTTTCATTTGAAATAGTTTTTCCAAAATTTAATTTCTCCATTTGAAATGAAGAATAAAAATAAAATTTTAAACTTAAAAAATTAATTCAGATTTTGGATTGCATGACTTTATTTACAAAACAAAATTTCCAGAATTTTTTTTTTAATAGATTTTTGAAAAATATAAAATGTTCTTTTGATTTTTTTTTCATGTGTAAATGTAATATATGACAAATTGATTTATTGTAATTTCTATTTGCAAATTAAAAGAAAATCATTTCACATAAAAGTATCTTACTTCTTTTTCAAGTCTTTTGACATAAAAGAGACTTTCGTCCTAAAAAAAAGGAAAATTACCATTCATTAAAAAAAAGGATTAATTTTTTTTTGATAATCCATAAATTCAGAGCGTTCAAATGATCGAAAAATTTTGATATAAATATTTTTAAAACAATTGTCGAATGAAATTGGCAAGCAAAAACTTTGATTTTAAATTATTTATAAAAATTGCAAAGCTGAAACTCTGAAAATTTAATTATTTTTGAAATGTGTTCTTCTGGTAATGTGTTCGCAGTTTCTTCAATTCTTTCGAAAAATTTATTAAAACTTAAAAAAAAATAATTGAAAATTTTATTAAAATTGTATTATAATTGAAATTCAGTAAAAAATGTTACTATTCATAAATTATAGAGAATAATTTAAAAAAAAGTTCCTGGAGAATAAAAAATAATTAATAGAAAATAAATACAATTGCATATTTTTCAAAATCCAATTACTGTCAAAAATAAAAAACAACAAAAACTCTTTGTTTTAAAATTCCTGGTGATTCCAGAATTTTTAAGTATAAAAAAAATTCACGAATAATTAAATTTTATTAAATAATGTCAAAAATAAATATGTTAAAAGAACGTTGGACACGAGAAACCATAATTTACTCAACAATTCCAGAAATTTGTTATATTTTCAGTACTTTTGAATCATGTCTCATTTCAACTTTCGTTACCCATGCATGGTCCAACATGGACAGCGAGAATTGATGTTAATTAAATATATAAACGTTCCCTCACTTCACACACCTGTGAGAATCCTGATAGAAAAAAAAATTAAAAAAGCAAAACATATTTAACATAGGAAGAAACATGTACTCCTGAGTTCAAAACTTGAATATTTGCCTCAGTTAAATTGTGAAATATATTCTAAATAAACTTTCTTAAAAATATCCCCATTGAATTATTCATGTGGAAAAAATTATAGCATTTTTTTTAAGGGAGTAGACTTAAGAAATTTCAAATCACCGAAATTTATATTGTTTTATAATTGTTATTTTGTTTTCTTACATGAGGATATAAAATTATCCTATGTCATCAAAATTTGGAAAGAAAAATTTATTACTTAACAAATTTTGTTAGTAAACCCCAAAATTTTGGGAAAATTCAAATTTGAATTTTAATTTACAATTCAAATTTAGAAATTCAAATCAGTCGTATGGATATAAAAAAATTGTAACTTTTACAAAAATTAATATTTCTAAAAAAATAAAAAAAAATCTATTTTTCTAAAAATGACAGAAAAAATTGACGACTATCAACAAGGAAAATTCCGATGGTTTAAAAATTTCACTGTCCGTCTCCTTAACGATAGTTAATAATAATAGAATGTTATAATTAACTAATTGACGAACATTTTTTCAAAACTTGATAAATCCATATTTTCTTGTTTCGAGAAATTGAAACGTTCTATTTTTAAATAAACTTTATCATAATTAAATGATTTAAAGATTTAATCGACTTCTTCCACTTTTTTGAATTTTAGTTTGCCTAGAACCACTTTTTTTGCCTGTTAATAAATTAAATGTAGAACAAAACAAACAATGTTACTAATACTATTATTGAATAAAATGAATAAAATAAATAATGAAATAATAAAAGAAATCAAATAATTATGTTTGTGCGAAGAGAGTGTAAAAACAAATTACCTGGACAGCAATTTGTAGAGGAGTTGCTTCTCCTAGTGAGCAATCTGATCTTAAAACATCAGCAGGCAACAGTCTTGGGCATGGTTTCCCGGTGAAGAGCATGAAAAGTGTATGAATTGTTCTCCTTTGAGTGAGTTCAGTATGACGATGTTGATAACCCGATAAATGTCTCCTATGTCTAATCACCGATGGGAACCACCTTTCACATAGTACGCAGTACCTTCTGTGCTTAATTGTCGCCTATGAAATCAATGAAATAAAATTAAATTTCTCCTCAATGTGTCATTTTTTCATTTTCAGTGCAAAGAGAAAAAAGAAATAGCAAACATAAAAATAATGACTATAATAAATAATTTTAAAAATACATATTAATAATCATTGTATTCCGAATGTCTGTTAACAATTTGAATTTATTAGTTTTTGTTTTCCTTTTTGTTTAATCATTTTTAAAATAATTTTTTTTCTTTTTATAAATGTATTGAATTTTAAAATTAATGACAAATTTTATTTTAACGTTTTTTCAAAATTAAATAAAAACAAAAATTAGAGTGATAAATTCAAATTAAGATTGTAAACAAAATAATTGTTTTAAATTAAAAATCATAATTTCATTTGTAAATTTAATTAAACATTCTAAAACATAAAAATAGTCACTCATAAATTTATTATATATTTTTATTTTTTTATTCATAAAATTATCTAGTAGAAAAACTAATTTTTATTGATGAAAAATAAGACTAATGTTATTTATTTTAAAAGAAAAACTGCATTATATATATTTATTTCTAATGTCATATTTTATGTAAAATGAAAAAGATAAAAATTATTGTTACAAAAATATTGTAAAAAATCTTATAATTTTCAATTTAAAATAATTTAATTCTTACATAGAATTTTATTAAAATTTTTGAAAATAATAATTAAAATGTTACTTAGTTCAGAAGTGAATTTTAAAAATTTTTGAGTCTGAAATTTTCCAGAAATTCAAATTTAGAGAAAAAGTTTTGCGATACTCTTTTTGCAAGTATAAAATTCAGAAATTATTCCAGTTTCCATAATTTTGCGTTAAGCAGTGAATTTCTTTAATTTTAAAAAATAAAATTTTTGTTTTTTTTATATTTTTAAATAATAATTAAATTCTTACATAGAATTTTATTAAAATTTTCGATAATTATTTAATTCTTGCCTCGAAATTTATAAAAATGTTTCAAAACAATTGAATTTTGTCGAAAATTTAATTAAAATTGTATTAAGAAATAGGTAATTGAATTTCTACGTAAAATTTTATAAAATTTCTATTGAAAATAATTGAATTCCTTTAGAAAATCTCATTAAGAAAAAATTCAATTCTTTCAAAAAATGTATTAAAATTTTAAATAAACTCTGGACATCAAAAACCAGAATTTTTTTTTATCAATTCTAGAAATTGAATACTTTTTCCAGGACTTTTGATAAATTTCCCTAACTTTGTCCTGAATTCCCTGATTACCCTGACGAGTGGTGATCCTGTTACAAATATTTTTAAAAAATCATAAAAACAAGAAAAATGAAAAACAAAACTAAAAACAAAATTAAAAGAAAAGAAAAAGCAATTTATTTAAGTAAAAAATATTTCATACCTTTTCGTGAAAGACCCAATTTTGAACAGCATCAGCGAGAGTGCCACCCGGATCAATTTGTGGACTCTTCATTTTCCAATTATTGCGATCCTCCTTTTTCACATTGGCATTGAAAATTTTCGATTCATCCTCAATGATTTCGACGTCATCCTGAATTGTTATAACAGGCGGTGAACGTGACGTGTCACGAACTAGACTTGGATCCAAATTAACACCACCCTCTGGTTCTAAAATTGGCATCTCTTCTTTCGCCTTCACCTCGATCACATTCTCAATATTATTATCCTTAGACTTAGAGATCTTTGGAATTTTATATGACTTCATTTTATTTAAATCACAATCTTTATTATCTCTCGACACATCTCTCGAACGATTATCCCTCGAAGTGTCTCTCGACGATTCCTTAGACGATTCCCTCGATTTTTGACTTCTTGAACTCGATTTACTTCGACTTGAGCATTTTGAATTCGATTCCGAGCTCTTGGAATGTTTCACTCTACTGTTACTCGACTCACGAGTAGTAGTAGTCTGAAGACTAGATCGTTTCTGATCCCTCAACGATATTGTATTATGATGATCGTAATTGTAAGGATCGTTATTTTTACACCTCTCCCTCGAACTACTTTCCTTCGTTCGTTTTCGACTTTTTGAATTATTTCTCGAATCTAAATATTCTGAACTAACTCTCGTTGACGCTGACGATGAATAATCAATCGAAGGCAAATCAGTTCCTTGTTTCTTTTCAGCGAGTGTTTTTGGTCGGGATTTAGTAGTATTATTATCAGTTCGACAATTCGGTAAATATTTCTTCAATATTTCCTTCGCTGCCATTACTTCCTGTACGAGTGACATTGAATCGGTGAATTTCGATCCACAAGGTTTCGTATTTTCACTCACTGTTAAAAAATCATTTAATATTGGAATTTCATCCTTAATATCACAGGAATCGTCTCGAGATTTTTCCTCCTCTACCAAGAGGTTCTCCTCCTCGGGTAATTGCGGTTTTTGAAAACGTTGAGAATCCTCCATATCAACGCTGTCGAGGGATTCGAAAAATTCCTTAGAATCAGACATTGGTACATCGTAAGTGTCAACACTGCTGTCAACAATTTCGAGTTCAAATTCAAATTGCGTTGGTATGGCGTCCTCGAAATAGAGATGCTCATGTTCTCCATTCGCCATCAACTGGGAATGTACATTATCCTCGATTTTTATACCATTTTGAATATCGTTGACACTCGAAAGATCAAATTTACTCTCATCGAGTTTATTCTCAACTTCCTCAGGATTTAACAGCGGACATTTAGTCTCAATCTCTTGATTCAATTTCACTTCTGCAGTCTCAATATTATTAACATTATATAAATCGTCAAAATTGTAATCGAACTTTTCCGATTGTAAAATTTCCTTATTCTCTGAATTCATGTTTTCGTCGAACTTCTTCCAATTATCATAGGTGTTTTGGTAATTTTTGATATTCTCGGTAAACATATTTTTAAAGTACAATGCACGATTATTGAGATAATTTGTATCTTGTATTGTTGATTCACGAGCTGATTTACTAGCTTTAAAATTGTATAAAGTTGGTTCGGATTGAAAATAACGTATCTCCATATCTGATTTTCGTCTTCTTTTTATTTTACCAGATAGTATTTGGGAATTAGTTTCTGTACGTGATAATTCCTTTTGTTTTTTAAGACTACGGATAAATTGTTCCCATCTTATTTTACTTGTATTCGATTTACCACGCACCGATGCTTTACCTCCATTTTTTGCGATTGCCAATTTTAGGGCAATATTCACGTGTTTCAATTCCTTCGCCATACAATCCAATATCCACGAACGTTGAAGTACAACTTGTGGCTGAAGACTTAAATCATGAGCGGAAGTATTTTTCTTATCGTTACTGACCTCACATTTGAACTCAGCTGTTGGCGATGCACGTTTAATAATGACTTTCGGAATTTTCTCCGATATATTTTGATATTCCGATGATGATAAGGAATTTTCAGTGATTGGGTCAATGCGTCGGTCCTGTTTTATCTCGTCCCTTGATGATCTCTTGATCTTTTTATTTTCCGTTGTCGTCGTCGTTGTGGTCGTCGTCGTCGTTGCTGTTATTGTTGATGATGATGATGATGATGATGTAATATCAGAATTATGCCTTTTTCTCGTCATTGAATTTATTTTTAGATCTTTTTTGATTTTTAATTTCGGAATTTTTGGTTTTGTTTCATTATCATCGACTGGTGGGGGATTGTCAATATTTTCTGTATCTTCGATTGTCCTTGATTGATTTAATTCGGAATTATTAATTATTGATGAATTTTCATTCGTATTGTCTGTTATTGTATGTAAATTTTTCAGTTTCTTTATTTTCACCTTTGGTACTAATTTCTGAAGATCTTGTGTATTACGAATATCTAAATTTTTAATAACAACTTTTGGCAATTTATCCTCTAACTTTATTTTCATTTTTGGAATTCGATTTTCTTCGTTGTTTGAAAATATATAGGAATCATTTTTATTAATGTCGTCGAGTCTTATCTTTACTTTGATAACATTTGACTCCTCTTGTGACAATGGAAACTCTTCCGGGATCTCCTCAATTGTGGGCGTTGTTGGTCTTGATTTTGCATTGCGAATTATCATCTTTGGTATTTTTCTATGAAACGAAGGTTCAATATTGCTTTCTGTTGATTTTGATTTTGAAAGAATATTTCGATTCATTTCTATTTTGCGAATTACTAATTTTGGTACCATTTTTTCAACGACTGAATTTTTCGATTGATTTTCACGTTTTTTGGATTCCTCTTCGTCTTCTTCTTCTTCTTCTTCTTCTTCTTTTTCTCGTTGCTCACCTTCTAAAGTAACATCGGGCATTTTATTGAATTCATTGCTATCGGAACTTTTCGAAGAATTCAGAATATCAGAATCGTTTAATTCCCGTTGTACTTCGAGAATTGGTGGATCCACTTCAAAATAGGAGTCATCGTCGATGTAAATTGAATTCGTATCGTGTTTTTCGCCACTCTTTTCGGTTATTAATGGTGAATCGTTAATCTGAAAATCTGACTGATTTTCAATTTTATTTTCGTTCAGTGAGCAGTTTTCAATTCTTTCATTCTCGGCGAGGTCTTGTGCACTTTTTGAATTATTGAAATTGGAATTAGAATAAGAATTTGAATTCGAATTCATTTCAAGCAGTGGCGAAAGTCCTCGTGTTTCAAAATATTCCCTCTCACAAGTTTTCAAATCCGATTCGTAATTGTGATTATTCTCTTGAATATCAGTGAAATTTACTTGATTTTCAAAATATTCGCCTGATTTTTCATATTCTTGATTGTTGCCCTCAACTTCTTCAATATATTCCTCAATTTCACAATTTTTCTCCATTTCCGGAATATTTTCTCGTACTTTCTCAATATTTTCCTGAATTTCCGAATTATTTTGATAATTTTGAATGTTTTCCAAATTAATTTCCCGATTCACAAAATTAATTCCCCGACATTTCAAATTATTTTCTTGATTTTCCAAATTACTCTCTTGCATTTCCCGATGTTTTTGGATCTCTAAATTATTCTCCTGGTTCTCGTGATTATTCTTTTGGCATTCTTGATTAATTTCTTGTAATTCTTGAACTTTTTGAATTTTTTGAACTTCTTGAAATTCTTGAATGTCTTGAATGTCTTGAATTTCTTGAATTTCTTGAATTTCTTGTCTTTCTGGAACTTCTTGACTTTCTCGATTTTTCTGACCACTTTCGTTTCTTTCTCGACATTCGTAATTTTTCAAAATTTCTTGATTTCTTTGATTACTTTCCTTTATTGCTTGATATTCGTCATTTTGTAGAATTTCCTGATTTCTCTGATCACTTTCCTTTATTTCTTGACATTCGTAATTTTGCCGAATTTCTTGATTCCTCTGATTACTTTCCTTTATTCCACGATATTCGTAATTTTCCCGAATTTCTTGATTTTCACAATTTTCCCGACTCTCTTCATTTTCACGACTGAAATTCCGTTTTCCTCGATTATTAGTCTCCCCACGTTCAGAATTTTGTTGAAATTTATTTTTCGATTCTCCAACTCCCTCCAAGTAATTGTCATCTGTAAATTTATTCTTCTCACTTACAGTAAAATTTTCACTCTCGTGTCGTTCAATTATTTCCGTAAGAATTTCCACCTCTCGTTCAAAATCTGAAAGTTTGTTTGCACTGAAATTAGTCGGTTCTCCATAACTCTGGGAATTGAAAATCTTCAAATAGTCTTCATTCACTGGATTAGATGAACAATTATTGTGATTTGTTTCAGAGCAGTGTGATGATTCCTTATTCGAAATAGCTTCCTTCACTGGAACAGAAGGAGTGGAAGAAAAATCGATTTCCTGAATTTCGTCATCATTGTTAGTATTCTCGAGTTTTAATTCTGATTCTTCGCTGGATTGTTTCACTAGATCGCTTGGTATTTCTTGAGAAATTGAGGGGTTTTCGTTTCCTATTTCTTGATCACTAGATTCGGATTTTAAATCTCCTTCTTCTGTTGTTTTGAGACTGTTTTCCGAATTCACTTCTACTTTATTTTCGGTTTCAATTACTTGAGTTTCGTCGAATTTTTCAACTGTTCCTGTACAAGGGAATGTTTCTAATTTGGGTTCGACGATAAATATATCATCGTCTTCTTCGTCGTCGTCTTCGATTTCGATAATTTCGATAGTGTCGTTTTTCGCCGAGGATGCTTCTGGGACTAAGTCGTTTTTCTTTTCCTCGCTATCAATATTTAAGATTGAAATTTCTTTCTCGATTGTCTGCTCTTTGTGGGTGGAAATAATGTCTCTCTCCAATGATGATTCCTTAATTTTTTCCGTCTCTGCTTTTTCCCTTTCTGTACATTCTTTCTCGGTGGTAATGATGTCTGTTGGTCGAATTTCGTCATTTTCGTTTTGTTTATTTACATTTGACAAATTTTCACACTGGGCGATATTACTTTCAGTTCCGACATTATCTCCCTCACTTTTATCTTCAATTTTATCTTGAACTTTTTCTCCAATTTTGTCTCCCATTTTATCTCCAATTTTATCTCTAATTTTATCTCCAATTTTATCTCTAATTTTATCTCCAATTTTATCTTGAATTTCGTTTTCATTCAATTCAATATTTTCAACGTTTTCAAAATCATCTATTTCCATATCGTCTTTATTGTTTTCCGTTCCGATATTTTCTCTAGAATTTTTATCTTCACAATAGTTTTCTTGATCCGGAATGAAAGCATTTGGAGTGACTTCTTCTTTTTCTTGATACTCCGGATTAATTGAAGTAAAAATTGGAAATTCGTGAATACTTTTTCTTCTTTTTTCCGGAATTGTTTTTGATAATTGTAAACTAACGTCGGATATTGATTTTCGTCTGGTAAATAAATTGTGGAATGGATTGGGACTAGTGTTCATTAGGTTTAATTCTTTTTTTATTTCTTTCGCATATTTCAATCGAATTTCTTCTTCGGAGATCGTTTTTGCCTCTGAAGATCTAATACCAAAATCAATACTGCAATCAACTTCGGATGTTGGTAAAGAATTTTCCACTGGGTTCAAAAGTTCCTGAGTGCTTTTTTCATGATTTGCGGAATTATTTTTTGCTGCACTTTCGGATTCTGTTGACGAATCCTTATCGTGAACTGCAACTGGGACGACTTGATTGTCCTCCACTTCTCCCTGAACTGGACTCTGTATCTCCGGATAAACTTGACCACTGACCCTTTCGATTTGATTCTCTTCTTCTGCTGTTGATGATGTTCCGTCCGAAACTGACCTCTCCTGACTCGACTGTTCCTTCAGGGAATTTCTACTAATTTCCCGTTCGATCTGCAGATGAATATCTTCGAAATCAGTATTTGAATTTACCTTCGAATCATTACCTTCATTGCCGGATGAACCCTCATTTAGAGCACTGTAATTCTTTATTGTCTTGATTAACATTGGTTCACTGCTGACACTCGCTTTTCTGTTTCGATGAGAAAGATAGCGCTGATAACTCTTCTCCAATTCTTGTGTAGCAAACCGTTTGGCCAACGATTTTTTCGGTGGTTTCAAATTAGCCTGTTTACTGCCGTGTTTTTCACTCGACTTTGAAGATCCAGCTCGTTTTTCCTGTGATGAACTATAATTCGATAATTGAGCCTGACATTCCTTTTCACGTGCCTCCATTAATAGTGTTCGGTACGTAAATCTCGGATTTGGACTGTAAGTTATTTTACCGTCCTTCGTCGTGTATATTGGCACTGCATTTAAATTCTCCACGTCCTCCAGAGAATTGAACAATGGATTCAAATAACCCTTTGGACCCAAATCATTTTCCGCATCTAATAAATTACTATTATGATTGTCAGCAGAACTTTGAAAACTATTATCAAAACTATTTGAATCACAATTACTGTTTTTAATAACAAAATGTTTTGCATCTTCGCTTTTATCACTCAAATCGTCGTCAATTTGCGAATTTCGAAAACCCGAAGAATCAGATGTGCATGCCAACATTTCGATTTTATCATCATCAATATTATCACTTCTATTATCAAAATTAGCAAAAGTTTTATGTTTTCGTGAATTTTTCTTTTTAACATCCTCCAATGATTTTGATTTACTTATCGATTTCAGTCGGTTCGAAAGACACTCGATTGTCGAACTACTCGAACTCATAAGGCACTCATTATTCTCGTGTGCTTTCGTTGATTTCTCATGATTACAAAGATAGTCTTTATCGATTTTGTAGAAATTCATCGATTTACATGTCTCACACGAATAGGCGTGTTGGGATATTTTTTGATGATGCCCCTTACCGAAATATTCAATAACACTCTCCTTTCTCTCTTGTCCTTGTATTTTCAACTTATCGCCAATTTCCTTGAAATCCTTTGAATCGTCCGGTGATTTTTGTTGACATTTCGTTTCAACTTTGGGAAGATTCTCACCTTTTCCCTGACAAACTGTAGAGCCGCATGAAGAAGGTTCTTCTTGATTTCCATTATAATCCGGTTCGTTGCACTTCTGTTGGGTTTGCTTTTCGCTTTTTGTATCGCTACGCGAGACGTTTATTTCTATTTTAATGGCCTCAAATGGTTTACTCGAATCGCAACTGTTTCTGAATTTAATTTCCAAATCGGAACTCTTACCATCGGTTGGCACTTTCTTTTCGTCGTGGGAATTTTTCGAATTTACCTCTACGTTTGTTTGCTTCACTGTCTCCACTTCTGTAAGTTTCTGCACTTTTGATTCGTCTTGGAAATGATCGATGCTTCGTTTTCTCTTTAGATTCTTAAATTCGTTGAGAAGTCGACTCTCGTCATCAATTAGAATACTCTCGGAAGATTTTGAACGACTGAGAAAAGAATTTGTTTCTAGGGATTTTGAACGTGAACGGTGTGGGTATTTCAATTTTTCCGCAAAATCCTCAAGTTCCTGTCGTTCAAAACTGTCGGACATTTTTCTTAATGCGGGATAATTTTTATTTTGCGTGTTCTGCCGCCATGTGGAGTTGAATATTTCCTCTGAGATAATGTTTATTCCTTTTGGATTTCGTTTTATGTTGATGGGTTCGTGCATTAGATTTTGAATAAAATGCTGTCTGTCCTTGATGTTTTTGAGGATTTTCGTCACTGATGCGGAGACTTGAGCAATGTCGGTATTCTTCTGTAGTTTGTTGTCCTGTTCGTTGTTGTGCTTGTCGTTTGTCATTCCTTCGGAGGTGAGATCAATACCTTTCGGTATATTGTAACCAACGTCTAGCCACATGTCGTCGACTTTGTCGATTTTCTCCTGATCGAGCAGAGTGGATTTTTCTCCTTTTTCTAAATTTTGACTTTTTGTCTCACTTTCTTCGCCTTGAATCAGAGAATTCCAGCACCATTTGTCTTGATCCTCGGTTGAAAAAACGTCCATGTTTGAGGGAAATTCGTTTGTGTCTTTAGTGATATTTTCGGGGGAAGATGTTTTTGGGACAACTTGCTCTTTGGATTTTTCGGTTTTGGTATTTTTTCGATCTTTATCGTCTGGTATTTGATTCTTGGACTGGAAATCAAAGTCAAGAGTTGTTTTTGGGGAAATGTTTTCGCCTTTGAGATGCTCGTAGGGATCGATTTTGACGGGCGATTGAGTGAAACTGATCATTGGACTGTTTTGAATTAATTCGATGGGGTTTGTACTGGTCATTAGATCAACACCTGGATCGGAACATTCTTCACTGTCGGAATGTGTCGGAGTGTTTAGGGTCGTTGATACTGGAGTGCATTCGGAGGTGGTTAAATCCGGTAGACTTATATCATCCGATGTTTGGTTCTCTTCGTTCGTGAAACTGTTTTGTTTTTTCAAATTTGATGTTTCTGGTTCGGAATTATTTTTCGCTAGGGGAGGTAAAATAGAGAGGTCTTCGGGATTTATTTGTAATTTAGATTCGGGATTTAGTTTCTTGTAATTTAGGTTCGTGGGGGTTTCTTTCGTTTCATTGGTATCGGAATCTTTGGTCTCGGTTAATGAAGGTAAACTTGCACCGGGACCTTCAATTTCCGCCTTCGCCGTGTAGATGAATTCCTCCTCTGGATTCTCGACAATATGGATTGTTGGCACCCCGTCGATACCCTCGCCCACGCATTTTATATTCAGTTTATTAGCATAAATTATTCCCTGATTTAAATCGTTGGAGCAATTTTGAAGGAGATTGGTGGCGTCAATTTGCTCCTTGGGGAAATATTCCTTTAGTGTTGATTCGTTGTCAGTTTTCGTTGTTTGCTCCACTGGATTTTCCGCTGGGGTGTGAGTGACTAAACCTACATTACCATATTCAACGACGACAATCGGTGTCGAATTGCTGAGAACAACATCCGGGAGATTGCCATTACCACCCTCTTCTTCCTCGACTTCGACCCAATTGGCGAGAAATTGTCTAACGTCTAAATCGGGTTTGCTGCTTAGATTCTTTGAATTTTTATCCTCATCGTCGTTATTGTTATCTTTTCGTGAATTTAGTGTTTCGAATCTTTCTTCTTCACGTTGAGCGACTTGACAGTGGGGATTTTCTATTGTTTTCTGATTTAGAAATTGTACATCACGGGGAATGGTTTCTGGATTTTGAACTGTTGTGTGTTCGGTGCGCGGCGGTAAATTTTGTAATTGTTGTAAATTCTCCGGAGGTTGATGCTCCTTGTCGGGGTTTAATGAATTCGGTGGGGCGTTCGTTGGATTGTGTGGTGTGGGAAAATTACCGGGTAGATAATTGGAATTTATTAGAACGCCATTCTGATCGAATTGCAAATTAATCGGGGGTACGCTACTGTTTGTTGATGTTAATGAATTTTGAAATGCACTCTGATAATCGACGGTCTGTTGTAACCTCAATAATTCGCGATACCTAAGGATACATTCTTGATATTTCGGATGAGATTGATAGCCGGGGATTCTTGATAATTCCCGGAGATGATTTTCCATTGAGAACCTCTGCATGGCGTACTTTTGTTGATACATTTGATATTTGGGATAGGCGCTATGCATTGGAACGGGATTTTGAATTTTGTTTGAATCCTTCTCGTGATTCTCCCATTGATAGTCGCGGGAGAATTGGGGATTTAGATAGGGATTTTGAACGGATGATATATTTGAGCTGATACTGGGTACACAGAGACCTTTTTGTAATAAAGCACCGCTTTGATATTGCCCCTGTTTGGGGGAATACTTCTCCTGCATGGAAACATTGTGTTCGGAATATTTGAGAATGCCGGAATTTTGAGAGTTTATAGCACCCTGTCGGGGATAGTCTTTCATGGGATAGGGATATTTTTGGTAGTCGCTTGGTACTTGGTAGTTTTGAATCGGATAATTCGGTAAGACGGCGGGAGGTTGATAATTCCTGGGAACAGGAGGAGGAGGCGGCGGCGGTGGTGGTTCCTTACAATATTTGTAGTCGGTAAAATTTCTTCTTTGGTCAACGTGATAAGAATTGGGCGGAATTAAATCCTTGCTGGGGTAACTTTCTTTCCTGTAGGCCATGTCATTTCTATATCGTCTAGGTTCATTTGCGTATCCAGACGCGCGAAGATTTTCTCTATAGGGATTATTGGATTGATAATTGGGGAATTTCTCCCAGGATTGATAATTTACATTGGGATCCGAGACGCAGCAAGGACCCTTACAGGCGGGCATATAGGGTCCTTGTCTACTCGAAGGCACAGTATTTGCGGGCGGAATACGCGTTCCTGCGCTTCCCACATTACTAGCTACATTCATATTTGGTCCCACGACACGAGGCACGGGTCCATTTAATGAGATCTGATTTCTATGCGCCATTTCTTCGCTGAGACTGGCCACCGATCCATTTCTCAGGTCGACATTGCTCGAGTCGTCGAGCATGGAATTCATCGATGACGAAGCTCCATAATGACCTACACAACTTGACATGTGAACCAATGAGGTCAAGGGTGGCTCGACCAAACTATTCGGCCCACTCGGAGTATTATTTGGCGGCTGATAATTTCTTTGACTATAATTAATAACATCATTCTGTGACTTACTTAGACAATCAGAGCTGAGATTGAGACCATTCATTGACGAGGGACTGATGTTAGGGACATAGAGATGAGAAGAACTAATGTTCTGCCCAGATTTTGCAGCGTCCGATCCTCCAGACTGTAAGGCATTGTATTGCTGCCAGTCTGGTATGTTCCTGCTGTAGCTCATTGTACATTATTCGGTCGAGCGATTTCTGAATTCATTATCGTCCCTTAATTCCTTGAGGGATCTGCAGCAAGAGGCAGGGTATTTACCTGCAAAAAAATCATTTAATGCATAATTGCACATACAAATAATCTACTACTTATTAAATAAAACAAAATCTATACTTTCTATAATTTTTCTCTTCAAAATAAATATTTCTGTTTCCCCACAAGCGATAATTTGAAAAGAAAATATCTCTTTTTAAAAAAATTACTATATTTAAAATTGGAATGTGTTTACACAATTATAAAATCAATAATTTAATAGAAAAAAAAATTCTCTCTATGAATTATTTAAAAATAAAATTCAGTCACTTTGTTAAAATCGTGCAAGTTGAAAAAAATTTTATAGGCAAGATAATTTTTTTGCCAAAACAACTTTATAAAAAATATTCGATCATATATTTAGAAAACAGAAAATAAAAAAAAGAAGTACATTTTAATATAAACTTTTAACAGAAATAAAATTACATAGTGAAATATCAATAAATTATGTAAATTTTTGCTAATAAAACCGATAAAAATATTTAAATAGAGTTCATTTCTAACAAGCCTTAATTAGTTGTATTTATTTATTTTTAACTAAAAATTAGATAAAAATAGTAAAAATATTTTCTTAAATATCAAAATAAAAATTTTTAATATTAAAATAAAAATTATTTAAGTTAAAAAAATTTTTTTTTACTAAAGATAATAAATTGACGAAAATAATTGATTTTATATTTATGAAGTAAAAGGTGTCTATCATAGTGAACAGAATTGATACATGTGTAAATAACAAAAAAATAACTTAATGGTATCAAAAAGTAAACACCGAAATTGCTACTTATAACTTCATATTATGATTCAGGTTTTGAAGACCTTGTACATATGTATAGGTATAGACAATCTACTGATATGCAATTACAAGGACTTTTTATTTCCGAGGGGAGAAAAAATAGTGTCAAATTTTACGCTGAAAAAAATGTCCAAAAAATTGCAACAATTATTATTTATCACTAAAAATAGAATTTTCTAAAAACTTAAATATAACAACAACAAAAAAATAGTTGCACCAAACAAAAAAAAAATTACAAAATAAATTACAAAAATGGAAAATTTAATTCGTGAGTCTCAAAAATATTTTTATTTAAATAAAATTATTAATTTTTCTCTCGTAGATTTGAAAAAAAAAAATTCCTTTTATTTTTCGTTAATAATTTTTTTTTTTTTAAGTACTATCAGTTTGAATAATTTTTGTTCCAATTTATTGATATATCACGAAATGAAAATATTTATGAGAAAAAAAATGCTTTTATTAGATAATTCCTTTTTTACAAGCAATAAATCTTAGGAAAAGAATTTTCAGTAAATTACATGAAATTATGAAAATTTACATTCAGTGTTTTCATTGTTTAAAAAATATTTTCATTTCCCTTTATTTCTTTTAGTTTTATTTACAGTGGCATTAATTTTTTTTTTACTAATAAACATTTGTAAATAAACATTGTTAAAAAAATATTTTTGTCTAAATTCCACAAAATAATTTCGAAAGACAGAAAAAAATTATTATTACTTTAACTTATTAAAAAATTTTATTAACTTTATAAAATATTTTCCTCAAGATTCGAATGTTCAAATAAAATATTTTTTATTTTGTTAGAAAATATTTTTTTTGTTGATTTAGAAAATTAATACCTTTCTGTAGATTGAATTTAACAAAGCTAATTATTCGAGTAATTATTAAAAAAAATTGAATTATTAATTATTATAATTTTCTTTCTCTTCTTAAATTAATTTATTTTTCTAATTTCTTGAATTAATTTTATTTTTAATTTCATTCTACCAATTTTTGAAAATTAATATTTCAATAGAAAAAAAAATGTTAATTTATGACCTTTGAAAACTTTTGGGAAAATAAAAAATAAAACAAAATCTAATCGACAAAATTGTTTCCAAACTCTCCGTATTGTGTTTAAGGATAAAAAAAAAATCGTAAATTCCTATTAAGTCGCAATAAAGTCTATCGGTAGAGCGTATCAAATAATAAATCTTAGAATTACTTCCGATCAAGAAAAAGGTTTTCTACCAGCAAGGTAACAAATGTGCAAAGTTTACAATTATTTTTGTAAGGTTATTGTGAATACACTGAATCAAATAATTCTACTTACTTAACCATGATTGTGAATCATGATAAATGATATATTATTAATGTATTATATATTTCCTATTTGGCAAAAAAACAGAAAAAATACAACAAAAATTTACAAAAACATTACAAATCTTTCTTTTGATAAAAAAAAAAAAGTTGAACACGTGCAAAGATAAAATTTAAGTATAAAAATAAAATCCTAATAAATAAAAATAAAAAATTTACTACTTGAACTTGGAAAAAAATCAATTTTACTATTTTAAACATTTATTCGAAAATGCTTTTAAAGAAAAAATTATTTTTTTAAAACATTTTTGTAAAATAACTTAAATATTTGAGTAAAATTAATTTTTACATTTTATTTTTCAATTAATAAAAAATATAAATTATAAAATTTATTTAAAAAACATTATAATAAAATTAAAAGCAATTTGACAAAATTATTTAAATTAAAGAAAAAAAAAGACAAATGCATTTATTTAATTAATTTGTGATCAATTTGTAAGTTATTAGGTTCTGAAACATTATTACGACGAAACATTTCAATGTGCATTTCAAATGATGTCATTAAAGTAATGAATAAATGCTGTAGTAAAAAGAAATAATTATATTCAAAGTTAATGTAAAAGGTAGAGTAAAATAAATTGTTAATTATCTATTATTTAATAACTACTAAAGCAATAAACAATATTTCAATAAAAAAAAATGTCTCTCTACAATAAACGAAAGTAAAAAAAAAAGGCAAATAATTACAAGAAACTTAATTATACGAACATAATAGCCATTTAATGAAATTAAATGAACAGCTTAATTATTTGAAAACGAGCAATTTACATACAGAACGTATATTATAGTGATAAAAATCTTTTATTTTCTTAAATATTCTTATTATTTAAGACACACAACATTTGAATTCAATTAACACATGTGTTTTCGATATTTATTACAAATTATCATTCAATAAAAAAAATTCACCTCTGAATATTTCAGGGCATTCAACTTTATTTAAACAATTTACATGAAAATCATTAAAATGCATTATAAATGCTTTATAACTGTCAGAATTATTAACAATCTGAGGTAAATGCAAATTATACTTTGTCTTATCTCTATTCAAGAAAATTTTATCATCTCAGTCTTGTCAAGTAAGATTATTTCTGATACTACTCACGTATAACATTTTCTTTCTTTTTCTACCATTATTAAATTCACAATTTCACAACTCTCTCTCTCTCTCAATAGAAAAAATTAGTGCTCAAAAAGTTTAATTAAATATTAGAAAATAAATAAAATAATAATAATAAAAAAAAATGTTTATTAAAAAATCTTGAAAAAATTTGTTCTTTCTTTTTTATGAAAAGAAAAAATTTTAAAAAGTCTGAAAATAATCAATTTATACGCAGCGTTATTTTTAGTGAAAGATAAAAAAGTAAAATACTACAATTAAATTTTTGTGTTCACACTTCTGACCTACTAAATTCAGAAGTTCGACTTATCAAAAATAAACATTAATAGTAATGGACAGCTTTTATCGAGTGTCATCATATAAGAAATGTTGTGCTCATTTACGTGACAAATTCATTTTAATTAAAAAGAAAAGAAAAAAAAATAATTTCAAATTCTTTTTAAATATTAAAAACACTGATAATTTTTTATATTTAAATCATCCTTTTAACGTTCCAATTTTTTTTAGTATTATACGCATTAGGATGAATCACAAAATTGTTAAAAATAATCATTTTCACTTTTTTTTGAGGAATATTTAATTTATTAAAATTTTGTTCACTGATCTTGAAAAAATTATTTTTTTTTGTCATTAAAAAGTCTTATTTCCCTGAATAAACTTTTAAAGTAGCAAGTTTACATATGGCACATTTCAAATGCAAATTCTAAGATATTAAAATTTACATTCTCGCTCGATTGAATAAAAATTCCACAGATCGTTGATTGTAGTTGTCAACTAAAAATTATTTCATTATTGTGCTTCTATCGAAAATGAAAATAATTTTTCTCTTTTCACATATAAACGGCTTCATTAAAAAAAAACAACAACAACAAAAGGGTAAATTAAGTTAGGATAAAAATTTTATTTTTGTGAAAAAGATAATAAAAAATTCAAAAAAATTTAGTCGATTAAAAAAATGTGTCGAATATTTGTGTGTGAATATTTTATATGTAAGAATATTTTTTAAATTTTTTTATACAGAAATAAACTAAAATATTTCACATTTTTTAAAATTCAAAACATAAATATTGATGTCCGTAACTATTCTACTTCAAGTGATATATGGAATTCATGATTGTTGACATTGTTATTTGAACAATTACCCAACAAAAAAAGCACACACACACACATACACACAAATACACTTTCTTTCTAAAAATAAATCAAATTAATTTCATTCCATATCAAAAATATTAATTAAATCAACTAGATTGTTAATAAACGTTTAACAAATTGTGTAATAGAGAGAAAATTATATATTAAAGAATGAACATAGCAAAACTCTTGTTTATCGTCCATCTCCATATGACAACAACGGAATCTCACAAATTGGATCTCCGATAAATGTGTTAAATGAAAGTAACTCGCAAAACCCATGTAAAAATCACATGTAAGCGTGTATAATGATGTTAAATACTGATGGAAATAATAAATGCAAACAAGTTTTTACCCTTTTTCAATGTCAAACATGCGATAAAGTACAGCGTGACTGGTAGCAGTTGTTTTGTCAGGCGGATAGCGATATTATTAAAAACAATTAAAATGATTACGCTTTATCGTCCAGACAAATCACAATTTGCACGCAAACTGAATTATTGATTAACATTAAAATTCATAAAACCATAAAGATTTGAGATTTATTTGATTATTTTAATGTGATGTGCCTATGACATATTTTTCACTAGAAAATAAATGGTGTAACGGGTCACAGCTAACAATATACAATTTTCCAATAAAATCCAAATGTTCATATTTGAGTGCAATGATAAAACAAGTGTTTCCTCTTATAAGCCGATGTTTAGTGCATTTTTATGAAATAAAGAAAATAAATATAAACTTATTGACAGCTTACCTGCGTATTATAATTACTCCATAACATGAACGCCATATTCACAGACAATTACCACTGCCATATTGCATATTAAATTTTTTGACGACACGAGTACACAGAACATGGATTCGAACTGTTGAAAAGAAATGTCACTGCCATTTTCCGCTCTGGTTTTTTTTTCTTTTTTTTTTATTAATACTATATACTACAGAAACTATAGAAATCCATGGAATTCACACAGAAGTAGAAAATTTGTTATCTACCAATCAGAAATATATGTTGAATACAAATAGCCATTCATGTGACTGGATATTATTCCGACAGCCAATAGGATTAGTTCATTCTTTTTTTTTGCAATTGTCACGTGATCAATATAAACGACAAACTTCATTCTTATGAAAAAGCATTATAGAGTTATATAGATTAAAAACTAACCTCAAAAGTGACTCAAAACTGCGAAAAAAAAAGTGTAAAGTAAAAAATAGTTTCGTAATTTAATAGTTATACTTGTATTTTCCATATTTGTTAATATTTCCTCTCAAGAAATGTTTACGACAAACATATTTTGCTTGGTGCACGATGAATGAAACGATATAGAAAGTGGCTACGTTTAGGAACGCATTTAAAATGTAAACATAAACTTTTTGCGAAAATTGGTGAAAGATTTAGATATTTCTATGCTTTTCTAGTGTTAACACACTTGTAGTTTTGATAATTTTATTCCAATCTCGATGCATTTCAGGAAGGTGTGATAAAAATATTGTTCAATTATGGATTCGCCTAATGTTAATGCTGGAAGCCTTACACATAGTACTGATGGATTTTTGAACATTCCTCTTGAATCTGATGCCCTGGGGACAAAGCGCAGAAGGTAAATAATTTCAATACGTTATCTGGGATTTTTATTAAAAATACTGAAAAAAATTATATTTTTAGAATACTTAAGAAAATTGTAAATTTTGGTGTCTCTTTTGTTTGCCCCATAAACTTTTAATTGAATTTTAAAAGAGTTGCATCTACAATTTTCATAAATAAATGAACTTCAAAAAGTTTTAATTTGAAATTTTAGAAAATTTCAATTTTGAATGAATTTAATTAAATTTTTGAAAATTAGTTAAATTTTTTAATATATAATTAATTAATTATTAAAAATAATGGATTTATAGAAGATTTTTTGTTAAAAACACTAAAAAGAATTCAATTTTAGCGAAGTTACAAATAATTGCAGAAACTCAATTATTTTCAAAAATAATAAAATTCTGCGTAGAAATTTTATTATGTTCAAACATTTTTTTAAATTCTCTACAAAATGTCAAATATCTTTATAAATAATAAAATTCTTCTCCGAAATTCAATTATTTTCAAATATTTGAATACAATTTTTGGTAAAACTCAAATTATTATCAAAAATTTTCCTCAATTCAATGATTTTCAATATCTACTATTTTAAGGAGGTTCTCCGGCTGCTACTCTTGAAAAAATCGATTTTCTTCCAATTTTATTTAAATTTTGAGGAAATGTTTCTTCGAGTGCGCTCTTAATGTGGTAGAAATTTCAGAACCCTTTGCCATGTCAAAAAACGAGGTATCGTAGTTGGCATTTTTCATTTTCAAAATAATCGCATGTAGAAGCTGAAGTTTGAACTTGAATATTTCAAAATTTAGCATGGCAAAGGGTTCTGAAATTTCTGCCACATTTAGAGCGCAGTCGAAGAAACATTTCCTCAAAATTTAAATAAAATTGGAAGAAAATAGATTTTTTCAAGAGTAGCAGCCGGAGAACCTCCTTAATAAAATTTTCCAAAAGAATTCAATTGTTTAAACAAAATTTTTATGAAATTCTACGCAAAACATTTAATTATTTTAATAAATAATAAAAATTTCACAGGAATTCAATTATTTACAAATTTTTTCCCAATTTAATCATTTTAATAAATAATAAAAATTTCAAAGGAATTCAATTATTTACAAATTTTTTCCTAATAATTCCACTACTTTCATAAATAATAACATTTTTTTACAGAGATTCAATTATTTTTATAAATAATAAAATTCTTCGCAAAAATTTAATTATTCAGAATTCAATTTTAATAAAACTTGTCTAAAGATGTCAATTACTACTTTCAAAAGTTTAAATAAAATTCTTTATAAAAATTCAATCATTTTGAATGCAATTTTAATTAAATTCCTCGAAAGACTAATATTATTAACGTAAATAATGTAAAATTTTAAAGCAATATAAAATTTTTTGCAAGAATTCAATTATTTTCACAAATACTATCTAATTTTTTTCACCAGAATTAAATTATTTAAAAATATTTTTATAAAATTCTGCCCGAACATTCAGTTATTTTTACAAATAATAAAATTAATTGCAAAATTTCAATTGTTTAAAAAAGTTTTAATTCTTTCATGGAATTCAATTAAAATTGTATTGAAAATTATTTCATTCCTATTAAGAATTGTATCAAAATTCTTAAGAGTAATTGAATTCTTTCGAATAATTTCATGAAAATTTGACAAATAATTGAATATTACATAGAGTAATTTTATTAAAATTGTATTAAAAATAACTGAATTCCTACGAAAAAGTTTAACCAAAACTTTTGAAACTATTTGAATTTCTGCGAAGATTTTTATTATTTAACGAAAATATTTAAATATTTGAATTTTAATTAAATTAAAAATTCTGAAAGTAATTGAAGATTTGCAAAAATTTTCTTATTTTTCATTTATGCCAAGAATTTTGTTAAAATTTTTAAAAATAATTAAATTTCTTCGAATTTTTCACAGGAATTTAATGGTTTTTGGAAATTTTAATAAAATTCTTCCCAAAAATTCAATTATTACCGTAAATATGAAAACTTATAGCAAGATTTCAATTATTTTTAACATACAATTTTAATCGAATTATTCGAAAAATAAAAAATATAAAAATTTTTATTAAAATTCGTCGAAATTCAATTATTTAAAAATTAATTGATAAAATTCTTTATGAGAATTCAATTTTAAGAAACATTTAATTATTCAATAAATTATTTATTTTTATATTTAAATAATTGAGTTCTCGTAGAATTTTCTAATAAAAATTGATTTAAAAATTAATTTTTATCAAAATTTTAGATAATAATTGAATATTAAAAGGTTTTAGATTCAAATCTTTGAAAGTCTGAATTTTTCATACCCTTTTCTAACAAATCTGTAGAATTAATTTTTTTAAAAAGTTTAATTAAATTTTTTTTAAAATTATTTGAAGTTTTTTTCTAATATAGGTCCATTTAATTGAAGAATTTTCGAATAATCGAAATTTCGTAAAATTGAATTGAAAAAATAAAAAAAAGAGAAAATAATTTTAAATAATTAATAGTAAGAATATTCTTATAATATAAAATAATGATTTTATCACTCGGTTATTTTTAATTATTGTAAAAGTAAGAGTAAGTAAAAGTAAGTAAGAGTCTTCGACTCGAAGTGATCGATTTCTTCATGTTTTATAATAAATATTCTTAAATGTTATTGAATTTCAAAAGATTTAAATCTGATATTTTTAAAAATCTCAATTTCTATCGAAAAATAATTATTAAAATATTTATTTAAAAAATAAGTTATTGATGTTTTCTAATAATTTTACAATTAAAGAAATTAGTAAATAAATGTGAAAGAACATTTTTTGAGTATCTAATAATTTTTAGAGTGAATCAGAATATTCTTTTGGATCAGGGAAAAAGTGAAAATTTTATTTGGAAATCAGGGAAAAACAAAATTAAATTTTTGTCGTAACCCTGGTTATTCGTAAATATTTTCTCTCTAGATAATCTCACAATCTAAACAAACAAATTTCATGTATCTATACTATTTGAGTCACTCTTACTATTTTTTTTTATCTGCAGTTCATCACGTACGATAAAACGAAGAAAGTTTGACGACGAATTAGTCGAGACAACTTTTAACCTTCAACCACCAACGCCAAATCCAAAATCAGCATCAAGATCACGAACAGTATCAGTTTCCACAGGATCATTGGATATTGCTCCATCTCCAATTTTACCTAGTCCTGCACCAGTTACTACTCCGGTGCCTCAACCAGAGCGTATTAGTCGAAGACCAAGTCGGCCAAGTGGGTCGTCTTCGTCAAGCGGAAGAAAAAGTAAAAAAAATAAAAATCATTCACATTCAGCTAATGCTACCAAAGACCTCGGCAGATGGAAACCTACCGACGATTTAGCTCTAATTACTGGAGTACAACAGACAAATGATTTGCGAATGGTGAGTAATTTCAGGCCTCGGATATAAATCATTAAATTTTAGAAGATTTGAAATTGAAATTTTGAAAATTTCAATTCCTGTAAAACAAGTATTTCAATATTTTTATATAAAAAAAAATCATTGAATTTAGAAATCAGTGAAAGGTTGGGTAAGTACAAAATTAAGTATTTCTGTCAACTCTGAATATAATAAACGACGTTTTCTACTTTTTTTCTATCTTTAATCGACTAACGCGACCTTTGTTGCCCCTTAAATTCTATCCGAGGCCTATAGTTTTTATTTTTCACGAATAAAACTTGAAATTGAACACATTTTCTTTAACAGGTACACAGAGGAACAAAATTTTCGTGTCGTTTCACTCTCCAGGAAATTCAACAAAGATGGTACGCATTATTATACGATAGTGCAGTTTCAAGAATTGCTGTGCAAGCAATGAGAAATTTACATTCGGAATTAATATCAAGTGTACAAGCAAGAACATTGTACAGTAAAAATGAAGAAGATATTTTGGGTACAATTAAATCTGTAAGTATTTCCAAGAAAAAAGATACTATTACAAAGAAATTTTTCATCATCAATTTATTTCTCTATTTATCTTCAATTTAGTTTTTAATTTTTTCATTCCTTTTTCCCCAGACATCACAACCAACATTAGAAACATTTCAAGGACTTCTTGAAGCAAATGCTCAAATTTTCTATCCCGCGCGAACAGCTAAAGCATTACTTGCTCATTGGCAATTAATGAAGCAATATCATTTATTACCCGATCAAACTGTTCACAATTTACCGCGTGGTGAACATATTTTGAGTTTCTCCGATGCCGAGGATATGATTGTCGATAATGAATTGACAGATCAAAAAGATGAGATGATCGATAATGAAATGACAATAGCTGATAGGAAAAATAAAAAGGAAATTAGAATGCTTGAAAATGAACTTGGAAGATGGCAAGTTCTTGTCGATAATGTCAGCGGTGTTAATCCACCGGATTTTGATAATCAGACACTCGCTATTCTTCGGGGACGTTTAGTTCGTTATCTCATGAGATCACGAGAAGTAAGTCAGAAATTTATCTTTTTTAAACAAATAAAAAAAAATATTTATTATGTAATAATAATCGAGATACTCTGACCTTACGTTTAGTTAGAGCTTTTTGAATTCATATTGTTTTTTTAACTCAAATTGGTGTGTCAAAAGTTTGACAATTATTTTTTAAAAAGAGTGATTAGTATTTTAGTGAAATTAATTCCCTTGAAATTTTTACAATAACAACATTTTCACAGGAAAGTAAATTAAGAAAATTTTTTCCCTATAAGTATATTGAAATTTTAATTCCTGGTGAAAAAATAAATAAAAATAAGTATTCAATTATTTATTAAACAAAAATTAATGAAATTTAAACATTTCTATTTGGAAATTTTGAAAAAATTGTAATTAAAATTTTTTGAAAATAATTAAATTCTCGACAATAATTTAAAAAGATTGAAAAAATAGAGATTTTTCTCAAATTTTATTGAAATAAATTTTATATGTCAAAGAATTTTATTTTCTCACTTTAAAAAATTATTTTTAAAAATTATTATATTTTTTGAAGAATTGTAACCAAAAAATTGTAAAATAATTAAATTTTAAAAAATTTTGTATTTAAATAATTCAATTATCGTTGACTTCTAAAAAGTATTGATTTACATATTAAAAGAATTTCAAATTGAAATCTTTTTATCATTTTAATCGCCGTAAAAGTAAAATAATATTTAAATGTTAATGTACAAAAAATTAGTAATATATTATTTTCCTTCAAAAATGATTAAAGTTTTGAATAATCGAAATATATTTATTTATTTATTCATTATTTAATATAATTATAGTAAATTCATTATTGAAAATAATGGATTTATAGAAAAATTTTAGATAGACACTAAAAAAATTAAATTTAGGAGAAGTTGCAAATGATTGCAGAAATTCAATTATTTTCAAAAGTAATAAAATTCTTCGCAAAATTTCAATTATTTTTTAAAAACTTCCTCATTTCGATTATTTTCAAAATATACTATTTTAATAAAATAAAATTTTTTTAAAAGAATTCAATTATTTATAAAAAATGTTAATATTTAATTATTTAATTTAAATATTTAATTATTTTTATAAATAATAAAAATTTCACAGGAATTCAATTATTTACAATTTTTAAATAAATTTCTTCTTAATAATTTAATTATTTCCATAAATTTTTAAAATTCATCGCAGAATTTCAATTATTTTTAAAAAAGAATTCAATTATTTAAAAATTTGTTGATAAAATTCTTTATGAGAATTAAATTCTAACAAACATTTAATTATTTTCATAAATAATAAATCTCATGGTAAGATTTTAATTATTTTTAATGTACAATTTTAATTAAATTCCTCGAAAAATGTAAGTATACTTAAAAATTTTATTAAACTTCATCGAAAGAATTCAATTATTTAAAAATTAGTTGATAAAATTCTTTATGAGAATTGAATTTTAAGAAACATTTAATTATTCAATAAGTTATTTATTTTTGTATTTAAATAATTGAATTCTCTTAGAATTTTCTAATAAAAGTTGATTTAAAAATGGATTTCAATTAAATTTTTAGATAATAATTGAATATTAGAAACATTATAGGATGAATTGTCAGGAATGATTGAATTTTTAAGAGGTTTCAAATTAAAATCTTTGAAAATCTGAATTTTTTATATACCTTTTACTAATAATTATGTAGAATTAATTTTTTTTGAAAAAGTTTAAGTCAAAATTTTTTCTTTACATCAGGAAAAAGCAAAATTAAATTTTTGTGACAACCCTGTAAAAATGTTGTCAAATTTTATTAAAATAAATTTTATATTTGAAAGGAATTTATTTTTATTATTTTTTAAAATTGTTTTAAAATATAATCGTATTTTTGAAGAACTATATTTCGAAAATAGAATAACAATTTATTAGAAAAGAATTTTTACTCATTTGCTTTTGTACAGATAACAGTGGGAAGATCAACAAAAGATCACAATGTCGATGTGGATTTAACACTGGAGGGTCCAGCTTGGAAAATTTCACGTCGTCAAGGGACAATTCGTTTAAGAAATAATGGTGATTTCTTCATATCGTCAGAAGGAAAACGGCCAATTTTTGTAGACAGTAGACCAATTCTCGCAGGCAACAAAATGAAATTAAATCACAATAGCGTTGTCGAGGTAAAATACATTTTTCTCCCTCCTTTTCCCTGTTCTACAATTTTTTCAGTAATTAATTACAATATTTTTCCCCTTCCAGATTGCTGGTCTTCGATTTATCTTTCTAATCAATCAGGAATTAATTTCTGTCATACGACAAGAAGCGGTGAAATTGAATTTGAATCCGTAAAAAAATTAGTCATTTGCAAATGAACAAAACGCTTAATTAATGTACAAAACATTCAAAAAAAAGAAACTCATTTTTTTATTTACTCCAAAAAGAACTTAATGTTTGAAAAAAATTTTCTTTTTTTTTTTTTGTTACAATTATTTATAAAACAATTATTGTATCTGTAATTTGATTCATGTAAGTTTTTTTATTAGAAAAGCGAGAAGAAAAAATACAAGAGTAATTTTTCAATAATAAATACGAGTCGTATTTTAATTTGCGAGGTTTTTTTTTATTATTTACATTAATGGAGATTAATATAAATAGACGTACAGAATTATTTTTATTGAATTTTTCAAAATCACAAACGTAAAAATTTATAATTATACGCTTATATTGAGTGAAAAAGAATTTTTGTTGTTGACAATATAATATTACGTATTAGATAATAGTTTCAAGTCTCACACATTTAAATTGACTATATTTTCTTAAAAACTAATTTTCAAGAACAAGTTACAAATTTGTTAACATTTACATTTATATATACAGAGTATTTAAATCGATAATTGTAAGTAAAAACTTTTCTTTCAACACGATTCTTGAAAAATTTTGGCCCCTTTGAAATACGTTTATTATCTAGAGTCTACTTTTTTTTATATTAATATAAAAAATTCGAGGTATCTGTTGCTTTAAAACAAAAGGGAAATTAATTTTATTTTCAAACGAGTAAATAACATTTTCTAAATTTTAATTATTTGTATATTTTTTTGAAACTGTTTTTTAATCATTTTTTTACCCACTTTTTTCTGCACGTAATAAATATATGCACAATAAGTAATTTACAATGTTCTATTTACAAACTGACAGATTAACACAAATTTAACTTAATTCAAATCCAGCTCCAGCTTGAATGGCGTATAAAAGTTTTTCACGTAATGTTTTCTCGTCAGGAAATTCTGGTAGTTTTAATAAATTCATGCAGGTGCTGGACGTTGGTAAACGATCAATACTTCCGGCATGTTGTATACAAAACGGAGGATCCAATTCCTGAAATCAAAATTTTTAATTTAAATAAAAGAATACGTTAATTTCTTTTTTTTTGGATTAATTAGTCGAACATTCTTTGAAGTTTCTTTTCTAATCGGACAGAACTTTAAAAATACGAATAAATTATTAAAGCAGGTAAAAAGGAAAGGTGAATAGATGACGACCTTTGATGTCTGTTGAAAATTCTAAATGAAAAAATCTCATTCAATTTTATAAATTCAAAACACAATAGATTAAAATTCATGAGCTTTGTTTCATTTTTACCGATGATGAGAATTTGAATATCGTGTATTTACAGGCTTTTCGAACTCATCTACTAAAACCTACTATTTTGAACTTTTTTTACGATTTGATAATATTTGGATACTTTTTTTTTTTTTAGATTTGTGACAATAAAAGATACTTTTTTCTATATTTGAGAATTTGCACTTCTTTAAGTTCGCTAATAGTTGGAATAAAGCAAATTATACTCAAAAATTTTAATAAAGTTCTTAGAAACAATTCGACAAATTTAAAAAAAATTCTTTTAAACGATTCAATTATTTTCAAAAATTTTTCGAAATTTAATTATTTTCAATTTGTTTAATTCAATTATTTTCAATATTTGTTTTAATAAAAAATTACCCAAAAGAATTCAATAATTTAAAAAATTCATTTTTTTATAAATGTCATGGAAAAAATTCAATTATTTTTTTTGAAAAATAAAATTCTTCTGAGGAATTCAATTATTTTCATAAATAATAAAACTCATCGCAGAACTTCAATTATTTTTAATACAATTTTAAATGAATTTCTCGAAAAATGCAATTATTCTTCAAAATAATTCTACGAGAGATTTCAATTATTTTTAAAAGTGTTGATATAATTTGTTTTATTAGAATATAATAATTATTTTCAATACATTTTAAATTAAATTTCTTGAAAGAATTTAACTATTTTTAAAAATTTTAATGAAATTTTTCGTAACAATTCAATTATTTTCAAAAAAAATTTAATTAAAATTCTTCGTAGAAATTTAATTAATTTCAAAAATTTATCGAATTTCAATTATTTTTAGTATCTACTACAGTCGAACCTGGATAAGTGGAACCTCAAGGGACCAAAGTTCTTGTTCCACTTATAGAGGTATTCCACTTATCCAGGTCATTTAAGGTCAAATTACTTGTGCAGGGACTGCAAAGAAAGTTCCACTTAAAGAGGATTCCCACTTATCAAGGGACCACTTATCCAGGTTCGACTGTATTTCAATAAAATTTACCAAAAGAATTCAATTATTTAAAAAAAAATTTTAATAAAATTCGTCGCAATTGGAATAAAATTTTATCATGGAATTTAATTATGTTTTAAAAGTTTAACAAAATTTGTTGATAGAATTTACTTATTTTTAAAAATTGTCGTAAACTCTTTAGAAGAATTCAATTATTTTAAGTCCAAAAAATAAATTCAATTGTTTCGAAGAAAATTTAAGTTCGTACGAAGAATTTATTTAAAATTATTTTAAACTTATTTATATTTATATTTATTTATATTTATTTATTTATTTTTTTTATTTATTTATATTTATAATTATTTTTAACTTATTTTAAAATTATTTTTTAATTTTTATTTTTTAATTATTTTTAAGTTCGTACGAAGAATTTATTTAAAATTATTTTAAATAAATTCTTCGTACGAATTTAAATTTTCTTCGAAACAATTGAATTTGTTTTTTAAAAATTATTTTTGTCTATTGTTTTTATAAAGAAAAATATTTTTACAGGAATTCAATTATTTAATAAATTTAATTTAATATCAATTATTTTTAATACAATTTTAAATTAATTCTTCGGAAAATGCAATAATTCTTGAAAATTTTATTAAAATTCTTCGCAAGAATTCAATTATTTACAATAAATCTTGTTAAAGTGCTGTATAAGAATGTAATTTTAAAAAATATTCAATTATTCAATAAATTATTTATTTTTATATTTTAATAATTGAATTCTCGTAGAACTTTCTAATGAGACTCTAATAAGATTTCAATTATTTTTAATACAAGTTTAAATGAATTCCTTTAAAAATGCCATTATTCATAAAAATAATTCTTCGAAAGAATTCAATTATTTTTAAAAATGTTGATATAATTTGTTTATTAGAATGTAATATTTATTTTCAATAATAGGTATTTCAAAATAAATTGCTTGAAAGAATTTAATTATTTTCAAAAATTTTGCGAAATTAATTTCAATTATTATAATTCTATTTCAATAAAATTTCCCAAAAGAATTGAATTAATTCATTTATTTAATTTATTTTAATTTCAATTATTTTTAATACGGTTTTAAATTAATTCTTCGAAAAATGCAATTATTCTTAAAAATTTTATTAAAATTCTTGGAATGAACTTAATTATTTAAAAAAATGTTGATAAACTGCTGTATAAAAATTGAATTTTAAGAAAGATTCAATTATTCATTGAATTTTGGAAATAATTAAATTTCAAAAGATTTTTAATTGGAAATCTTTAAAAATTTGAATTGATGACAAACTAATAATTTTTAAATTTTCATTTTGAAATAAAATAATTAATGTTTTGAATAATTTTTATTTAAAAATTTCAACAATAAAAGATTGAATTTTCAAAGAGTTAAAGTTGTAATTTTTAGAAATAGTTAAATTTCAAAAAGGCTTTACATTTAAATTATTTGCAATATTTTAATTCCCGTGGAAAAATATTTTTGAATGTAATTTAATTTAGAAATATGTAATGAAAAAATGAGTCGTTAAATTTAATTTTTCCTCAACTACTTTTTTGCTATTTTTTTCAGTCTTAAAGCTACTTTTTATTAAATTAATTATCGAGTACGAAGCCTGGTATTTACCTTAAATCCAAGAAGTGGTGGTCGACTGCAACTGGTGACAAATTTAAGTAATTGACTCTTTTGTTGATCATTAAATTCGTCGACAACTTTCCAAAATGCCGTAATTGTCGGATGTTCAAGAGTATAACCGCCAGTATAATTAGTATGTAATTTCAAATCACTGACATCAACGGGAATTTGTGCACCCGAAATTAATACCTGCAATTCTTTATTATTAAACATTTGTAGCCAATCAAGTGGAACGACATTTCCAATTCCCTGCTTAAAAGCATAACATTGTGCTCGAATTTGCTTATTTAATTTATAATCCGCCATCAAGTGAATATATTCAATTCTATTATGATTCGTAACTGGAATATTAACACCGCCACTTTTCAATTCATCAACTCTTCTCTCGCCCAATTCATCCGACAGCACTGTAAAATCAAGACCCAAATCTGTCACATCGCCCTTATAACTTTTCAAGTAAAGCAAATTTCTATACATTATTGGATCCAATGACGCCAAATGATGAACATCGACGTCCGATTGTGTGCCAACAATTTTCGAGAGGAAAAATTCCGCAAATGGCAATTCTACAAGTAAATTTTCATACAACGCCTTACCGAGAATCCGCCCAATAAAATAATAATGTTTCGGAAAATCTTCAACAAGTAAATGTACCGTTGGATTTGGATAGAGCATATTGTCCTTTGTCAATCGAAAGAAACCGCGATTTGGATCGAAACTTGTTTTTAGAAGTTCAGAGAGAAATTCACGAAACAATCCCCCACCGTCGACGCCCGCTTCCTCTAGACCAGCGGTATTCACTAATTGAACACGCATTTTTAGTCTCATTTCGGGTTCATTTTCAGGTGACAATTTATCGAATGCATCTTCATATAAATAATTCCTGCGCACCGATATCTGAATCGATGGTCCTTGCATAAAGTGTGTCAATTCACCCTGCTGCTCCAATTTGTCACGATAGACGAGCGATTGAAAAACAACAACACGATCGCTGAACGGCACGACAAAGGGAATTTCCCTGAGTAAAGTCAACGTACGAACCTCCTTCGTCGACATTGGCGGTCCCTCCTCAATTTCCTCGCGTGTAAAATTTCTCAAACCCTGAAATGGAATATAACTCCTCAGTCTTCGGCGACGAATCGTAAAATCTTGCGGCTTATCAGTTGGTATAACAATATTCGAAGCAATCCAATGACCATCCGGACAGAATTGCCTCCTCAAATCACGAGTGTGCAACTGTCTCAATAATCCCACCGTGACTTTAAATAAATGTGTCCACATGTGTGTATTCTGCTCGGACTGAATTGTCGACGAGAGTCCAAGTACAACATTTTTGTAATCGTCCCGAACTGAGGGACGTGTGTCAGGAAAGGCGAGTTCCACCAGCCCAAGGCAAATGCCCTTCAAATGATTCGATAACGGAACGAGTGTTGATGTCGTGAATGGCATTGCCTGTTGGCCATAATTCGATGTTGTCTCCGAGCCATCGTGAAAGAATTCGGTGTCGTGTAAAGTGGCGATTAATAAACTAAACAACGAACAGAATACGGCCAATAGGGGGACAATTTTCTTTGCATCATCCGGCGAGAGTGCAATTCCACGTGAAATAATATGTAGCAATGGCGTCGATCCACCGAATAATGATGTCTGATTAATTGTCAATAGAGTATTCCAAAGATCTCTCAAGAAAGCCGGTTTGAATGCCAACATGTACAATAATTTATACTTGTGAATTGCAGATTTGTGAGTAATGAGTAAATTATGACAAAGCTGACACAACGGTTGCATTACATTTGGATCGTTGCAATTTTCCACTGCTGATAAAATTCCCTGTACACGATGCTCTTCATTGAGAATGTCAACGCATTTTTGTTGTAATTCAGCTTCACTATTGTCTGGTAACTTCGTTTCTGAATCACTGTCCGAATCTTCAGTCTCTAATGTCTGTCGAGTAGGCGGAGGATTAATTGTTGTACTCATCGAAGCCAAAACTTGTAGATAGACTATTAAAACGTCGTTCGATTTCCCCGGTGCTAAAAAAAAGGAAATAAAATTAGTTTATGGATCAATATATTATATTTCACCCAAAGCGGTTGCAGGGACTAGTTTTGAACGAATCTGACACTAATAATATTTACTGTCCTTACAAATTCATTTTTGATAATCTATATTGATAATCGTTGTATTCCGATATGTATTCCTGAATTCTTGCAAAGAATTTTATCAAAAAATTGTATAATAATTGAATTCCTTCCAAGAATTCTATTATTTATGCAAATAATTGTATTCTTGTGAAGAATTTTATTAAAATTATTGAAAATCCTAATTAAATTCTTTTGAAGAATGTCTTCGAATTTTTTTTAAATAATGGAGTTTTTTTAATAAATTTTATTTGAAAATTTTTAAAGTAATTGAATTTTATAAACAATTTCTTTCAACTTTTTAAACTAATCGTGTTTCTTAATAATTGAAATTAGACATTTAATTATTGAATTTTATTAAAATTTTCTAAAAAATAATTAAACTTTTCTCAGAAAATTGATTAAAATAATGAAGATAATTAAATTGTTTCGAAGAAAGACAATAATTTAATTCTTTCAAAGAATTTCTTTAATTTATCGAATATAATGGATTTGGTAAATAATTGTAATCAATAATAATAATAATAATAATAATAATAATAATAATAATAATAATAATAATAATAATAATAATAATAATAATTTTATTGAAATTATTGATAGAAAATTTTAACAATTTTTTAATTATGTTTTTGTAAATAATTAAATTCGCTTAAAGAATTTTTTTTAACTTTTTCTTTTGAAAAATTTTACAACGGATTAAAAAAATTATTTTATCAAATTTACTTGCAATTTAATTTTTTTTATCGTCTTATTTTATTTTTTCTATCGTTTTATTATTATTTCTCTTTATCGTTTTATTTTATTAAATTTTTATATTTCTATTATATTTATCGACTCTAAAAACTACCTTCTGAAAGAATGTTCCTAAAGTTTTGAACGTTCAAATGAACAACGATATTTTTTACTTCCTTTAATTTGTATTTTCGAATAAAAAAAATTATTTTATACAATAAAAAAATTCAATCTCGACTAACAAACTTCTAAATTAAACTTAAAAAATGTTTAATTTTAATTAATTTTCTTTTTTATACAGTAATTTTAAAAAATATTTAAATGGAAAAAAAACTTCCTTCATTTAATCTTTCAAAATATTAGGAAAACCTGAAAGAATATCAAAAAAAAATTTGATGACCCTAAAGGAGGACAATTTTGCTTGGCTTAAATTTATTTATTATTATTTTTCCACAGGAATTAAGAAGTTCAAGAATTTCAAACTTGTAACCTTTTGAAATTTAATAATTTACAAGAATTTAACTGGTATTTTTTATTATAATTACAAAACTAATTACTGCATCTTCTCCAAAATTATTATCAAGATTTCAGTTCAATTTTTAACTAAAATTCTTCTCTAAATCAATTATTTTTCAATATTTTCTACGAATTCAATTATTCTAAGAAAAGAAAGTGGATTCATCTAAAATAATTCTGAAATCCATTTGCTTACAATTTAATTTTATGAAATTTGGATTATTCAGAAGTTTTTCAGTTAAATATTCAAAAATTCATAAAAATTTAAATCAAAACTTTTTAAAAACTAACACTTTAGAATTTTCCAATTAAAATTCTTCCAAAGATTTCAATTCAATTATTTTCTAGAATTTTTAACTAAAATTCTTTTTAAATCTCTTAAAATTGTTAATAATTTTTGAGAAAGTTCTTTGAGAATTCAATTGATTAAAGAAAAAAAGAAAATTCACCCAAAAATTTTTCAATTAAATGTATAATATATTCAAAAATTCAAGAAATTTCAAAAAAATTTAAATAAAAAGTTTTCAAAAACAAACTTCTTCAGAATTTATAATTAAAATTTTTTTAAATTTTGATTTGGACTATTTTGAAATTCAACCTATTCATAAAAATTGTAAATTCAAGTCTCATAAAATTCAATTATTTTTGGAATTTCAAAGGAAAATTATTCATTAAAAAATTAATAAACTAAATTTGATTGTTTGCTTCTTGTATTCTAATTCTTTTAAAAAAATTTCTTTTTAATCTTTTGTAATTTAAAATTAATGAAATTCTAATTTTCAATACTTTGAAGATTAAAAAGTATCAAAAATTAATTAAATCAAACTGTTTTCAATTAAAAATATTTCTTTTATATTATTTCATATTTACCTAGTTCTTTTATAATTTTAAATCTGAAATTATTAAATTCTTATAAAAAAATTTTTCCAAATTTTTCAAAATATTAAATTACTTACGAAGAATTTAATGAAAATAATATTAGAAATAATTTAGTCTTATATAACGAAATTTATCAAATTTTTTTTTAAATAATTAAATTTCTCCGAAAAATGTTATAATTATTATCTTTTTAATAATTCAATTCTTTCGAAAAATGTTATTAACTATGAAAATAATTGAATCATGGTAAGAATTTTATTAAAATTGTATTAAAAACAGGTGAATTCTTATAAAGAATTCTCCCAAAAGTATTTAAAATAATTAAATTCCTGTGAAAAATTTTCCTAATTAGATTTTTTCAAGGAATTTAATTAAAATTATTATATTGAAAATATTTCAATTTTAATTTAAAAATAATTGAATGCTTTTGAGAAATTTTATTAAAATTAATTGAATTCGTGAAAAAAATTGTATTAAAGTGTTTTTTGAAATCAATAAATAATAATAATTAATCAGTACCTAGTTAATAATTGAATTTTTAAAAATTTTAAATCTGTAAATATTTCAAATCTGAAATGAATATTTGCAATAAATAATTTATGTTCCTCTATTAAAATTCCTCGTAATTTCAAAATTTATAAGGCAAACAGAAATAAATTGAAGGAGAATTAAATCTTTTAATACCTATTTTCATAGAATAATAATTTTAACATTAAATATTAATTTAAAATATTAAATAATTAAATGTTTTTAATTTAAAGTTCATCTTCTCCTATAACTCATTAAATTTTTACGATGTTTTGTAAACTTAAAATATAAACTGTTTTAATATTGATTTATAAAACTACTTATATTTTAACCTTCAATCTCGTTTTTTGCAACAGTTTCTCAAATTAAAAAATAAAAAGGAATTTGTTGTCCTCGTTAAAATTTAATAGAATGGAAAAGAAACTTAAATTAAAATTTTAAAAGCAAAATTGGAATTTTTCGTTTTTCTCCAAAATAAATTTTATAAGTTTTAAAAATCATGGAAAATAATTAAAGGCAATTTTTTTCATAGTTCTATACAATATATAAAATTAAAAAAATATTTTTAATTTCAAATCCCCTGGTAAAAGTGTATAAAATTTTGTAAAATGAACAATAGTTAATTATAAGGATATTAAATATCATTTCTATCAATTATCACATTTTTCTAAAAATAGTCCTCAGCCACTTTTAGCAAAATTTAACGGATTGGAGATCAAAATTTTTTTTTTAAGCACAAAAAAATTATATTTTACTTACAAAATCCCGTCGTTTCCAAACTGAGAATAGAATAGAGTAAATTCAACGAAGGCGGAATATTAAGAAATTGAATGCTGGTAATAAGTTTATCAAATGGAAATTCCTTCGAATTGATCAAAGCAGGAAATATAAAGCCAGTAACAGATTCTGTAAGTTTTTGCGACAATATACTGGCACACAATTCCCTTAGAGTGAGAAATGAAAAATCATTTAAATGATTCATATGATAGATTATACTGAGTGGTCTTTGAATCATATCAAAAATCCATTTTGACATTGGATTTGGAGGTACGGACGATACAATATCAATTGGCGGTATTTTTGTATCTATCAATCGTCTCATTTGCTCGTAATAATTATTTTTCAATAAATAGGCAAATATTTCCTTTAAATGTTGATGATTGTTTTCCAAATTATCGAGAAGTGTAAACGTTTCTAAAACACGTAATGGAATCGCAATTGCTTGTCCTTTATCTGGTGATATACTGTCAACGACAAATCTCAGGCACAGCCTCAAGATCCATCTGAAACAAGAAAAATTATAATTATAATACTTTAGTTAATTTTTTAATTTTAATAAAATATATTTATTTACCGAACTCTCCATAACCATTCGTTGGAAGAATTAATTTTCGTCTTTATTTCTTTCTGAAGTTTGAGAAATTGTTGTAGGAGCCAAATAAATCTATTCGAATCTTCAGTTGGTTGATAGAAAAATAGAATTTTCCGAATATAAATGACTAATTCCTCTATGTTTAATACTCTATTTCCCAATGATTGTTGCATTTTATCAAATTCATATCTCTGGCATTTTTTCATTAATTGTCTTGTAACAAAGCTTCGAATGTAGGCTTGTATTTTAACAACGGCATTATGCTTTCTCCGCTGTTGTTCTCTCTTTGAACGTTCTAATTGAGCATGCTGTAAAAGTGCAGCTTTTTCATCTCGACGACTTGCTCCTGCTAAATTTTGTTGTGGTTTACGTCTATAGTCACCTTCGAAACTATACATATTTCATTTGTTTCTTAGAAAAAAATATCAAGTCTTAAGATATTTCACCAAAATTTATGAAATTTATAACACCTTAATATATTGTACTTCTAATAATTCGAATATTTAACATCTTTTTTTCCCTTAAAACTTGCGAAATAATTTGAGGTTATGTTTAATCTATTTTTCACCGCGCGATTATATATTCGCTCCACTTACACGTATATAATTCAATTAAATTAGATTAAAATCATGTAGAAAATGATGTTAAATCTTGTTTAGAAAATTACACTTTTCAATGATATATAATCACTACACTTATAAATAAGAATTACACGTCACATTGAAAATGATGACATTACAAATCAGTCTGACAATGATGAACATGCACATATATTACAATGATTAGTTAATATATTTTTTAAATTGTTTTTCTATTGATATTCAATAAGAAAAGTTTAACTGTTTTATGAAAAAATGTCTCGAGGTCACTTAAATATCCTTCAAACCCTATTCTTTTTTTGATAAAGGTCCTTTTTATCGTCCTTCATCAAGTTGATCAAGTTCCATCACTAAATTTTTGGATATAATTTCTTTAATTTTCAATCTTTTAGAGTGAATGGTTGAAAAATTGCACTGCAAAACTTTCACTGGTTAATCACAAAAATTAATTATATATTTATTTTGTATTATTAGTTACTATTTTTCTAATTCCTTTTAAATATTAAATGCCAAACACGCACGTGAAAATATGACACACAAATTAAATGGATATATATGTGTCATCACATACACATGTATAGTAGCGGGTTTATTTGAAATCAGAAACTTATTTTACATATATAACTATAATTTGTGTGAATAAAATATAATTTTCTCACGAAATTTAAAGATAATTGTAAGGAAATTATTTATAAATAGTATATTTTTCTTAAATAATAATTTAAGTTTATCTTTGCATCAACAATTTTTTTTTGTCCACAAAACCTTTTAATTGTAGAGCAGAGCATTTTGAGAGCAGAGTAAACTGTACTTTTACTCCGAGACGTTTTTTCGTTCTTATAAAAAAGGTATGTAAATATTTAAATATAATATATAAATATAAATAAGAAATAAGTTTCCATGGAATATTCACTAAAAAGACTAAATAGGCAAATGGTATAAGAAATTAAAAGGATTAAAAGGCATATTAAGAGTGTCTATTTGGCCCGTCAGCGGACCAAATAAGTTACTTTTATTATTTGGCCCGTCACCCCAGTTCCATACATTTCAAGACGGGACAAATAAAAAAAGTAGTTTATTTGGCCCGTCAGATAACAAATTAGCTGTAATTAATAACAATAGATTATTATTATTACTATTTTTACAAATAGATTAATTTAATCACCAGGTACTATTTTTTACATCAATTTGACATGCAGGTAATATGTATATTCTAACCTCAAAGTAAAGATGCAAATTATAAACATATATTTAGTATACATAATATTATAAATTATATTTAAAAATAATTTTTAAAAGTAAACAATACAATTCTTTAAAATATAAATTATAATTCAATGAAAATTTCCAATTTCCAATTTCATTTTTTAAAATTATTTACGGGAATTTAATTAAAAAATATTTCAATTGCTTTTCTTGAAAAGGCTAATTTTTATTCATAGTTAAATAAATATTTAAATACTTATTTACTTTTTCAATAATTTCACTTTTTCTCACTTTAACTGTAATTATTCTACAATTTAACTTTTTAAAAATATAAAAATTAAAATATTATTTTTACAATAATGAAAATTTCCGAAGTATACATTTTTACATTCTCATAAAAAAATGAGAAAGTCTTGGATTTGTGCGATTTTTTTTAATTTAATTATTTCTTAAAATTTTGTTTATGAATTCTTCCAAAGGACTTTATAAAATTTTTTTTAAAGTTATAATTGCTGTGAAAATTTTAATATTTATAAAAATAATTCAATGTTTGAGAAGGATTTTATTTAAATTTTTTAAAATAACTGAATTTCTGAAAATAATTTTTTTATTTATAAAAATAATTGAACTCTTGCGAAAAATGTATTTATTTATGAAAATAATTGAATTCTCACCTCACGTAGAATTTTATCAAAATTTTGTTTATAAATAATATTAAAGTCTTTCGTGAAATTGTATCAAAATAGTAGATTTTTAAACTAATTGAGTTTTAGAGAATTTGATTATTTGACAAAATAATTTATTTTTTTGTGAAAAATTCGTTTAAGTTTTTTAAAAATAATTCAATCGTTTCAAAGAATTTTATTAAAATTTTTAAGAAGAATTTTCTTATTACATTACCTGTCAAATTCATGTAAAAAATAGTACCTGGTGATTAAATTAATCTATTTGTAAAAATAGTAATAATAATAATCTATTGTTATTAATTACAGCTAATTTGTTATTTGTTATTTATTTAACATTGGTCGACGTTTTATAAATAAAGGAGGGCTTAAAAAAATAACATTGTTAAATTCGACCGGCTGTAAAAATATAAATTTATCATTTTAATCATTTTTACGTAATGTACACGTAATAATTATGACGTATTAAATATGTTTATTCTTATCAGAATTTTGTGCAGTAGTCGAAAGGTCAATAATTTAATTCAAAAAGAATATTTAACTTCTTTTATAAACAAGAATAAACATTCGTGAGTAAAAATTTATTTTATTGATCTTTATAATGTGTTTGTCTAAACGGTGCAATATTTTTTTTGTGTTAATTTCCTTTCTTACAAATTGCAGAATAAATAATAATAAATTACATACTTCATGGATTTTACATGATAAAAAAAAGGAGAAAGTGTTAAGGAAAGAAAAGAACAAGTATTATTGTTAATAATCGTAGTAATAAATTTATAGATTTTATGATAAGGAATATTTCGAGGAAAAAAGAAAGAAAATTTACAAAATTTATTGTTTACTTTAAATTAAAATATTATTTATTATTTTTCAAAAGATGCGATAAAGTTATAAATTACTTATACAGAATTTTACATTCTCGAAATGAATATTCCTATAAATATGGAGTGAATATTTCTACCTTCTTATTTTTCTGTAAAAAATATATTTATTTTTAAATTCCGGTTTTGGTTATTACTATTTTACTATAGTGTGTCAATCAACTACTTTATTATAGCTAAAACTTTATAGAGATTATTATATCGATCATATTATCAAATTAGTCAATAGAAGTTTGAAATAGTTTAATGTTTTCTGTACATGTGTTTAGAACATTAATTTAAAACATGTTTAATTTTTTAGTTTCAATAATTTTCTTTTTATTTATATTTATTTCCAGGACTTTTAGCAGTTCAAGAATGGCTTTAAGTCCCGATGATCCGAGTTCTTTTTCTAGACCCGGTAAGTACTTGCAACTTGTAAATTTAAAAAATAATTGATAATTTTTTTAACTTGAAAATCTTATTTCTAATACAGATCTTGTTGGAGTTACTCATATTCACTTGAAATTGGGTATAAATTTCGATAAGAATATTTTAGAAGGTCATGTGATTTTAGACGCAGAAAGGAAAGATAAAACAGCGGATTCTTTGGTATATTTCATTTATTTATTTATTATTATTATTATTAATATCATTATTATTAACAAATGTTATGCAATCTAGAGCGCGAAACGCGGTATTGCATTTATTATTTTAATAAAAATTAAAAAATTCATTGTTTTTAAATATTAACTTCAAAATATGAATTATTTTAAATACTTTGAAATTTTTAAAAATTGAATTATTAATTAATCAATTATTATTACTTTCTATTTTCTAAAATTTTAATAAACTTCTTCGAAAGAATTCGATTATTTACAAATTTTTTATAAATTTTTTCGCAAGAATTCAATTATTTTCATAAATAATATTTTTCAATTATATATTATAATAATATATTTAAATTATTTTCAGTATAATTTTTATAAAATTTCTCGAAAGAATTAAATTATTTTTAGTATAATTATTATAAAAATTCTCGAAAGAATTTAATTATTTTAAAAAGTTTTAATACAATTTTTCAAGAATATTCAATTATTTTAATAAATAATAAATTTCTTCGCATGAATTCAATTATTTTCAGTATAATTTTTATAAAATTTTTCGTAAGAATTCAATTATTTCCAGTACAATTATTATAAAAATTCTCGAAAGAATTCAATTATTTTCAAAAATGTTCAGAGAAGTCTGTGATGAATTCAATTATTTTCAAAAATTGTAAAAGAATTCTAGGAAGAAATTTATTATTTCCAAAAATTATTAAACAATTCTGGGAAGAATTCTATTACTTCCAAAAATTTTTATTAAAACTCAATAACCAAATTTTTAATAAGAAAATTTGTAACACACATGATTATTTTAAAAACTTTAAAAAAATTATTTGTAAAATTCAATATACTTTCCAAATTTTCAAATTCTTCAAAAAAATTTAATTTTTATAAATATTTTTAATAAAATTATTGACTACAATTACTAACAAAATTTTCTTTATTATTAAAATTTATTATAAAATTGATTAAATTAAAAAATAACTCAGAAAAGAATTCAATTATTTCCAAAAAAATTTAATAAAATTCAATAATCAAATTTTCAATTAAAATTATTAATAAACACGATTATTTTAACAACTTGAAAGATAATCTTTTTTAAATTCAATTACATACTTTCAAAATTTTGTATTAAAACTGTTAAAAAAAACTCCATTTTTTCAAAAAAAAAGTTAAAGAAATTCTTCAAAAGAATTCAATTTTTGTCAATAATTTTAATAAAATTTATTATAAAATCGATTAAATTAGAAAAAAAATCAGAGAAGAATTCAGTTATTTTCCAAAAACTTTAATAAAATACAATAATTGAATTTTCAATTAAAATTAATAATAAACACGATTATTTTAAAAACTTGAAAGATATTCTTTGTAAAATTCAATTACTTTCATAATTTTTAATTAGTTATTAGAAAAACTTAATTTTTTCAAAAAAGTTAAGAACAAATCAATTATTTTCAATCAAATTTTATTTTTTAAAGGAAGAAAAATTATTGAAAAATTATGAAACAAAAAAAACAACTATTATTATCATTTTACTTTATTAGATTGTTTTGATTAGTTTATAATTGAAAAATATGTTAAAGTATTTTATTAAATTGATAAAATTTTAATTTACACCATATTGGTAAATATTCATTTTTCCTAAAATTAAAAATTTATTCTATAGTTTTTGAATTTTTTTCCAAAATAGATTTTGGATGTTCGAAATATTACATTATTGGATATAACAAATGAAAAGGACAATTGTAAACTTGAATACAGCGTTGGAGAAACAGTTTCATTTGGATCTAAACTCAATATCAAATTACCAAATGAATCTGAATGTGATGATGGCAAAACTAGGTAAATATAATTTTAGAAATCGACTAATTGACAATTTTTGCTTTTTTGAATTTCTATATTTAATTACAGATATAAAATTAAAATTCATTATGAAACGTCACCCAAGGCAACGGCGTTACAATGGTTAAATGCTCAACAAACAGCCGGAAAGAAGTATCCTTATCTTTTCTCTCAAAATCAAGTATGTTTTTTTTGTAATTTTCTAAAATTTTTGTTAATTTAAGACTTTAATTTTTAATGGAAGTGTATTTTTTATTAGGCAATTCACGCACGATCAATGGTACCTTGTCAAGATACTCCGTCTGTAAAATCTACTTACAGTGCTGAGGTAATTTTAATTTTTTAATTACACCAAAAATAATGTTTTACATTTCTTTATTTTACTTGTTTTTTCATATTTTGTTTATTTTCTTATATTTTTTTCCTCTTTGATATTTTATTTATTTTATCATATTTTTTTTCTCTTTGATATTTTGTTTATATATTTCATTAAAAAATTGTAACTACTTTTTTCATAATTTTATTTTTCTTTCTGTGAAAGATTACGTCACCAATTTGGGCAACAACATTAATGTCCGCTCTACATGATGAAATAGAAACTATTGGAAACGAAACAAAAATTAGTAAATTTCATCAACCGGTACCAATTCCCTCGTACTTGATTGCCATCGCAGTTGGTGATTTAGTTACGAAAAAAATTGGACCAAGATCTTCTGTTTGGTCGGAAAAGGAATTAATAGAAGAGAGTGCATTTGAATTTTCAGAGACTGATACAATGCTACGTACTGCCGAAGATATTTGTGGTCCATACGTTTGGGGTAGGAACAAAAAAAATTATTTTACATAATTTAATTTAATTATCATTTCAATCATAGATGAAAGTGAATTGTTCTTTTCAATTAATATTAAAGAAATAATTTTATTGAATAATATAAATAATTCTTCAATTAGGCATCTACGATCTTTTGATTCTTCCTCCGAGTTTCGCTTACGGTGGAATGGAAAATCCGTGCTTAACTTTTGTAACGCCAACATTACTTGCTGGAGATCGTTCCCTAGCCAGTGTCATTGCTCACGAAATTTCACACAGTTGGACTGGGAATTTAGTCACAAATGCAAATTTCGAACACTTTTGGTTAAATGAGGGTTTCACTATGTTCATTGAATATAAAATAGACGGACGAATGTTTGGTGAAAAGCAAAGGCAATTTAATGCCTTAATGGGCCTTTCTGAACTCAAGGATGCAGTAAGTGATTTTTCAATATTTCGATCATTTAAAATCTTCTTTTTCTAAATTAATGGTTAAATCAATAATTTATTTCAATGAAATTTGACATAACTTTTAATTGTTTCAATTTTTTAAGTTATTTTCGGGAATTTAATTATCTTTAAAAAAAATTTTAATTACAATTTTTCAAAAACCTAATTTCTATTAGAATTTCTACATTAAATTATTCAAAATTTCAATAATTTTTGATAAACAAATATTTTAAAACTTATTATTACTTATTGTAATTGAAATATCAAATAATTTCAATAAACCTTTTGAAATTTAATTATTTATAAAAATTAGAAAATAATATAATTTAAAAAAATTTTGAAATTTGAACTGAAATTCTTTTACACATTAATTCTTATTAAAAAGTTTAACGAGAATTCAATTATTTAAATACAGAAATAAATATGTAATTTATTGAATAATTGAATGTTTCTTAAAATTGAATTCTCATGAAGAATTTTATCAACAAATTTTTTTAAATAATTGAATTCTTTCGACGAATTTGATTAAAATTGTTTTAAAAATGATTGAAATTCTGCGATGAATTTTATTATTTATGAAAATAATTGAATTTCTCAAAAGAGTTTAATTATTTATGAGAATAATTGAATCCCTGTAAAAAATGTTATTATTTGTGAAAATAATTGAATTATTACTGATAAGAAAATTATAAAAAGTTTGTAAATAATTGAATTCCTGTCGGAAAATTTTTATTATTTATGAACATAAAACAATGATTGCGTAGAATTTTATTAAAATGTTTTATAAATAATTGAATTTTTTTAGAAAAATTTTATAAAAATAGTAGATATCGAAAATAATTGAATTGAGGAAAATTTTTCAAATTGATTTCAATTTTGTCAAGAATTTTATTTTCTAAAAAGATTAAATTTCGGAGAAGTTTATTACTTATAACGGTTAATTGAAATTTTTATTAGAATTTTAAAATTTTTTTTTAAATTTCTATTTTTTTAATTTTTTAAAATGCTTGTCGGAAATTTAACTAATTTTCAAACAAAATTTAATTACACTTTTTAATAAACTCATCCTTTCAGAATTTCTAAATAGAAATTTTCAAATTTAATTAATTTTTTTTTCATAAATGTTTGATTACTTATTGTTATTTATTTTTCCACCAGGAATTAAAATTTGAAAATATTTTCAATATAAAACCTTTTGAAATTTAATTATTTCTAAAAATTAGAACTGCAATTCTGCATTTATTTTCTGAAATTTTAACTGAAATTATTTTTCAAATCAATTCTTATCAAAAAGTTGAACAAGAATTAAATTAATTAAATACAAAAATAAGTGATAAAATAATTGATTATTTATAAAAATTGCAACTGTTACTCTACTTATGGAGTTTTTTTTACTTTGAGAAAGAAAATTCATAGATTATTTTAAGATTTTGAATAATTTGATATCTTTTGAATCAAAAAGCCATAACTTCACGTGAGGACAGAATATCTCGATTATTATTATATAACTTCGAATATTATTATTTTGAAAAATAAATAATAATTTAAATTAATTATTATTTTAAATTAAAATGTTTACTATATCTTAAATTTATGTATTTTTCCAGATCAAAAGTCTAGAAGAAACACCCGATCTCACAAAATTAGTGGTAAAACTCACTGGAATGGATCCCGACGATGCATTTTCAACAGTGCCTTATATGAAGGGTCACACGTTTCTCTATTATTTAGAAGAATTACTCGGTGGTCCTAAAGAATTTGAACCATTTTTGAAAGATTATTTTGAAACTTTCAAATACAAGAGTATCGTAACTTCAGACTGGAAGAATCATCTATATAAATACTTTTCAAACAAGACTCAGGTGAATTAAAAAAGAAACAATAATTTCCACTCAATAAGTAATAATTTGAAATAAAAGAAAATTTCTGAATAATTTATTTTTCACAGATTTTGGATTCAGTTGATTGGGATTCTTGGCTCAATAAGCCAGGCATGCCAATTGTAATACCAAACTATAATAAAGACTTATTGAATGCTTGTATTGAACTTGCCGATAAATGGATTAATTGGTCAGAAAGTACAGCAGTTCCTTTCGCAAAAGCGGATCTTACCAATCTAAGTCCTTCACAAAGGGAGCAATTTATCACTGTTTTGTTCGAAAGCAATACAACTCTGTCGATTAAGAAATTGGAGAAAATGCAAGAGGTCTACGATTTTGATTCTGTACAAAATAGTGAAATCAAGTGAGTTAAAATTCTTTTTTTTAGATTCAAAATTTATTATTATTATTACTAGCAAATGTTTTAGATTTGTAATATTATCGTTTTATTATTGTTATTGTTGTTTCAATTTTTTCAGATTCATGTGGATTCGATTAGCATTAAAATCACGATGGGAGCCTAAAGTTGCTGAAGCTCTTGATTTTGTGTCTGAAGTTGGACGTATGAAATACCTCCGACCAATTTATCGTGATCTTTATGCATGGCCAGAAGTGAGACAGAGAGCAATAGACAATTATTTGAGAACAAAAGATCAAATGATGTTTGTTGCCGCCGAAATGTTGAAAAAGGATTTACACCTGAATTAATGTTACAATTGAATATTTCTAAAGAAATTATAAATTTCTACGTTTTTATAATAATTTCATAAAATTTTAATAAATTCTCTTTTCAAGAATCACCCAATATTCTATCCTTTAAAAAAATCTTTATTTTTTTAATACTAAATAATTTTCAATAATAATATAATTTATAATTTCAACTTTTCAATACTTTATTTTTATTTTACTTTTCTTTATACATTATTTTATTACTAAATAAACTTTTTAATAAATTTTTTGCTACTAAATAAACTTGAATGAATTTCGGGGAAAATGAATTGAATTTCCATAAGTTTTCAATATTAAAAATTTTCTTTTATATAATTGAAAAAACTATTTTTTTACAAATTAAATTTAAGAAGGTACTATTTGGTTATTATCGAAGAACATATTGCTCAGGATATTTGATAAGTTTGGGAAATTCTGCACGTACGTTCTCTGGTATATGATCCAGTCTGACTGGCACTGGTTTAATTTGTTTAATTTGGTTGCTAATGTTTTTCTTAATATCCCATGGAATCTCACTGTAGGGAAAAATGTGTAAGCGTTGCATTGCGTATCTCCGTTGAATATTTTTATCCAGTGCTGTATATAGTGCCTTTTTCACGATCTTCAAAAAAAAGAAGAAAAACATCATTTAAATAATAAATATTATCAGGGTTGCCACAAAAATTTAATTTTGTTTTTCCCTTATTTCTAAATAAAATTTTGACTTTTTTCCCTGACCCTAAACAATATTCTGATTCACTCTAAAAATAATTAAATACTCAAAAAAATGTTCAAGTACATTTATTTACGAATTTCTTTAATTGTAAAATTATTCGAAAACATAAATAACTTCTTTGAATTTTCCCAGAATTTTTCAAGAAACAATTGTCAATTCATTAGTAAGTCCCTTCACTAACTGTGAAGCTGAAACCTTTAAATTTATTTTTCAATAAATAACTTCAATTTTAAAAAAATATTTAATCATTATTATTTTTCCATAGAAATTAAAATTTTTCAAAACATTCAAATTCTTCGAAATTATTTTCATCATTTCAATTAAATTAATTTTTTCTAGAATTTTTAACAAAAATTCTCCTTTAAATCAATTATTTTTAACAATTTTTGTAAAAGTTTTTAGAGAATTTTCAAATCCATTTGTTTACAAATTAGTTTTACGAAATTTCAATTATTCGAAAATTCTTGAATTGAATATTATATATTAGAAAATAAAAACTTCTAATAATTTAAAAAAAAATTTAATTGAAATTTTAAAAAAATTCTGCAGAATTGTTAGTTAAAAGTATAAAAAATTCAGATTTTTAAAGATTTTAATTTGAAACCATTTGAAAATTCAATTATTTCTAAAAATCTACACTATAATGCTTTTAATATTTAATTATTATCTAAAATTGTAAAAATTGTAAAAATAATAATTTATTGATTAATTGAATGTTTCTTAAAATTGAATTCTGATAAAGAATTTTATATTATTTATGAAAATAATTAAATTCCTGTTTAAAATTTTAATTATTTACGAAAAAAATTAAATTATTATAAAGAAATTTATAAAAAAAAATTGTAAATAAGTGAATTCCTGTGGAATTTTTATTATTTATGAAAATAAAAACAATTATTTAATTCTTGTGAAAAATTGGCAGAAATTCAATTATTTTCAATAATTCGTAGGAATTCAGTTATTTTTAAAACAATTTTAATAAAATTACTCTATATAATATTCAATTATTTTTAAATTTTTAATGAAATTCTTCGAAAGAATTCAATTATTCCTAAAAATTTTGATACAATTCTTAATAAGAATTAAATAATTTTCAAAACAATTTTAATTGAATTCCATGAAAGAATTAAAAATTTTTCAAAATAATTGAAATTTTGCAAAGATTCTTTATTTGTAAAAATAATTTGAATGGTCGAAAAGAATTTTATAAAAATGTTTTTAAATAATTGAATTTTAGTGAAAAATTCTACTATTTGTGAAAATAATTGAATTCTAGCAAAAAATTTTATATCTTAAAATTTTACATAATTTATGTTAATAATCAAAATTTTTCGAGGAAATTAATTATAATTGCATTGGAAATAATTGAATTTTTATAAAGAATTTTATTTAAACTTTTTAAAGTAATTGATATCTTTAGAGACCTGACCTGACCTGTGGCAATCCTGATTATTGCAGTGAAAATTTTAAACCAACTTTAGTAATTAAATAAAAAATTTTCACATTCATTAACTATTTTTATGAAAAAAATTATAATACCATAGTTGGATCTTTGCTATGTAATTCCCAAGCAAGTGTGTACGTTGCACCCTTGGCGTATCCTGTGTGATGAAAATACATTCTCTTTTGCCATTCATCACCCCTTAGAGCAATATCTCTACTGTTTATTACTACTACATTATCACCGCAATCATCTGAAAAAAGTAATAATTATATGCAACAAAAATAAACCACTAATCGTCATAAAATATTTGGAAAACAATTTTCTTACTCATAGGATGGTAAATAGGTTTGTACGTTCCTGTCAAATACTTTTTTATCAATTCTGCACTTTGAAATGGATCTTGCCATTTTGCATCATAAACATGCCAAATACGACTAAATGTTCCCCATTGCTGAAAGAAATCCAATATTCATTTTTATATAAAAAGCATTTTCTACTTTTTATGCTCATATAAAACTATATCCTATCACTTCGTTCTTCAGTACAACAAATATATAAACAAATTTTTTATAAATTACAACTTTCTATGTCCGAAAAACTTCATTTTAATTTACCCAATATTAATTTTTAATAATTATAATTTAATGACAAGTAATATTGTTATAATTTACAATTCTAAAACTTCTAAAATAAAATTAATAACATAACCTAAAAATTATACTCCAAACGCAAAAAGAAGAATAATTGGAAATAATAACGAAAGACAATTGTACTACTTAATAAAAATCGGTTCAGTCGATTTGTAAAATATTGAAATAACTATCAATTATGCATTAAAACAGTTTTAAATTGAAAAAAACTCACCTGCGAACGACGAAGGAGTGACATTTTTGTTTATCTCGTATTTTTACTGGAACCGGATACAATTATCTTGATCATCTTTTGACTATATTTGAATTTGAAACTATTTCCGGTAGTTTCGAAAATTGTTTCTTTTCATAAATTATTAATAATAAATAAAAATTATTTATTAATTTTTTATTATTAATTATTTATTAATAAATTAATAATTTAATAAATAAATTAAAATATGTATATGAAATTAATAAGAATAAATAATAATATACTTGAAAATTATACATGAGCAGGTAAAATTTATATTAAATTTTAAGGGGAAAAGACAAAGTTTATTTTTCTTTTACAAAAAAATTACAATATTTCTCTAGTTATAGATAATTTTTATTTGCAAATATCATTTTTTTTTGTATCACGAAAATTAACAATAATTATAACTGTATATCTTCCATTATATACAAATATTTACAGTTTATTTTTATAAACTAAAACTATAGTAAAAAATGAGAAATATTTTTTTTTCATATAAATATAAATCACATATTTTTAAATAAAATATTTACATTTGTATTTTACATATTATAAAATACAATTTTGTAATTCTTCTCTTTATTTATGAGATTTAATGAAAATTATAATTATTGATGTAAAGAAACATTGGAAGTTAATGAGAAGGAAATATTGTAAATATTTGCATTTAAAATATTGAATTGATTTTTTTTTTTAATTATTTTTGGAAGATACATTCACATTAATGAGTAGGAGTTGAAAATATTAGTTTTGTTATAAGACCCAATTTTAATTATGTCTACGTCTATTAATATGATAATTAAGTTGAAAGTTAATATTTATAAAAAAAAAAGTAGAATAAAAACAAAAATCAATGTTTTGAATAGAGTATATTATATTTATTTACACGAGATCATGCTATAATTTAAAAGAAAAATTTGAGAGGCTATTTTTTTAATTTTGCTACACGAAGCAATTTTAAAAATTTGTCTATATGATTTTCGAAGTAAAACTTCTTTTTGCTTTTATACTTTTCAAAACGATTTTATCGAAAGCAAACAATCAATTCAAACCTCTTTCCCACTTTAATAATAACAATAATTTTACTTGAATCTTATGATACGTCATAATTAAAATTCAAGAGTTAGTAAGTTTAAATAATAAAATTTTAACAAAAAAAAAAAATATTAAAACAATATAATAAGTATCATATCAAAGCAAAGCTTTTGGTAAAATTATTTTTCTCTGACTATTTAATATATCAGATATTGAGATGAAAAACAATTTTCTTCTTCTTTGATTTTCAGCTCATTAAAAAAGAAAACAAGAACAAAAAGAAAACAAAAACTGACAATACAATATATGGCTAACAATAAAAATATTGGTAACACAGTTTTTAGTAAATTTGAAATGAAAATTGAAAATTCAGATTGAATTTCACTTTTAAATAATCCAATCTCTTGTCGTGAATGTAATTTAAAATAATATGCGCGCACCTATAAAATATACAGCCACAATAAAAATCTTCTTTCGTTTTATCAAACTAAGGATTATTTACAGTAAAAAAATATAAGACTTTTACAATATAGAATTGCACAATAAAAACTTTTCCCCACACTCGAAAGCATTATATTAATTCGATAAGTAAAAAAAACAGAAAAAAAACTTATTTACATATCATCAATGAATGCAACCAATACAAATCAAAAAATGAGTGATTCTGTTTTGTTTTGACTGACATTGATTTTTTCTTTTTATGTTTTATCACTATTAATTTTTCAATGGTATCATAATGGCAATAGATCCATAAGATTAGCACGGGGTTGTGTTAAAGCTTCTGGGAAAAATTCCGTAAGTCTATCGTACAAATATGTTCGACGTGCATGAATGCAACGTCCAACTGCATTTTGATCTGGATTTGTACTTAAATAAGATTGTACAGAGTCGTCGGAAGTTGTTTCATCTTCAGGAATACACTGCTCTCGGAATAAAATAGACGCCAGCAATTGAAACTAGAAAAGAGATTTTTAAACATATTTTTTAGAAAAAGAGGGCCAAAAATGAAATAACTTTTGTTTTAAAAATATATAAATTTCTAATAATTACAGGCCCTTGGATAGTATAATTTTTTTGGATTTTTTCCAACCATTTTCAAAAAAAGGCAAATTTTCTTGACTTATTTTCAAAAAATGCGACTTATTCGATGTTTCTTTCAAATATTGCAACAAAATACCAATTTTTTGGTAAAAAATGAACATTCAGATTTCTGTAGTGTGAAAAATAATAGTCAAAGCTTTAAAAATATTTCTCAAAAATATTTTAATGAAAAATTTTGAAGAGAAAATTTAAGAATGAAAATTAATGAAAATTATATTGAAAAAGTTAGCCTAAAATTATTTTTAAAAATGTAATTCTTAACATTTTTCATTATATAATTTTAAAAAATTCTATTTTCAATATTTTCAATTACATATTTTCTAAAAATTCAAATTTCATTAAATTTTTTTAAAAAAATCTAATATTTTAGAATTATTATTAAAATCTTAACGGAAACAATCGTTTTGAAAATTTTTAATTAGAATTGATTTTTTTGTATCTAAGTATTTTAATAAAAAACTTGAAAATCAAAGTTTGAAGAATTTTAATTGTAAATTTAAAAAAAATAATTATTTTCTCAAAAATTGTAATGAAAAAACTTCAATAGAAAATTTTGAAAATGAAAATTAATGGAAATTATATTGAAAAAATGATTCTAAAATATTTTTTTAAAAAATAATTCTTAGAATTTTTTTATTACATAATTTTTTAAAAATCATTTATTTTCAATGTTTTTAATTAGATATTTTTAAAAAATTTAAATATCTACAAAAAAATTAGTTCATTAAAATTTTTTGAAAAACTTATATTTTAGAATTATGTATTACTAAAATTTTGAAGAAAACAATCGTATTGCAAATTTTTAATCAACATTCACTAAAAACTTGATTATTTTTTTAAATTGTCATAAAATTCTTTTATAAAATATAACTATTCTCGACAAATTATATGAAAATATTTTTAAAAAACTAATTCTTAGAATTTATTTATCGTAATTTTTTAAAATTCAATTATTTTAAAAAGAAAATAAATTATAATTTAAAAAAATTTTCTTTTAAAGAATTATTAAATTTATTATTAGGTATTAATCTTTCTTTTTGAAATGTAATGAAAATTTATTATTTTTTAAAATATTATTTTTCGAAATATATAATTCATCAAAATTACGATCATATTTCAAAATAATTTTTAAAAGTAATAAAATTAAATTATTTGAAATATAAAATTTAATTCAATGAATTTTGATAAAACTTTTAATTGTTTAAATTTTTAAAATTACTTTCAATTCAATTAATTATCTTCAAAAACATTTTAATCACAATTTTTCAAAAACCTAATTTTTTTTAGAATTGCTACAATAAATTATTCAAAGCTTCAATAATTTTTGTTAAACAAATATTAAAAAATTTATTGTTATTTATATTAATTAAAATTTCAAATAATTTTAATGTAAAACCTTTTGAAATTTAATTATTTCTTAAAATTCCTGTTATAACGATTCTATAATTCAATTACTTTTTAAAATTTTAACAGAAATTCTTTTTTAAATCAGTTCTTATTAAAATGCAACGAATAATTGGATTATTTAAAAACAAAATTTTTTTTTAAATTTAATCATTTAATTAGAACTGCAATTCTTACAATTCTTGAAATATTTTCTAAAATTTGAACTGAAATTCTTTTTCAAATTAATTCTTATGAAGTTTTCCAAAATCAATTGTTTTCAATCATTTATATTAATAACTTTAAAAAAAGACCATAAAGAATTACAGTAACAATTGTTACAAAAAATTAAAATTTTTATATTTAAACAATAAATTCTAGTAGGAATTTCTGAAAATTATTAAAAGGATTGATTTAGAGAAGAGTTTAGTTAAAAATTATCGAAAATAATTAAATTTTGAAAGAATTTCTCAAAAAAATTCCAGCCCTATCATGTTTAGAAATAATTAAATTTTAGAAGGAATGAAATTGAAATTTAAAAAATTGTAATTTCTGTGAAAAAAATAAATAACAAGAACTTGAATATTTATTTGACAAAATTATTGAACTTTTGAATAATTGAATTTAGAATTCAGTGAAATGTTAGGGAAATACAAAATTTAATTTTTGTAACAACACTGAATAAAATAAACGACTTTTTCGACTTTTTTTGTATCTTTAATCGACTATGGCGATTTTTTTGTGCTTTTAAGGCCTTTAATTAAAAAAATAATAAAAACAGAAAATTAAAAACCTACCTCTTTGGATTGTTCTTCATCATTATGATCAATGATCTCAGAGACTTTAGTTTGTAAATATTCAAGTGCTTCAATAGTGTCCTTCATGGCCAATTCTTCAAATTTGTGTTTTCTGATTATTAATTTGCAATTTCTCAAAACTTGATCATGAGAAGGTCGACACAATTTTAAAACCCAAAAATCGTCGAGTCTCAATTTCGGAGGACAGGAACGTCCTGGATTTCCTCCAAACAAATAATGCACCTGTAAATAAATATAATTTATTTATTTCCCTTTTCTTTTTTTATTTATTTTTCGAATAATTACCTTTTTCACTTGATCGTAGACCAATTGATGAGCGAATCGCGGACATGGCTCATAATCCTTCATTTTATTCCAATATTTTTCTCCATTATTTTCATTTCGATAGATACAGGACCATTTGTTTTCCTTGATATTATAGACCCAAAATGAATTTTGAACATTGTCGTCTCTTTTATCTTTGTCTTTGTTTAAACCCTGTAAGTTAATTTCAACTGTAGTTTGACTTTTTTAAAGGATAGTTATTTTATTTGTGTTAATTAATTAATATTTACCGATAAGACGTAAATTTCGCCTAATTCAGGATCGATTGTCGCTCGTTGAGTAAAACCCGCAGCTGGTACATGATTAGAATCACGATTACCAAAATCGCTCACACTAATTTGCTCGACTTGTGCTGCATCCACTTCATAAGTGAAAAAATCA